CCTAACGATGGTTTTTTTCATTCTACAGTTTATTATAATCTAATAAATATAATAGGTGATAAAGCTAATAATGAACTCTCTTAACATGATAATTTAAGTGTCTCATTAAAATAAAGATCTTCACGACTTTTCTAGAAAAAAATTATATAATTTTTTTGCCAGCCCTGAGGCTGGCGTTACCAAAAATGGATCGCTTTCTGCTGAGACTGAGTCTCACCCAGAAGGCGCCGCGTGGAGGCAGCGATCCGAGCCTTCCTGCTATGATGTTGGTAAGGATTGTGATAGCAAATGAGCAAAAACAGTCCCTGACCCGAGTAAATCGTTCGCCCGACTCGCGGTGGCTTGCGCGACTTGGCATCTTATATCATGAGAGTAGCGGAATGGCGCACAGAGAACGTCTTTTTAAAGCGTGTTTGTCTAATAAAGTTGAAACTATAAGCTCAAAGTATCTGAGAAAATGATCAGAAGTTGACTCTATTCAGAAAAATTTCGCTACAGGTTGTTCGAAAATTTTTTTCCTTTTTAGTTCGATGGCGTTTTTTTCACAACCAAAAAAATATAGAAAGTTGTTCGGAAAAATGTTTTTCAAACTTGGCATTTGACTCATAAAATTTAAAATAAGAAAAACATTTTTTTACCTTAACATATTTTTTTGGTTATCTACATCGGCAAGACTATCCGGTTTTTATTCAAATGAAGTGAGTTTACGAAAAGAAATTCCGTCAAAACCCTCCAAATTGTGGGTTTTATCACACAAAAAACGGTTTTTTTTCGAAAATCTCCCTTCCAAGCAATCTGCGAAATGCATTCCGAGAAGCCGAAACCGCTTTTTTGTGCCCTTTAAACCCTCCGCGGAAGCTTTTATAGAGATTACATGAAAACAATTCTTCCTAACTGGGCAGCTAATCTCCCTTGATGGAGGACTCGACCCGGCCAGCACTTTTTCGGGAGAAGTAATGAGTAATAAAAGTGGCATCAAGTCTGCTGATTCATCATTTTTTTGGTATTGTCTTGATTAGAGTGTAGAAATGTCTGGAAGTTTTTTTATGATCTTTCTGAGAAGGCATTAGTCATAATTACTGAATAGAATATGAGTCTAGAGAGATGAACGTAATTTAGAAACATGATTCAAAGTTTTATCATTGTCCCCCATAGTTCAGTAAAATTCAATAACATAGTTTTTTATGATTTTTCTCAGAACACTTCGCTTCGTTTTTCAATCACAAACTGTTGGTTAAAGCTGAGAAAAATTTCCAATTTTTTGCAAATTTTTTTTTGAAATCGTTGAATGAATCGATGTGTGTTATGAAATGTTAATGATTATGGCTTTTGACTGAATTTTTTCAATCAGAGTCTGCAAAGTTCCGATTCCATGCTTAAAAAAAATAAAAGCTCTATAAATTTCTAGAATACGTGGTTTAGTAGAATTTTTTTAGTTTTCGAGCTGTGAACTTGTTGACTTTCGCGAAAAGTTTTGTTACTTGTCGAGCTGAGAAAATTTCACAGTTGCAATGAGTTTGACTTGGCAAGAAAGGTCACTCTGTTTCCTATTTCCCGCTCTTGAAATTCCCAAGAACTGGCAAGCATACTAATGTACGGGACGACGATTTTAAAATGATGAACTTGTCACATTTCACTTTCTTTTTTTTCATTTAGACTTTCAAAATTTTATTCAACAATATTATACCAAAGACAAAGCTTTCAGAGAATTTATTTTTCAATGTCAGTTTCGCAAGATCTAGTTTCGGGTGATATTAATTTTTTGTCTTTTATGCAAAGAAATTCCGAGAAATAATTTGGTGTCCGGAAAAATACGACCACAGTAATCAAATATTTTACTTTTCAAAAAGTCGGTCTCCCTTTGCTTTCTTACATCCCTAAAAGCTTTGCCAGAATATTCCGTGGTTTCGATGGATCACCTGGGCTTCTAATGTGTTTCAATTTCACGCTTTAAAAGTCAAGGTCTTGAATTGAAAATTCAAACGGCTTCTAACAGTTTTTTTTTTGAAGTTCTCTCCAAAAAGTCGGATTTTTCAGGTTGATAGGGCCGATGGGTCATCTTTGACACCAAGGAAAGTTCGATTCGTTTTTTTGAGAATAACAGAGCGCGTATTGTGTGACCTTTCTTCGTCCATTCAGCTCATAAAAATTGTTCAGTTTGTCAGAGCTGAAAGGGAAGCAAGCTAGAAAGCGTAACTTAATAAATCACAATACACGTACCCTGAAAAAAGCGTATTTTAACGACCGAAGAGGCCATCAGCCTCATTTTTTCGAGCGGCCGTAAGGCTTTAGTGCAAAATCCTTTGTGTACTGAGTCTGTGTGCGGTGTCTCGTCTCCGAAACCGCGTTTCCTTTTGTTTTGATTAAAATTGGCGAACGTGGCAAGAATTAGATGATGCAGAAGTTGTGGGACGCGCATTAGGAAGCGTGGGAGTGTCCAGGATTGAAGGCGTGCGGAGCAGAAGAAGCGAAGAGGCGGCGCGATACTGAACGTGCAACCGACTCGCCACGGGCAACTGTTCTTTTGCTGGCCACATTCAATCACCGCCTCGGCCGGTCTCTCAGCCGCTTTATTGATGCAAATCAACAACTGGCAACAACATCCCTCCATCAGATCTGCCCTTTCTTTTTTCGTCGCCCGCCATTCACTTGTTCTTTTTTTTTCTTTCTTTCTTATTCAAGTTCTAAATTCAAATCTTGCTATGATGACCTATGAAATTCTTCATTATAGTTACCCAGAGCTTCTTTTTGCATTATCAAAGTTGAAGCTTTGCTTAGACTTTGAAAAATTAGCTGAAAAAAAGCTTTTTCAAAAAAAAAGGTTACTTAAAGTTTTGAATCGTTTCTTCCGTTTATACAAATAAGTGCTACATTTTAATAAATGCCGCTTCTCTCGGTTTTTGACTTTGAGGTTTCTTGGTTCCCGAAAAGTGTAACGGAAAAAAATCGGAGGCCTTCCCATCGTTAATGAAAAAAACGCAAGTCAAAAAAATAAACAAAGATCTTTTAATTAACGAAAATCAACTGTCCTTAACTGCGTTTTTTTCGCGCTTTGATAAATTTATTAGTTGTTTCTTTATTTTTTTGTTTGATCCACCATTTCTTTCACCTTAAAAAAATCTAAATCAGATCATCTTTAATTATGTTTAGATTTTTGAAAAAAAGAAAGTCCTTTTTAGAGGCCAAACGCAGTCTTATTGTCTTCTTCACGTCGTTTCAATTGTGATGAGAAGTCTCAACACCCTCAAACTCAAAATTTGAAGAATTTGATTCTCTAGTAGAATACAACGGATTCCGTTCATCATTCTCACCCTTGAAAATATTTTCTTGAGTTTTTCTTCCTGTTGGCTAGAAAATATTGCTTTCCTGAAAGCCGATGAAGAAGAGAGAATTTTAATTTATAAGAGAGCAAAGAGCAGGTTTTCATTCATAAATTCCCACGAATCAAAATTTATTAGCTAAAACTCAAGCATAAATTCAGTTTTATGAATACTCTGCTACCTCTATAAAACATCTTTATGAGAAATCTCTCTCCTTTTACTTTCTTTCAGAATTTCTTTCCTTTCCAAATTTATAGCTTCCCGTCTGCAGAGTTCGGTTTCTCAAGATTTCCGCTTTGTAAAAATATTCAAAGCTGTTGTTCTATGTACTTTGACAAGAAAAATTCGCGATTACACGAAGAAATGGGGCAAAAAATGAGCAATTGGTGGCAACATTTGAACAGCCTCCTGCTTGTTTTTGACGCCTACCCTTTTACATGCGACATCTGCGCTTTCGTTATTGCGTCTTTATTCCACGAAATTAATCCTAGCTTTGCTATTTTAGTTTCGAGAATTTTCGCTGAGGGCAAAGCTTACAACGTGATAGGAATCAGAGCATGTCCTTTTTTTTCAGAGCTTCTTCCCCCGACAATAGAAAAAAAGATCAGTTTGAATTTTTCCGAATTTTATTATTTGCAATAAAAAAATCCCGTTTGAAAAAAATTAAAAAGCAAGAAAAAAATTTGAAATTTTCTTAGTGAAGCTTTCTGAATTCGCAGACTAATTTTTTTTGTCGTCGTGATGTTTCTTACTAAATTTTCGCATTCTTAAGCTTATTAAGAGTTTGAATAAACTTTCAAATCATTAAATATGACATAGACGCAAAAATTTTTTTGCCAAAGTTTCATTAAAACCTTAGCCGCCATTTCACGAGCACATTTTTAGCTCAATAGGTGTTGAAATTTCATGGTGTTTATTTGAGATGTATTGAGGCGCAAAAAAAAATTAACATATATTTTTTTCAATGAGACTTCTTATTCCATTAGGCTCAGACTTTTTCTGCGCCATTTCACTTTCTCTTTGCACAGTATCTAAAAGGACACAAAAATTTTTAGGGTTTTTTTTAAATCTTTTTTTCATTTATTAAAGAGTTTTTTTGCATTTGAAAAACTCCTCATAGCTGTTATATTTTTCTTTTGTGTGGTAATACTACATCTTTTGAACTGACGAATTATTCTTATGTTCAAAATAACTTCGAAGGCGGATAAATTGTAAAGTTTAAGGCCAATCAGATTTTCAGTCAGAAAAAAAAAACGAAACAAGCTATTCTCCCATTACAGTAACCTTGCGAAAATCCACGGAGAAAAATCTCCGTAGACAAAAAGGGCAATTTTCAAACGAGCCGTGAAACGATGTGAATTGAGAATAGAAACAAATCCTGGGAGGTGATTTGTCCGCAGATTTCTTTCACATTCCTTGATTGCCATGGCTACGGAGATTTCGCTGTGACCGATTATCCGTGTTGTATCTCGTTTCATTGCATCTGACATTCCTCCCGAGCCTCCTTCCCATTCTTCTCCTCATTTTTCCATGGCCATTTTCCCATAACTTTTTGGCGGCTCCCGTGGAAGACTAGGACATGATTAAGTCTTTCGCCAACAAAAAAAAACTCCATTATTTCGCGCCGAGTTGATTATGTGCATGTCTTCGGAGGGCAACCAGAAATCTTAATGGTTGAGAATGGGAAAAAACCAAAGCAAACCGACGTCGCCGAAGAAGAAAAAGGCTAATAAGAAACTTTCACCGGAGGAGGTTCGCGATCTCGAACAGAGCACCTATTGTGAGTTTGTGGAGCTTGGAACTGAAAATCGGAACTTCTGCCACTTTTCAATAGCGAAAAAGTCGAAAGTTCACCTTGGAAATAAGAGAAATGAACATTTTCTTGCTTTTCAGACACTATACTCAAAAACTTTGAATATAATTTTTCAGTCAGCAAAAAAGAGCTCAAAAAATGGTACAAAGACTTTGTGAGAGATTGCCCTTCTGGAGAACTACGAATGGAAGAATTCCAAGGAATCTACAAGCAGTTTTTCCCAAATGGAGATCCCTCCAAATTTGCGGCTTTCGTTTTTAATGTCTTTGATGATAATCAGGTAATTTTCATCATTGATAAGCAAATTTTTGGATAAAACTCGTTCAGGATGGCCACATATCCTTCAAGGAGTTCATCGCCGCCCTGTCTATAACGTCAAGAGGAACTTTGGATGAGAAGCTTGATTGTGAGTTCTAATTTTGTTTGAGAAAAAAAACACCGTTCAACATTGATTCTGATCATATCCTAGAATTGCTTAGAGGTCTAAGTTGTTCGATTAATTTTTTCCCTTCATTTCGAAAAATAGGTGAAGAAATTTTTTTCCGCTTTGGGAATTTTTTTGTGAAATCGTGGTTTTCCTTTTTATTTTCGAAAAGTATCATTTCCTGTGAAGGTAAAAACTGGTAAAACTTCATAAGAAAAAAAAATGAAGAGCGCATTCAAAAATAATCGTCTTGAATTCGAGCAAATCCACTTAGTTTCAATTTGCTGAAAAAAAATCGATTACTTTTAATTCTTATTGTTTCTTCTCAGCTTGTTGGGGAATACTGAAAAATTCAGACAAAACAAAGATGCTCCACGAAATTCATATTTTCCTCCTACACCTCTTTTTTGTTTTTCCTACTGCCAAAGTTAATTAAGTAACTTTTCATTTTTCAGAAAGATACGTCTTTAATTAAAAAAACCCTCCCGAATAGACATATTTTATTTTTGCGCCAATCAAAAATTCAAAACAATTTGGAAGCAAGCTACGGCACATTACGATTGTTTTGAGGCGTCGTAATTTTATAAACGCTTGAAATTGCAAGTCACTTCAGGGGCGTTCTCGCTATACGACGTCGACAAGGACGGCTTCATCACCAAAACCGAAATGGCAAACATTGTCGACGCTATTTACAGGTAATACGCCGTTTTATATGTTATTTTCGCTGCGAGGCGCGAAGCAATCGGAAAAATGAGCCGCTGGGCAAAACCACATGGGTTGGAAAGATGTCGCGGGAAACAAATGAGAGCCAAATGTTTCTATTGCTTTGCTTTTTCGTGAGCCAGGCAACCGGTCATCTCAGTTTTCGCGTCTTCCAGAGGGTGGCTTGAAATTAGGAAGTGAAGAAAACCGAAAAAACGAAGCTTCAAATCAGTAGAAGCTGTTGTAGAAGTCTTAAAAAAATTTCAAAGAAGAAAAATTTCAAAAATAGGAGTTGAGCGTTTAAAAATTTTTTTATTTGAGGATGATGGAGATTGTCTTTTAACGAATAACATTGATTCTTGAGAAATTCATAAAGGCATGTCGAAAAAATTCGAAATTGAAAAAAAAAATTAATAAATCACGGCTGTAAAAATGAAAATTTCAAGAAATCCTTGAACCCAAAAAAGTTTTTTCTGTTCCTCCTAAGTATTATTAGAGAAACTCCTACTGAAAGATGATGTTTTGATATTTTTCACAACAAAAAACATTTCAGGACTTGTTGCAAACCGAATTTATTTTTTAGCATTTTTCGCACCCACAAAGAGTGAAGATAGAACAGCAAGAAGCAATTTAATTCCGAAAGCAATTCCAACAAAGTGCATTTTGCAGTATTATAACTGAGTTTACAGCATGATTGGCAACATGCTGGAGCTGCCAAAAGACGAAGACACGCCTCAGAAACGCGTCGAAAAAATTTTCACCAACATGGATAAGGTTAGAAAAAAGGGATCAGTTTTTTATAGAAAAAGGAAAAATTTCAGAACTACGATGGTAAACTGACGCGGGAAGAGTTCAAAGAAGGATCCAAGGCGGATCCTTGGATCGTTCAGGCCTTGACAATGGACATGTCCTCTAGCAATTGATTGCCAGTGATTTGCAATTTTGTTCTCTCAGTTTGAGTCTCATGTGATAACGAGCGATTTTCGTGTGTAAATTCAGAAGAAGTGGAAAACCTTCGCAAGAAAAAATGAGCGATTTGATCATCACTAGGTTTCTGAAGAGGTGAAAGAAGAGGTTGGATAGGAATCTTCTGATTGCTAAAGAAGATTTTTTGTCCTTTTGTTCTTTTTCCAAAACCTTTTTCGTTTTCTTTTGATCTTCAGATGAAGACTTTTTCATATCTCCAGTGTTTCTTTTCCCTTTGATGCATTGATTTTTCAAATTGTTTTAGCTACACATTCATTTCTCAATAGTTTTTTTTGTTGTAAATTTGACTTCCGTTTCATCATATGTTTTCGAATCCAGACAAATAATTTTCTCACAATTCCCCATCTGGTCCTTTTCTCTTGCCGCCCCGGAGCATCGATCAAACTTTTTCGACTCAGAAAATCTTTGAAAATATTTTCACCTTCAATCTCCCCATAATGCTTAGATATGTCGAAAACTGACGCAAACAGTCCAGCTTTATTTTCTTAATCCCCAACCAACGGCTTCTTTACCCCGTGATCTCTTCCCTGTTTTAAACTCAATGTTCGCTCAAACCCATGATTTAGTTTGTTGAGCGAAATGGACGCTTTTATGAAAAAATCTTCCTTCACAACAAGAAACATGAAAAAGGCATTTTTTCAGTTCTTCGAGAATTAAGGCGTTTAACTTTGAAGCGCAGAGCTAAAACTTCAGCTTTAGTTTCTAGTTCCCCGGTATCTTGAACAAAAAATGAGTGATATTGTATCATTGATGCTGTAGTACATTTTTCTTTACTGTACATGCAAGATTGATTACTGGAATAAACGTGATTTCCCGTGTTTTGATAGGATTCCAGAATCGCGAAAAGATACGAAAGGTATGAAAAGAGGAAAAACTCATTTCTTTCATGAATCTGAAGCCACAAAACATGGTTTTACATCTTTTTTAATTTCAAAGGCAGAGAATTCTTGAAAAGGTTCTTCTCAAAACACTCATGGTGTCAAAAAACTTTATTTTACACATTTTCCACACAATCTTTCTGTGTGAAGACGTTCTCGTTTTATCATACAGAACCCTGTTCTAATTGGTCAACCTCAAACACAAAGAGAAGAATATTTATTCTGACAAACATCTGGTAAACTCAAAACCAAAAATCACCAATAAAAAGTCATAATAATTACAGTAGTGATACAATTATTAGAATAAGTGGAGATAAAAGGAGTGAATTCAATGCAATAGGATGACCAAGTTGATTGGCAAAAGAACATCTTCAGATCTCAGTTTTCATTATTGGCAAAATGGTAGAAAGATGGGTTCAAATTGAAAACGTCGTAAAATCTATCGAGTTTGGTGTTCTCACTGGTCTTTCTTCATGAACGCGCCAAACATCTCCACCGGTACCGGAAATACGATCGTCGAGTTGTGCTCTGCGCTGAAACGGAGAAATGAAGAAGTTTCGGCAAAGAGAAGGGCAGAAAATTGAGGAAATAGAGTTTTTGGTTCTCTTTTAAGATCTTTTCAAAGAAACCAAAAACTTTTTTGTCCCTTCAATTAATTTTTTAATTTTTACATTCTTTGAAAGCAATTTCCTAGCAGCTGTTGAGCCCCTAGTTTGATGAAGAATCAATCAAATCTGCGATCACTTCTAATAAACTTTTGAGCCATCCAAAACGGCAAAAAATCAACATTTTTGCTGCGTCGGGATGACAGTGAAATCATGAAAACATTTTTTGGTAGAGAAAGTTTGTAAAGATTTTCTCAGAACTGAAAACTGTCTTACATCATAAAACTTGAATTGAGCCGAGAATCCAAAGATTCATGAATGCGAAAAAAAATCGGTTATTTCGGTTGAAAGAGACTGATCCTCGTTTTAAGTATCATTTATCTTCTGTCAGAACCCATTATTTTCCTTTCTTCGACTGCACTTTCAATGCATTACTGCTTTTGCAAGTCCCATTAATTCTCAGGAAAGTGTAAAAGCTGTGGTTCGTTTTATGAGCAAATATTTTCCTTTTGGTTGGCTCGTTCCAAGATGAGATCAAAAGTGGAGAGGATGGGTTTGGAAGAGGAAGAAATAGTGGCTCCTGAGGGAGCAGATGGTAATCGCCGAGAATACTTACGCAATGCTGTTGAGTGCCTGGAGATGCCGCAGCTGAAGCGCCACTGGGTTCGCTTGGATCACGTCGGCGGCTTCTTTCAGAGCTCTTGAGGCCTATAAGTTTCATGGTTTACTAAATTTCTCACAAAACTATAGGCATTTTAAAGATATTTTCTCCCGTAATAGTTTTCAACATTTTCCATCACCTAGACCAATTATCAAAAGTCCTTTTATTGGCGTGCATGAAAAATAAAAGCTATAGAATCGATCGGAAAAGCACAGCCAAAAGATCTACGATTATTTTTGAATGATTGATTTTCATTCTGCTAAGACCTTCAAGCAAACTGATCTGCTTTGGAATCGGGGAACTTAAATTATTTTTCTGGAATTTCAAGGCTCAAAAAGTTTTCCAATGAGTCAAACTGGAGCTCAAAAAGCAAAAGAAGTTTTTTCGTGTAATTTTCGCAGCTACAGAGATTTTCATTCCCATTTTTCTCGTTCCCAAGACTGGTTCATTCTAGCGTAGTTGCTATTTTTGTGCTCCAACGTAGCGTAGTGATGTTCTGACCCACTGAGGGCCATTCAAAAAGTACTTGTCACAAACGGAGAAAACTTTTCCCTTCTTTTGAAGCTGCACGAGAAAAAGGTCGCGTTTTTGAGGAAACACAATGGCTTCGGCAAGCCTAATTGCCTCGACGAATGGGACCTTCGTACCTTCTGTTCTCCCTCGGCGGCGACGACTTTGGCGCGAGCCTCACGAGCTGCCTCGGCCTCGGCAGCCATGGCCCTCGTCAACTGCTGCGGCAAGCGGATGTCCTTCACTTCCACTCGTTCCACCTGAAAAAAGTACAGGAATTTCAATCAAGAAAGAGCAGATGTTGCAGTAGACCAATGAGCTTGCAAAATTAAATTTGTTCCGAGAAGCCTCTTAACGGTCTTATATTAAATGTTATAGCTAAAAATTTTGCAATTACACTGGAAAAACTTACGGAATAGAGAACGGAATATGAAATGGAAATTTTGAGCTCTACCAAATGGAATCCTCACCTTGACGCCCCAATGCTCCGTTCCTTCGTCAAGAATCGTCTCGCAGAGCTGAGCGATCGCTTCACGTTCCGTTAACATTTCAGTCAAAGTTTTCATACCTGGAAAGTTCGTAAATCCAGTGAGTTCAAAAAAATTTGTCAAAAAATTTAACTTAAGTAGAAAAAAATAAAAATAAAAAAATTTGAGATCGTACATCTCAGCAAATTTTTTTAATTTTTTTTCCTTTTTGATCAACAAAACTTTTTATCACTGCTTCATCACAACTTTTTTTATTTCTAATAGAAATTGAAAAATTTTTTTCATTTTACCCGAAATTTTGTTTTTCTGCTACTGACTAAAAATTTGAACTTTCTTACGTTTTTATTGTGAAATTTTTCAAAACTGATCTTCCCATGGTCATATCAAGTGAAAAAAAAATGGGATATGTTTTTTTTTTTGGCTTTCATACGTCCAAACCTTACCTAAAGCATTCCTGAGAGTGGTTTGAGCCAGCAACTTGGTTGAGTAAATGGCGTCGTCAACATTGTTAACAGAAGCAATCGGATCAGACGTTCGGAAGTAAACGACGGCGTCGACGGAAACCGTCACTGAGTCTTTTGACAAGATTTCTTGTGGAGGAACAGCGTATGACACGACACTGAAAGATTCTTTTCGATTCGTTCAATTTGTCGAACGGACCGGAGATCAATTTTGCGGTAAGTATCGATGCAAGGAATAATGAAGATCATGCCGGGGCCTCGGGCGCCGCCAAATACCAGTCGACCGATTCGGAAGATTACTACTCGCTCGTATTCTTTGATAACCTGTTAATTAACACTTCTTGAGCTTAAAGTTAAAATGAAGTAAAATAAAAAACGTTTTATTTGTTCGTCCAATTAGGGCTGTTTTTTTGTGCTTCACAGAGCTGGAAGTTTTTTGATTGTCCAAAATAATCCTTTTTCAGACTTCTTTCTTCGGCTGTATTTAGTTGTATTTCAACAGATACGAAAACTTTCAAAACATAAAACATAGAGAGACTGTTTCAATTCAAACACTTTCCCGTCTCAAAACGTTCCGCTCAACTGCTTTTTTACTTTACTTTGAGATCCGGATGGGAAGGCTCTGTAATAATTTATCAGGTCGCCGAGTTGAGTCTCCGGAAATTAATGAATGTGGATCAAATAATAGGCGGCTGGGCGATTTTTCGCATAGTCTAGGTTTGCTATTTCCGTTCGGAAGTCAACGGTTGTTGATCTCCAACTAGCCTATAGAAAAAGTCAGGAAAGCCTTCAGATAAAAGGTGGTCTCATGAAGGAAAGTGTTTTTTTTTTTCATCAACAAAAAGGCCTTGAAGATATCTCGCCAAAAAAACTGAAAAAATTTTTGTTTTGAATGAACTTCAAATTAATCGTAGTAAATGGAAAGTTTCTTTTTCCGTTGTTCTGATATTTTGTTCAAGACGACATGTGGAATGATTTGGAGAAGATGGTAATTAATATTTACGACCTTTGAAAATGAATCGTTTTTTTGTCACAATTTTGCCATTTGCAACATTTGAAGAGGTGAAACAATTTTCCAGACAAATTTTCATGATTTAAAAAATTGTTTGTTTCAAAAAAATAATAAGAGCAGTGATGGTTTTTTTCAAATTGCGGAAAAACAGCTGAAAAGCCGTTTCCATTTCCTTAGTTATAATTTGAAAAAGGCAAAGATAAAAAGTAATGACTCGATTTGGAAAAAAATCTGCACCTGAAAAACAGTCGTCGGAAAAGGAAAAAAAAATCAGACTTAAAATAATTTCTAAGAATCCAAACTGGCAGTTTTTTTTTCCAGCTGTACAAGAATTCCACTTATTCATGCAGGGATTTTCCATCTTTCTACTATTCTTTTAAAATTCTGTTAATCATATTCCATCGCAACTCACCTTAAGACAAACACACATAGAGAAGGGGAAAGTGAGAATAATGAGAAGCCAAGAAAGCGCCTGAAGAGCATAGCCGAATATCGTTCCGATCGTTTCATAATCCGGCGGAACGTCCTGCAAATCTCAATTTTTCAGCTGCTCAGCCATTCTCGAGTTGTTAGTGTGTGCGTCTACGTGTGTGCCTATACAAAGAATAAAGTGCATTTCCGTTTGTGACACGACATTCAACACAGTGGTTGCTGCACTTTCAACTCATACAGTAATCCTCAAATCCGAGCAGTTTTCTAAACTTAAAATAATGACAACTCAGTTTTTGTTAGTGATGTTAACAAACTCAAAAATCGGTTAATAATTCAAAAAATTGAAAAACAACAAAAAAAAGCCGCGTCAATATTTTTTTTGGAAAAAGTTTTTCTAAAGTGTATTTTTTTCCAGACTACGGAAACTTCACTAACTGGTCCTTTGGGACCGCGGCTGCTTTTGTTGTTTTCACCAGTTTGAGCTCTATTTTGGTGCTGGTCTCAATTAAAAATGAGTGGGAAGACGCCGAAAAACGATTTTGTTTTTCATTATTCTTCTCAGAAAAACCGATGGAACTAGCACACATAGGACGCAGACATGAGAACCGTGTTCGTACTGTTGTTGGAATAATGACGTTCTTCATTATTTTCAATTATAAACTTCACTTGATGAACTTCGAATAAAGCTACAGTTAGTGCGACACTCCAGTTTTTTATTTAAATTTATGATTTTTTGGGTTCTCATCAATATGCTGAAACTTGGTCGATCGATATAATTAGTTTATTTTTAAGAAGAGCTTTCAAAGTAAAAAAACATTTACAATGAAACTCCTCAATTTCTAACATCTTTTCTTGAAGTTGAAAAACGCAGTTAGAAACTGTTATGACAATATATCAACTATTTCATGACTGTAACTGTTGTCCCATTTAACGCATGAAATTGATAGTTACCCAAAATATTAATATCCTTGGAGCACATGTTTTAAAAATAAGAAAATGTGCAAGTTGAGACCCCAGGATCCTTCAATGTATATTGGACAATACTCAATATTACTAATAAGAACTTTTAAAAGTGTACGTTGAGGGGCTCTTCTTACTAAATTGAAGTTTAATTTTCTTAACTTTTCGGATTTTAAGAACGCATTTTTTCCGGAACAATCCAGCTCGAACCCGTTTTTGATACAACACACAGTGATTAGAGACGGAAAAGGTGAGTGAAACACGCACTTGCGGCGATACCTGAGTCGTTGAAGGGGCCACCCATTGCGGTTCGGCACGTTCCTTACTGGACATCGTGCCTGAAATTATTTTGAAAAAAATTAACAAATATTCCACGAAAAAAATTGAATTATTCACGGAAAAAAGGACGACGAAAACTGGAAACCAGGCAATTCAAAAGAGTATTGAAAATTAAACTACAGACTAGAAAACAAAACAAAAAGAAATTTTACGATTATTCAAAAAAACTTCAGAGATTTAAGTTGAAAAAATCTAGGGAAGTTACTTTCTGAGAGTCACTTTGAACTTAGATCTGTTTATTTTAAATAATAGTCTCATTATTAAAAATCATTCAAAAATGTGTGGAAGTCAACCAAATAGCAAAAAACATGTTTTCAATACAAGCAAATTATAGATTGCAAAAGACGATTGATCTAAATTTTGCAGAGAAAAGAGTTCGGAGTTTACAGTAGTCAAGGAGAAGCCATACCTTGTGCGGCACCTGACCAATCAGCGGTGAAAGGACAGCTCCGACAGGAATCTGAGGAGGACTTAAGCTGAAAACTCGAAGCAAAAAAGACAGAGGGCCGAAGTTGAAGGGAAGATAAAGGCGGAGGTCGATAGTTGGATGGCCACCGAGGCCTGGACTAGAGTAATTCAATAGGCGGCGCAACGCTCTCTTGCCAGCCTCTGAATTTATGCACGGACGGCCCTAGGCGCGTGTCACACACCGCAAAACTACTAGCTCCTTTCCTTCGTCTTGTCGTCCTCAAGCTGACGGCCAGTGTTGCACTGACCTAATTAAACTTTGGCTCTCACTCTGGGCATCCCTCAGTTCTGTGTCAGGAAATCTCAAACAGAGACGGTTGTGGAAGAGGGACCTTGCCAGTAGTATTACGCTCTAATTGAGCAAGCCGGTCTGGCTAAACCGATTTTGGCAAAGAACGGGAAGTTGTTAGCCGACTCGTTCAAGTGCTTAGAGTTCTGGTCGTTTAGTCAATCACGTTGGATTTCGGGTTTTCAAGAGAGAAATTTGTCCATTTGTTCTTCGAGCAAAATTACTTTCTATGGGAATTTTTCAGTTTGATTCGAATAACTTTTCTTCAAGTTCAAAAATGCGTGAAAGTTTTGTAGTAAGTAAGTCGTAACCTCAAGTAATTAAGATCACAAAAAAACTCAAAAAAACTCCAAGAATTTACATTTTGTGAAAATTTTTGAATTTCGCTGATTTTTTTAGAAGTTGGATGGATCGGAAAAAGAATTATATTTTTGCTTCTTCATCTCTTTGAAATAGACTCTCCGACGAAACACTGTTTTTATACACTCAATGAGCATCAACAGCTGCAGTGTAATTTTGAAAACGAGATTTTATGCGCCTGAAATTTTTCAGCTTTCAAAAGCTTCGAATCACGGCAGAAATTTTTGCTTTCATTGCGAAAACTACGGCAAAGCAAATATATTGGCCTGCAGATCTCATCAATTAAGTTCATTAAGTAAAGACAAAAAGGAGAAAAGAAGGGGAAATCGAATAAATCAAATCGTGTAAACATCCATTTAGAAGCGGAAGAATTTCTCTCGTTGAATAATAGAAGAGATTGAGCAGAAATTCAGACAAGGAATTTCAACCGCACATCGATATACAACGGCTCCTCGATGCCGTCGTATTTCACATCTCGCGTCCATCTTCCTCAGAAGACGTTCCGATGGGCGCAATATGATTCTGCGTTCTGACAAACCAAAATTAGGTGTCACTCAAATTTCTACACTATTCGTTAGAGCAGCCGGTTTTTATTGCAATTCAAGACCCGACGGGAGCGTAAAACAAAACCGACGATTACATAGGGATACTTGAGAACTCGAGAAAGTACTAATTATCTCAAATTCCTTGCTTTTGCTCCAACTCTTTTTGCATGAATCAGGTTCTTTCTGAGGTTTCAAGTTCTAAGTTCTAAGTAGGAAAACTTAAATAAATCTAGAACTCAGCTAAAATTTGAACTGTTTCCTTTTCAAAACAGGTCGAGATAAAATTTGAAAATGGCGAAGTAATTTGGAGGAAATTGAAACAAACGTGAGCTGAGAAGCTGAAAAATAAGAGAAAATCGTGTAGAATTCAACACAAGACTTTTCAAACTAAGACTGATTTTGAGAAACATTAAAGGTCACGTTTTGTAAAACTTATAAACTCCTTTAACTGAATTCAAAAATAAATTTACCATATAGGACTAAGACTCAAATATTCGAACTTATAACGGGATTTTCCGACTTCTGAAAGTAGTAAAGCAAGTTTCAGACCTACCAGTTCCTTCTTTTTCTTGAGTAATTAATGGGGAATTATTGAACACTGCAGGAAGTAGCATTTGCAACAATGGTCACGTTTGTTGTTGATTTATGCTCTTAAATTTGGCGGATGCAAAGCGAGTATTCAGAAAAATCTGCCTCATAACCAGTTATATTTTTGAAATCCTCATTCATTGAAGTCTTCAAAGCTTACCAAAAATCTACTTTTTTTCGATTTTTTTTTAGTTTTTTTAGTTGCAAAACATAGAAAAAGCCAATTAGAAAAAAAGAAATTGGAAAAAAATTGAGTAGGACAAGAAGCCAAAATAATGGGGTACCGATGCCAAGCGGTGCAGGAGTGTGGAGAACAATCGATGCCAAGAGGTCCTTTTCCCTGAGGGAGGATAGGCGAAGCGTGTATTTTCTTTTCGCCTCCGACGCCAAGCCTCTCGGGTTTCTGACTCGTCAGAGCCACCTGTCACTGCTTGGTCTCATGCCCTAGCAACTTTGGTGACATCTACAACCGAAGAACTGACGTCGATGTGCTTGAGAAAGACTTGTGAACAGCCTCCAATCTGAAGTCAATTTATTTGAGACAATCATTTCTTTATTTTGGAATATTATGAAAAGAGAAAGTTTTTTAAATAAAATGTTTTTTTGCGTTTCTGAATTTTTCAAAAAAACAATCTTCAAAGGCCTAAAGTTATTTATACAAAAAGTAATCGTAAACGAAAATTGCGCAAAAGAATTATTTTTTTCCCGTTCAACATTTTCGAGCCTTTTGATGAAACTGAACAATTAATTTGAGAAAAATTACACAATAATCCTGCAATTAAAAGTTTTTTTGCATCAAGGCTTGTAGACCTCAATTTTCCGCGGTTGTGCTGGGCAATTAGAAAAAATTGAAAAGATTTTTAAGCGAGTATGATTTTGTATTTTATAATGACACCCACATGCATCGTATGAAATTTCTAAGGTTTTCTCGAACTTTTTTTCACAAAATACGGCGTTCATCTGAGTTCAATGCTGTGAGCCCCCGTCAGCAAAAAAAAATCCAACTTCCACTCTCGAACCCGAAATTGAAAAAGTAGGCGGCTAGGAAACGAGGCGCAGCAAAAGGAAAAGCGGCGCTGAATTTTGTTGGGTTGGCAATCGGCCGACGGAGCAATGAAATAATGAATTATTCAGGGTTGAAGCGTTGAGAACATTAATCGAAATTGTCACGCAACGCCGACGGCTGCTGTCGACGCCAACGACGCATAAAAAACGCGTCGACATAATTGGCTCCCAGTAATTAGCTTCAAACTTTTTGTGAGCTGCAGGAGAAAATTGTCGGATTGTGTTCGACTATCGAGGAATGGGCTTCGAATTCGTCGAAGAATGGAATAATGGCTGCTGTCAAAACAACTACAACACATGTTTTCTAGTGAAAAACAAGCTGAACCAATGAAATTCTGACTGATTGAAGAAAGGGAAAAATAGATGTGAACAAAAGGAAAAGTTGAGATATACGAAATAAAAAAGGCAACTGAAATGCGAAAAACGAGAATCTCTGCAAACATCGAATATTTATTTCCGTAATAATATAATTTCTCTCGAATATTGAGAGAGACCAATAGCATTCAATATTGTATCTGAAAAATAGCCAAAAAATAGATATGGCTAAATAATTGAAGCGGTTATGAGTTGAAAAATAACCTAAAACTCGTTCTTTCTGCTCAGTTGATAAGTCTCATGATTTAGATGCTTCCAGAATAATAGATTTCTATTCTTTCTCTCTTTGTAACTTTTCTGGATTCAAATCTCAAAAATGCCTTATACTCCGCTTTCGAGTTGAAAATAGTCCACAAACTTCAAGCTTCTGATTAATTTCTCATCCAGGTATCGACTCTGTAAAAAGATCATATGTAGAGCTTAATTTTGATGTTGTAAATTGATTTCCCTTTTCTGAAAACTTTGTAGAGTAATCTGATCCTTGCCAAGACTCGAACATTTTTTTACTAATGGGAACTTTCCCCGCGCTATTCCTATACACTAAACGAAGTTCTCATGCTCGAAGCTTCTCACAGCCTGGAAACATAAACCAAAAGCAAAAATGATCGCCGGAAGAAGAAGAAAAAAGCGGAGAGTGAGAATAGGCGCAGCGTGGGAACAAGAAAAAAAAAGGAAAGAAATTATGGTGGTAGTGGTGGTCGGTGTGGAGCTCCGACGTAGTGGAGCCGCAGCTCGCGCCGACATACTAAGCAAGGCGAAATGAGGACGCCGCCCGAGGGGAAAAGAGAAGGCGCGGAGGGCCGGAAAAGTCGCCTCCTTTGATGGATGCGTCGAGTTCGGAGCCCCAACCGCTTGTTTGTTGATTTCGGCTCAACACAGCCGCGGCTTGTTTCCCATTTTGGGATAATTAGCGCTCAAACTGAGACTTTCTCCTTCTCAATGCACCCCAAAACGGCGTTTCTGGCTTTGTCGTAAGATCTCGTTATTTGGGTCGAACAAAGCGTAGTAACTGGAGCCTGTGTTTTCAAAACAACACAGGAAAGAGTTTGAAAGCGTCTAAGCTCAAACAGCTTTCTAGGATTTCTGAAGCTTGAAAAAATTTAGTCTTATACACGCAAAATTGCAGCCAAGTTTTTCTGAACTTCAATATTTTCTGTATTTGTTCCAATAAAATTCTGAGTTTTAAAAAAAAAATCCCTTGCACAGTCGGCTCACGAGAACTTCAGAAAGAGCCAAATCTTGGGGCAAAGAGAGCTCAGAAAAATTTAAATACTACTCTTAAAGATTTTGACAAGATTTTTTTATTCTACAATAAAGAGTTTTCGTTCCATTTTTCACGATCGTTTGAGAAAAAGAAGATTCTCGAAGGAAAAAAATTAATGATTTCTTTTTTTCACATGTGAGCTTTAAAAGACAGGCATTCATCGGTTGTTTGTTTAAATTCTGCAATCTATCTAACAAATTTTCGAAATAATATCAAAATACAAATTTTTGTGATAAATAAAGACATGCAAAATGGAAATTTTTTTATTAAAAAAACAAGACTGTGTAAAATATTCAATTTCAGGTGAAATTTCATAAAAATCAAAGCAAAAAAAAAATTTTAGATTTTATTTTATTGCAATTATTTGCCCAATTGTTGCAACTTCAAAGTTTTTTCAATATCCACGTTTACAAATTAAATCTTCAGAACTCCTGGCTGAAGGAGAGTCTCTGAAAAAAGGCTTTGATTTTTCAAGTTCCTCTGCTTCTTTTTATTCGTAACGTGAGCATTTTTTTTTGCGCTCCAGCAGATTTCAATAAAAAAAAGCGGAACGTGACAAAGACGTCTCCTCTTCCGTTGTGCGACGTCGCGATTCACACAATTCGGCCATTTCGCTTCGTTTTTCCAGAGTGCTGAACATAAATCTCGAAGAAAAATTGCTTGTCAGGTGGAAAAATTTTCTTCCTTTTTCTAGCAAAAAGTTTCGTATTTTAGCAAATTAAAACAAGTAAAACAACTTCTAAATGCTTTATTATTACCTGAATGTCTAAAAATAACCGGCAAACGGAAGATAATGGCACCGGTGTCAATTCAGATTGCAATGAAAAAATTCAAAACTTATTGATAAAGCTGGCTACGATAGGAATATTTCATAATAAGAAGGGATAGTTTGTTTGAACAAGGATTCTGTGGTTTTTCGATGCGGCTAAAAAAACGGTAGAGCTGGCTAGAAGACTGATTTTTCTCACTTATTTTTTTATGATAAAGAGTTTCAAGTTCTACAATTGCTTTTTAAAAACTTCTTGAAAACGACAGAAATTATTTTTTTGAACCTATAAGATTTTTAAGAACAGGGGAAAAGTAAACTATAAAAAAATTCAAATCAAATTCTAGAAAACTAGCACAAACTGACACGATCATTCCTATAATGGTTACATGATAAACACGATTCGGAATAAATCAGAACTAATATTCAAAATTTCGCAAGTTATTCGGGTCGGTAGATTTTCCTGACAGAATTGTCCATCGCAACGTCGACAAGTTTGTCGATGGGATGAACGATAAATGGGATCGTCGAAAGACCAATAAAAGTCACTGTCCATTTGCGAGCCGGTGCAGGAAGCTTCTTGGATCTGGAATGAAAACGAACGGGAAATTTTTCGCAAAAAGTTTCGAGAGGAAAATAAAGTTCATTAATTGCCTTTTTGTTCATTTTGAGTTTTAAAGGACTAAATGATGACTAGTTGAAGATCATTTGTACAAGTTCAAAAATCAAGTTTTCCCAAAAAAATCTGTTAAAGTGTGCTCGGAGATCCAAACACTGTCATTAATAAAATAGCCGCGTCGAAGAAAAATTAGAAAAATGTTTATTAATTAAAATTCAAGCCAACTGACTTTTCGAGAAGAAGATTCGCAAGGTGACAAGTTCTGTTGATGACCATTCCAGGGATTGCGACGGAAGCAAAAGTCTGAAAAAAGTGATGGGCGATCGAGAAGATGTAGTACCTGCCAAAGGAGTGTGTCGCCAGAAGCGATACCGACGCTTTTCAATCGCGTTTCGGTGTTGAGGTGAGGCTTCTGAAGTTATTTAAGAATAATTGATATGGTAAATTTGACTTTTTCCGGTTTTTTTTTTCACAAATTTTTGCACCGAATTGGTTTCTGTATTTTTTTTAGTAATGCACTGAAGATTTTCATGGATAATTCCTTTAAAAGACAGTTTTTGAAGATGAGCTTCTGACAATCTCTCCCACACTTTTTTTTTCTAAAAACTTACAGAATTTTCTCTAAAAGCTTTGTGAATAGCGTCAGCTCCAACGTATCCAAACGCGATTCCATATGACAGTTTTACAAACAGCGGACGGATCAATACGCGGAAAGATTCTCCGACTTCGTTTGCGTAACCTGAAAAGTTTATACCTATTCTCATGATAACTTTCGAAAAAAGAACCCAAATATCTGACAGGCGAGTGCCGAAGTAGATCAACCTCTTCGGCAACGGCCGCCGGAGTCAAGCTCGCCAGGGCCATCTCAAAGTTTCATGTCTTATACTAGGTGCTTGGAAATTGAAAAAAAGAAGATATCGAATCTTTGTAACATGTATTAAAAACTACTTTCAAAGTAGACACAAATTAAAATTTTTCTAAAAGTAGAAATTTTCAACTTTTCACAGGCTAAAGCAAAAACATTAATGAGTTTGGGCATAATTTTTGCTAAGTAAAAAAACTAGAGGTACGAGTTGAATAAAAAAACAATATTTTTTTCAAAAATTAAATTTTTTTCAACTTTATTGTTCATAAAAAAAGCAGTACGTTCAAAAACAGGATAACGCAAAACAAATAAAGTTGGATAAAACTAACAGAAAAATCGTAGAAATGACGTTTAATAGTGATTTTTTTTGGTTTTTTTGGAGATGTCATAAAGAAATGAAAAAAATATTTTACTCTACACGAATAGAAAACTGAGGAATAAACACTATGAACAAAATGATTCTCTGTTTTCATGCTTTGCAACATATGGAAAATCCTTAAGTCAAAAATGATTATGTTATCGGGTCATTGGCGGTTTTCTGTTGATTATGCTTTTGAATTATGCATCAGAAGGAGAAATATTTTTTTGAATGAATGAAGGAATGTAAGTTTAATGAGGTAATGTACAAAAATCACTATGTGAGAAGGTTTCGAGATCTTGAATACTGGGTGTATCAAAAAGTAGATAGAAAAACCGGAAAGAGGGTTTCTCTTTGAAAAAGTCATTTTTCAGAGATCCTCCTTCTTCGGGCAAATTTTTCTCAAGGGTTTTGGTGAAGTGAAACCAGACGCGGCGGAAATCCATAATGTTTGCTGGCTTTTTGAACTCCCAGCACTGTTTGAATTGCTTGAACATGAGGACTGCAAGATTACATTTAGTTCTTGGCAAGTGTCTGATTGATACCGTAGGCTTCGTTGAAATCCTTCATTGTGAGCATGGCGCCTTCAGAATTGTTGAAGAAGTGTGGCTTCAGCAAATTGTCGCGGAGCAGCTCCAAGCCGTAAACAGAAAGATGGATGCCTGAAAAAAATGTGCTGAAATATTTTTTTAATTGTTATGATTTAATTTGTTAAAGCTGTATTTTTTTGAAAGTTTACAAGGTTGGTTTCCAGATGCAAAACGAGGATTTCCAACTTAAAAGATTCTTTCAAAAGTGACTGCAGTGAAAAATTTTTCCTTATTACATTCAATTTAATTATTTGAAGCGTTTAAAAAGTTTGGTGATCAGAAAAAATGTGATTTTTCATTGCTGGGAACCATTGTTATGAATATCTGTTTTTTCAAGATTTTTTTGGGTTCTTTGTTATGATTTGGTTTTTTTACTATTTTTTTCTGGCAAAGTTTCGAAGTTATATGAAAAAAATAACCTGTCAAAGCCATAGGGAACCGTTTGAGAGAGTCGCAGTACTGAATCATTTCCTGGAACTCCGTTGCATAATTAGCTCCAAAGTAGTTCAATTGGTGGACAGCAAGTATTCCAGCACTTCTGAAGTCAGTACTGGGGTCAAAACCCTAAAATACCCTTTTGATCTTGAGATGAGATTAAGTTTTAACACCTGGAAGCCAATGTCTTTCCATTCTTCACACTTGAGGTCCATAAGAATTTTTTCCGGGAAGGCGTGATCCCAGAGCTCTTCCAGAAGATCTTGGTGCTCTTCATTCGTTGGATCGTAAGGAGTAGAAGCCAAGAGTTTGACCTTGAATTCACGATATTGTCAAAGCCCTTCCGCAAATAGTTTCCTTGAATTAGCAGTTTTTATTGTACAAACAACTAGTTTTTTTCGAATGAGCTAAATTTAAAAGTTACTTTAATCTCAGCTGAACCGGAACACTTTTTGTCAAGTTTTCAAACTTTATTATAAACAGAAAAAAAATAAAAAGAAATGTAACCTCATTGTACAGAAAATCATAAGAGATGTATTCCTGGCAGAGCTTTTCCAATTGTTTTTTGAGTGCCTCTGTCTCCAGTTGTCCATCAACTCTGTTTTTTTCACATTTTTTTACTGAAATACAAAAAGTTCATTGCAACTTTAAATAAGAACAAACTCGGTAAGATATTTCTCGAAGAAGTTGTTAGAGAAGTTTTCTTTCATGAGTGCGAACTTCGAAAAATCGAAAAAGTAGGCCTCGATTTGATCTGGAATATTTTTATCAAATTTTCGTGGCATTTTTTTAATTTTTCAATTGTGAATTGCCGACTTTTGATGAAGTTTTTTTCTCGAAACTCAAAAAAAGATCTAAAAAAATGAGCTCAGCCATCTTTCAAGTATCAAAGAAAAATATTTTTTTCGCAAAAAAATACTATGTGCAAACGTTTAATCAACACTTTTACCGGCCGCTTTTCACAAAAATATTTGGACAATTCATAACAAAAACTTACAAGTCGTTCAAGAGAAGGATAATGCGCCCATTTGAGATAACCAAAATTTATGAGCGTGGCGACGAGTACACAAATCAGGATGTGTGGAAATACCGCATAGAAAGAAATTTTCAGGTAGCATAGATTTTATCAGGTTGTCAATTAGATCAATCATTTCCTGAAAAGTTCGAATTACTTCGAGATAAGAAAACTTTGAAAAATCGTAAAACATTTTCATTTTTTTTTCTATTTTTTGAAAACCTTCACTTCATTGTATTTGGAATTTGTTAATTCTTCTGAGATTTCAATTGTCAACCTCTACACTTTATGTAGTTATCAAAAATATCCTCTGAATCTGTTTTACTCAGAGATCGGAACTTTCAGTTTCAGTAATCTTTGTAAATACTTGGAAAAAAACTTCCTTAAAAAGTTTTTTTCTTTGAAAAAAAGGTGATGTAACTATGAAAAATTAATATAGGTTATTTCTGAAAGTACTTGGCCCACTTTCCAAAGACATTCAATGATCCAGATAAAAATAACAGTCTTTTTTTCAAACATTAAAAAAATATGAAAAAAATTTTTTTCAGGCATGTTCAGAGTAATTGTGGCGATTTTAAAATTGACGCGTTATCTGTTTTGAAATATTTAAAATTAGGAGCCGCTATAAATTTTGATCCGACTTTTTAGGTAGTGATCTTTATGCTGAAACTACAAACTTTTATTTGGCTGTTTAACGAAAATTTCATATTCACACCCAAAAGTCACTGTTAATTTACTTGTCACAATATATCGTTGTAGGGCCCGATTTTAGTATTGACTCATTTTTCTATTGAAATCCAATTTCGGTATTTTGCAGAATTGTTCCAAACAAGTAATGCGTCAATTTTTCGAATTGCGGAAATTGCATTAATAATTCGAAAATTTAAATATTCCAGCGAAAGTTACGCAGTAGTCCAAATACATGTGAAGGGCCATATAAAATTTATTCAAATAAATATACACGTTTCAGTTCGAATTTCATCATATTATCACTTCAGGACTTCCTTGAACCACGTATTCAGCGACAACGGGAGCAGTAGAAACAGCTTTCCTTCCACGATTCCGATAACCACACCTCAAAAAATCCGGAATTATTTTGCAAAGAAAATAGTTTCAATACCGGCGACGACATCCGTTATAAAATGTCGTCCAAGAGCAACCCGAGAAAAAGCCACGACTAATGGAATCCAGCACAATAAATAGAACGAAGGCGGAGAAAAATGGTGTCTGAAAGTCAAACATTGAGAAATCACGCAAAAATTGAAAGGAACTCACAGAAATGTGGCAAGCATAAAAGCTCGTGATGTGTGACCCGATGGAAAGGAAAAAATATCAAAAGTGTACTCGAGCAGCTGGAAAAAACCAATTTTTAAAGTTTAGTCTTTTTATCGCTAGCTTTAATAAAGAGTTTTCTTGAATGTTTTTTTGAGATAATGTTTGCTTTCAATTGATTGAAACTTAACGTTCAATATTACTTTCTAAAAAATGATATTTGTGAATGACGTTAATCTACAAGAGTTTGAAGGAAAACAAAAGGAAAAACTCAAAAAATGGTTCACCGACTCCAACGCGTTTTCGTGTTCGCATTTTGATACCAATAATTCAAAAGCCTACATGATCTTGCGGATTCACAGGCCTTCTGCGTTGAAATGTGCCTTTGATGATTCCGACGAAAATTATGTCAAACAAGAGCCCTGAAAAAGTGATTTCAGTTTCTGAATAAAATCAGGATTTTTTGTGTTCATCGGAATAAACTGGGAACTACTAGGTCATGTTTTTGTTTAAGGAAGTGTTTTTGATTTTAAAAAACATGGATTTTAGCTGATCATTAGGGTATTGAACTCCAATCAAACAAGCTCTTAAGAGTTTTAGGAATCTTTTTACACAGTTTAATGTTAACGATTATCTGCTCGGAAAAAAATCAGCAGATATTTTTTTAAATGCCAATTTTTTTATTTTTTTCAGTAGTTACAAACCTAAAAATTAGGACCATAAAAACCGTATTGAGCCTTTTCGGACCAGTTTCTGCCGTATGATGCAATAAGTAAAAGAAAACTGGTGACCAACCAAGGAAACCCATGAATCTGAAAAACCGAAACTTTTTGTGAAACTGGAAAATTTCTCACCATCCATTCAATCCAGATGCATAGTTCGCGCGACAAGTTGAGACCGGTGATGTGAGATGAAGCCTGACCATCTGCTATCAGAATACGATCGATGACTGAAACCCGAGTGTTGAAGAAGTTTGAAAAGCACAAATCTAAGGTTTTTCGAAAAAAAAAGTCGTTTCGAAAGAGGCATTCAGAAAAGGGAAATTGATACCCTGGGAATTCCAGAATGCCAAAAAATTTCCACCGTCCAATTTTTTAATAAAATCTTCGTACAAAGATTGAATCTAAACTTATGTGGTGAGCAAAATTATGTCAAACCTTTTTAAAAAAAACCTGTATTGAATAATTAGTTACTTTAAATCGTTAATTTTGAACTAACCTCTGTACATGAAGTTGTACCAAGTCTTTACACCCGTCTTCAAAAACTGGTAGAACCGCTGCAAAAACTCTATCATATCAGAAAAAGACGAAAATGGCGACAATCAGTGTTAAATAGGCAATCAGTCACGTAAAGAAAATATTTACCTATTGGGAAACCACGTCAATAAAACTTGAAGCATGACAAGGTATAGCGCGTCAGCAACGTAGCAACGGGTGCAAACGCAAGATACCCGCGGAGGTTCTCCGGAATGCTTTCGAAAACAAAGCAAATTCAATAGGATACATAATTTATTGTGAAACTCACCGCAATGCTGAACTATGGAAAGGACAATTAAATGATTCTATAGTTTCATGACGTTAATAAAACTATTACCATCTACAAACAGAGCACTCAACCCGCGAGTTGGTCCGCATGTGATCGTTTTGTCTGTGGCGCACACATTCCTCTCCGCAGCGCGGGCCTCATTCAAATTCCTTATTATTGGCCCGGGATTCTTCGAACACTCTGTCGTATTCTTCTTTTGCATTGATTTGTCGTTTTTAGCTGTGTTTGTTGTTGGTTCGAAAAGAGATTCAATTTTTTTTTGATGAAATTTATGACGTCCGGCTGTATCCTAAGATTGAAAAGCCTACGCTCTTATATTGAAAAAAGTGGCTCAATCTGAGAAGTTTCTTTTTTTTTGCGCTCAGAAAAATGTGTTGTTCCTTCAATTTCTATATTTCAAACTTTCTTTTTTTCAGAGCTAGTCTTTCTTTGACCAGTCTTCAGAAATGGTAAATTATTTTTTACATATTTTTAAATTAATGTTCGTTGATTTGAAGGATGCCAAGACGATAGAAAGGCTGCGGGAGATGAAAGCCTCCAATGTGCACTACGACCTCTTGCAGTTCTACAGAACGAAGATCAGTAGAGCCATCATCAAAAAAGACGCGGCCGGGGCTTTTGATCTCTACTTTGACGGATTCTCTTATTTTTATGAAGGTATGACTTCATTTTTAAAGCAGAAATGATGGCACGAATATGATTTGAGTTGCGGAGAACGGGTTGATCGTCGATTTGACAAACTATTTGGGCGACTGCTTCGAAAAATCTCAGTTCGAACCTTCTGAGCAGCTTTTTTCGTTAATTGCAAAGGTGAGAACAGTTTCTATTGTGAGAAAACTTCAGTGGAAATGATTGTGATTTTTAAGGTTGTTCTTCGGTTTGGTGATGACAACGATCACCTTCCGCCGTCAGAAGATGTCGTACAAGCTTTGCTGGACGCTCGCCAAAAGTTCATCGATTCGACTGTCCGATGGTTGGTTTCGAAATAATTTCTTCTATTTTTGTTGATCAAGAAAAGTTTGAATTAAAATAATGTCTTCTTTAAGATGGATGATATTTCTATGCTGTTTTAGAATTTTAGAGAATATGATGAGAGTCCATGCGCTCAATTTTTTGAAAAATTTCCAATTCAAGGTCCAAGAAGTTTGCTCGTGGGAATACTCAAGAGCACCGTTTCGGCTTCGCAGATCTCCATTCTCACATTGGCGACGCTTTCTTCGAGCAGAAATCTCTTGATATGGCCCACAACCATTATCTCTTGTCCAACGATCCCAATGTAGGCGATCTTTTTCTTATCTTCAACTGATTGAAAATTTCAGAAGCTTTCCAGTTTTTTGGCCGACATCCAGAAGACTTTCGCTCCTAGCTCCGATGCTGATCTTATTATCGCTCGTGCCGTTTTACAAGTGCGAGAGTATTTTAGGCTTCTAAAAAAAAAGATTACAGTTGCTTTGTCTCGACATGTTCCCCAACGCGAGAGAAGTCCTCGTGCTTTACAGTAAGAAGACTGGAAAGAACATTCATCAGCTGCCTCTGATGGCTTTTGTGGATTCTTTGATGGACGCTGTTTGCTTGAATAATGTAAAGAAGCTTTTTTTAAAAAAATAATTGAACTCAAATCAAGGTTAACAAACTGAATTTCCTCTTGGAAACGTATGAAGAGCAGCTCGAACGAGATCCTGCACTGAAGTCTTACATTGATAAGGCGAGTTTGAGAATGTGCTGTTAAATCAGTAATAATTGCTTTTCAGATCGGAAAGTTTTATTTTGGTTTCAAGTCTCCGAGCCAAGGAGGTTTTCGAGATATTCTTAAAGGTCAGCAAATTAAAACTTATGTGACTTGAAATGAAAATAACAAGGAGACAATGGGTAATATTTATAAAAAAAGCCTGAAAAAAATATCGATCTTTTTGAAAGTTGACTCTCAGTAACTTTTTTTCTGAAAAAGTGTAAAAAAAGGAATCTCATCATTAAATTGTTAATAAAAAGTAATATTGGCGCCTATGACTATTTTGAGTATGCCTGACTAGTAAGTATCAGAACTGAAATACCAGTTTCAAAAAGCAGTACCGAAAATCTAAACGATTCGAAGTTTATTTGTTGCATTTGAAGCTGAGTATAATAAGATATAGCCAAACCATGGAACCAAAAAAACAAAAAAAAAATTTAGGAAATCTGATATATTTTCAGGCCTTATGGGGTCTGATACTACTGAAGAAACAGCCAAGTCTCACCTGGCTGCCAGCTCCGCAGCTCAAGCTCAATACAAAGCTCGTCCAACCCCTGATGCCGACCTTGACGACGGCTTCACAACTGCCGATGAAGACTCGCCTCCGACTTCAGCTCGTGGAAATATGGAGATTGATGATGATTTGGACTGATGGACTCTTCACTGATCGCAGCTTGACTTTTTTCATTTGGGTAGATTTTCATGGTACTTGTTTTTTTATAATTCTCAAATTTTGGCTTTCTGATACCAAATCTTCTTCTTTTCTGTTCTCATTGGTTTTCATTTTTTTGATAATTTCTTTAAAGATTTATTGCTTGGTGAAATTGAAACAGGCTCTCATTTTCTTTCTCATTATTTTGCTTGAATGCGACGTTTTTTTGTTCTGAATGAAATTATTATTTATTTATTTGTGGCACAAAACAAGTACAAGATTTAACATTGTACAGTTGAAAACGAGAATTAATCGGGAAAACAATATTATGAACGAGAACACGTTAATCAGCAAGGTCTCAGGCCTAAATGAAATGCTGAAAAAACTGTTTAGAACAGCGATTTTTCATCATCATGTCAACCTAAGAAACCCGCGAGGAGGCACAAACCGGCAAAAAAAAAGAAACTGCGGCGTAGGTTATTCTAAGAATACACGTGTGGCCATCTCACCCATTCTGGCAATACTTTCTAACTTTTTCAAAGTTGAACTGAAGAAGGCGACCCGATGGGAGCTGATATTCAAGGATTCATAGGAAGTGAGATCGACTAATTGGCTTGAAGTTTGGAGACGCTGAGGACGGTGTGGGCGAGCTTGGCGGTGTTCCTCCGGTTGAGGATATCTGTTGCTGAACACATCTCGCTCTGGAATTCAAATATGTTGCTTCGATGTCTATTCAAACGCTCCTTACTTCTGGAACTCCACTGCGTTTGCAATACTGCAGAAATCGCTCCACGTTAGTTTTGCTGCGGTTTGTGACAAGAGGCTGTAATTTTGAAAAGTTATTGCAATATCAATAGTTTTTTTCTGTTCCTTTTTCTTCCATTAGCAAATAAAAATTTTTGATTATTGGGGGAAAAAGGTAGTCTTTCAGTTTTGGAAGAATCTCATTTTTTTAAAAATTTTTGATCTTGTACATTTCAAAAATGGGCATAGACAGACTTTTGTTTCTGTTTTCGATTGAGAAACTTTGAAGAAACTCACAAAATCAGCAGACGTGGCGATGTTCACCGCGTCAGGGTGAATTTTGTTCAAGAAGCGGCAAAGGTCTGAACCGTCGCTCAACTGCGCTCCGAATGCTGCTTCACCACGGTTAACGGCATAACTGCAAATATTTTTTAGTTAGATTAAAAGTGCTATAAATATTATAAGCAAGCTTTGGTCTTTAAACTTTTTAAAGTCGTTTAGAACATTTTCAGATTTTTCAACTTTCTAACATTTGAGCCATCTTCAGAGAAATCCAAAAATTTCACTTACGTGACTCCTAATTTGTCACGGAGAAGTTTTCTAGCGGCATCGATTTCGCTGTTGGTCTTCGAAGCTATTCCTGAAAAATCGGAGACTTGAATAGATATAGTGCTTTTTGATCGTTGATGTTTTCGATAACCTGAAATGACTCAGGGCTTTTAGGCTAGGAGGACTCAAAAATATTTATTTTGACAAACACTCAGCAGTACTTTGAAGTATAAAAATATAACCATGAAGGAACTCACTGGTAGCCGTGGTGGTGATTACAGGTTTTTTCATTTCTTCTGATTTACGGTCCTTAACCGGAGCTACTCGACTTGTTGCTCCTGTTCCATTAGTCGCTATAAATGAAAAAAAGGAAACTACAAGTTCAGAAATGCTCCGGCCAACCTTTGGGCACCGCGCTCACTTTTGAGACTGGTTGCGGAGACGACAAATGCTTTTTCACGCCGGTAGACTTCTTGAAAAAGAAACTTTAGAGACAAAAATGACACTTTTTCTGACCATTTGAGACGCTGACACGGTGTTCAGCTTTGTGGGACCTTTGATCATTGGGGCAACTCGAGATGTTGGCTTTCTCACTGCAAGAAACTTATTTGAAGGAAAATTAAGGCTTTTCTGTATAGCCAATCATTCGCGGCTCGAAAGGCGACAAGGGTAAAGCAAAAGTGAGCGTTAAGTACGCGATGCGGCTTTTTGTTGGGGGCTTCGAAGTCAAACGCGATCATGAACTAATGGAGATAGAAACAATTTATAATTTTTTTCTTTAATTTCTTCAAAAAACTTTTTTTCAACGCAAAAAAATTAAAAAAATCAAGAGTATCGAAAAAAACTATAATATAGAGAAAAAAATCTGAAAAAAAGCGTGGCTCGCAATTGACCTCTAATTTCCCGCCTAAGAGCCGCGTCGCGTACGCAACGCTCCACTTTTTATCAATAGACCCATCTCCTCTTTCAAGTCAAGAAAAAAATTGAAAAAAATTTAAAAAATCTCACTCTGGTCACAAAGTCTTCGAAAGAAGTTTTTTGATTTTACCATGATTTTATTCATTTTTTCAGAGTTCACGCAAGTTTTATTCAACGAACCAGCAGTTCCGTTGGACAGATTGGTATTTGTCGCACGGTGACTGTTGTTATTTGCTGCGTCATCTGCGCAACTGGCGACGTGCACTGGAGTGGTTCTGATGTTTTCTGGAAAAGATTTCGATTACCAAAACAAGGATTATTACTGCGGTTCGATTAATTGTTAATGAAGCATTAAAACGACCTTTTCCAGTCGGCGTCTCTCCATTTCGCGTTATATTTCCATTCTCAGGGGCACTCCCGTTGTTCACAATCTGCAAAGCGTTACTCGATATTATAAGATTAGGCTTTGAAAGCAAAAAACAGTAAACTTTCGGAAAATTCGAACTGTGTTAGGGTTTGATAGTTCATCCGTTTCATGAACAAGACTCAGAGAAAGCTTTTAATATTTACACCAGAAAAAAACGTTGAGAGTTGATTGCTTCTCAAGTTTTTCCGTCTTTAGAAATTCCTCCAAAAAAATTTTTTTTTCAAACTTTTTGTTACTTTCCAAAGGTGTTACTTAAAAAAATGGAAAGAGTTAGACAAGCAGAGTTACAAGGAAAAACTTTGGAGTCAGTTTTTAGTTTTTCTGGATATGGGAAAAATATATGTATTAGCTTTCAAATGAACGCGGAGGCGAGTGTGAGCCTAACCCTCAGAGTTTTGCTTATCCTCATTTTGGAATTTCTGAGATATTTTACCTGAACATTTCGGATGCTGGGATGTCGCGCAACACGGACGACGTCGGTAACAATTGTAGTTTTTGGCTCGGAGATTTCCTTCAAAATTAGTTTCTTTGTTTAAAAGGGTGGAGAAAAGTTAGAAAAAAAAACACGAAAAACATGCTCGATAGAAAAGGGAAAAATGGAAGAGAGGTAGGTCGAAAAAAGAAATCACACTTTCTAGCTACTCAAGACAATTCAACGTGCTCAACTCTTCACCTGCAAAACCGTGCGCGAGTCAGCTATTTGTCGAAATAACCAAAAAATGTCAGAATTAAAAGACATGTTATGATTTTTCAAAGGGTATTGCTTACTGTGTCTAACGTCTATTGCAGAAGATTACTCGCTAGCCTACTTACAACAAAAATTTCCCCAGAAATGAGTCAAAGAAAAAACAATTACCTGCGGCTTGGAATCCTGCTTATAAGTGATGGTTTTAAGGTCAATGCTGGTTCTGAATAGTAAGTTTTTTCAGATGAAAAGCCAAATTCTTCGGCTCACTTGTAACTACTTGGAGTTCTTGGCAATGTTCTGGCGGTCGACACTGTTTTACAATTGAGAAGCCATTTGAAGAGGTAAGCAACTCCCTGCAAAGTTGCAAATTGCAAGTTTGAAAGGTCAGAGATAAAGTTTTTGAAAGACGTTATTTGGAAAAAAAGTTTAGGGTTTACTGAACTTTGGTAAACCTCCACAGATAGTTTCATTGTTGTAATTTTGCTGATTTTCTCTCGGCGGTTCGTTTTTCAGTTCTCAGCGCTATTTAAAATAGCCTCACTGCGGCAGTAGAAAATCGAGCCATTCTATATGCGACCATGGATACGTTCCTTTTTCATGAAACTTTTTCATCGAGGGAAAATAAACTTAATTTTCAATTATGTTTTCATCTTGTTTCCATCTATTCATGACCAGCTTTCTCTTGTCTCCATTCTCAGAAAAAAAACCTCCAGGCAATAACCTTTTCAGAAACTTCCGGCGGCGGATGCTCCAATCGGTTTCGCTGCAATAAAATCGTCTGCAGCTGCTGCATCTGGACGAGTTCCCGCGGAAGGACCGTTATGCGGTTGTCCGTGAGGTCCAACATTCGCAGCTGCATCGAGCAGATCTCTGCAGGAAAATCGTCATTTTCACGATGGACCTCATAAACAGCTCGTTACCCGCCGGAATCTCGTCGATTTTGTTGTTTGACACGTTCAAAACGCGAAGTTCTTTCAGATGTCGGATGTAGGTCGGCAGGAAAGTCAAGTCGTTTGAAGAGTAGTCCTGGAAATTAGAAACTGATTTCGAAGGTAAAAAAAATAGGAAACGTGAAAGTTGACAGTTGACAGTTGGAAGTCCCTGTGCGTCTGATAGAAGTTTTCTCATAAAATAAAACTTCGCTTAGATTTTTATCGTCTGTCATTTATTTGAAAAAAAAAGTCTTTGCTTATCAATCTTCGTTCAGGTAATATCTTATTTTCAAACCGAAATCATCGACACAAATAGAGAAGGTTAAATCGAAATGAAAAGTTTGGATTAGCAGCTATCTGTAAAACATCGTTAGTATTGTTTCTTACTTTTTGAAAAATTGAAATCATAGTTTTCCAAATATTTTGAATTTTGGTGAAAAAATAAGTAAACACCCAATTCCTTTCAGAGCCCAATTTTTCCAATATTTTCCTTTTCAATTCTACAATTTTCCACCCTGACATAAATATTACAAACTTACCAGCCAGTTGAGCGTTCCTGCGGCCTCGTTGATTGATTTGGGTATCGTCGTGATTCGATTTCCGGCAAGAATTAACGTTTTGAGCGGCAGCTGGAACAACTCGTTCGGCACCTCGGCGAGTTTATTGAAACTAAAATTTTCAAATCAATACGAACCAGGAAACTTTATTAACCTGAGGTCAAGATAACTAAGTTGCTCCAAAGTACAAATTGGTTGCGGGAACAAAATTAGTTTATTGTCTCGGACCAGTAAGGTCTTTAGACAGTCAAGCAATTGGATTTCGTTGGGGAATTTGAAGATTTGATTCTCGCTCACATCTGAAAAGTACAAGTTGATTCCGGTTCGGATCCCTGGAATTCTGCTAGATTTTCTCTGACATCAATAATTATTCAATCTTTTTTGCTTCGCTATTTCAGGACCATTACATCGGTGGAACGAGCTCAATTTCCCACACGAACACAGCGAAAATGAGTTTTGCATGGGCCTCAGCTCGTCAAATCGAAAAAAAGCTTCGGCTCCAAACGAACGGAAATACGCTCTTTGAAAAAGCATTGGCTACCGGAATGCATTAGACCTCGTAAAACAAAGATGAGGCAACGATTTACTGCCCTTTGTAATTCAAAAAAAGAAAAAAAAAGTGAAAAAAACCGACAGAAAAAAGGCAAACCGAGAAAAACCAGGTCGAGCATGTCGACGTTGTCGAAGAGCTCAGATGGGAACTCGTGGAGCCCTGAGCCGCGGAGCTCAAGTCGACCGGAGAGCTCGGCATCTTTGAAGTGGGAAGCCAGTGGTTTGGTTGTGGGAACCACGGGTTCCTGGAAATTTATGATGAGACAGGAAATATAGCAGTCGGAAAAAAAGTAAGTGTAATCGAATGATAAGAACTTCCGAGGATAGGAGCGCAGTTAAACCTGTTTCATTGAAATGATTTTTTGAACGCTTAGTTCAAAAAGGAGCTTGACTATTTTTCACAAACTTTTTGAAAACCGAAATTAAGGCATGAAGAGTTTTGGACGAAACGAAGTTTAACCAGGTGGAATTAATTTCCAATTACCACTGGAAGGTCACGAAACTGATTCTCTCGAGTCTATTTCGAATTTCGCCCTTTTTTACCTATTCAATGGAAGTTTTGAGAGATGACAAATTTCGGAAGTTTCGGAGCAAAATGATGTGAAGTAAAAAAATTTACGCAGGATATTTAAAAGTTCCGATGAAATTTTCCCAACTAAGCGCTTTTTCAAGCTCTTGCTACACATGAAAAAATAAACTCAAAAGTTAATTATGTTCATAAGATATCTCTTTCAAGGCAAATAAGTCCTTTCTGTTCCATTGGAAGGTCTTGCGGGCTCAACTCGCGCACTGACACGTTTTCAATTTCAGAGCCAAAGGCAAACAACAGAAGGAACAACGGCAAGCAGCACCTCCCGCTGCGTCACTCGGCTAAATGTCCTTGAGACAGCCATTTTTCGCCTTGTATTTTCATTGATGGATTCGATGAGCTGTCAAATGGAACGGCTTCACATGTAACATGAGAAGGTAGGGGTTTTCGGAAACCAAGCTTCGAAAATGAAAGGGCAGAAATCACATTTTATAAGCGGATCCGCGAGCTATTAATTTCACGCGTTCAATCATTTCTCCGTTTCTCAGTTGAATACTCGAAAAATCGAATTTTCATAGTTCAGTTTCAACTTGACCCCACACAAAACCTCTATTTTAGAAACATGTGCAAGTGATGCATAGGGATCAGTTTCCCTTTTTTTTCTGCACAAAAGAGGGATAGTTTTTGTTTGCCCTGATTGGAATGAAACACAAAGGGCGTTGTTCTACAGAGTACCGTTTTCAGAATTCCAAACGAGATTTCTCTTCTTTCAGGTTTTGAAATGAAGTTGGAATACTTGATTCTTGTTATCATGTTCAAGAGAAAATTGAGTTTCAATTGACCAATCATTTAAATAAATTTTCTCATTTTTTTGATATTTTTTTGTTTTGAAAAAGTTAAAAGTGATCTATAAAAGAATTCCTGCTAAGAAACTGACGGTTAATCAACATATCAGAAGCCAGCTGATATTTTCAACAAGTGATCGCAAATTATTTTCCAGCTTTTTTCTAATTCATTTTCCATCGTTGAATAAATTGCATTTTTCAAATGTTCCCTAAATTATTTTTCTTCAACTTTCATTCACACGATCAGGACTTCATCAAAAAAGTTTCCTTGACCCTTCATCTGCTTTGGGGCCGCTAAAAAGTAATCAAAAGCCGCGTCGCAGTCGCAAACCCCAAGGGATGGTGTCAATAGTGCTGCAAAAAGGTTAATACTCCGGCCGGCGAGGCCTCGAGACGAAGAAAAAACCTCTCGCGGGAGCTTTGCAAGACCGATTGAATGGTTGTTTCTGCCTGAGTTTTTTTAGTCGAATGCAGGAAAAACCTCACAAAATTTTGTTATTTCCTGCCGGCACGCCGTTCATTGTCTGATGCCAAAAGCTATTGGGAGAGGCAAACGATTGAACAGAGAAACTGGTTGCTGGAGGTATAGTGAGTCTTGGAAGAATATGAATGAATTGGAATGAAGAAAACTCAAAAATTCTGTTCAAAACGGAAATTTCTCTCCAATTCTGAGTCACAGAAGAGACCTAAACATGCGCGAAAAAATCTTCAAAAACATTTTGAAAGAAATTTGCGAAGATTCATCAGGAGTATACTAAGATTGAGAATGAATTTTGAATACTTCCAAAAAAACTTTTTGAGTTGTTGATTTTTTTCTGATACTTTATGATTTACGTTTTGAAAAAGTTACGTCAATCGATAACCATGATATGAATTGAAAAAAAGTGAAGTCACAAAGAACCTTGTTCAAGTCAAAAATTATTAAAAAGAATGTAATTTTAAATCAGATTTTTTTGAATGCTTCCTAAGAATCAATTTTTCGGGAAAAATAAGTTGGATTTAATGAACTCTTCACTCCGTGGCTGATGACATGAAAAACTTTTAAGATCAATTATCAAAATGGGGAAAATTCGTAAACTAGTTCCCCACAGCAGTTGGTGTTGGATTGCATGAAGGCCAGCTTCAAACATTTTTGGACATTTTTTCAAACTGACTCAATATAAAACAGGAAAATTGAAAGTATCGTCTCCCCAGCTTCTGAGCAACCTAAGACAACCAAACAGCCTAATAAGATATGCAAATGTGCTCCGAGGACAGTGTACCAATTGATCGCGATGTTGTTGTACTACACCAGCTACGCTCCTCGCAGATGACGTTTTTAGTCTCTGCCTTTCTTCTCAGATCGCGAAGGAGAGCAGAGTAAACTATAGGCGCATATATCCTCCGCCACAGCTGTTTTTTTTAGAGCAACTGTTATTGCGGTTTCAGCTTGTCAAATTATAGAGAATAATGAACTTCAAGACAAATATAGTGTTTGAAACTAAAACTGTCAAACTCGAGAAAAAAAATCCGAAAAATTAAAAAAACGAGAATGGTATAGAAAGAAAAAAGTTCGGGCTGCTGGATGACAATTTAAATTCAAATTAGAACCTCGTCAAAGAATGTAGAGAGAAGGAATATATAATACTGATAGATGATATAAATTTTTAGCCGCCTTTGTTTTTTTTTCAGTGCTTCAGAAAAAAAAAATTTCAGAAAAACTTATTATTGACGACAAGAACTTAACTTTGAAACCTCAATCGATTTCGAATCTTTTATAAAAAATGAAGGCTAGAATTGAGAAGATTCTGAATGGAAAAAACTTCAAAAAAATTAACTACTCAGTGAAAAGCAGGAAAAAGAAGTGAGAATGAGCCCATGGGAGAGATGGGAGAGAAAAGCTATGAGTTTCGAGTCTGGTTCTGATTGTTTTTCAGTCCCCAGGAGCTGCAAGTAATTGTGAAAAATAAAATTGATCATTTATTTCAAACTCTTCCCCGCTCTTTTCCGTCGAGCTTTTTTTTGAGTATCGTATCAAACGAAGGAGAAGGGTGGGTCGTCAAATAATCAGATGATTGAGGAATTCTTGCCAAACGAAAAAGTTGAACACGGTTTTCTAGATAATTTGAAAATACTATTAGTCACTCCTTTCAGACTTGAATAGCAAAATGAGTTTATTAGAAAGGGTGAAGCGTTGCGTGTGCGGCGCGGCTTTTAGGCGGGAAACTCGTCAAATTCGAGTCATCATTTTTTTCACTCCTATTTTGACAGTTTTTTTCATAATATATTTTTTTATGGTTTCAAAACATTTAGTCGGACAAAAATAGAAGAATAAAAAAATGATAAAAAAACTTTTTTTGAATGTTTTTTTCATGAGTACATTTGACCTCGAGTCCACCGCCTAAATTCGCGACGCACACGTAACCTTTGCCAATCTAGCTATCTTGATTTTCGAATCCAAAAAAAATTGACTATAACCGTGAGGGAAATGATGACCAAGCGAAATTCAGCGAAAAATTGAGAAAAACAGCCTTTTTCTGTTTTAAAAGATCGAGCTTCATATCATTAATAAAATCGGATCATTTCGCAATATTATCAAAAAGAGTTCTTGGAAAACTCACAGCGCCAATGCTAATGGAAGAGACGAGAGTGGTTGAGCGGCTGACGGAAGCCTTGACGCTGTGATCCGAAAAAGTTTCTTTGTCCTTTTCCTTCTTTGCTTGACCCGTGTCATCTGCCCGTTTTTTCAGTTTACCCGTCAGCGTTGAGAACCCAATCATCTTAAATGCTGCTGTGTATTCATTGAGAGTAAAACTAGAACAACGAAAAAAATTTCCACCGTGTAAATGAAAGAAAACCGAAAAGAGGAATATTTGAACGAGAATCAAAGCAGAAATGAAGTTCAGAGAAAAAAAGTCGGGCGTAATCAAAGTTGTGCGCTCTATGGATAACTATCCTCAGAGTCCCAGTACAAACATTGAAAAGTTTTTTTTTTTCAATTTTTTATTTTCATTTGATCAAAATGAAAAGATGCCAGGCAATATTAATCCAAACTGGAAAGTATCAAAAACAACAAAAAAATTACTGGTATTAAATGGGAGACGCTCACGAAGTTAATCGATTTCATCATATAATTTTTCATTCTTTCACTAGGACTCACAAAATTGGCTAACTTATGATCATTATCATCAACTGAGAAAACTGTAAAAACAACGAGACTCATATCTTTTGAACGGAGCCTATCCGTTTCCAAAAAAAGCGCAAAGAGAAGGCGGAGCTTGAAGCCTTTCAAGCAGAAAAAAAACTGAAAAAAATATATATAAGCTTGAAGTGGCGGGAAAAATTTTAATTCAAGCCTCTTTGATCTCCTTTTTTTTTGGCTAATTTTTTTGCCAATCCATTTTTGCTTTTTCAAACAAAAAATATACACATCATGCGAGTAAAGAAGAGATGGACGGCAAACGAGCAAATAGATATAGATGTAAAAAAAAAGGAACGCGATCCGCTGGACAGATAGCAATGCAATCGAAACCAACCAGTGTATAGGAGTGTTGTGCGGACATGTGTATGTTTGTAAACGCGTGCAGTTGGTACAAAAAACGTCTTCCGCCGAGTGGCCAGTGGGAACTTTTCGCCGAGTTTCTTTGATCTTTTTTACCGTCGTTGGGATTATTCATGATACGGTACTGATTGGACGCATCGGAGCATGTGCGTGGGAAAGTCCGACGGCTAAAATTCAAATTTCGAGTTGTTTGCAAGGCGATTTGATGATGGGAATGTGGATGGTACCGTGCAAACGTTCGTGCCCTTTTTGAATGTGTTTGTTTTTCACCATCTTCTGGCTCTTAATGAGAAAATTTTATGTCGAAAAAAAGATCTTTGCAGATCTTTCCATAGAAAACCTTTCTCTAACACAGAGCTTGATAATTGAAAAAAATTTCAAAGCTTTTTTTCAAAAAAAGGAAGATTAAGGATTAAAAAGAAAAAAATTCCACCTATATTCACAATATTTCCTTGTTCAAAACAATTATGACTAAATTTTTCAAAAAAATCTTTAGATTGTGTTAAATAAAAGCAGAAGCGCAATGATTTTGAACTTCAACATGGTTTCAGAAAAAAAAAGCCAAAAGTAGCTTTTCTCGATGTTTTGAATGTTTGAAAGAAAATCGAAATTTTTTAGAGTTTTACGTTCAGTTCTCAATTCTCATTAAAAATGTTTTCCTCGGATTCTGAGAACGGCCACTTTGTTAAGAGAAAAAAGTAAGAACGGAGAAATTTGTGAGATATCTACGACAGAATCCATTATCTCCCTTCTCGAGGCCTATCAAAATGAAATACTCCCATCTTGAAAGGGCTCCGCAATAATTTGACTTTTTTCTAAGTATCGACCTTTTTTTTTTGTCAAAATCTCACACTTATAACATTTTCTGCACTTTTTCCAAGACGCCTCGCCAAATCTTGATTATGCATCCGAGGCTTTCTTATTCCAGTTCGCATACTTTTTTGGCTTCAAAAAAGGAGAAGTCGACAAATTGCAGTTCCTTGTATAGCAGTAGTACAAGAAAACGGCCTTGGAAATTCTTTCATTTTTCTCGCTCCAAAATTGGTGTTCCCTTGCAAATGTATGCACATAATAGCAGGAATTTGGTTGCGGTGGAGCATGACACCGCTGAAAATCGAAAAAAAAGAGAAAAAAAGCCCTGGAATGGGGGAATCGTAACAAATCGGATAGTGGATGTCGGAGAGACGGGAAAAGCAATCTGATTGCAATTAAACAACTCATCAAATAGTGTTGACGTCTTTTTGTGAACAAGCGGATCATAAAAATGTTTCTGAAGAAAAGAAAAAAGAGTGAAGGAAACGTGGATACTGGCTTGATACGACAGAAACTTACGAGTCAATACTGTTTACAATAAAAAAAAGCAAAAAGCAAAAATAGCATTTGTTACGGCGACAACAAAAACTTTCGAAATTCGATTATCTCGACAAAAATATCATATCGCTCAAAAAAATCTTGCCATTCTGAAAGCTGAGAATGATAAAAGAAATCGAAAACTTCAAATAAATCTGGCAGAATGGAGTTAACTCTTCATAACTGTGAATTCAAATGGTATTTGAAAATTTTTGTTACAGCAGCTACGCACTTTTTGAACTTTGGGTTAATAGGATCATGAACTGCTTCTGCAAGAAAAAAATATCTTTTAAAAATCAGCTGACGTTTTTGCCATTGGTCAAGCCATGTTCAACTTTTCGAAGTCACAGGGTTTCCTTTGAGAAAGAAGTTTGGAGCTTTCGAGTCTTTCATATTAGGAAATAGGCCTAAAAATCCGAAAATTCGTCGCCTAGCCGGGCTGAGTACAGATTCAAACAAAGGAAAAGACGCTTAACAAGAGAAATTTCAAAGCAAACACGACCTAATTTGGGTAATCAAAGTCGGAGAACACGAAAATGAGGTGTCCGAAAAGCAGGAGAAGGACGGTCCAAGTGCAAGAAGCAGCAAAACTAAGAAAAAAACGGAGGAGCGGAGGGCAGGCGGCGACGGATTGCGCAAAGGATTGGTACACGGCCGCACCTCTTCTTCTCTTACCGCGGAGGACGCCGTCCGCCCTCATCCAGCCGTTCTTTTGCCCCTTCTTTCCTTTCCGCTTCACTCATACTAATACAATTTTAAAAATGTTTTCAGCGAGCTTCCACAAAAGAAACGCCTGCGGTGTTGTGAAAAAGTGGCGCTGTGAAGAGAAAAAAGTGTCGGTTTTGCTTCAGGGTTTTTCGCGCGCGGAGAAAGGCAAGTAATGGCACATTTGAAGGGTCAAGAGAAGGCGCGAAATTTGAACGGTTTCAATCCTTAGTTTGATTATTTGATTACTTGATTATCTAATTTAAAATCATTCAAAGGCTAACAAAACCAGCTGAATTTTATTTGAAAGAAGCCTTTTTTCGACGAATGGAAGTTTATCAGCACTGTGATTTCTTGTTTTTTTGTTCTCTAGTAAAAAGACTGATTATGTTTTCAACTTCCTTCGTTTTTTTAGCAATCATTTTTATTTGCTTGAAAATGGAAAAATGTTTTGTGAGGCCCGCCCAAAAAGAAGAAAACGCAAAATTTTTTTAAACAGCATCATAACAGCTTTGTAAAAAAAATATAAGTGAAAGAGAAAAATAGTGTTCCAAAATGATTGAAACATTACATTATCGAGAAGTGAGGATTTTTTCAAACATGAAGTACTCCTTCATTTAAGAAAAATTTTTCGAACATAAAGAATGACCCTAACTTTTTCTGAATTACCAGCAGAAAAAGAGAAAAAAAAAGTTGGAAGCTATTGGAACGGGGAAGAATTGGCAACAAGACGCCGTGAAAGAATCGACCTCGAGCCGTCTGTTTCATTGGTGGCTAATGAGGACATTCACATGTTGCCAAAGTGATAGCGTAAAGATCGCAGAAATTAGCGGTTCAATGCATTAGTGAGACGAAAAAAGACTCGACTTTTAGTTGCAATATATCGATTTTGCATTTGAAAAAGACGAGAAAGTTTTTCAAAGAAAAATCTAGTATAACGAGAAACATTACATCCCTAGAAATAAAAAATAGCTAACAAATCCCAGAAAAAAAAACAGTCATAATTATAAAAAGCAATAAGATAATGAGAAAATAATGGCTTCTTCGATCTGAACTTTTCCAAAACTTTTATGAATCATGAAGAACTCCGACTTAAGTGTTGCTAATCTTACTTGAAATGTAAATGGATTAAATATCTATATTCCCTTACCAGGACACCCTGGGACCTAGATATTTAAAATACCAGCAGCTGGTTAGTGGGATGTACAACTGAAGCAAGGAGCTGAATCTGACGCAGGATAACACCAAAAACAAGCTAAGCACGGATTTTAGTATATTTGGCTGAAGTCATACTCGACGCCTGACACTTTTTAGAGACATGGCTGCGGCTCTCGCGCAAAGATGGACGCAACAAGTAGTCGCCAGGGAGGAAAAATATGAATATGAAAAATTTTTGGGCGTCGAAAATCAACGTCTTTCAAAGGTCCTACCGTCAAGTACGTCGTCACACCCAGGGGAATCGGAAAAAAGAGAGCAGAAAATGAAAGAAGAAAAAGTTAACAAGTGTTTGACACTGAACGAAATCATTTCCACCAAATAGTTCGCCCCTGTCTCGAGTACTTTTTGCGACAAAACACAAGCTGTGCAAACTGTTTTCTGCAGATTCTACGTCAGCAGACGTTTTTTGGTTCAGTTTTTTCAAAGCGCTTGTAGAGGCATTGGGTGTAGATTATCTTCTCGGAAGTTCAAAAATGAGTTTTTTTTTGTTCAAGAGTAGGCTGAGTAAAAAGCTTTCAGTTGGAATAATAAGCTAGAGGTTTAGAAAAGACAACTTTTATTTTTGTGATTATAAACAATAGCTGTTCAGTAAAATTAATCTGGAATGAATGAGCTCTAAATAATTTTTTTGATACTTTTATTTTTTTCCACCTTCAGTGTGAAAAAAAATTTATCAAAAAGTATTAGTTCTGTTTAACACTTCGTGGAACATTAGTAAATATTTTTGAGACTATTTTCTACTGACGGAATGAACCGTTTAAAAGGCTGCTACATAAAGATGAGAATAAAACGTGAAAACCGTTGATTTTTGGAAGATGTGTTCGCATTACACTTGAAACACGAGAAAAAGCGTCAAAAAACACTCGAAAACCTTTTTTTACAGCTAGACCTCACCTCAATACGAGTTGTAAACAGAGCATAAGCTGCGGCGGAAGAGTCAATCAAAGCGGAAAGTCAAATAAAAGATCCACAGAAGAATATGTTTAGTGCCATCGCAGATTCAGTTCTCATTATTTTTCTATATTTCTTGTAAAGAGAAATGCAAAGCTGAAGACAAAGACGTACGGATCAAACGAAGAGATCAAAATGTTTGCAAATAAGATATCGAGATCGGCAAATAATTGGACATTTTTTGAGGTCAAGTAGGCGGGGCGAATGAGTATTGCGCTCCTTTCATTTTTTTTAAATTTCAGATTTCACATTTAAAAGCCTGTCAACTCGTTTTCGATTTTCGTCGTGTTTTTTAGGACAAATTATTCCCGGCAATTTTTTTTGGCTCTCTTATGAAAATTCACTTGACGTACTTCTGCCTGCGAGTTGAAAAAACTAATTTTAGTAATTTTAGCGATGGAAGGTGTAAATATTTGGGTGCTCGAACGATAATAATTTGAAAAATTTTTTGTTAATTTATAAACTCCAGCTAGAGAATGATCATAAAGTTGCAAAGAAAACTTGTGGAAAATAAAGAAAAATGAACATTTCAAACTTCAAATTAAAAAAATTTCGCAGAGTGAAAATTTGGAAAAGGTTGCATCTCAATCTTATTCAACTTTTTTTCCCGTTTCAAGCCTGGAATTTCTCAAAGCGCAGTACAAAAAAATAATGCGTCAAATAGGACAATCAGAAAAACGAGAAGACGAACGAGGCTTGTGCAGAAACATGACACCTGTCTCGCAGAAAGCTTTCCAACCAAAGAGTCGACACGAGTCCTTTCGCACTCTCAACGCTTTCCCTTATTAGGAGCAGGAATTTGACGTTCCTTTTCTTTCTCCGAACGCAGGAACACATTGATTATAGAAAAAGGCATGAGATGAGAAGCATAAACACGCGATATAAACGCTGAGGGCAACGGCACAAAAAAGAACTGAGCAGCGACACGGGCTGACGACAGCTGGCCCTCAAGATCGATTGCTTTTGTGACTAATGCGATCAATGTGAGCATCTGCAAATGGCATGATTCCTGGTCCAAGAAAATATCCAGACCTGAACCGCTTTTTGCGCTGTCGGCTAGCTAAGTATGAATTATTTTAGGATGGGAATTTTCCCGGAAAGGCCATCATCTCATGAGCTCCCATTTCCTTGTACTATTCAAATAATCCCATTAATATTCACGGGAGTGCAGTCTAAGCTGTTCGCTCGAATAAATTATTTTTAGCAGCGAAAATGTGCGAGAGACTTCGTATCAAAGTTCACTGCTCAGAATTTCAAGATTCTTTTTTTTAATTCTAATGATGTTATTCATTTCAATTATCAGACAATCCTCAAAATGTTCTTTTCGAGTTCAGAACACGAACCACTTTTGATTTTTAAAGTGAAGGGAATAATTCTTGCAAAAAATAAGGTCTATTTTTTTCAAAATTTGTTCCTAAAAACACTTGGACAACGAAAAAGAGAAAAGGAATGAAATTGTGCCTTCGAAAAAAAAACAAAAAAAAAACATGGAAACAGTTGTTGTGACTTCTAAAAACTCTTGAGTTTGAAATTAGAGTAATTTGTTTTAAAGCATCCAAATTAAAAAAATCAACTTGATGAAACTTTACTAATAAGGGGAACAGGAAGAAAAAATTCTTTTCGAGGTTAAGTTGAGTGAGTTTTTAAATGATAGAAACCAGATCCATCGAATTGCAAAAAAAAGTGAAAATTATACGCAGATTTTGTATCAAAACTAAAATTTCATCACGAATGAGTTGTGATTATCGTAACAATAAAAACGAAAAAAGAAGGAAAATGTCACCCTAATAATAATAATAAAAAGTCACATATCAAGCGAGTACTTCGAGAAAATCTCAACCAATTAAAAAAAAAAAGATTAAAAGGCACACAAGGTGGTCCACAGAGACTAGGCACCAGGTAGACGCTAGCTGCCAGGTGCCAAAAAGTTTTGGCGCGCCGGAGGTCGGCCGCTGTCCATCTCTCGCGTTTTGTTCGCGGCTGCCAAAAGACGCTTGACCTCTTGTCATTTTCCGCTGCGAGGAATCGTCATTATCGATTAATCAATCAATCAATTCATCAAAGTATGAACTTGCCAGAGAGTGACAGCTTAGCACCTGAGGCTCGCGTTGAAACTTTTTCTCAAGAAAAAAATTTCTTTCGTAGTTTTCAAACGTGATATAGCTCATTCTTAGTGCCATAGGGTGTTGTGGAGCTCAGAAATTTTTATGCACAGGACTAACTTTAGAAAAGCTTTTTGCGCTGAGACTTTCGAATATTTAGCCTATTTTTTTTACCAAACATTTCGAAAAGCCGTTTTGAAGAACTCCAGTCAATCACTGACAAAAACCAGAGTAATGTTTTAAAATTTTTTAGAACGAATTCAGGGAAGAACTCTTTGCAAACAGATTTATTGCAAAAAAAAAACAACAAGCAAAAATGAATTTTGAAAAATTTTTTTTTCTCCTACCTTTCTTTTTATCCTTGCAAGTAAAACTTGATAAAAAAAAATGGAATAAAAAGAATTGAAATGAAAGGATAGTTACCAAAAAAAAAGACACTTCAAGCAAAAGAAAGAGATTGAACCCAGCCGGCCAGCGACTGAGTCATTGGCCGCCTCTGACGGCGCCGTTGCACGATATTTACGACCTAAACGTTCACACGTTTTGGCGCGTAAAATTTGAATAATACCACCAGCCCGAGCCGCAATCGCCGTTGATATTTGTCGGAAGAGACGACGCATTCGCTTTACAGTCTTATAGGTTCTTAATGGGACGTCGAGCTCCACGGCGAGCCCTCGTAAACACTTGCTTCGTGGCTTGTTCGGCTTGTACTTAGAGCTGTTATACGCTTTTGGGATAAAGGAAGGAGCGAGAAAAATTAACAAAAAAAATATGAAAATGAAAGTTTCGACCTAATTATTATATTAAGATTCAATATAGATCCGATTGTTGGAAAAAAAAAGCCCAATATCGACTAACATTTGCTCCTCCTGACATACCTTATATTGCTGTCAACTCTGTATCCGTTTTTGATTGAATATACATCTAATCGAGAAATTTAGGGTGAAATTATTGGTTCCAATTTGAAGACAAATGCATAGAGTGAAAAACAGTAGTTGACTTTTTCTTCCGCTAAAAGATATTCGGAAGAAAATTCAACCAATCTTCAATTTTCTCAAGGTAAAGGTGGGAAAACGCAAAGTTTATAATGCAAACTGATGAATTGTTTTATTAGAGCATGATTCAAGAACGTCTCAATTGTTTTTTTTTTCAATTTCGAAATCTGCCGTAAACGGGTCATTGAGACTTTTTAATGGAAAAATATTCAATTTAAGTTGATATGATAGTTAAGTTGATATTGTCAGTTAGACCAAAAAAATTAGGTGTGGTTTTAACGATATTTAAAATATGCACAAAAATTGATGTTTTATTGAGAATATGCAAAGCTTAAAATTGAGAAAGAGGGAAAAATTCGACATAATAGCTGTTTCTGCAATTTCAAACAGATGAGATCGAGTGGATCCAGGAAAACGTTACAAAACGCTAAATTATGCACGAGAAACTAAACGCTCACAATATGAGATCAGGAGTGAAAGCGGTTAGAAACATCCGGTTCTCTTCGCAGTTGGCTGTAATCCGCAGCAAAGCTACAATCTGCCGACTTTCTGTCGGCTCTCCAATCTGGCTGCCAAAACCGTTCAGTTGCCAGACTAGAATTGGTTTGCGCCAAGTACTCGTTAGTCAGCTAAAAGAGAACATTTTTTGTTGAAATTTACTTGAAAAGATGTGAAGGTTAAAAAAAACGAATTTGAATGGACAGTGAAGGCCTTTTTGTTTTATTTTTTTCTAGATTTTCACAAAAAAACAATTTTCGTTTTTTTCAGTTTCTCGGTTTGATCATTTAGACTAAAGAATTTGTCCACTTTGAGAAAAAAATCCAAAATATATCACTTTGAGAGCATGGCAGATTTTTTTATTCATGAAATATTTTTTTACTAGGAATTTTTTTGAATTTTTTTAAAGGCACATACTTCCGTTGCTCTTTGAAATTTTTTTCATAAACAAAAAGTGACAAACAGTTTTTTTATTCAAAAATAGTACATCGGCCAAAAAAACGGATGAATTTACTCAAAGTCCACTGCTTTCAGAAGCCATCAATCTGCATAAAGTGCTTAATTTGGGGCTTTTCGAACTCTCATGAATTTTATGCAAGATATAGTCGAGTGCAATGTTTGCTCATTGGCACGTCGTGTAGTTCTGGGACGCGTAGATCGAAGGTGTCTTCATGTCGAACTCCATCAGGATCAAGAAGTAGGTGATGATTGCCGAGAAAAGCTGCAATTATCTCATTTCTACGAGGGTTTTTGCAGTGGAGAAAACGGAGAAAGCGCTTAAAGTGGAGGAAATAAAACTCAAGTGACCAGAGAATCATTCGATTCTTTTGTATGGTTATTCTCCAGAGCTCAACTTTTTTCATCATACTCGATTAATTTATGTACCATGAATTTTGTTCCTTTTCAACTGTAACTTCATGGACGGTTGAAAGCCTTTCCATATACATATTTCTAATCTTTTGACCCACACTGAGGAGAATCCTGCGGTTCATGTAGAAGTAGTTGCATGCGGACAGAGTGAGCTTCGTCGAGTGGATTTGGATGGCGAAGAATGTCATTTGCGCCTTAATTGTAACTCTACTTTGTTTTGACTCATTCCAAACGAACGCACCAACACAAGAAGATCTCTTTCTTCGTAAAAAGTTTCGTGGTACATCCGGAAGGAGGCCGAAAGGAGCTTGTCTCCCTGAAATCTCGGGGGACCGTGAGAAACTTATTTTTTGCGGTTTATGATAATTGATGAGAGCTTTTTGCCCTTTGGCTAGCGATAGAAGTCACTGACTTCTTCGTGAATCATGAAAGCCGGGATGCTGAACAGAAGAAGCACGATAATTGCGTTGACGATCCAAATAGAGATAGAGAGAGTTTCAGGCCAGGAGATCTGGAAACTTTTGTGATTTGAGCCTCACAACCGCTTCTACCTCAAAAACCTGATGCGACTTGAGGAGAACATACATCAACAAACAGAAGATGGGGATACAACAACCATACGAGTAAAATAGGGCAAACGAGAAGTAATCTTCGATGACAGTTTTCCCGTTGAAGATTTTCTGATATTCGACTTGTGCATCGTGGATCTTCTTCAGCGACATCTCCGGTAGAGGGCATCTAAAATTTTACTTTCTAATCAGTTTTATAGTAGAATATTTCTCTCACTCGTCCTGGTCCTCTGGGACCATTTCCAAGATGAGTTTTTTGATATTCTTTCTCAGAATGTTGCAATGGTAACAGAAAAGAATGGCCAGAGTTGTGATGGCGCATCTCGAAACAAAGATCTGAAAGAAACCAATTAATCGATTGATGTTGCAAAAAGTTAGAACTTGGAATTTTCAGAGAAAACTTGGGAATTTTATAGAGGTATGATTTTTTTGCTGAACGAGTACTTACTGCATATGCGTCAATGAGGACGCAGAAGACTGTTTCGCTTTTGAAATTCGGGGTAGCCGCCAAAGAGATGATCCCATATTTGGACACTGAAAAATTACACATGAGAGCTGCAATTGAACTAGTGATTCTAGCAAACTTTTTCAACTATATTTTTTCTCCAATTCATTCTCAATGAAGGAAATATATCAATAATTAAAGTTTTTCAACTTTCCTCTCTGTGCAGATTTCAAATGCAAATCCCATGAAATTATTGCCAAATTTCATGTTTTCCAACTTTCTTCGTTTTATTTGCCTGCTCATCTATCCCCACCCGTTCCAACGTCACTTTTCTTCTAATTTAAGAATTGGAGTCGTCCCTTGCATCGGTGGAAAGAAACTCGATAGTTTTAGAAGCGATGGATGGAAAAACGATACGACAACAAGAATCTCACTGGCATAGACGAAGGCCATGAGGAACGCCAGGAAGGCACTGATTCCGGCGAGGAAACTGTTGAAAGCGAGATGCCGCTGCTCACTTGCCTTCGACCGCGTGCCCTTCAAGTTCTCGCAGAGGATCTAAAACAGATGTTTGTTTCTTTCGTCTTCAGCTGACGGAAAGTGGATAATGTCTTCGGATTTGAACTCAACTATGAGAGAAAGTAGAAGCATCAAAAAGGTCAAAAGTTTCCAAAGAACTTTATTTCAATCTTTTCGAAACGTTTGCATTAGTAGCCGCTGAGATGCTCAAGACGCATTGCTTTCAAAAATATTCACATATAGCCAATCCATTCATTGAGTCATCATTTGCTTTTTCTCTGGTGTACGAATACTTAAAAGTCCGGTGCATTTGAAAAGTTTGGTTTGCGGCTGCTGAAGTTTTTTCCAGCAGCCGCAAATCAGTGAACAAGAGCCGAATGTTTGAAAAAAGTCGAAAATTGGAAGAATTCCGTGGAAAAACTATCTAAACTTATTCGATGATTTTAATTGTTATTCTTTATGCGGAAAACTTTTTTTGCGCGGTACCCAGGTTAGTTGTCAACAAATGAATTAATATTTTTTGATGTCCTTACCTTTAAAGGTAAAAGATTTTTTCCTCCCAAGGTGAAGAGAAGCGATGCCGCAAGAAGTCCACTAAAAAATAACATTATTTTTTTGACTCTTTTCAGCTTCCCTCATCAAATTTTTTTTAAAATACTCTTTGATTTTCCAGTAATTAATTATTCAAAGTAGATAGATGGCTGCGTGCAATGGTTCAGGTCCTACATAATAAATTCATCTTTGCACGTTTTATGTAGAGTTTTTTGCAGGCCTGCATTGCATTTACTTCCTTCTTTTAACTTTTTCGAGCAGTCGTTTTTTGGTCTGATTCCAAACAAGGCCAAAACCTGGCCATGACAAGGGCATTGCACAGAGTGAGAAGCGATCGAGGATCTACAATGACGGAATCAAGAGGCAGACGGGATCCATCCGGACACATGCCGATTTGGGAGAACTTTCGCGCCGTCGTGAAACACTGAACCATTTTGCGATTGGCAATTTGCATAACGAAATGGAAACGTTACCAGGGCGCCAAACACGATCCAACTGTACATTCGAAATGGGATCGTGTATTTTGGCAGGAGGGAATGGTTGATTCCGAGGAGAAGCAGCAGGTAGTAGATTGGGTAGAGCGTCTTGTCGCACAGCTTCAGCTTGTTGTTCTTCGACAAGATCCATGTCACAAGGCTCCTCTTCTGCTTGATTTCTGAGAATTTAAAGTTATAATCAAATAATTGATAAATCAATTCTTTCTTCTCATGGCTGGAGACCTTTTCAAAGTTACTCCATTATTTTAGGGGAATTGACATTTTAAAGCTGGATGGCTTTTTATCCACTGATGTGATAATCCATTCGGAACTGTGAAAATTTTTGGTTCAGAAACGCAAATTTTTTTAGGTTTTCAAAGATCTAAAAAAGTTATTCTGTAACCTTTCATCCGAAAAAAATATGCAGCAGCAAGGCCTGGACAAACGACTAAATTTCATATCAAAATAACCATTTCTATAAATTCCATCCCGTTTTTTAATTGATTTACGAAAGCGTCCTTCAAATTTTACTCAAAATGCTATGAAGCCCGATAAGTAGTCCAAAGTATCTACCGTAGGTATGTTGTGGACATCTCCTTACAGTAGTCTTCCAGTCGAGCAGCTCTCATAACATCAAAATATTTTTGCAGCCGGCTTTTTTTCCTACGGGAGAAGATACTTTCTGTCTACTGAAGCGTGCCGGACTCGTGCGTCAGAAAAATTAGCCATTCGTTCATATAAAAAACTGAAAGCTCAACCGAGCAGGTGGAAATTAGCGAGAAATTTTTCATTTTATTCTCTATCATCGTGATGCCTAAAAGTACAAGGTGCAGAAAACAAAGTAGGAACTCACTTGCAGAGGCCATGGCTACGGTGATCATTTGAAGATTCAGAAGGAATGACAGAAACGTTTCGTGGAGATTAAAGGAACTCCCACCTCCACTTGGAAAAAATATTTCGACACAATGTGGTACAGAAAAATTCTTTGTTGAGGTCGCCATTAACTCCACTTATCTACGACTTCACGTACTTAGATGACATTTTCTACAAAATCGTCTGCAAGTATGCAAAGTCATCACAAAATATTGTGGACTATTAGCGTTTTCTCGGTTTGTGTTTTGTACGATTTTCTAGAAGATTGCGTTTAAACAAAAAAGTTTTTTTTTCAATTACTTAACGTCAAAGTTGGTAAGGCCATATTTAACTGCAAATATTACTCATAACTCTCTTTTCAGTTTTCTCATTGAAATTTTTTTGTTTCAATTAACTAGTAGGTTATTTCCAAACTTCCTTTCAACACATAAGGGTCTAAACTAGAACCCGCGAAATCAGATAATTCAATTTTTTTGTGTTTTCTCAAAAAATCACAAGTTCATTTACCGTAGGTTTTTTTCAAGATAAACAATGTTTTACCTAAACACTCGAACTCAATTCAAGAGTTTTCAGCGTGAAAAAGGGCATTTTTCTAAAAATTGCTCTTAATATAGTGAGACATCAGGGAATTATTCAATACATAAAAAACGTCTAAATGGCTCATTTCTCTTCTTGATTTTTCGATCAAATTTTTCCAAAATAAAAATGCATTGTCCTCCCCTTGTCACTGTTTACTTTCCATTATTTTTCAGGTTCGGCATAGAATGAAAGCTCAGAACAAAAAGAAAAAAGTTCATGTTCCGCACTCACTTGGACCCACTCAGTAAAATCGTGTTGACCTAGAATCTCACAATACTGTTTCGATGACTGAAGGAATACCTTAGTTAAAAAATGTCGCAGAACAGCAGTGAACGAGCTATACCCCAAGAGAAGCTTATTGTTTCTACGCAGAGGCTTACGAGGAAACAATGACCGCTCATTAATTAATGCAGCGAAAACCCCAAGAACTCACCGTTCCTCATGTCGGTCGGCTTGACGACAGGTAAAAGTTTCTCGAGAATGCGGCTTGCCGGCATCTAATGAAGGCGTGATTAACGCTTCGAGGCGTGTTTACTCCCGCTTCAACGCTCATTTTTTTTTCTGTTCCACCAGCTCTTTGCTCCTCCTTTTTTGTGATGACGTCCTAAGACCGCCTAGAATCCAATTAATTTGAACCCTTTATCACGGTAGCTGAGCAGAAAGTTTAAATAACAAAGAACAAAGTTATATTTCGTCCTTCAGGCGATCGACGATTGTTACCGTATCGTTTTCAAATGTTTTCAGAGGCTGCCAGGATGTTCTGCAATTGAAAAAATAAACAACGGTTTCAAAAAATAGCTCTACTCACGGAAAGAAATCCTTGTAAGTGGCTCGAGGCCTATCAGGTCTGTAGTAGTTGTTGTAGAAAACATTTGACTGATTTTTGGAAAACCAGGCTAACCACCATCCAAATGTTGAAGTTGAAGACGTAGTTAAAAATATATTACAGCTCTTAGAACTCAAATATAAATCTCCACCTTCTGAACTCGTAGAAATGAAGAAGTTCTGTAAAACACACAAGTTTTTTACCTCTGAAATTTTTTTATTACCTTTTCTAACCCGTGATGTGAAACTTTATTTTTATAGATTGACTTCATGAACTTGAATGAGTCTCCGAACATTATTATATTATCTGGCTTCTGAAATGAAAAAATCGAGAGAATGTGAAGGGTGAACTGACAAATTTGTTGTTCAAAAATTTGAGAGCCCTGGTGGCAAAAGTTGCATTCGTAGCGATGGCTCCTTTCTTGTACTTGCCTTCCGTGAAATCTCCTCTGCGGGTGTGAACACAGAGGTTGTTACCCTTAGCTTTGCTGTAAATGCTGATGAGTTTTTTAAAAATGAAAAGAACGAGTGGGATGACAGTGTAAAACACAAACATCCAAAATCCTTTTCCTGCGTGGCTCGGGTCTTCCGACAGTTTCCTTAGGTACATTTTGAAAGTCCGATGAATGGTCTTCATAGTTCTAATATGCTCAAACTCAAAAAAAAAACAAATCTTTAGGTTACATCTCCTTCGTCAGAGGGTTTGATTCAGTGTGAGTGGCGTTTTTTTGCAATTTAATTTCTTCTTAAAAAAAGATTACACATGTCATTAATACGGAAGACCTTTATTGATAGCTACAAAGCTACACAACTCTCCTGGAGATTCTGTAGTCAAAGGAACTTTCTTGTAAAAGCTGTTATATAAAACTACAAGTGGAAGATCTTTCTGGAAAGTTATTGTCTCGAATAAGGATTACTACGATACTAAAACAAATAGAAAAAAACCCACATTCCCCAATCTTTGATAACGCCATTTCCTTCTTTCACGACTTTTGGTGAAAATTCCAGAATTTTTTTGATTTCTTCCAAATAAGGTAGGAAGTATTTGTACGACTGTGTCCATCTTGAAAGCAAGTAAAGTTTTGTAGCTGTATGATTTTTGAGCCTGAATATGTTTTTTTTTTCAAAACGTTCTTCTTTTTCAGTTCTCACGGCATCGGGTCTTCGTATGTGCAACAGGAAGAAATTCCACGAGAATCCAAGGCAAATTTGCGTTTTTTTTCTCCTTCGCCATCCTAAACAAATTCAATTCACCGAAAATTGTTCTTCGTGTTCGTATCACCATAATTGTGAAGGTTTCCTCCATTTTGGGGAAAATATCCGTCACTTGCTTCGAAACTCTCAAAGCACGTGCCATGTTCTCGCTGTGCACGAAATGCTTCCTTCCAAGCGTCTTCCCGATCGAAAAGCCATTAATGAGGTAAAACAGCTGCAACCTTTAGTTTGCAAAAAATGTCTGTTTAATTAAAAGCCGGAAATTACCTGATTTCCGACCCTTCCTCTGGGCGTAATCAAAGCCACCCATTTTTCTTCATCTTCTCCGGTTACGGTCATCTGAAAAGGATTTGGGGAATCGAAGGCAATAAAGTATTTTAATTAGTTTTCCTTCATGGTAGTGACAGAATTCCTAAATACTATTCTTGAGATACTTTGGTCATTATAAAATAATGGGAAAAGGGAATTTCAACTCACTTCAACTTTTGGAGACTTTCTTTTGACTGGATCGGGACGTTTTTCTGGTTTCTTGGGAGTATCCACCGACTTCTCGACTTTATTACTTTGTTTAATCGTCGTTTCCATGTGCTCATTGTCTAAGAGCACTATTAGAAATACTAACGAGACTAGCGATACAACTGAAAAAAGATGAAATAACTTATTCAAAACCAAAATAAAGTCACCTAAGAGCCCAGAACGCAGACTTTGGGACATTAGAAAAGATTTAAGCGAATGAAAAGGCTCCTACATGATTTCAGGGAAGTACGTGGCAAGAGGAATGTCAGCAGATAGACGAGAACCAGTTTCACACCTCGGCAGCTGAGCAATCTTTTGATTTTTTGTCAAACGAGTACCATTGAAATAGCCAGAAAAAATTCTAGAAAATTATTTATTGCGTCGTTTCTGACAATGATACGATATTTCAAAAAAAAGTTTTTTTTTTCGAAAGATCACAAATTTATTTCCGTTTGAATACCATTCAATTCTTTCCGTTTTGCCAGAATGAGTGGTTTGTGAATAAGAGTAAGCGGCTTTTTTTTCATTTCTGGACAATTGGATGCAATAAAACTTTTTTTATGTCACAATGACCAATTGGTTGCTTTTTATTATATTTTTTTCTTCATCAACGATCAAGAAACAAGTTCATCAAAGCTTTATCTGCTATTTACCTTTGCAAAAAAAGTTTCTGATGAAAAATAGATAATATGAGAAAAATTTTTTTGTTTAAAGAAGTTTGAAAAAAATAACAATGAAAAATCGGTTTGCCAGCCCCAGGAACAAAATAAAAAACAGAAAAGATAGTCACAAATGAGTTCGAGTTTGGTACAGAGCCGGTTGAGATAAACGACGCGTTTCAACATCGAGAGGCGCGATCATACTTTCAGAAGATTCCGAGTTAAAATCTGAAAACTACACCGATTTCTTAAATGCTTTGTCTTTCGTTTGGCATACCTTGACGTTCTGGGTCTCGAAGGCTGTTGAGTTCATAAACTCTTTCTAAAATTTCATCAGAAGACAGTGTTTTCAGCTGCTCTTCTTTTTTGGGCTCCTGAACGGCGGTAGCCATTTGAGCGTCTCCTCTTTCCATAGTTGATGAAGAGAGAGATGATGGGGATGATCTGCTGAATCATCGGAAGACTGGAAAACGGAGAAAAAGTATGCATACAATATTTTAGGAGAAGCATCCCGTGATCTGCTGGAAACGCTAAGAGCCGAAAGAAGGTTCACAAGTTCTTGCATTTTAAGGGCAACTCCAGCTTGCTGATTCTGTAGAAGGTCCAGCTAAAAAAAAGTTTTGATTTGAAGACACAAAGTTCAGATGTTCAATGTAAGTTTTCGAAATGAATGAATGAAAAAAAAATAGGGAATAGACGAATGGCAAACCTTCTGTTCCATGCTGAACCACTTTTGTTCTCCCAACTTACGCGTGTTGATAATTTTTTCTTCGAGGTCACATCGAGTATCGTTCACCACACACTGAACACCAATCGAAAATGATAATAACTACTCATTTGAACCAAAATCTCGTCGATGCTGTCGGCTGAAAGAGAATTGATCCCATCAACTTTTGACTGCAACTTTTTGATGATCGCCGACAAGTCGTCCATCTTGAAAGTTTCGATCATTATCGTCAGTGCTCAAATTTCTCACTTTTTGGTTGATATCAGGATTTTGAACTTCATTTTCCAGTTCTTGATCAGGTTTTTTCACTTCTTGGCAGGTTCCCTGAAAACTCAAGGTGAAACCTGATGAGAACCAGAATTCTCACTACTCCAGGTTTTTGTTGTTCGAGTTTTGCCAGCCGATCGCTTATTTCGTCAATTTTTTTTGTTTGATCATTCCATTCCTGCAAAACTCCGGCGTTTTGTAAAGGGAAAGTTTCCTGACAAAATGAGGAAAACGAATCGACACACATCCATCGAACAAATATTGCCTTACTGGTTTCTTTTCAGCAGCCGCATTCGCCAACTTTCGGACGAAATAAGTCAGTTCATCAGTCTTTCGCCAGAGCCTCTTCACATCTTCCTAGAATTAGCTTGAAAATATACAGAGAAATTGACTAAACCAAAGAAGTGGGGTTGCATTTGAAGACAATATAATTGCCTCCAGATGTTTGCGAGTCCCGATACAGCGGCTTATGCTTTGCAAAATCTTCGTCAAAACGGCTGTTCACCTCAACAGATAATAGTCGGTTAAGATCCCGTTCACAACTGCATTTTTTGATAATTATTGAGTTTCTCAACAGGATTGGCAAAAAACCCGCAAAAAGAATAAATTAAATTGTCATTATCCCATTCTGAGCCAACAAAAAAGTTGATTTACTAAAACAGCGAAGTAATTCACATGGTCGACATAAGTCCGCCGGTAGACGATTTCTTTGCGACGAACGGGTAGTTGACGTTGCATCTCGGTGGTTCGTAGGCGAAGAATGCCTTGACGCTCATATTATTGTTTCGCGGTTTGTCACCGAACAATACAAAAACAAAATGCTTTATTGAAGGAATATGCGAAATGTTTAAGGAGTGGGTATACATATGTATGAACAAGCGTGAGCTACACATTGTAAAGCGTTTTGATTATTTGGCTTTTTTGTATTTTTTTTTGTTTGGGGAATTGGACGAGCGAATTGCAAGAAAAGCTATACATATGGTGAATGGCTCCAAATTGAGATATTCTTAATGTTGTGTGTAGAAAAGGAAAATTGATAGAGCTTGGATATAAAAGATTAGTAAGTTTTGCGAAGGATTTTGATGGAGCGATATTCCGAAGAAGACGTTGGCGAGTGTTGCGGTTGGTTGCGCAGAATTCCGGTGGTCGTAGAAGCTGGAGAATCAACACGGTATCCTGAAATCAGTAAAGTTAAATCTGAAATCCTTTTCTCCGGATAGATGAAACAATTGGAGTAATCCGGATCGTTGTCTGCAATGTTGCAGGATCCAACTGACTAGTATTTTCAAGTCGAAGAAAAACTTTGAAACCAAGCTTTTTCAGCGGCTCTCATATTTCTAACTTCTATATAGCTATTTTGGAGAAAGTACCATTGCGGCTTTCAGATCGTTGAGTATGAGCCCGAGAGCTCGCACGATCTTCTTGCTCAAAGTTGGCGTTTCCATTGCGTTGATTGAATCCTAAAATTGGAAGATTAGACTAACTTTAAAAAAGTCCCTTTCAATGAGTTAGTTAATGATAGGGAAACAAGTTAGAACCGGAGTAATCTTTGTGAAGGCTATTGGGATAAGAAACGAAAGTTTGGCTGTGATTTGAGACCTTGTTCAAAAGTATTTCGGATTGTATCGAAAGCTTTACGTCCGGGAGATCGTTGCTCGCGGGGCTCTTCTAAAACTCGACTGGCTAATATAGTTAAGAGCTAATAGATAGAAACTTCACACAGAAGTTAAAGATATTTTTTTAACTAGAGATCTGAATAAAAAAATCAACAAAACTGCAGAACTTTTTTTATTCCTGAATTTCTGATTTTCGAAGACAATTACCGTTTGTCCCGTTGGTATGAGAAGTTTCGATGCGACGAGCGCTCGGACTGAAGGAGCGCTGTTCGTTGCGCATGGTAACGTCGTGCGGAGAGTTACGGCTACGAGAATCGCTGCGGTGGTAGCTGAAATAAATTCAGAATGTCTAAATAAACTTTTTTCTAAGAAAAAAACTTTTTTTTGTATCAATTTCTAACTAAAAATTTATTTTCTTCAGAGTGGTTTGCTCACCAGGGAGCGTTTTTACCCCGGTTGAACTTTTTGCTGAAACTTTGCTGAAGTGTACTTTTAGGACCCCCTGATTGCAGATCAAGAAGAAAATTTCTCGCAATAGATCTTGTTTCCGAGTTATGAAGCTTCAAAGTGTGCAAAATACGCAAATTAGGCCAAAAAAGCGCTATTTCGGGCTTTTGAAGCATCCTAACTCGAAAACGAGATCTATTGCGAGAAATTTTCTTCCTGTTCTGGAATCAGGGGGTCCTAAATTACACTTTGGCAAAGTTTCAGCAAAAGTTCAACCGGGGGGTAAAAAACGCTCCCTGGTCAGAGTTTTTTTGCCGGCTCAAGCAGCAAGCAGTAATTTCAAAGTTGGAAAATTGAAAAGTTTGGATTGAAAATATCAAAAAAAAAAATACCAAAAACGCACAAAAGTTCTTTCTTTCAGAGCTTCTTTTTTTTCCAGCCATTTTACCTGTAGGAATGGGAAGAGTAGACATCGCGAGACTGAGGACTGTCACGAAGACTTTCCGCACGAGAGTCTCGTCCACTACGGCTCGAAGCACTGCGATCCTGTCCAGTGTGGACATGGATCGGAGAGCTGGTGTTTCTTTGGTAGGTACCTGCAAATCAGTCATTTTATCAGCTGTTGTCTTCAACAGATACCATTGTCATTAAATCTAGGCGAGTTGCGACCAGCTCCTTCAATTGGAATCATACGCTCGCGGCCTGACAGAGCGTTGTTGAGCTTGGCAGCCTCGACAGCGAGTCTCCCCTAAAGTTATTTCTGATAGGAAACATCGGAATTGTTAGAAAGAACCTTCGAGTCAATGCTGCTTTGAATGGAGGCGGGATCAACATCACGTGGAAGTTGGTACTTGCGAACGAAGTACATTTTGGTGAAGTTGTCCCTGTCACGGATGTCTTCGTGGCGTCCTTCAATCAGCAAAGTGTCGTCCAAGGTTTTCACCTGCAATTATTTGAAAATCTAAAAAAAGCTTTTTTTTCTATATAGTCTTACTTTTTATTCTTTTTATTTCTGTTTTTGAAATTTTCTGTACCTCTTTACGTATTTTTTGCCGCTTCTCGGGTCTCTTCAGATTCTAGCGTCAGCTTCTCCGCATTCTTTAACTTCACAAATATATAAACAGAATCAAAGCTGAGAATTCAATTTCCAGCGTTATCGTTTTTTTTTTTCTTAATAATAAAAAGCTACTCCTGATACTGGAAGTTTTTATCCTATTTTTCCAAAGTTACAGGCCGGTTGAGATCCTGGTATTACCTGGATTTCTTCGGGTTTGAACTGGTAGCAGTCGACATCGACAGCAAAACGGCGTTCGTCGTTCACCACGTGCGAGTTGACGTCGATACCATCTTTGAAAATGGGCTCAGCCCAGCGCGGATAAATGTCCATCCAGAAAGGGTCATTTCTCCAGTTGCGGTCAAGACGATCCAAATTTGTCGAAAACTTGAAATCATCAATAATTCTCACTATTTTTCGAATTTTCTCCTACCCTAGGCATGATGGCGTCCATCCTAGGCCAGTCGCTCGGCCAATCTTTCCACAAGCTGTCCGAATTTCCTCGGAACTGAAATTTTTTAAATTTTTTTTTACTTTTTTTGAATCTTCTTTTTTTGTGATGCATCGGAATGCAATTTCAATTTTGCACAAAACAGCAAATACCATTTGCTGACTCAAAAATCGAAATTCATGCAGAAATTCAGTAGTGCGTCATCGGAAGAGAAAGCCAGAGCGGGGGTCGTGTCTATTGAAAAGGGGGGGGGTGAAAGAAAAGGTGTTTATGATTTGAAACCGGAAAAAAGACAAAGTGAAAAATGGTAGATAGAAAAATTCAGCACGAAAGTTCGAAAATTTTTAAATTTTTTTCATAGAACATCGATATGAGTTCTTCAGCCGAATTTAAATGGGCGTTTAGGTTTGAGGCACTAAATAAAAACTTTTTGAAAACATCATAAATCATACAATTTTGAATCGGAAAAAGGTGTGACGCAAAATCATAAAATAATCTTTAAAAATTTTTTTGTCAGACATCAGTGAGAATTTTCTGAACAATTCAAGATTTTCAAGCAGATTCAAATTCTTTTCAGTGTTTTTTCGTCTCAACTTCATTCTATTTTGAGCTTCGATAAGTGTTTATACTTCTAATAGTCTAGCCAAAAGTTGTACTAACCGTTTGAAGAGAGCAAGGGTTGCATGAAACCTAGTTGAGGAGAGGTCCTGTTTATGAATAGTTCCGGAAAATAGATCGAAGATTTTTTCAATCATGGGAAGTTTTAGGTGAGCTTTTTGCTTTAACTTGGCCTTCTTGACAATAAAAAGTGATTTTTTAATTCAAAATTCGTATCCAACCTCTGGAGAGAAAAACTAAGATGAAGCCGACAGATGTTCAAAGAGAACTGGCTGTATAATAAATTGAATGAGAAGGTGCAGAAGTGGGAACGCAGTCTACAAGTGAGCGCTAGCGTGAGCGTGGAAGACCGGATCGAGGCAAAAAGAGAGTGAATTCGGCGCACAGGTCCAAAACGCGCCAGCTCCGTGAACCGCCGTTTTGGGTCGCGGCCTTTATTATTCGGCTGACCACTTTGCTCGTCAAAAACTTTTCAATTCATACTCTCAATTTGTATTTGATTTTATAGGGTTTCCAATAAAAATATCAAGTTACGAAGATTACCTCAAAATGGGAAGATCATTTTAGTATCATTCCAAAAAAAAACCGGATGTTGGGAAGTTTTACGAAATTCCAATAGGACCTTTATAGTTATCACTAAATATTCATTTTTTTGAGAGAAAGTTCAAAGAAACGAAAAAAATTTTTTTAACTATCATAAAAAAATTTTATAGAAAAAAATTACAAACATCGAAATCCCTTGTACGATGAAATATTGCTATGAGAAAAAAACTTTTTGAAATCTTCGTCTCCTGAGTAAAATAAAATAATCATATTATTATATAATAGTAGTTTTTCTTAAATTTTTCTCTCAAACTCCCAATATTCTCTTCAATACTAAGATTCATTCGAAAAACTCACCCGGTGGAAAAGATCGCGTGGTCGAGGCCAATCGACAGGCCAATCCCTCCAGTCTTCGAGCCAGTCGTCGTCGCGCCAGAAGGCGTCGCGTCTCGTGAGTTCGTCACGTCGCGCAGCAAGAGTCATTATCTGTCTATTTACAAAATCATGAAAAGAAAAGATGACCCAGAAAATGTCCTGAAAACGACCCAACCGACAGAGAGAACGAGGAAAAAGCAAATGTTGAAAAACAGAAGGAGGCGGCACGGTCGCCCGATTTTCGACCTCAACTTTGGCAAGTTGTGCCAGCGACACTCGCAAAATTGGTAATGTTGACTTTTACCTTGGCGCCTTCTTTTGTAAACACAGGGAAATATTTCAGAAAACGCCCTAAAAAGTGGGCAAAAAAAGGTTTTTGCGAGGAAAATGGCTGGAGTCGCGCCGTTTCCGTCACGATGTTTGAACTGCGTCGATTCTGTGAACGGTTTTTAGGGCAACAAAAAAGTTGCGGTTGACGTTGGCTATATTTGGAAGTTACTCGAGTGCAAAGAGAAGCGAATTAAAATTTTCAAACAGGCCCAAAGGGTCAGAAAGTTCAAGAAAATAAAAATGTTTCTGCAGACAATTTTATTTTTAATTTGAACATACTGACATTCTTATATTCAAGTAATCAATTTTGTTTTCTCATGAAGATGAAATTCACTGGATTTTTTTGAAAATTCCGACTGTGAAGAAAAATAAGTTTACTTAATGCCGTTATTTTTTTTAATATTCTTCTGATAAAGTCTTTGATAACATTCTGTTAAAGCTAATATTAAGCTCTGAATATTATTTTTTTAAACCTTGTTTTTTTAATCAAAAAAAGTTCAAAAGTCAATTTTTTTCTACTTTTTAAAAAAATTCAATTTCAACGATCTGAGCTGAACGGAAATACCACAATAGGAACCAAACGAATATTTTTGAATGGTTGGAAAATAGAAAGAACGCTTTCTGTGGAGCTCTGGAAGCGACTTTAAATACCTGGCGGAAGGGCGTTGGCCGACGACGTGACTCACGGTCGCTCAATTACAACCAACGCCTTTTCCGATTTTTTCTCTCCGTCTGTTTTGAAATCAATCGAAAATGGACCATTTTTTTGAATGGTGTCCTCCTCCTGTTTAGCGCTGACAAACAAAATGACGAGCCTTTTTCATTTTGAATTTCTGATCTTCTCGAAAATTCTTTGGGTTCTGGAAGGAATTGGGAAAAGTGCTCACGGCCCATTGACCGTTAGGAACGAATGAAAATGGCGATTCCAAACTTTTTCTAGTTTCAATTCATTTCAACCTTGCCGGTTCCAAAAAGGTTGAAAAAAGCAGTTAATCGAATCATCGTTTTTAGAATCTTCCACAGCCAAAAAAAGCAAAATTGCTAATAAAAAATTAGGTTTTTTGAGTTGAAAAATAGTTCCTTGTTCATTGAAATTAACATATTTTTTTTACAAATTGCAAACTTTTGGCAGCATTTTCAAAGTTTCAGACTTTCTTAAGAGCCGCATCGCATTTCTGCACAGTGGGCTATTCCTTTTTGCAGCCATCGCTTCTTCTGTAGTAAATATTTTTTTTGCTCTCGGATTGGATTGACTGATTGTTTAGGCTTGTGAAACTTTGATCGGATACTTAGAATGAAATTATTTCATTTTAAACGCTATGAAATAAAAACTTCCTCTCAGCTTTCTTTTTTTTGGTTTCTCAGAATTTCCGCTCTTTTCTGAACTTTCAGTCCTTGAAAACTTCCAAAATGGGCCTTTCTGAGTAAGCAACTCGTTCCCTAATCCGGTATGAGTGGCTGCTCTTATGCGCCTTAAACTAACAATTTCAAAGGTTGCGCGGCAAACTTTCCGCCCAGGCTTCATGACTGCGATGAAGTTCATACAACTTGAAAAGCAAAGAATATTCATTCAAAAAAATTCAAAAAAATAAAATTTTTTTAATTTTGAAGAGCTGAAAAAAAGAGGGATGCTGGGTGTCTCTTTCGCTGACGATCAGGTCTTTCGGATCTTTCAGTGGCCAATCGACATTTATGTCTTTGTCGAACGGATCAACTCCTGAAAATTAAAATTTTTTAAAAGAATTGCAATTTCACTTTTTTTCTATTACCCTCGGTTTCCTCGTAATTTTTTTGTGTAATGGTTAAAAAATTGATTCACACATTGCTCAACTTCCTAATCTGAAGTTCGACAATTCAGTCTTTCCAACGCATAAATTCTCATCCAAAAAACGTGCCTAATTCCATTGAAAAGAATTAAAATTAACATAAAACGGAACACGTACCAAATTCAGTTTTTGGATCGTACACTGCGCTGCATTTGTAAGTCACATGTGCTCCTTCTTTGCTCAAAACCTGAAAAACTGATAAATCAATGAATGTGAGTTTTCATCCACTTGGAATCCATGCAAAAATCCAGCTGGGATCCAAAAAGCATTCTTGTTTGTTCCATTCAAAACAACGCCGTGCCATTTTCCATACGTCGGGCTGCCTTTTCTGATGTCAACAGCAACATCGAAAATCTCCCCGGTGACCTTATAATGCAAAAATTTCAAGGGTTAGAAGTTATTAGGAAACCTACCACTGAAACAAGTTTGCCCATGTGGGGTTGAGAGTGCAAGCCTCGCAGAACGCCATACTTGGAGAAAGAATGATTATCCTGTGAGAAAAATTATCATTTTAAGACGAAGATGATTTTCAAAATTGAAAGAGATTTATTGACTATTTGAATAAAAAAGGGAGCACTCAAATGACTATTTTTTTGTTAAAAAAATAATGAAAAATTTTTTTACAATAGCAAATCAATGAGGAAAAATTTATTGGTGTCCCTGAAAAACGCAATTTATTCTTATTGCATTGAGTAACTTTCGTTATATATAACATTCTATCGATTAATTCTGTTTTTTTAATATCCTAGAAAAATAAATATTCAAAAAAAGACAAACCTGCAAGAATTTCTCGTTGAACCCACATTTTTCTGACCATTCCGAATAGTTGTAAGTTTCTGAGAAGAATCCACGATCATCAGGGAAAACCTGAATGTTTTTTTCTTAAAATATAACATCAAAATTCTAACCTTTTTGCGCCATTTAATCGGCTCTTATGTATTATTTTTCCTGACTCTCTCTTTTTTTACCATTTCTTGGATTATCAAAGTTTCAGAATAACTCGATAAATACAATTCCTTGTAGAAATAGACATATTTTTTTGAATGAATAACGCTGTGAGAATAGTTTGAAATAGAACTCACCTTCGGCTTGAAGACTTTGAGATCCTGGATTTCAGGAACTTCTACACATTCTAGTTGAAATCGTTTCTCGACAGTCGACTGCATGGCGGACGATTGTTTTTGAGTATTTTCTGCAGAATGACTAGTGACCCGACATCTCCAGACCTACTTTCTGACTTTCCCTTTCATCTCCGCCATATCTCTCATCTCCGCAGGACCGCAGCCATTTTCATTCGGATTAGTACAAATGATTGTTTATGCAGACGCGAATTTTTGCGCTTTTCATGCTAAGCTGAATGAGTTCGGTGAGCGACTATTACAGTCCTTGAGAGGGAATCTACAAATTTAATTCTGCATAAAAAAATGTGCAGAGCATCAAAGAGCTTTTTCAATGACAGTTGAGTTTGTGCTTTCAGTTTTTTTGACGTTTTATGCCATTTTATGTTTTTTCTTATTTCAATTTGAACTAAATTTCCTGATTATTGAAATGTATTCAATAATCAGGAGATTTAAAGACTCCACACTATAAAAAAACTATCAGATTATATTGGAGCTTTTTAGTTAACATTTTTGAAAACCCTCCGTATTTCACCTAACGAGCAATAACTTGTACAAGCTATAATAAAAAAAGAAAAACAAAAAAAGTAACATTCTAAAAAAATTCTTTTCCTCTTCCGGATTATGAAAATGATTCCAAGATCTTTTTGAACTTCGAGAACCATCAAATTCGAAGAGTTGACAGCGATTTTCCGATGAACAACCATACTTTGCGAAAAAAAACAAATAAAAAAAATTTTGGTTGAAAATCGAAAGACTAATTGTCAAAAATCCGCCAAAAAGAACTTTTTCTGCTTAATTTATTTATGCCTGCTTCAAGCACTTGAAAATTTCATTCTCCGTTTTTCTTTTTTTCTTTTTTTAATAATAAAAAGACTATCGTTTATTTTCATTAAGTGAAAAAAATGGCGAAGAAAAATCATCAAAAAAACTGTTATTTGACAATGAAGACGTATAGATACCAGTAAAAAGTCTGACATTTTGATAATAAAGGCACATTCGAAAATGTTGATCTGGGCAAAAAAAGGCACTGGAACTCAGGATGAGAAAAAATTTACATCATTTAGCATATCTTTTCGAAAAAATGAAACTTTGAAAATCCTAAATAATAAGAGGGTAACAAATAAAATTTTTGAAAAAATATACTATCAAAATCTAATCAAAGGCTGACAACTCGTAAGACAGAAGATCTTCATAAAACAAAGAGATCGTGATCAAATGGCCTTAGGGACATGAACGGGATGAGAAAAAGAGGAAATCTCAACGACTCTCGCCTTCAGTCAACGGCTCGACGTAGCTCAGGGGGAAGAAGCCGACCTTAAACAGAAACTTCAGAAAACCGAACATTTGGTATAAGATTTGGGAAAAAGCTGAGATCATTTCAAACCATTTTGCGATCGAATAATCTGTTCTAAAGGTCTTTTTGACCAAATTCAATATGAATTTCTTTTAAAAGAACAAAAAAATGAAGATTTCTTTATTTTCAATGAAGTTACGAACTTTCGAACTCCGTAAAGTGGAGGCCTCAAATATTTCTTATGAAATTTGTTTTTTTCTTCCTTCATTTCGTAAATAAAAAAACCAAATTTCAAGAGTCATTTTTGAATTTCTCTTCAACTTTTTATAAGAGCTGAGTTTTTCTTTATAAGAAAAAAATCAAAAACTTGTGAAAGCTCCAACTCGGATCCTGATTCCTAGAAAGCAAAATGTTGATATTTTTCCAGCTTCATATACTCAAAGATTAACATATCAACCTTATTGTTGATCATCCCCTTCCACCATCCGCGGTCCTCTCCAATTGTGTCGACCAACGTCACGACGTCGCCCTTCCTCAGAGAAAGAAATTTTGGGTCTTCAGGGGCGTCGTAGTCGTGGATCACTCGGTACAGCTAGAAAAATACGGATTCTTATTAATTGTGCGTTCGCAAGCAAATTTTTATTTAAAATAAAAGTGATTTGTAGCAAAACAGAAACTTTTAAGTTATTATTTTTTGGCTACAGAGTGGTTAATAAATAAAATAAGAAAGGTTTTGAAAAAAGAAAAAAAAATGTTCAGAGTGCCAATAGAGTTTTTAGTCCTAAATGGGAAGTAAAAGCTTGAAGATTGTTTTTAGAGACAATATTGAATCGACAAAAACTTTACTGGAGCTTTCTAATTTTGATCTTGGTCTTAAATCATAAACTGATAGAATTGTTCTTGAAGTTATTATTATTCCAAAAAAAAATTAGTTTATTTTTTCAAGAAACGTACAGAATAAAAAATTTACCTTGCATTCGCGGTAAGCGCTTTTCAGAGTAGTGTTGAGCGTGTTGAAAATCTCGATCAAGTTGTGTTCACGGTAGTACGTGACAAGTTCCTAAAGTTCTAATTAATCAAATATTTCTCAGAAGGCTCACCACAACACTGTTGAAAATATATCCCTCATCGAGATAATACTGTTGGTCGCGGTTCTGCTCAATCACCATGTGCTTGACTTCTCCGTCATAACTGCAAAAATATGAAATAAGGAAGAAAACTTGATGAGAAAAATAAAAACAGAAACATTTTATTTGTGGTTGGAAGCTGGAAGAAGCTTTCCATAGTTGTCGAACTATTATACAAAAACTTTGAAATTTTGAAACTTCACCACGCTTTGATAAACTGTCTCCGAAGAATGTAAAAATTTGATTTTGTATATTATCTTCACATAATATAGCAAATTTGTTGAAGATTTTCAAGAAGTTTAACATTCAAGAATCAATTTCGAGAGTGGCTTGAAATAAATCAGTTTTGTTTTTGAAGTTTTGAACTCATTCAAAAGGTTTTGAGAGCCTTCAACTCTCATCTAAGATTATGTTCTCAAGGTCCGCCTACAAGACACAATGAACAAAGGCTTAATTACGTTAAGATAATTTGTAGAACCAAATTTTATTTATAAAATATTCGAAATCCGTCAGAAAATGGCTGAAGAAATTGAATATACCAGACCTGATGCTAATCGCGAAAGTGTTGCGGTTAGCGCTATATCGCACCAGAAATGTGCCGTTGGGTGTCCCACGAAGCTTACAGAAAGCGGTGTCCCTTTCCATATCGCCCATATACCAGCTTTGCGCACTGATTTCTGTGTTGACATAGTCTCGTTGCAAATGGACTTTGTTACTGAAAAATGAAAATAGTTGGTTTATTTTTTTGTTTCAGAAAAAAACCTATTCTCCGGCGGCCGACGTGGAAGAACCGTAGATTCATTTCTTTGGACTCTGGCGGGAAACGAAATCTGGCTGTCCAGACTGATGCCGACCACAGAGTTGCTCTGAAAAAGATAGGTTCAGGAGTTTTTAGGTTTTCGAATTTCTAAAAAAAGAAAAATCGATTCAAATATTATTCAAAAAAAGATTCCAAATTTTATTCGGAAGGCCTTGTTCATTGTTTGCAAAAAAAGGCCTTTTAAGTTTCAATTGAAAAACTTATCTATTTTTTTCTCAAAATTCAAAAATTTTTAAATGTAATAATGAAAAAAATTTCCTTGTCCTAATTATTAAGTGTGTGTGCGACGTGAATATTATTTGAGCGCGCTACTATTTTTGTTGACCTTTTTGATCTTTTTTTAATGGCGGCAGTCCGTCATCGCAGTCTTTTATATTTCTCATACAGAAGGAGGTTTAAATATAGACCTCTTATTGAGCCGTTACTTAGCTCCACGGTTTCTCTTTTTTGTTACTTCATAACTATTTATTCTGAATTGACTCGTGTTAATTTGCTGTGAGACGTTATGCTAGGTGCAAAAAAAGTACAGCATTCTTCACTCTGCATCGAATGTGTAAGAATCATGCGAAAAAAGGGGAAAATAAGGCGCAGAAAAGCAGTGATATACAGACCAGGGATGCACAAGACGAGGTTTTTTATTTTAAGACGAGATTGAGACAAAGAAATCCTTGGAAAATAATTCCGGGACAATATTGAGATTGCTTCGAGACATTCGAAATGAAAAAAAAATCTAAATTTTTGTTTCAAAATAACACTTGAATACGACTAAACCTCGAAATTTTGCGATTTTCAAATATAAAACTGTGATGTGGCTTTGGTCGCTTACAGTCGCGGTATATGACGTAACGACATTAACTTAATATACGACAAACTTGCAGCGCAAGAAAGTCTTTTATTTTTCATCTCAAAAAGTCTTGAGACGAGACAAGATCTCGCCTCGGTCACAAAAAAAAAATTAAAACATTCGGTTTTAGGCAGAACATAGTGTTATGGTAATAACTGTACGTTTACACACAGCATCAATAACATCGGTATAGAGCCCAACTGTAGAATTTTTATAAGTGCAAAGGTAAACATAGCATGACTGTGCTTTGTAATGCTGTTGGAAGTGCATGAAGTCGGTGAGTAAATGTCTTTCCAACGCAGCCAGGACGGAGGAAGCAGGTGTCGAGTGCTTGATACATTGTCACAGATGTTGTGAACATCTCAGCCGTCGATTTCCAGCTTGACGATGGAAGCAATGTCACGGTGCGAACGAAGCTCACTGGAGGTCAATCGGTTGCTCAAAGCTAGAGGAATCTAGAATCACGCTGCGGAATGCAAGTGGTGAGAAAACGAAGGATCTTGGAGAAACTGGTTTAAACTGCGAGACCAGGAAAACTTCTGGAAGAAGCTTCGAATACTTCATGTTCAGCGGGAATTTTTTTGTGCTACAGTGGATTTGTAAGTGTGTTCAAAAAAAAGCATATTCACATAAAACATATAGTTGCTATAAAATGCCAGGGATCTACATTGAAGACTAAAAACGTTAATAGCTAATGAACTAATTTCTAAAAAACTTACTCTTTTTGATTCACCCAAAAATTTGATGACACTTTTAAAAAAACATCAAGATTGTAACGTTTTTTGAAGTTTCATGCATAGTTACAGCGGCGGGCCGTAACGCAACAGGTCCAAAGAGGCGGCTTCATAATCCTTAGACGTCACACACAAGGATAGGTATAACACTAGATGTAGTAAACTAATTATCTATCAAAATAAGGCCCTGTTTCATCGACTTGGAGCGCCGACCCCGCTCAAGTAGTGGAAAGGCGTGAAGAAATGTAAACGAAGAAGAAGAAGACGAAAAAAAGACAAAAAAAAAGAAGGGTTCATTCAGAATTATCATAAAAGCGTTTTTTCAATGCAGTAAAAAGCAAATTGAAATAGCTCACTCGAAGACGATGAACCGCATCGTATTTCACAAGACCCGTTCTCTGGCGATTGCTCAAAACGCAACCCTAGAATAAGCAATGTTTCCAAATTAAAAAAAGACTATGTTACCGTGAATGTCCCGTTGTTGTGGTTTTGGATGACCTCAATTCGGTCATCTTTCTCAAACTGCAGAAAACTGAGATCTATCGGTACACTCCGAGCGATTGCGACCACTTGTTCTCCGCTGGTGTCTAAATTTCAATTTGATGTCGCATTTTTTACGTTATCAATTTGAAGCAGGCTTTAGCAGAACAAGAAAAAAAATTTCCACAATTTTGTAATCATGCGAAACGTCAATAAGGAAACTGTGAACTCACATTGAACACTGGACGTCCGAGGTCTGTTGAAACTCTGCGAAGTCCTTGTGGGGTCGCTACTCCGCCGAGGTCCTTCACACTTCTTCAACCCGAGACACTCCTTGTGCATATGGAGGTTACAATCTGAATTCCTTCCTCACTACATAAATTCGTATCATTTCTTCTTACGGTCACATTTGTATCCCTGGTAGTAAAGACCTTTGAGGAACCTTTTGCAAACGCTGCAAAGAGTCGGCGCAGTTTCGACGTCAAAACTGGTGAAATGGACGCTATGACCAGTATCTCGCAGCAAGTTGACTGGAAGGACGTTTTCCCTGAAAGTTCAAAGATTAGGTCAAAAATACAATATTTAATGAGATCGCTATTCGGCCAATTTTGAAAAAATTTCTGTAATCAAAAAAAAATATACTTGATTGAAAATTCCCATTTTTTCTGATTTCAATGATAAAAAGTTATTATAGATAAAAACTTTTCCGTTTTGATAATCAGACCTCAGCTTATCATTTTGGAACACTCAAACTGCCTGTGTATGAAGTAGCGTAAAACAGAAACATGGACAAATGGTTGGAGAAACTCACTTCGAATGCTGGAAACGTTCCAGCCATTGTTGACGACGAGCCGCGCTTTTGAACGTTATAGTGATGTGAGTAGTCTCACTTTGTTCGTTTCTCTCACGATACAGATGAAGAACGTGTTGGGTCAGACGTCTGTAAGTTTGGAATCAAACAAGTGGTTTTTAAAAATCGATTTGAAAACATTTTGCTAGAAACATGGTTCCCAGATTCTTATCGAAAACAGCGACCACCTTATCTTTCATGAAAATTTATTTCAAAGTGATTCAACAATTTTCTATAAAATCTTCTATCTTTCAGTCTCTTTCACTTCTTTCAATGAATCAGTTGGCTTAATGTTTCCATTTATACTTTTAAAAATTCAGTAAAGTGAATCTTACCTCGTAATCGTTCCGCCAGTTTTCGAGTCAACCGATACGTTCGGGTCCGCCTTCAGTTCGCTCAGCACGAAGGCATTTTTGTAAGTGTACGTGTTGTTCTGAAACATATTTTTCAATATGATCATTGCAAAAACCTGGAATTCTCACTCTATTGGCCCTGCAGATGACTAAGACTTTATCGAAAATAAAGACGTATCGCTGTTTTGTTTTCCCGCTTTGAGAAGCCGTCGATTCCGCCAATCGGACCTCCCCGTCCCAATTCAACCGGCCATAATGGGTCAACTTCACCTGGCTTGGCTGAAACATTTTTTTTTCCAGTGAAGAATTGACGTTATCATCGTACCATGGCAAGGTCCACGATACTTTTCTCGATTTCATTCGTCAACTGCTGGGTTTCCGTATCTCGCTTCATTTCGTTGATGTAGAGGTTGACGTCTTCCATAGCATCTCGCGCGTCTTCCAAGCTCTGACGATCCACGTCATCCACCGGCGTTGATTTTATGAGCTCCTAAAACATGCTGTCAGCAAGAAAAGGAAAATTGACGCACCGAAAGCAGAAGATGATACTTCAGTACACGTTGCATTGGAAGACAGAGTAGATCTTGTAACTTGAACTGGTTATCGGTTATCGATCCGCTGCACTCCTGAAAAATTAGAGAATCAATTATGTTTTAGGTAGTAAAAAATTTACCGTATCAAAAAAATTAGCTTTTCACTCTAGATTACTAAAAATTTAAGTTTTGATTCCGCTAAATTTAGTGAAACTTTATATTTTTGTAAAAAAAAATTCCATCCTTAGAATTTTCAGTACTGCAGCGAATTTTTAATTCCAGCAAAATGTCATGAAAACTAAAATGGTTCAAGTGGAAAGTCTTTTTCATAAAGTTAAGCAGTTTCGAGAGATTAGGTACAGTTTTTTTAAAAAAGTTATCAGTTACTGTAGCTGAGTGTTTTTTTGAATTTTTTTCTCGCCTTGGGAGTTTGAAAACGAAAAATTTTTTTTAATCCTCAATATAGTTCATTTCAATTAGAAAGAATAAAATGATTTTCATAACTTTCAGATGAATTTTGAAAAAAAAAACAAAGACGAAAAAAAAGCCATACTTGGATCTTCTGCCACGCCGTCGCGTCTTTTTTCTCCAAAGCCAGGATCGTTTCCCGAGATTCGTCCAAGCCAGTACAGTATCGACCGTATGAGACAAACCGCTTTTTGTGACTAAAAGAGAGTTGTTCAGAGGAATTTTCAGAAAGACGTACATAACAAATACGTTGCCGATACTGTAATGCGTATCATGGAAAGAGCTGGGCCGGGAAGAAATTCCATTGACATTCAACGTCCGAAGAACTGCAGAACGCAGTTCGTCACAAAACTGCCTATGAAAGTCGTAGAGGCTCTGAAAAAAGGACATCTCAACATCAAAATTTTTGGATGTTTCAAATCAAAACTTCATAAATTTTGGGAAAAAAATTGTCACAAATTATTTATAAAAATATTGAAAACCCCCACCATCACTACAACGCTTATTCTCCAAGATATTCCCTACATTTAATCTGTAAACTTTAGTGCTGGTGTGTGAGAAACAAATACTTGATTTAAAAAGTTGAAAAAGCGAAATTTTTTGTGGAATTCATTTTTTCAAGCTAGAGATAAAAAGAGTGTAGAACCAATTCTCACAAATGACAAAACACCAATAAACTCACTTGGATGTTGTTGAATATCGTCGAGTGTTCCTTCTCTTTGAGAATTCCTTGCAGCGGCGTGTGAAATTTTTTTATTATCATCTCTAAAGCCTTGTCGACGTAATTCTGCTCCGTGTCTAAAAGCTCCTTGATGCAGTGTTCGCGTTTGGAGCTAGGCACGAAACTTGACCACTCCTGAGAAAATGAAATAATAACGTTTGAAATAAATCTGATGAGCTTACATCTTTTTCGCGTCTGCTGTCTTTTCTTGCGACGATGTGGTCATAGACCTTTTCATCGTCGTCTTCTCTGCAATTTCCAAAGTTACAATCGTTCTTCCATTCAAAATCTCACTTCTTGACAATATCCCCATAAACGGTCGTCTCTGGATCAATCTTGTCGACTTCTTCCGTTAAGCTTTGGTAAATCGCTTCTTCTTCTGGCGCAGGTCTTTGGCTTGTAGATGCATATGGAAATTCCGGGTCCGCAGGAAACGGTCTGAAAAACAAGCTTTTTTTTATTATGAGAGATTTAAAATATGCGAAAAGATTTCAAACGATCTAAATAATTTTTGAACTTCGATTTCCAAGATTTCGCAGTACAGTGTTCCAAAAAAACATGTTTTCAATTCCAATAAACTCATGAAAAAGTGAGAACTAGAAAAATAATTGATTGGTTGCAATTTATTGAAAAAAACTTTCCATTGAACTTTTTAATGTGGCAATTATCAAGGAATCTATCGAAAACTTGAACTATTTTTTTGGAATCGTGTTTACAGAATTTTCATTTTTTTAGCTCTATAAAAAAATTATATAAAACTTCCAAACACTCCATCTCGTTTCAAAAAAGTTCATCATTTAAAAATTTTTTGTCATAAAAATTATGAAAGTCTTATTAGCAGAGAAAGCTTTTTTGTAAAAGCGTTTGCACAGTAAATTCAAAATGAATGAAAAATCTCACTTGACGTTTCTGCTGAGAGCGGCAACACTTCTGGAAACCAACGATAACGTGGCCAAAACATTAGCGAAGCCAGTCATCGAATAGAGGTCTGCGGCTCCGAACAGATCTTTTTCTTCGATCCCAAGTTGGGTCCGACAGAATCCAAGAAAGAGGCAAATGTTTTTCATACAAGTGAACTGCAACATATCGCACAGTTAGCCAAAATTATCGATTTTTTGTATATCTCTCGGGTCAAGATTATCTGCGTGTTTTTTTTGATCTCAGAAAATTCGCCTGTTTTTGACTTCTCAAAAACAAAAAGGAAAAACTGTCTGTTTGTTTGCAAATGTGGGAGTATTCGAAAATAATAGATAGGAAAAAAATTTTATAGATTGACTCAAAATAGTACCTGTGAAATGAAAATCAGTTAACAAGTTCAAATTATTCTCTCAAGTTTTTAATATTTCGAATCGATCTCTATTTTCTTTTTTATCTAGATAGGTTTTTAAAACAAAAATTTGTATAAGTACTGTAATTTTCAAGACTATCAAATTTCTCAAGTTTAAACTCAACGTTTATTTATCAACCCACCTGGGACATTTGTTGGTTTTTGTTGATCTCCTTTTCTTGGATGGAGTTTGGAACCAAAAGATTTGCCAAACGACACAATAAAACTCCATCCCTGTAAAAATCATAGCTTCAAAGAATTCAAATAAATTTGATCAAACCTCAATATTGTGGCGAACTCAATCATATTGGCTGCATCTGCTTTAACTAGAAGACCTAGTTCAAATAACCAGTTTGAACAACTTTTCCATAACTCGCTCCCCCCAGACATCTGAAAATGTTAATTATCAAATTAATATTTGAAGTCGAATTTTGAAACGACGATTGGAATTTTGAAAAAATAGTCTCCCAAAGAAGAGGAAAAGTTGCAAATCTAAGTGAAAAGTTTTTTTGAACAACAATAAAACATAATTTGAAGGTCATCTACCTATAATTACTCCGACAAGCTTTTTAATGCATTGCGATAGAGCAAACTTGCCAAGGCTTGTTTTTTTCTTTCTTTTTTTCTTAGAAATTTTCGCCTTAATTTTCTCAAGGAAAAATTTGTGATTTATAGCGTTTCCAATAATTTTGATAAATTACAAAAAAACATTCAGAAAAACTAGATCTTTTAATTTATTTGAATGTCCATATTTTTGTTTCGGATGGAAAAAAACATTATGAAAAAAAGCTTGTTTTTTTCTAGTAATATTGAAAAAAACAATCACAGAATTTGTGGAATAGTTCGCAAATGCAGAAAAAAATATTTTCTTGTTATTTCAGAAAGTCAGCTTCGATAGTAAATTTTTATGACGAAAAAAACTTTTGAACAAGAAAGTTTTTTTCAGTTCAAAGTTTTTAGAAGCCAAACAACAAAAATTTTTAAATCTTGTTGTAATTTTGGACGTTATTCCGTTCAGGTTTGGTATTTGAGCAATATCGTGACCGAACAGTGTGGTATTGATTTCTCGTAGAATAAACAAAAAGGAACGCCAAGCCTGGGAATCTGTAAACATGAAGCATATCGATTCATTGATGAATACAAATAAATAAACAAAGTGTGAGTCGATAAAACTTGAAACAGGAAACAAAGGGAAAGATCAAAAAAGAGGTCAGAGAGAAGAGAGTTTATGATAGAGAGAAGCGAAAACAATCGGCGGAAAGGTGGTCGTGTCCCCGTAGATAGGCGGTCAACCGACCTGTTCCGTCATACTTCTCCTCGGTCCGTTCGTCTCTCCCCCCTATCAATGGAGCACATTTCCGAGTTGTATTTACACTTGTCTCCATTGAACGCGTCGCGTTGCAGCCTCTCCACGTACATAAGCTTCTTAGAAGCTGCGCAAAAAGTCACATCGGACAAGTCATTTGAGTTGGCGACGATGGGTTTGATGGAATCTATCCAGCAAGACTGGACTACCAGGCAAACATTCTTTGGTAACGGTCGCTTTTTTCTTGAAAATCCTGGAATTTTATAGTCTATTCACCATTTGACTGTTGGATTCTACTGGTTGAAAGTTGAAATCAACTTTTTAGACTAAATTTTGAGTTTCTCAGCAAACTCTTGCTGTTTTTCAAAAATTCCATTTTTTTAGATTTATATTTTATTGTCTCATTCAAACGGAAATAATCCTAATTCGGTTTTTTTGTGCCTGAAATGAGGAAAAAGACGTTTTCCATTTTACCTTTAAAGAAAAAATCATGTTTTCTTTAGATTGCTCCGTTAAAATTTTTATTTCCACATTTTCACAAAAAAACTTGAGAATGAAAGTATCCATGAATCATACGTGAAAAAAATTTATATCGAGAGTGAAAATTAATTTTTCAAAACTAGTTTTTTTCGATTTGAATTTGGCACCGTTTGGAAAAATTTCAAACATAAGGTAAATGAAATTTTCGAAAAACTGTCTTAAGCTATTCAAAGGGATTGAGAAATGAACCGGTCAAAGCATCGAAATAGGAAAAAAATTGGAATTTTTCTGATTTTTTTGTCTTCTAGTAGTGTATTAGACATAATAAGATAATTATTTCAATAAATTCATTTCCCAGTTCTATGTTTTGAAAAAAAAAAAATCGATAGGCAAACCATTTATAAGAGTATTTTATACATCGATAAAAATTTGAAAGTTTTGCAAACCTCAGAACTTGGAATTTAAGAAAAGCGGCAAGCTTGCTAGAATTTTAAGTCGAAAATTTCTGAATTAGCAACTAAAAGAACTGACTCTCGGTAGGAAGGATTCAGACTTTATTCTTCTTCAAAACTAAATAAAGAGAGTACAAGGGCAAAGTCCGAATGGAAAATCTATTCCAGCTATAGAGGCTGTCAGCTACAGGAAAGTGATGACAAAGTCGGTGGACGACCAGCTATCGCAATTGAATTGACAGAAGCGCAAAGCGGCGGAAACGGCGGTCTGACATGGATTAATGGTTCAATTCACAAAATGTCTTTTGGTCGGGGGTCGAGCAGAAAAAAAGAACCGATTTCGTCGCCTCATAATACAACACATGAATCAGCGGTGCGAGGGATGCAAAAAGCCTGAGGAGGGTCGACGGACACAACTCTAAACAGAAACATTCTCAACAAAGTGCTCGCGGACCACTCGGTCTTTCGTAAGAGTCTTCGTTTTTTCCCCTGGTATCCGTTTCAAATGCACGAGAAACGTGAATTGAGAAGTGGGCCATGCTGTCAGGACTTGAAAGCCAAATTCCAGGCGCAAAATAACTTTCGATATGATTTCATTGGAAATTAATACTCGCGAGCTTATGCTGTTATTCTTCCAACTCTAATATTGTATCCAAATCGAGGGGCTTTGGAGTTTATAGGGCAGAAACGAACAGTTGACCTATTTTCGGCGTACTACGGCTTGTTGAACTCCAAAGGGTCGACATAATAATTCGTCCTCAATAATCAGCACAATTGGTATTTGCACTTCAAAGCAATTTTTTTCTAGTTTTTTGGTCATCAAAATAAAACATCGCAACTTGGATCTTATCAATTTTTAATCTGTTAATCTACTATTGCAGGCAATCTGGCGCCATACTCAAAGTTTAACCTTGTTAAACGCTTTGTATGGCTAGGACGGAAATTTAAATAGTAGAAGACAATTTGAGATGTTTTAGAAGTAAACCTGTGAACTTAGTTTAGAATATCTCTTGAGAAAAACACTTTTGAAACGTGTTGATAGTAAAAATTTTGTTTTTGGCTCCAAACTTAAAGCTAGTAAATAGACAAAATTTCAGAAAAAAACTAAAAAGTGCTTGCGTTGTATCGAAAATTTTGAACACAAGTTTGTCACTTGAGTGAATTCAATAACTGCTTACAGAAGGATTTCAAAGAATATTGAAGTCTTTTATGAGAAATTCGAATTCAGAAGCTGACAAATCAAGGCAATGTGGAAAGTGTGATGAGCGGACTTTGAAATAAGTACAAAATTATTGGCGATTTCTCAGCCGAACAGCTCAGAGCCGCCCACGACGACGCGCCGCGACACCCAAGGCAATTTATATTGAAAGCTCACCGGCATGACAGCGGTGCGGCCGTCGAGCTGCACGTCCACCAAACTCCACGTGATTTGCCTCGCGTCCATGTCTAAACCCATTAGACGCCATTTGTCAGATGAGCTCAGAACCTCTTCTGGCCGAGTACCGCCGGCCGCAGGGAATGTACACGAAGTGGCGAGGGAGTAGGCAATTGTGCACTTGCGTGCACCTCGTAAACTATATTTTCTCTCTTATCAACTGACCGCCTTTCCTTTTTTCTTTTCGCGTCAATAGCCGAACCAATGTTGCGGAAATCTTTTCCATAACCAGAAGTTTCGTTCCTTTTTCGAACTTGAAAATTGTAGACACTTTGAGTCAGGCTATAGAATCAGAAACCCAGAAGGTGTGTAAATCGGCCAGAAATTTTTATTTCAGAGCCAAAGATCATGATCATAGTTGGCTCAAATTGAAGATCTTTTTTTTATTTTGAAGACCTCAGTTTTCGCAATAACACAAAAAAATGACAGAAAACTTTTCGAAACGGTGGTATCTTCCGATATTTCAAAGATTATCTGATTGCGAACTCGCACTTGTTACAACTGGATCAGTCAAAACTTCTTCTCGAGATTCCTATCGGAAATTCAAAACTAGATCGCTGTTTAGTTTGCTTCTTTAAGATCACCACCAGAAAATGAACTTGTAAAATTTTTCTCGATAAAATGAAGGACGTTTTGCACAGAATCACATAAACTTCACATGAGTTTTATAAAAAAACACGTTCGATAAAAATAAAAAAAGGTATTTTCTTTCAATTTATCTGAAATTACGTTCAACAGACAACAAAAAAATTATCAGTGGGCGCTCGAAAAACTTCCATTTTTGCAGTTCTTCCGTCTTTGAACAATAAACATAAATTGATCGATAAATATTTATTTTCCTTTCCAAATAACTTTCTACTGTTCGCGGTCTGGGCAAGGACAATAGCCGGCGTCTGGACCAACTGGTCCTTCTCCTCCGCACTTTCCAGGAGCTCCGTTCTTTCCGCTCTTTCCTGGGCGTCCATTTCTTCCGGGATGACCAGCCTTTCCTGGCTCCCCGATTTTTCCGTCTTCTCCATCCTTAAACACGACATTGATTTTTTTTCATAAAACACGTGTGAATACCTTTCCGGGGAGTCCAGCTGGTCCACGCTCTCCAGGAGGTCCTGGTCGTCCAGCAGCTCCTGGAAGATGTACGACTCCAGCAGCTCCAGTCTCTCCGCGTGGCCCAGCTCTTCCAGGAGATCCATGACGTCCAGTCTCTCCAGGCTCTCCGGTCGATCCTTGGTCTCCTTGCTCTCCAGGAGCACCTCTTTCTCCAGGCTGGCCTGGTCTTCCTTCCGGTCCTGGTGGTCCGGCTTCTCCCTTTGGTCCACGAGGTCCAGCCGGGCACTGGAATTTCATCGAAAATTTTAAATAAGAAGGAACCTTGTACCTTGATGCATCCGCCAGGAATGTCATGAGTGATGAGAGTAGCAATGCCAGGGCTGCCGTCTCTTCCGTTTTCTCCATCAGGTCCAGGGAGTCCAGGCTTTCCACTGGGACCTTTTTCTCCTGGAGGTCCGGCTGGACAGTTGGCAGCTCTCGCTTCACATTGGCAGCCGTCGAACTGTCTCTTCACACGAGAATCGAGGCCAACGAACTTGGCAAATTGAGGAGATTGACTATGTTGCTGTGGACCAGCGTGCATGCTCACAATGTTGCTCCAAGTCGCTTCGGACAGTTCCTGAAATTGCAACAAGTTTTTTTGGAATGTTCTCATGCGGAGTAGCATCAAGAATGGTTCCTCGAGAAGTTCTGTATACGAGTTTGGTTAGGTTTTTTTTCAAAATCTTTCAAATCAAAATTTGCAGTCAAGTTCCAATTAATTCATATATATATGAACTAATTTTTCAATAATGACAAAAAAATTTCAAAAAAATCCATCAATTTCATCAAATCACGGTCAAGATTATTCAAAAAATCATCGATTTCTTTGGAATCACGTTTTCTTAAAGTTCCACGTAGGTTCCGAAAAAAATTGTACTTTTTTTCAAAAAAATTTAATAATGAAAAAAATGGATTCGAACTATATGAATTCAAATTTGAACATTTTCAATTTTTTTCCCCACGAAAGTGCTTCTTGCAGCTTCTGCGGAAACCTTGACAGGTGTACTAAAAAGCGAACAATTGTAACTTAAAAGAAATTTCACGCGTGTTTTTCAATTTCGTAGGATGACTAAGCGCACTCTTTCGAATATTCAGAGAGAAAAGTAAAGAAACCTTGAAAGTGCCCATTCCAAGGGAAATATCATCGTGGAGGGAGTTGATGTCGTCGACGATGACGAGAACCGAACACAGGGAGACGACGATGACCGCGACGGACGTGACGCACGCAACGACGACCGCGTACGACATTCTGGATCGCTTATTCGTCCTTCGGAACAGCCGCCTTTTATGGAAGGAGACGAAGCGTTTGCGACGAAACAGTCCACGAGCCGCCAAAAAAGTCGTCGGCCGCAAGTATTTTTCGGCGCTGTTGGGAAAAAAGCCGATGATTCTTCATGCTTTTCTCATTATAAAATTGAGATGATATTATCTGACGTGCAAGCTATAGAAAGAGTTGTTTTGAACGAGTCTAAAATCAGAGATTGGCAAAAATTATAGTAGGAAAATTTGAAACGCTTGAAAGTTTTGCTCTCCAAGATATGAATTAATTTTCTCATTTTTCATACATGATAGTTAATTTTATTTATTGATGACAAAGCAAAAAAAAATAATAACGTTAAAAAAAGTCAGTATCACTGTAGGCAAAAGGAAGCAATGGAAGACAATAGAAAACATTTTTGAAAACGACTAACTGGAGAAAAATCTTGTTATATGCATATTAATCTTATAATTTTTTTGTTCTTTTTTTGATACGCTTGCTCTTCCGCTTTCAATTACCATACTTCAGCTGGACATAAAAAAACGCATGAATATTCAATATTTATTCTAGAAAAAAATTCAAGAGAACGAGAAAAAAAGAGAAGAATGAGTCATTGTCACGGTAGGCAACAGGAACCAATAGAAGGCAAATGATTGTGAGAACAGTTGCTGTACAGAAAAGACAGAGCAGTAATCGGTCTACAACAGAAGCCAGTTGCTGCCATTGCCACTGGATTCTGGCTCTTTCATCGAGGATCTGAAAGAAACAAAAGTTTTCCAAAAGTTGAAAAGTATCTGACCTCTTCGCGAATCTCATGTTGCTGCAGACTTCGATAGATTCTTTTCAAAATCTTCCGAAATCGAGACTCGAATTCATTGTTCATTGATGTTGAGGAAGCGTTCATCCGAGGCATGATCTGAAAGCTTTTGAATAAAGAAGCATTGAATAAATTCAGAACCCCTTCGCTGACGACTTTTCCCAAAAAAGCGCTCTCGCTGGCCATATTATCTCTGCAAGTACCGTTGCCAACCAACGTACCGTACATCAACTCGGTATAGGCTTGCTGGAAAAAAATGAGTGAAATTTGCGAAAAAAAAACTAAAAACGAAAAAAAGCTTCTTCCGCTTATTTTCGAAAGAACGTTACCCACCGCCATCGGGTGCATACATTCGCAGTCCGCGTTGTGATCGTCTTTGCTCCCCCGCAAGTTCGCCATGTTTTTCACTCGTTTCAGATCACGAAGGATTGAACTCCGCCGTATTGTTGACTTTTTGCTCTCAATTATTTTCTGTAAAGAGGAATTTTTGATGATAAAATACCTGAGAAGCTTTCAGCAAGGCTATACTATCAGGTTCTCTGATGGTCATCCTCATGAACGCCGCCAAATATCCGAGAATATATTTGTGCATCCAAAAAGGAACATGACGTCCTTGGTTAGCGGCTCCGTTTCGATGCATGTTTAAAGTTATGACGTTGACGCAAGTGGCCAAGCACACCATGAGTAGAGATGAGACGTAGTACATTCCTATAAAAACCAAACCTAGAGATAAAGTAAGAATAGTTTTTTTCGTTTGTATGGATTACTCGACTTAGAAAAGCTCAAAATACAGTGTTTTATCCGAGAAAAATCTCAACTAATCATGTTTTACATTTTTTGTGGAAACTTGAAATTCGTTTTCAATTATGGATCGAAAACCCTGCTCCTTTTGTTTCCCATACCAATCAGCGGCACTCCTTCAGAAGTCGGCGGGATCGACTCCGTGATACTTTGAAGATAGACGCCCATCGACAACAAAGTCGTGATAATCATGTTGATTTTCTCTCCCGTTTCTGGCGGCATCAAAAAGCCTAACACGGCCATTGAAGATATCAAAACACATGGCACAATCTGAAAAACAGCTCTACTGAAAAAAAGGCATTGGAAAAAATGAGTTACGTGATTGAAAACATAGAAAAGCGGACGCCGATGCATGTGAATTCTAATGACGATTGTCGGCCAAGCGTGGTTCATTTCAGAAGGGAATTTGACTACCTAAAACAGAAGATGACTTTTTTGACATACCCGAGGTCACGAATTTCACCTCTCTGGTTGCGGTCATGGCGATGAGATCAAATTCGCTGTTGTTCATGTAACTCGACAAATCTCCTTTGTCCGTGTTGAGACCCAAGTTTATTTCTGTGATATCGTGGGACCAAGAAGCGAACTTCAGATCACATTGCTGAAAATTATGATGAACTTCTTTTTTTAATCCTGGAAAGCTACCTGATCGTCAAAAGGATAATATCGAACTCTTATGGGGCATGAACTCCGGAAAAGAGCAGAAAAAAGCCAGGTCACGTTGCCTTCACTGCTGACCATCACATCTGTGGATACTAGTGAAGCGTGGTACTCTCGGATCGCACTGAAATTTAAACAGTTTCAATTTCATATTAAAATAAGCCTTGAAGATGTATCTTGAAAATTTTTTTGGCACCTGTAAGAGAGAACAGTTTGAGATTTTCAGCTGTATTTCTGTGACAAACCACGTTTTGTTATAAAACCTTCATCAAAAAAAGGCAAAAAAACTGGATCGAAGGGATTTTTGAAAGAAATAGATATTTAGGAAGTTTTTTTGTACGCTTTTTATTTTTTTACTGACTTTCAAAAAAACTCTCCCCTCCTCAAAATCAGCCTGTTTTATTTAACCAGAAAAATAAATCTATATGTCCTTGCTTCATCATTTTTCAAAACCAAATGAATCAGTACTACCAAAAAAAGTATTTGTTACGCGCTTTGTTCAAATTCCAAACTTTAAAGTTTTGGGAGGACGCGAAAATTGAATCAGGAAAATGCGCAAGGACTGGCACTGATTTACATAAGTCAATTTCCGCGAACAGGAAATTTCCGACTAGGACACTTGAGAAGTTGAATTTTCTTCTTTTTTTGCAAGTTTATTGATAATTACTTGTTGACGAGTATGATGTCCGGTTTCCAAACACGACTGTGAGGAATGTAGATGGTCTTGATGTCGGACCAGTCGGACTCGTTCCAGACCAGCCGCGGGTCCAACCAGTTGATGTTGAGCCAGCTCCGAGTTGTCAGCGCCTGGTTGCGTTCGTCCTTAAAATTGCCGACTTTCTTGGCAACATTTCGACCTCACCATTTCAACAATTTGATTGAGAAGAAACCCAAACGTCACATTTGTCGGCTGAGAATGATGGCTCGAGGGACGTACGTCCTTTTCGTAGACACTAGGGTGCAGAAGTGTTCGGTAGAGCAACTCTTCCGTTCCATCAACCGTCTTTTCTGATAAAAAAATGATTATTAAAACATTGTGTATTCACTTTTGCTTTTGAAAAATTTCATGAAGGGCTTACGACTATCTTTTTGAAAAAAGGTGTTCACATATTTCTACGGTATTTTTAACAAGCAAGTTAACGTTTAATAGCGTTTAGTTTTTCCAGGATGTCTCGAATAAAAAAATATTCAATCATCACTATAGCAAAAAAATTGGTTCAAAAACAATCTTCATTTGTCTCGCTAGAAAGATATAAAAAAACTCGTGTGGTGAAAAAAACAAAAAAATATGTGCCTTTTTTTGTCTTTGCCTTTTTAAATAGTAAAATCAAGAATAAAAAAACTCGTGTACAAATTCTTTTGATATTCTATCCCATTTTTTTATCTTTCCTCAGGCTCTATGTCACATTACGAAGGCATAGAAGAAGAAACGTGGAACAAACTTGTTTTTGAGGGCCTTTTCCAAAAGAACCTCGTCAAAATGCGCCAAGTGATATGTGGTCCTCAGAGGAATTGTCGACGATAGGGCAACTCTGAACGCATTGTTTTAAAAAACGAGCGTTAGCGATTTCAATACTTTTTCGGTTTTTTTGCAGCTAAAACAATCTCAAACAATAACATAAATTGAATTCTGTTACTTTTTAGGCGCTGTAAAAGTTCTTTTCAATCGAAATTCCACCCGAGTCTTCCATAGAAGGCCCGAATAATAATTAGTTGAATTCATCATTGCAGTCTCATTTTTCTGCGTGATCATTTACTTATGACTTCCTTCTTGATTCTTTTGAAGGCGTAGCGTTAATTAAATTCGGGTTATATCAATATTTCAGCTCAAAATTCACCAAAAAATGAGCTTTTGGTCTCAAGAAGAAAAAATGTGTTACATTGATCTGAGAAGAAAAGAATTTGCATAAGGAAATTCGAAGAGTTATTGATAGTTTGAAATTTCTTCTGACAGACGATTCCGAGACTTTAACTATCCAAAAAATTTTGTACAGTTTGTTCCAACATTATTAACGTCCTTCAAATCTCACTTTAAGATTTGTTTTTTTAATAAAATTTTATTGAAAAAAAGCCCCAGTGTTAAATCTTGCGATATTCGTCAACACTTCAAATCATAACAAAAACTCTCGAAAAATTGCTATTTTCATCGGAGGCAGGCAAAAATTTAAAAGTGATATTTTTTGGCTTACATCGACTGTTTCACGTAAGAAAGAACTAATATGAATCATGTTAGACTGAAACTTCATTGGGGTCCCAGGAAAAAATCTTTGAGATTGAATTTCGCAGCTTTTTGGGTTCTTGGTGTTTTTAATGGGTTATCAACACTTCCAAACCCGCCTTGAAGGTTCAACGTCTTCTGCGGTTTCATTGAAGTCCTGCTCGGCGAGCAAGGCGTACAAAGCGCGGTCGTCGGTGTGCAGCAAGGCATCAAGTAGCAGGAAATCAACAATTTGGAGGAAGATACAGCAGCGACATATGGTCATAAAGGAACGAGTGACGGATGAAATGCCGAGGCTCAATTGGAGCTCTCGTCGAGCCGAGTTGGGGTAGGCGGGATTCAACTTGTCTTTTTTCCTTTCTCTCCCAAATTTGCTCTCACGAATCTCGCCGACGCCAGTTTTTATACGCAAAATTTCTCCAAGAGTTTTTTTTTCTTGCAAAGCTGTTTTCTATATGAAAAACTTCAGTTGGATGAGAAGCTTTGGATTTTCGAATTTGATCCAATATTCATGTATCGACACTATCTTTTCAGAAAACATTTATTTGTTACGTTTTTTTAATCCTTCTTGGAAACTGTGAGCCAATTAATGGTCAGCGATTAGCGAAACTCCGGAAAAATTGATTTTCAATTCCTATAACATTTTCAACTGCTTAAAAAGTCTAGTAAACGAAATGAAAATAGTAAAGTTTGCGAAGGTTACTGAAGATTGAGCTAAAGTCATGAGGTGACTTTTTCGATGTTTTTTAATTTTCCTCTTCATTTCAAAACTTTGAAACAAAATTCACACAAGAAAACAGTGTTTCAAAAAGTTTTTCAAATCTCTGCTTTTAATTGATGAATTATTCCAACTATTTTTGAGAACATTTATTTTATTACATTCTTATCAATAAAAAGTGACTTAAAAGCGACATAATCAAAACAATCAACAAAGTGTCAAAAAAATAAAATCCGCTTAAAAAAAAATAACCGAAAGTCAGAAGAGAACGCACCCGAAGAGGTGAAAAGACAACGAAAAATGGCGGAAACCAACAAACAAATCAACAATTTTTAAGAGATCCGAGGTTTACTTTCAGACAGACCCGAGGATTTCCGCCGACTTGCGACGAGCTTCGAAGATCGCTCGGAAAGCCTTGATCGTGTTTTGCTCGCTGGGAGGAGCAAAGATGCAAACGCGTTGGAAGAACGGCAGATACTTCTTGTAGTATTCACTGAAAAAGAAAATTGAAATAACTTCGGTTCCTCATCCCTTTTCAAAAAAAAGAAATCAAATTGGCTTAGTCATCCCTTCCCAACTCCAAAAGCGAGGTGGGTGAATTGGCGGAGGTGAAGCGTTGCGTACGCGACGCGGCTTTTGACGGGGAGCTCGAAATTATATTTTTATTCCTTTAACTAAATTTTTTTCAGGACTAAAAAATTGAAAATTATTGAGAAACTATAAAAGAAGAGAAAATAGAAAAAAAAAGCAGCTTGGGTTCGACTTTAAAAGATCCGCTAAAAAGCCGCGTAGCAGACGCAACGCTTCACTCTTGCTGTTTTATTCATTCTGCTTTTCAAGTCGGGTTTGGAATTTTCGTAATAATTCCGGAAATTCTCGGGAGATTTTCGAAAGTATTTGAAACTGTCGCAGAGCTCTCAACAACAAATATTCATGAGAAAAAAACTTTGCTTGACTTTTTATGTACACTCTGGATTTTTTGAACAAATTCAGTGCTTAGATTTCATTTCTTTTTTTTTCAAACTTCACTGAAATTAATGACGACATATTTCATAAAATGATATGCCCCTTTACAGCTCAATCACTACAATCTAATTTCCCAAACAATCTTTCAAAAAATTTCATGTTCGAAAAAAATAGAACGCATTCCACTCACGCAGTGCAAAGTTCGTTTTCGAGCTGTAAAATGCAGAAATGAGTAGTCATGAAGTTGTGAATGTAGTTGTAAGGCTCGACCTCGAAAGCATGGTTTGAGAACTTTTGGAATATGGGAAAGCTTTTCAGTTCAGGATCGGCTGCCTCGCTGAAAAGTTATCTTAATTGTCGGCTATTCGTTTAGTTCAACTCACTAAAGCTGGTAGTACATAGTCGGCATGTAAGCCTTGATTTTGTTCTCTTTCTTCATCTTCTCGTAAATCTTCATTGCGCCTTCTGGGCATTGAGTCAGAAAATAAGCCTAAACGCATTTTATTTCAAAATGAAACTCTCAGAAAATGCTCACCCGGCACAACTGCAACTGAGCAAAAGGAGTATCGTATCCTTCTTTGGCAACCAATTGCTCCATTTCAAAAATATTCTTGTAAACTTCAGTGGCATTGTCGGCAAAAAGTCCGTTATAGAGGAAGCGAAGGTTAGTGCGCAACAAACTGAAAACATCAAGTTTGATGAAAAGTGTGATTTAGAAAACGTACATGCTGTGAGGAGAATTGCAAGAACTCTTTTGAATGAGGTCAAACCCAATTTTCTGTAACATGTTTTTTTATTTTTCATTTTGATTTCCCAAAACTCACAAGGAGGTCTTCACGTTGGCCGAGGTCATCATCTTCAAACTCCGCAGTGGCGTACATGAGGACGGCAAAAAGAGTCAACGCGTCTTTCATCTTCGGGATCGTCCCCACCGCCTCGTTCAAAATCCTGAAAAAAAAACGATTTTCCATCTTCTCATGTTTTCTGAAAAAAAAAACTGAAATAGTAGTGTTTTCTCTGAAGTACTTATTTTTGATATATCGAAGACAATGTAAATTTTTACTAAGAACAGATTTCTCGTTGAACTTTTGCTCAGACTTCGCTGAAATGTACTCAAGGACCCCCTAATTCCAGAACAGAAAAAAGTTTGAATAGATCTCGTTTTTGAGTTAGAACACTTCACAAGCCCGAAATAGCGCTTTTTGGCCTAATTTGCGTATTTTGCCCACTTTGAAGCTCAATAACTCGGAAACGAGATCTCTTGCAAAAAATGTTTTTCTTGATCTGCAATCAGGAGTTCCTAAAGTACACCTCAGCAAAGTTTCATCGAAATTTAAAACGGAGGGTAAACAATGTTTCCTGGTTAGATGAAAAAAAATAATATTCCTGTATGCAATTTTTACTAACGTTCATCAAAAAAGCAAAGATTACTTTCCAAAACTCACTGTTTGACTTTCCGAGTTGCCGCATTACTCTCCAACAAAAAGATGTAGTATGCAAGGATCAATTTTTCGTCTTTTTCCACGTTCAGATTTTTGATCTCCGAGGCCAGTCGGATCATTAAACTTTCGAGCTGTAAATAAAACCAAGATAAAACATAAGTTTGGATTGCCAGACAATCACATTTTCGGAAAAGTCTTCAAAAATTTAAAAAGAAACCTTTTTTCTGTCTGCTTCTACAAATCGGTCGATTTTACAAACTTACTGATAAATTGAATGATAATAATGAATATATATTTCAGAAAGAGTTTTTCAATTTTTGACCTTCAATTGTTCTCCTTGCTTGATCATGTTAGAGTAATAGTGGAACTTTGCCGAGAGTAGAGTGTTTCTGAAACTGCTTAGCGAGGGGGAGAGCACGTTGAGCACAGCATCAAAATCTTGTTTTGAGATGAGAGCCAGAGCTTCGGCATAGCACCTGAAATATAAAAGCGTTAGTCACTTCTAAACTTTAGAATAAAATACTTGTCGTTTTCGTTTCCCTCTGCCGCCACAAAAGTCTTCATATCTTCTTTGATACTGTCGTTGTAATCCCAATTGTATAACCAAGGTTGGATCTAAAAATATCTAATGTTAAATCGAAATTCTTAATTCTGAGGACTCACTCTTGCAAGATTGACCGGCTTTTCTTTTTCTGGGAGATCATAGGGAGTGAGGAATTCGACCTGAACATTATCAAAACATTTTCTACTACGCGAAACTATTAACTTCGAGATTATTCTGGAGTTTTCTCATAAAAGTCTCGCAAACGTTCGGAGTGTTGTAGCCTTTGTCCAGAGTGATAGCGCAGTAAAGATCTATAAATATTTCATTTGAAAAACGTTCATAAACTGCTTCAAAAAATATTTTCTCTGTGCTTTTCCAACACTTTCGATATTTTTTTCTAAACGCAAAGAATAATATTCATATCTCCATAAAAGTTCTGCTTGACAACTATGCTGATTTCCATTTTGAATTGAAATTGCAAAACAAAGCAAATAATCTTAAAATTTGACGTTGGAAAACTACTGAATAAGAACTCACGGGCCAAAGCGTCGTTGCACCTGTTCACTTGGGCAAGATGCTTGGCCAGACGGAAATGTGCCTTCGCGTAGTTGTTATTGTTCTTGATGGCTGCGTAGCACTCCGACAAAATGTCTTCAATGGGAGCATTCAGCTTCTGAAATTTTATATTGTTCCGACAAGGATATTGCAATAGGCGTTGTGACTCTTAGTCATTTGCCATCATTTCATCCATTCTCAGTTTGCCGTCTCCTCTAGAAAACGTCGAACTAAACCTCTGCGAAAATGTTTTCAGATCAACGACATGGTCGGTTTTTAAACTCTAAAAAACTACTTTCCTGGTATCTTTTATCATTAAGGCAATTTTGAAACTGATTTATTCATTTTTCCCTCTCCACTCAGATTTGTGAAAAGATGAATAAATAAATCGAGAAAGTTTAAAAAAAACCAAAATTGATATCAACGAACTTCTTGACAAGCTGCTCGATTCTGATGACACATTGCTACGATGGCTTCATCACCAGGCTGAGCTGCTTTGATCGCGCGTTCGAAGGCCTGAAATTATTTCGTTCATCTTTATAATACCTAAAAAGACATTAACAAGAACATTATTCAAATATTTTAGTTTTAAACTGATATACTAAAGTTACTAAAATAACAATGTTAAAAGAAATACTGAGCCCCATACTGGGTAGTTAGAGTTTGAAACATTCAGAACGATTATGTTGAAAAATACTTTTCGTCAATAAAAAAAAGCGGATGGAATGAAAAAAAAAGTTATTGCAATTATCAGAATTCTAGATTTCAGAAACTCCACAAATGCAGTGCTATTATCCAAAAAGTTGCCTATATACATTCAGCTTGATTTATTTTTAGGTAAAAACTTTTTTTCCGTTTTAGATTTCTGTGAAAAAAACCGACCGTGAGGGCTTCTTCGAATTCTCCTGCCGTGAAAAGCTTCACTCCGACTTCTTTTAACGCATTAATTTTGGCTGATTCTTCAGACTGAAATTTTTGAGTTCGTACATCTCACAAACTTCCCAAAATAAAAACTCAACGTTTTTTCGCTTTTTATACCAATAGCCCACCGCTAGCGTGACGCCGACACCGACGCCTCCAGCGATGGCGATTTTCTTCCATGGAATGTTTTCTCGATCCATTGTACACCCGAATACCCTCAATAAAAAAGAATGAACTGGGCTTCGAAAAATTGTAAACCGCGCGAAAAGTATATTATTCAACGAACACTCAAAAAAAATTTTTCATTTCCAATTTCAAGAAAGTTTGATAAAAAAAAAAGTTTGACAACACGGAAAAAACTTCAGAAAGATAACTTTTCAATCTTCAATTTCTTTTCGATGAGGCCGAAAAGAAATATCGAGATATCAACTCAGCATGATGCAATTGTGGGCTTTCACTTTTAAGCGATATACCTCTCTAACAAAAATGATAAGAGATAAACATTTAAAAACAAGCGCAAAGTAATAAAAATGTCTGATTATTAATAGAAACGTTTTCGCTGACCCTTTGAGATATCAAAACTGTTTGATATCACAAATTCAAAGTTTTTCAAACGCTATTTCACTATTTTTTGGGTTTATCTTAGGGAATGAAAAGCGCAAATGAGAGAGAAAATTATCAAAATTTGAATAAAAAGGTATGATAAAACTTTTTCAATCGATGGAAAAAACAAAAACATAAAAAGATTGATAGCGTCGACCGCAGAACATCGTAAGGTTTGATGTATTGGTCTTATTGCGGCATATTTTGGCGCCAAATTCAAATCGATCTTTGCCGTTTGATCATCCCCTCTTCATTCATAGATTTTCTTCCGGATTTTTTGTTCTTTCACCTTTCCATCGACTTTTTCGATTTTCCATTCAATCTTTCCCCATTTGCGCAATAATTGCGAAGTTTTTTGGTGATCACTAGACAGATTTCCATGCGCCGTTTCAGTACAGCAAACAATGTGCCAAAATATCTGTGTGCTTAGACACTCGACTTGTCGCAGTTCTGAAACAATGTCTACGTTTCTTTAAACACTCCAAGCTTTAGACAACGCGAAGTTAAACGTTTATATCCATGTGAAAAAGAAGCGGAATGAAGATGATAAACGACTACGGAGGGTTGAGAGATCAAGCAGGATGATTTGGATTCGCAATTTTCGTTGTTCGTTTGAATGGTCCAACGAATGAGTGGAATATCTTTGATATAGTGAGAACCGTCGGCTATTTACAAGTGTTCACTGGGAGGATTAATGACCCCTTTGGTCTTGGCTCGGGTTTTTTCTATTCACTCCGAACTCTTGCACTTTACACAAATACTGGTCGGAGAGGTACAACTGGTAGATACAGTAAGGAAAAAAAAGCATTTAAAGTAACATATCACGGTCGAAAGCTACTCAGCGGAAAGATATGCTTGAATAGTACAACAATTGCGGTCTAGCGGATTCGCAAGAAAAAAAAAGAAGATTGATTTCTAAGGCAAGAAAGGCGTCTAACAGTAGCTCTTAAGATGAAACGATTCTTTGAAGCTTATTTTTGAAGCAAATTACTCACATTGGATAAAGCGCCGTTTTTTTTTTATAAATTTTTGTTTTTTCCTCAAATAGGGCTCCATGAAAAAAGGGAAAAAATAGGAAAAGGTCATGAAATCCAATCAAATGTTGCGAACTATCAACCATTCGCGTAAAATTCAATTAAGCGCCAAATGACGTTTTTTTGGCGTGTTTACTTTGTCTTCATCAAATTGTGAGCACCTTCCGAAAACCGCATCAAATTGCTAAATTAAGCTAATCGTCTCTTTGTAGCTACTGCAGCTCCATTTCTCAGACAGACCGGGAGAAGCAGACGGGGCTTTGATTGGAATTAAATTATTATTGCAACAACTCCTAAGCGTTTAGTTTGAGTACAATATCCGTTGTAACCACGTATGATAGGATGAGCTGTGCGAGGTCAGACTTCCTCCAACATTCCGTGGTTTCCAATCATCCCCTTGTACATGCTCGACGCCAAGAAACGGGGATAACTGTCTCGCTGCATGAGCGTGAAGATCTGATTCTGCGCCTCGTCGAAGGTCGTCGCAGACGGGCGACTCATGTTCGAGTTGACGATTTCGCGGACGCGCGAATCCAGCGAAACCTCTTTTGGCGACAGAATGGAGATGAAGTCCTCGTAAATAATACGTGCCTAAAATTTTGAAAAGTTTCTTCCTCTTCCTCAAGGTTATATACCTTTTCTTCGATTTTTTCGGCGTTTTTCTCTCGTTTCAACTCTTCGCACGCCTGCCAGAAGAGGATGTTCTCGTCCGAGTACTCACCTTTCAAGAACTCGGCGAAGTACTTCTGGCCAACTGCAATGAAAAGGTCATACAGGTCAGACGAAACCACGAAAACCTCGGTTTCTCATGAGATGGTCGAACGACTGCGACCAGCTGTACACAACTTCATATGACGGCCTGAAATTTGCACGTGTAAAAAAGATAATCCGGCCACTAATCCGAAAGATTTCCATATTCAGACACGAACATGATCTCTTGAGAATTAAAAAAAAAGATTGCTAACCGATCGACGTTCTCTGTTGCCGGTGCGACGGGTTTCTTTTCTGCTCCAACACTGCCACTGCAAAAAAAAGTTGTTTTCTTCCTTCTAATCCTAATCAAAAACACGAGTCTTTTTTTGCTCATCATAGGCGTCCCAAGGCCGCTTATTAAATGAGCACATCACCATAGCAACACTCTCGACCTCGTTACGTTTCTAACTTTCTAACTTCAAAATTTTGAGCAACAGGAACTGACGTAACAACTTTTCTCTCATTTCGAAAAAGAGCGAGAAAAACCTGCTCTGATAAAAAAATTTCAGTTTCTCGTTATACTCGTTTCAAAATTGATTGCTGGTCTTTGTGACGCAACAACTTTTAGTACCGTTATTCACCAGCTGAAAAAACTTTCCATTGTCATTTCTTGAAAGATGAAGGATGAAATTTTTCCGTTTTCAACCGTGTTCTTAACTTTTGAATCTTGAACTAGCGCTTTTTAACATTATTTTAATCTACCGAAGAAAATCGAAATCTTTTAAGTCCTGGCAAGATAAAATTTGGACAGCCACATTGAAAACTGAAACAAACTCGCAAATGTAGCCCTCAGTTCTGTCAGGAGCGTCAATATTGCAGACAAGTTTGAAAAAGCGGTTGAGAGAGAAGCTGATATGCATGACGGCGTCGGACTGAGCCTATCAGTCTCATCTGAGAGCCACAGGAACTGCACCGGAAATCGGAACACGCACGCAACGCCCAGGAATGTAATAGCTTTTTTTTTATCACCGGCGCAATTTCCGGCTTTCTCCGGGCATACCTATCTGTTCTTTTCATCTCAGGAAATGAGCAAAGAATCATAAAAAGCGTACCTGTGGTTCTGACCCATGAAATTACAGTCGCAGGTTAGAATTTTCATAAGCATACTAAGCGCTGCGGAGGGCGACAGCGCTGCGGGTAGCTGCTGTCCCAGGCAGACCGCTATTGATCGTCTCCGCCCATCGTCGGAGCTTTGTGAGCGACGTTTGGGGCGTGAGCACCGTCGGCGCTCACGGAAGCTCACACAGCTCAACCCCGAGGGGAGGAGCTTCAACTTTGTCGGAGAAGCTTGTGAAAGCGACCACTAGAGGGATTCCAGAAGCCCTAAGAAATTTCAACATGGTAGTAAGCTTGCAATCAGATGATCAGTTTCAACATTTTGAACAAATAACGAGACGAGAAGTTTCTAGGTTTTCATTGACACCATGAAGAAAAGAATGAAGAAAAACTAGCTTTCACTTTTTCGTTCATTAATTAGCGTTAGTAAAATGATTGAAATTTTGGGAGAAAAATAAAAATTATCAAGTGAGGAAACTTGATAATGAATAAATATTTCAGAAGGTTCCAAAAGTTGCAAAATGAAAAATTCAAAGACAAGCAATTTTATTTTTTTAATGTCTTTCGACTAGAATGGACCCTTTCTCAAATTCTTGTAAATTTTTTTCAAGCCCTTTATTTTATTTCAATGAATTATTGATTAATTAGTAGAAGTGGAAAGTGATAAGACATAAAAAAAAAGTATTGATTTATGTTCATTCGCCTTGAATAATTTCTATCCACTCTTATCAGGAAAAACTCACTAAACTTTAAAAAAAAAAGCTTTTATCAATAATAATATACCAAATTACGAATGCACTGTTCCCAGAAAGAAAAATAATTTTTCCTTGTACTTTTCTGTATATTTATCTATATGTAAGATATCACAGTGAGTCACTTTACGAAGAACCTCAACATTAAGAAAAAAAAATGAATGTTCAGCTTCAAGTCCAATCAGCTTGAAGCCCTTTGAAAGTGTATTGTTACTTCTTGAGAAAGAAATTTTTTCGTCAGACCTGTCCATATATTATTAAACTGGAAAAATAGAATCAAATAGAGACCGTCAAATGGTGCACTCTAGCCGAAAGACTCTTGGCCTCTATAATCAAGAAGGAAACCAGGATTACGGTGCTTTTGCGGCCTAATATTTTGGAAGTTTTTAAACCATTATTTGTAACTAACTGTTTGGAAAGAAAGATCATTTATCTCAGATAAGAATCGGTCTAATATATTGTCGAAAACCCAAAAATATTTTATTCTATTTTAGCCGACCGATAAATTTGGAAAACGGAAGTAGTTTTGTCGCAATGTCGCTCACCGTTTCTCTCCCGATTTTCTCTCGTCAATTTGTTCTCAACCCGACTCAATAACTTCCTAGGAATTCCAACTAATCTGCACCTACATGCGTTTTCCTCTTCGTGTAATGAGAGGTTGAACATTGAGACGCATTGTATCAGATTTCATGGAACGGCGACACGGAATTGAGACGTTTTCTTCTTCTCGGCCGTTTTTCGCGGCAAACGCGTTGCTTGAAACCATGAGAATAGCTTGGCAATCCAATTAACAACACGCGATGGAAAAGAATTGAAAAAAAAAGAGGCCCCCATGCAAATAGGTCAATTGTGCTTTTGACTTCCAATTTACATACTGCAGTTGGAAAATTCGGTTGAGACAATTGTGACAAATTGGCAAACAGGATGAAGGGTTCAAAAACGCAAAAATTATACAGAACCAAAAGACCAAGGAATAGGTTTGAACTGGGAGTAGTTGGATGAGTTACGCTGAAGTTAGTATTTGAAAGAATCACGGCCAGAAAAATATCCCACAATAGCAAAACTATTCGAAAGAAACTTTTTCAAAACTTAATTTTTTCATTTTCACACGCGCAGAATCTAACCAGGAAATACATCTCAAGTTTGAAAAACATCCATCTTCTACTCTTCTTTTTTTCATGAAAGTTTTTTTCATTTTTTTCCAAAAATGGCGTCATCGTTTCTTATTAGAAATCTGAAAAAAACAAATACAAAAAAAGACGAGGATTTTCAAAATTTTATTCTAATTTAATAATGGAATGGGAATCAGAAAAAAAGGTATAGGTCTGGCTTTATCCATTATTTATGGGTCCAAATAGGTGATTTTTAGCTGGAGCTTTAATTTTTCTCATTTGGCCGCGTTTTTCGATTCTCCATCCATCTTTTTGGATATCGATTTTTTAGCTGAAAAATCAACTTTTGATGTAAAACTCATTAAATGAACTCACGCATCGCCGTGCTCTTTCAGGATATTGTTCGGCCATTTTTCGATAGAAAAGCCGAAGTCCGCGGGCACCGTGTCTGAAGGCCTGAAATGACCGATTTTATCCCGAAAAAAATTCACGTTTATTCGTTTCTGTGCCATTAACGAAGAACTTTCTCTATTCCATTAATTGGTTGCTGCAATGTTCCCTTGTTTTCAAGAATAAAATAAAAATTTCCGGAAAAATTTCTGACAAGTTGCTAAAATGAAGGATACAGCTGAACAGTTTCAAAAATTATTTATTTGTCTGTAAGAATAATCTAAGCTCCTTGCCTGAGATTTCAACGAATTCCGGTTATTCTATTATTTTGGACGGTATATTCTCGTTGCTTCATTTTATCGAGTTTATCTGTATTTCGTCACTGATTTGATATCTTTTGACTTCCAAAATGACACTCGATTTCGTCTCTTCTATTATTGCCATTTTCATTAAATCTAAGGTTCACATCTTTAAATTGCTTTCCTAAAATCCGACAACGTCACCATATACTTAAAAATGATTATGAAAGACATTTATTGGCTGAGTTTGTTTTGTGCACTTACTGCTCCGCTGACTCCGTGTCTCCTTTGCGATCGTCTGCGGATCCCTTTATGCATACTGAACACGTTTTCAGAGATCGCAAACTGATATCCCGCGCAGCACATGTGCAATGCCTGCAGATCACGGAAACTTCCTTCACCTTATTTTATGTAACTTTGAGTTCAGACAGACTCAAAAAAAAAACAAATGGGAAAGGGAAGCCTACTGCTTCCTCATCGCTTTTGTCTTGGCGAAAGGCTTAAGCAGAGTTATTCACGTGAGAACCTTGGGAAGAACAAAGGTTTCAATTAGTCAGGGTTTAAGGGGAAACCAAGAAATACTGCTTGGTAAGCCTCATTTCCAATTGCAAAAAGAACCCTTTTCTACTTACAGGTAAAAACGGCGAGAAAAGGTGTCTGGAAATTCATGATTCATTACGAATATGTGTCCACTTCTACGCTTTTTATACGTTCGTGACTCATTTTATGGTCGACTGATCCCAGTAAAAAATTCAATTCAGTAAACATTTTTGGAAATAATAATTCTGTCCCGAGCTCAAGATTTTTTATATAAAATTTGAACCTCACTAAGATCATCCATAGGAAGAAGAAATCTGAAACATGGTCTTTGCGTTCTATTTCTGAAATGAGATGCTGCGCTTAATGCTTGAGAGAGAGCTCAAAAATATAGAGAGACTTTTTTGAGAGCTTTTCATTTTGTATAATTTTTGTTACTTCTGAACTCCTAGCTGGGGCTCTTGAAAAAGCAGAGAAAAATTTCATCGGCCGCTTGGATGGGATTTTTTTGATATGTTTTGGAAACGTTAGCGAAAAAAAAATCTTAATCAGACTCTTTTGGAAACTTTTCGAAAATGAAAAATTACTTGCAAGAGGAAGAAAAACTTACGAGGGCAACTTGATTATCCAAGCCGTAGCTCAGATCTTCGTTGTGGTATGGGATCGAGTTGTGAGCCACGAACATAGGCTCCCAGGAAGATACCCACATTTTCCGAATATCGATTATTCGAGTCTGGAATACATTTTGAAAATGTAAAAGCGGAGCTCAAATATCGAAGCGTTACTAGAAAATAAACTATTGTTCGCCTAACTTCTCAGAGTTTATAACCATCAAAAAGCCTTTGATCCAGGTGAGCTTAATCAAACACGGGAAACTTTAATTTGTTCCGAAAAATCAAATTATTCTTATTTTCTCTGAAATTTCTCAGTATTTCTAGATTTTTCCATCTTTATTTTCAATACGGAACTGAAAAAAAAACTCTTGTGGACAACGATACAATTTCCGATTGCGCTCTTCAAACTTTTTCAATCAATTACGAAATGCTCCACAAATATTTGCATTAAATTGGCTGGGATTGAGCAAAGTAAGGCGGCTCGCGTGTTTGCTCACAATTCTCAAAACAGCACGTGGCTGGAAAGCATCGAAAAACCTGCTCTTCGGCCCCTCGGAGCCACTTTTTGAGGCCTGGGACCCAGTGGCCTTGTCTCCAGAAGAAATAATGGAAAACATATGCCGTCTTGCCGTACGCCTCGCGAAGTTCCTCCAGTGTTTTGGGCGGCCTGAAACTCACAGATATGCACTGACAAAATCTGAAATACTCGAGAAAACGACCATTATAATGCTTTCGAAAAAAATTAATTTGAAAATCGGGCGAATACATCTAAAAACAGAAATTGACTACAAAGCTTGTCGAGAACTGATTTTTGATCATTTATACTCTCTTTCAGGCTTGCTTATGATAATCAATCGATATCTGATAAATATGAAGCTTAAAAGCTCATTTGCGCATAATTTCCTATGATAAACGTTTGATCCAAATTTAAGTCGTTTTTTTCTCATGTTGACTAAGCAAATTTAGGAAAGTAACTTTTAAAAATATGGAGGCATTAACTTGCCACTGGCATTTTTTCGTGACAACTGCAAAAAAAAAGAAAATGAGATTCAGTAATGTTTTGACTCAGAAATATTTGTACTTCAAGCAAACCATAACATACTCCCTGCTCTCATCATATTCAAAGCGTCGAATAGCCAAAGCATATTTGTTCTTTCTGATATCGAGTTTTTTAATTTCGTTTCTCAAGTTCTCCTCCGCGTTAGATGAGTATTCTTGTTCCATGTCGGCCAACAGGACGTACTCAGCTTCGTGCTCCTGAAATGACCAGAAAGTCAATATTCCGGAAGAACTTCAAACTTTTCTTGCAATGTTTCTTGCGACATTAACGGGATAAGAACCCCCAATATGTGAAAATCGGAATTTCTCCAAAGGCTTCAAACTGTCGTCACAAGAAGCCCATCGTGCCGGGAAACCTTGAAGTTAGTGAAAAAAATGATAGAAGGTTTGTCAATGATAAAAAAAAACTGTTTATACTTATGTCAAATTCGGGACAATCTTCTTCTTCCGGCGTTGTGAAGAACAAATGTGCGTCTAAGGCTTCCGCGATGGGTTCAAAACAATTTGTCAATTGAAAAATCTGCAAAAAAAAAGAAGGAAAATATGAATCGCTGCTGTTCCAAACTTTTCTGATAACATTATCGATAGAACTATCTGAAGAAGTGTTGCCCGAATGATGGGAGCTTGTGTAAATTGCGAGCGACAGCTGACCATTCCAGTTACGAGCCATTTTCAGTAGGTTATCATCTTTGAAAAAAATAATGAGAGTTATAAAAAAATTGAGAAAAGTTTGAGAAATAAGCAGGGCGGGCAATGGAAAAAAATAATAATTTTTTTCCAGGAAAAAGCTTGGAGAATCATAGATAGTTACCTAAATAATTGGCGGAAGAATGAGCGACCATTGTCAATTTATCAGCCCGTTTTCGACTTCTGTAGACGTGCGGAATCACACAAAACCGACTGTATCTTTTTGCTTTTTGGTCGTGAAATTGATCTCGTCCATGTATTTGAAACCTGAAAAATAGTAGAAAAAAATAGAAGAGAAGTTGATAATTCACCATGACCAAGGCCAACGCTGAACTTGAAGACACTTGATGCAGAAATATCGGGCTTGGCTGCCCAAAATTTATTTTTCGAAGTTCAGTTTTTTTCCCTCAACTTACAAAAGAAATAAAACCAATAAAGTAGACTGTAGTGCAAAAGATGGAAAACCGCCAAAATGCCGACTTGAAATGATGCAGCATAATTATGCAGAGCACGGCTCAATCCATTTTGTCTCAAAATCAAAAAGAGGAAAGCAGACAATCCATTGCGGTTTTAGCGCCAGCGTCGAACACATGGCATGTTTGTACAGGCAACTCGACTAACCACCTTTTCATTGACTTCACGTGTAAATTTGAGATTTCTGATGTTTTTCTGCAAATCCGTCGCGCTCTTGCAGTAGATAAACTGTAGCAAGAACTTTTCTGGCAGATAGGGCAACTAAGACGCCTCCGGAAGGTAGCCTATAACTTTGCCTTTACGACAGTAGACCTTGACGTCTTTTTTTTTGAATATTCCACGGAAGTTTAAAAATTTTCATGCTTTCAAAGGCATATTTCCAAAAACTGCAACATTTAAACTTCAGAAACATACAAATCAAAAATCGAAGCCAATTTATATGAGTTCATTAGTTTATGATTTTTTTCAGATTGAATTCAAGAATAAAAAGTCTGAGAAGTTTGTGACTTATATGAATGAATTTTAAAATCTTTGAAATCCATTTTCAAATAGGCTTTTTCAAGCTTAGAATCTCCTTTTTGGATCTTGCTAAGTCATGAAAAAGTACAACGGAAATTCCAAGGCTACATGTACGTTAAGAAATAATATAAAAAATGAGTACTTTTCATCGAGAAAAATTTGAATAAACAGCAAAATTTGTTTAATAGAGCAGGTGAGGCAAGAGTTTTGGTTACTTTACAGCGACGTCCGGGCAACTGTAACCTAGAAACAAAAATAAATAAAAATCTGTACTAAAAAAAGTCTGAACGTCGAGAAATATTCTTCTACAAATCAGCATGATCTTAAAAAAATAGAACTATACTGATTCGGTAGTTATCGGATCTCAAACATGTTCGTCCGAAAAAGATTGTATAGTTGGGTTGACAGTCCTGAAAAAATTTTTTCATTAAATTCTACTAGAAAACTTTTTTCCAAAGGAAGTGTCTAAAATTTTGTCAAAAAAAAGTGTTAATAGCACTGCTTTGGCCGTTTTTTTCACTTCTCTGCACGTTTTTTTGACAGACTATTTTGTTGTGCTATGGGGTTTAAAAAGATTATTTCTCTTTTTTTCGAAGTACTCTTACAGGTTCATAAACCACCAACGTTTCATTTCAATCCAAAAATCAAAAGAGTAATGTTCAAAGATCTAAACTTTCAAATAACAAGGCAAATCTTGAAGGGAAAAAAAGTTTGAACTTTCAGAAATTTCTAAACTAAATTTTTTTCCGCATGAGTTGATAACGTCTGCTATTGAAATTATTTATCAGTGTTAAAAAAATTTTTGTGAGTTTATCAACAAATAAATTGCTGTTTCAGGGCAATAGAAAGTACAAAAAGTAGGCGTAACAGAATAAATTAGCATATCCATACGTAAGAAAACAAACGAGAGATTATTAGCATGGAGGATGAGATGATCGAGAGGAAAAGATTTCAGAACATAATTGGTTCAGTTAGCAGCCCTTTTCTCAAAAGAAAACGGTTTTGGCTTATGAGGCTGACGTGCCTTTCTTGAATAATACTCGTTTCGCGGAGCTTCGGGCACGTTTCCGAGCAGGGATACATTTTCTTGGAGAAAAGGATCTAGAAGAAATCAAATTGATAAGAGTTGGCGCTAGCTTTTCATCTCCACTACTTTTTAAATTTTTCTGAGTTTTTATCTGAAGTGCTTGATAAGCAATGCCACAGTTATTCTTAGTTTAACTTTAAAAATTATTTTGAGGACGCTGTTAACTCATAATAAAAAAAAATTCCAACCATTATTCGTCTGAATAATGCCGCAGAGATTTTGATTAATGTCGAAACAGAGCTTTTTCGAGCTCATTTCAAAAAAATGTCTATCAAATTCGGCTGAATCATATGTTGAAATCTTCTGTCCTCAGCAAAGAACTTTTTTTGAATTCAATTGTATGATTTTTAGACCCCGAAAAAGTCCTGACTTTAAAAAAAATGTATTGCGAGAACATGTTTTTTATTATGAAAGCAGGAAAACCTGAAGGGCTTTTTGAATCAAGTTTTTATTGAACTTTTTAACCTAAACCTAGAGAAAAATGGTGAAATGGATAATGCAGAACCCTGGCAAATAAATCAAAAATGTTTCAGTTTGATAAGGAGTTTAAATGTACTGATCCTGCGACAAAGATTCTTCAAAACTGACTCCAGACAGGATACAATAACGTTTTTCATGAACAGAAAAAAATTTTTGGAAAAAAGGTTTCAAGGTTTATTTTGAACTTTCGCCCTGGAACATAAAAAAATTTTTTTAACGAAAAAAATTGATGAACCACTTATGTTTTTTTAATCGTATTTCATCATTATCTCATTTAATCACGTCGACTATTTGGTCTCATTGCCGCTCTCTAATGGAATAATATTCCGACGCCCGTCGGCCCTGGACAAGCTGGGCGCTGTACTGTTCCCACATGATGAAGCAGTTTATTCGCTGGTACTACCAACGGGATTACATTATTTCCCAACTGTCACGCCAGGTCTTATTGGACAACGATTGTGGACCGTCACCCGCGCCGACGACTAACTTTTGGATTTTGATTTTTCAGTCCGGTTATATAGCTCGAATCGCTTGGTTCAAACTTTCTGAAACAAGACTTAATTCTGATAAGTTTTTTTATTAAAAAAATTAGCACATAGACGCCACGTTGAGAGGAATTAAAGTTTACTTTTTAAGATACTCTCGAATTTTGCGAGAATTTTTTTAAACTCTAGAAAATAATGACTTATTTTTTTGATTTGATTGCTTTTTCTCAATAAAACTAGCATGAATATTGTTATACAAAGACAATTTTAAAAAATAACGTTTAACTTGGAAAAAAAGTTTTCACTTTCACTAATTTTTTTAATCAGCAAAAATACTGATAATTGAAAAAAATGTTTTTTTGAAAGTAATCGATTCGAATTGTTCCCGTCTCCAAGAATTAAAAACTAAATGAGATTAATTTCCCAGAGACTCTAATTTTCATTATTATTTGTTTGATTTCCATTATTTTTGACCAAAAAGTGAATGGGACGGTAATCAGAACGCTGCGTTTCGGACGCAAACACCGCAGCGTTCTGAAAAAGTTTTTTACAAAAATTCTTTATTTTTCTTTTTTTAAATTATCCATTATTTAATTTATTTTTTTAACATTTTGAAAAATTGTTGAACTTGCAGGAAGATGAAGGGTCTACACGTGATCATTCCCTCAACTCTGACGGAGGAAGAAGAGGAACTGAAAAAGTTGTTCGAAAAATTCAAAAACTTTGTGAGTTTTATCTTTTTTTCTTAATCTACTGGATTTTAGAAAAGAATGATTCACGACAAGAAAAAAAGTTTTCCCGGTGATCAGCGACAAAACAAAAAAGGAACCAAAAGAGGTTCAGTTTTTTTTAATTACAGGAAATATTTTTCATGATGCTTTTTTCGATATGGAAAAGCGCTTTTAAATTTTTGATTCGTGTTATTTTGAGAATACTTTCAAATCGCGCCTACTTGAATATATTAGAAAAACATAAAGAACTGTTTTCTTTTTCAAACTTTGACGGTTTTTTCAGTGAATCACGATCCTGACGCAGCGGCGGAGGAACTTCGAAAAAAAGTTATGTGTGGATCGTTCACACTGCAGAAGAAAAATAAGAAGAGCACTTTCAAACGATCTCGAGGCTCAGATACGAGAACTTCTTTGAACAGTTCCCAGGTCGGAGAAGACGGAGAAATCTTAGACGATCCGTCCCCTTGGTCACCTTCTCCTTGTCAGTTCCGACTATTCCAAACATTTCTGAAGTGTAGAATATTTCAGCGAACCTAGCCGATTCGGATATAACCAGAGTGCGGCACAATGCTCTTTGTGTACGAGGGATCGACCTCCAGGTTCGAGTTTTCGAAAAAAAGATTGGAAAGTTTGAAGAAAAGAGCCATTTATATTATCTGCTGTAATTTTTTTATTTTTCTAATTTTTTCATTATGAACTTTAAAAACTGTAGCGGCGTATGAATGGGCTATCACAAACTTCTTTTTCATTCATAGCCCGATTTTTTTGAATATATCAAGTATCAAAAATATCGATCTAATCACTATTTTTTTCAAATAAATAAAACGATTATCAATGAACTCTTCTTATTCTGCATCAACGCAAATTTTTTTAGTTTAATGCAAAAAGTTCAAACCAAAAAAATTCAGACTTAACTTACTCTGTTTTTTTCACGCAAGTCGTACAAGGAGGAAAAATATCAAAAATATCCTCCTTTCAAAAAAATTTTTGAGCTCTAAGTCTGTTAAATTCGTTTTTTCAGTCTGATATGCTCCGCAACGCCTTCACTAAATACGGAAAGATAATGTCCATCAATGTCGACAACAATCATAGGTACATTTTTGTTTCAGATCTCTCAAAAATGAGAAAATTTCAGAAGTGCAGTTGTCCATTTCGCCAAAGCCTCCGATGCCGAATATGCAATGAGAAAAGTTTAAATCTTCATTTTCCCCCAAATCAGAAATTCTCTCAGATGAACGGACAAATGCTCAACGGCATCACAATTCGAGTGACAGTAGACAGATCCCACGAAAGCCGTCCGACAAGGTTCATTCCGCCCCAACCGATCCAGACCGAACCTGCGAGCTCATCTTCGAAGTGAGAAGCTCACAGAACTGTGTATAATGTTTGAATGTTTGTACAGAAACTTTCTTTGTAAGAATCTTTATGGCACAGGGGGAAAATTGAGGTTTTCGAAAAGAGTTATATCAGAAAACCAATGATAGCAGGATTTCCCAAAAAAGGCGAGTTACAACCAGGAACAAAAAAATATGTAGGTTTTGAATCCACATATTCAGAAACATAACCGACAGTGCCAGAAACTCAAACCCGAAAAAACGGAGAGATACAACCAGGAACAAAAAAATATGTAGGTTTTGAATCCACATATTCAGAAACATAACCGACAATGCCAGAAACTCAAACCCGAAAAAACGGAGAGATACAAGTAATTTGACACAAAAGGAAAGTATTTAAAGACGAGGAAAATTTAACAGTGAGGCATTAAACGACAACAAAAAATGACAGTGAGACGTTTGAAGACGTAAAAAAATTTAACAGTGATGGCAGCAAGCGCGGTGGTTGCAGCAGTGCCTGTGGCGACAGTGACAGCAGCTGAAAAACGTTTGTTTATTTATTGGAACGGATCAGAATTTCAAAGTTTTCGAAGACACTTCCGTGATTTTGAGATGAAGCTCCCCTAATTGAAAAGTGAAGACATACCTGTGAGCACAGCAATGATGGACACAAGTGTGATGGGCGTTAGGACAGTGGTTGCGATGGAAAGTCAGCTCAGGACTGTGTACAGGGCTGAAAATAAATCGTTACCATCAGCTTTTTCAAGCCTTTTGTGATTCATGTTTTGTCTTTAGAGGGATTCTTTTTCAGAGAGGAGAAACATTTTTTCAATTTCGAGAAATTTTTCATGAGGTCCTTTCAACTTACCACAGAGCCAGTGACGGAGAAGATGAAGCTGGAAGGAAACTTGGGGACGTCGCAGGAAAATAGACATTTACAGGAAGTGAACCAGAAGAATAGACGACTTCAGGGTTTCCGACGGTCGGCACCGGGCCAAAACTGAAATAAATAGTTATTTTTTATTTGAAAGTTTAACTAGATCATGAGTCGTATACGTGCTCTGAGAACTTTTACGTATGTTTTCTATGGCAAAAAAAGAAATGAGTTCAAAGATACCTATGTATCATAGGAGAAACAACGTTTGTAGGACTTGGAACCAAAGCGTTGTACACATTGACGTCCGGGTGGCTGAAAACAAATTGAAATACTGAAGAAAAAATTTCTGTTTCGATCAAGTTTCATTTGTTTGTGACACTGTAAAGCTTAATCTTTTCTTTCTCGCTCATAAACAAATTTTGTTCAATCATCCTGCTGCCTCGTCTCTTTCCGACAAGCAGCGTTAATTTGTGTGGTTGGAAACTGTTCAAAAAAGACTTACTTGTTTTGCGGCGTGACTGGATTGTAGTTCATGTCGTAGACATTGTTCTGTACTGCATATACAGGATACCCATTGACGTCCGTATTGTTGACGACGTTCTGATCGGAGTTGGCCGCGAAATCGGGATAACCGTTGAAGTTCGAATTGTGGACGACGTTCTGATCGGAGTTGGCCGCGAAATCGGGATAACCGTTGAAGTTCGAAATCTGGACGACGTTCTGATCGGAGTTGGCCGCGAAATCGGGATAACCGTTGAAGTTCGTATTGTTGACGACGTTCTGATCGGAGTTGGCCGCAAAATCAAGATAACCGTTGAAGTTCGTATTGTTGACGACGTTCTGATCGGAGTTGGCCGCGAAATCGGGATAACCGTTGAAGTTCGAAATCTGGACGACGTTCTGATCGGAGTTTGGCCGCGAAATCGGGATAACCGTTGAAGTTCGTATTGTTGACGACGTTCTGATCGGAGTTGGCCGCGAAATCGGGATAACCGTTGAAGTTCGTATTGTTGACGACGTTCTGATCGGAGTTGGCCGCGAAATCGGGATAACCGTTGAAGTTCGAAATGTGGACGACGTTCTGATCGGAGTTGGCCGCGAAATCGGGATAACCGTTGAAGTTCGAAATGTGGACGACGTTCTGATCGGAGTTGGCCGCGAAATCGGGATAACCGTTGAAGTTCGTATTGTTGACGACGTTCTGATCGGAGTTGGCCGCGAAATCGGGATAACCGTTGAAGTTCGTATTGTTGACGACGTTCTGATCGGAGTTGGCCGCGAAATCAGGGATAACCGTTGAAGTTCGGGACATCTTCCGCGTCGACGACTTCTGTGTTAGTATCATAGACGGGAAATTCAGCCACGTTTTGAAATCCGGAGCAATCTCTCCCGACGGATAGATCTGAAAGAAATTTGATTATCATCAATCGAAAATGTGTGTAAAGAAACTCACAAAGTAAGAAATTCCATGTTTGTAGCACTCGAATTCGATGAACTCTACAATGAGCGACTTGGCGTGATGAATACTTTCCTGAAAAACAAAAACTTATATTTAGAAATAAAAAAAGATCGTTAAGTTATATCAAAGTTGCAGAACAATTATTGCAAAAGGAAACTAGATTGCAGTACAAAAATAACTCACCGGGGTTCCGATCAAGTGAAAAGTTGAAAGCCGTTCTTGGACGAAGGTAAGCAGCGTTCAATCGAATTTTGCACCCGGAGATCTTTTGAATACAGTTCAAAGTGAAGTTGACCGGTCCCAAGACTGAAAAATTCAGTTCTTTCGAAGAGAAAAATGATAAAAAGTCTACCTTTTCCTTGGAAGACGACGCTCACGCGCAGACGTTCGTAGGCGACCGAAGGTTTTCTGAAAGTTTTTCTTAAATTTCTTTGTCGATATGATAATTTTGTTCGAGTTGTTATTCCAATTTACTTAATACTGGCGATTTCTAGGATGAAATTCTGTCGAGAGCTACTTTTTCGGCTTTCTATGGTTACTCTTCCTTAGCCCCCCGTGGCCAAGATATCTTCTTACGACTTTTTTTCCCACTTATACGATTACTTTGTCATTTATTTATTCCAATGTAACAGAAACTAACTTGTTGAGAAAGGTCTTGAACCGATTGAACTCGCGAATCCATCGACCTATTGAGCGACGCGTCAATGCCTCGAGGCTCATCTGTCGTCGTGTTCAAACCGTGCGCAGGAAGAGATTCTAAAATTATTTCGCGTTATTTTTTTCGAATAAGTAGTTTTTTTCCATCACGAAAAAGATTAAAATTCGTTTTCATCAAGAAATAATTATATTTCATTCAAAAGTATAAGAAGAACTTACCCTTGGAAGCCTTTTTGTCATCAGAAACTTTCTTGGGTGGAGGCGACCAAAGGCCTGAAAATGGTAGTTTTAGTGGTTTTCGAATATTGATCAGTTACTAGCCACTCAAAAAAGGAAACTCACGTCTTCTGTAAGCCATGTCCGATGGCGCCCAGTACGATACAGAACTGAATTCGGCATTGTTCTCGTCTGCCGGAGATTCTTCTTTGGACTTGTCCTTCGTATTCTTCTCAGATGACGGCGTGAATGGAGCGGCCTTCAAGTTCCACGAAGAGCTGGTCTTCATACGAGTCTCGGCGCGATCTGAAACATTTCCAATTGAAAGTTTTCCACGCAAGTTTTTTTCGTTTCAGAAAAATAAATATAACTTTGTTTATTAGATTAAGAAATCTTGACTCACCACTTTGAATAGACATGGTGTTCAGTCCATCAACAAGATCTTGAGACTCGTCTTTCGGTGGCAATTCGACGGTTTCTTCAGCCTTCGCCTTTCTTTCTCAGCTTGGAGACGTTTCGATGCAGATTTCCTGGCCATCTTTCTCGTTTACTGCAAATTGAGTTGATTTAAAAGGAGAAGTGAAAAAAATTAACAACGGTAGAATCACGCGACAAAATTACACAAACGGCAAAAATCAAATCGTTCCGACCAAAAAAAAGACTTAAAAAAATTTGAACTATGAGTTTGCAATTTTTCAAAAGGCTATCTCATGCAATAAGAAATATTTTTCCTCTTATGATGAGGTTACGGAAAAATAAATCCATTCAGAAACTTGCGAAAAATTCCAAATTCTTAGAATTTTCAAAGATTTTTTTCATTCATCGTAAAGAGCAAAAAAATTACTTAAAGGTGTATTTGAAAAAAATGAAAAAAACGAGGAAAAATAAATGTATAATGAGATTGGATTCATTTTAATAATGACAAAAAAATATAGAAAAACTACATAATGAACGTGTATCATTCACATTTCGGAGATTCTCCAGGTTCTTACAATTCAAACAACAACTGTCTCTTCAACACAAAAAAATCATGGCCTGAAACTCGAGAAAAAAAGATCCGTTCTGTGCAAGGTTTGAAGTTTTTCGGATAAAGGTTTACAGAATTCCATTCTTTTTTTGTTTGTTATACTCACGCTTTTTTTGTCCAATTTCGGCCTGTTTTTATTTTCTTTCTGGTTACGGTAAGAGTTCTTTTTCAATTCTTTCTTTCCAAAGAGTTCTAACTGATCTTTCCTTCTTCGATCATTTTTCCTTTCAAGATTTCCAAGGAGTTTCTCAGCTTTTACCCACAGTTTTATATGTCTCTTCAGAAAAATAGTTTATTTTTGGAGTTTGAATCTTTTTTTGGTCAGGGCTATGACACCCAAACTCGAAGGATACAAAAAAATAAATTCCACGCAAAAAGTAGCACCAAGAAATTACGTCGTTCGGGGGTTTTAAAACCAGCAAGAAAAAAAGACCGGCAACAAAATATACACGTTTAGAAATTGCAAGATGTTACCCAATGAGAGAGTTGGCACAGGTGATACATTGATCTCGTTAGGTAAGTAAAGCAGAAAATTCTAAAAAGCATCAAACAAATAATGGATTGATAACGTCAAAAAAGAACAATCAAATGAAGTTTCACATGGGAACGCCAAGTCCTCTGTGGTAATTATACGTTTTGATGAGTTTCTTGGCGTCGTAGCCGTGAGCAGCGATCAAATCTCCACTCCTCCATTCCTGGATCGTCGTTTCGCGAGTCCAGAAGACAAACGCCGGGTTATGAGTGGCAAGGATGTCGGCTTTTTTCGCCAGAATTCCAGCATAGATATCATCAAACGAGTACTCCTGAAAAAAAAAAACACTCTCATGTCACCTAATGATTTTTATTTTATTTTTCGAAACTAAAACTATATTCGCAATTTCCAAATGTTTCTGCGCAAAAATAAAAAAACGAATGCCTAGAACTTTGCAAAGTAAAAAAAAACTGTTAAGTTGATTATAATAATTTAATTTGCACAATTAAACTCATTAAATAATATTTTACTTAGTGTTCATAAAAAAACCAATAAAAAAACGGAGTCCTGTCACGCAGAAAACTTGAAAAACACTGAAAAAAATGCGTTTGAAAAAAAGGGAGCAAATTTTTTTCGAGTTTTTACTGTTCTCTAGACTATTAAAAAGTGTAAAAGTAAACTCAGAGGAAGATATTTAAATAATATAACATAATGTAGTTATCAAATACAAAAAAAGAAAAACATAAAACATACCGCTTTCCATCAACTCGATCGTGTTGAGGAACTGGTTGCCGTTGAAGCCGCCAACTGCATAAATGACGTTCCCCGCGGTGACGACAGCATGAGTATTGGCCCTGAAACAAAGAAAAATAAAGAAAAAAACACAAAAAAACGACAAAAAAACAATTAAAAAAATAACGAGAGAATGGGAGAAAAATTTCAAATGTTTCGATTGCGGACTTTGTAGTCCCGCAAACAGCCAAAGCTACAGCCGTCTTGCAGTTGCCTACCGTAATCTCTAAAAATTAAATTCGCTGCGTGTTCCGCTCTTCTTTTTTTGATTATTTTTTGTTGTTTTCTTTGTTGTATTATTATTCTAGTTACATAATAGTTTGTTCTTGATGAAAAAACATTTGATTTATAATGAATTGTTCATTTCGTAGACTTTTGTGGGAGTCAAATTTCCGTTTTTTTGATCTTTTTTGCGTGTTATTCTTGTAATACGCGTGTCATTTGTTTCCTTATAGTGTCTAAATGATATTTTAATCTCATTTCTGAAATATTTAGTGTTGATGGACCACAATTGAACCCGCATAAACCCATTTCAAGGTGTCACTAACGAGTTCTATTCACCAGAAACCTTTTGTTTTTTGACTATTCTTATTGAATGCATGTTTTTTTCCACTGAAGAAAAAAAGTTTCTTAGATATTATTTATTTCTGTTGGTAATATTTTTTTATGTTACTTCATAGTTCAACTTTTTCTCCACATGTTTTCAAAACGTCACTACTTAAATTCCTCTTTCTCATTGATAATTGCAAAATTAAAAAAACTGCACTCGATTCAATTTTCGATATCATTCCAAAAATATTTTCTTTTTACTTCTGTGTATAAATGCTGTGAAATAACTTTTATCGCAACAAAAAAACGGCTGGTTTAAATTATTGAAAAGGTGTTCGACTTTTTGCGCTCCCTATTCTTCATGGAAATTGATGAATACTTGATAATAACGTTTTCTTCAAGTTTGAAGAATGGAAGTAACAAAGAAAGCGAAAAAAAAACAACATTCTTGGTCAGGATTATCCGCTACGAAATGAAATAAAAAAATGTAGGAAATGAAAAAAGTTCTCAATTCAAGTTTTTGAGAATTTTTTTGACGGAAATAACTGGCGATAAAAAATGTTGCTAATTATAATTGTGTAAATTAAGGCAAGAAAAGAGTTTTCAATCTATGAACGGTGTAATATTAAGGTAAGTATGAACGGAGATAAAGAAGATATACAAAAAACTGAAAAAAATTAACATGTGAGTTCTTAATAGTTTGTTAACTCATTTGTGAACGGAATCCTGCACGGATTCGTTTCCGGCCTTCGCGTGTCCAATGGCGTCGACCCCTCGCGACTTTTTCTCCGTCGTTCCAGAATCTTGCGCCTTGTGAAAGCCTGAAATTATTTTCAACTGATTCACCTTCTTATTTTTAGTTTTTCAAACTAAGCAAAACCAATAGTATTTTTACAGCTACTTCTTTCTCGGGAGTAAAAAAAACAACAACGCACCAACAGCTTCTTCAAGGTTCATCTGGTTTTTTAGATCTCTTTTAGCGGATATGAAAGGCGTAGCGTTCACATTTCATTCAAAACTGATCTTTTTGAATTCAGGAATCTTGGCACTGTCCAAGAATATTTTTACAAAAATTTATAAATATTTGTCAATCAGTCAAGTCAAATATTAGGGTGGCAGAAAAAAAATGCGTCTTTTTGATTGCACTTTATTTTTTCAAAAAAAGAAAAACAAGGTTATCACTAATCAGCAACGTCCACGTAGAGAATGGATACTCTCTTTAACATACTAAGTCGCCTGGAACTCAATAAAATGTCACACCTAAATCTGGGCCTAGTTGGAGTTTTTGAAAGTTTTTTGGGTTGTCAAATGATCCAATGATTCAGACGGATGATAAATGCAAAGAACCATGTCTGAGATTTGTAGCGGAAAAAGCCGAACTTTGCAGCTAATTTTTCTGATTTTGCGCTGAGACATTTTCGCAGAAAAAGAAAAAGCGATATTGTGAAGCAATTTTTAGAGGCATTTTTTTCGCCTTGGCGTCGCATTTCCTAAAAGTTTCCCCAAACTCTGAACTTCTTCTTCTTTGTGGTTGTCCCGTTTCGGAGTCGGTTTCTGTACTGCGCTGAGATCAAACCGCCGCGGTTTTTTTCTAAGTAGTCTCATCAAGTTTATCTTCTAATCTGTATAACAATGGAGTAGTGGAACCTACTATTCTTGGTGTACTGAGGGAGAATCTCAGCATTTGCGAGGGTTATTGCTATGGTCGGAAAGCTCATACGGCTCTCATTTTTTGCGCTCCAATGCAGGAAAAATGTTTTTGTTGCAGACATGGGGGTATAATGACTGAAGAGTCCGTTTTAAAAGTTTATGACTTGAGTCCAATTCAATGGCATCTTTAAAAACTCTTTGTCGTCAATTTATTTGTGTTTTTGGTTTTGAAATATTTTTTTTACCGAGTGACTAGCGTTAGAAAAAAATTCAAAAATATAATATCAAGAAGAAACATCATTGGTAGTCATAATATTAAAACGTGATAAAAATTCTGCAGTTGAGTTGCAGTTTTTTTAAAATGATGCGAAAAACTAGGTCCGCCAATACAGTTTTTCGGAAAGACGTTATCAAAGCTATTTTTTTATAGTCAGGCAGAATATACTTTAATAAATTATATATAAAATAATGCACAAAGACAAGTTCTCTTAAAAAAATACTGCTTCTTGGATGAATTGCAAAGCCGACAAAAAAACGGCGCGTATTTCTTTATTGCCACATTAATATAACTCTTTTCCGCGTTAGCACGAGAAAATACGCCGCAGTTCATGCGAATGAAAAAACTACTTTTCAAAAATAAAGAAAACTTTCATTGGGACAAATCTTTGAAAGTAGTCGCTCAGAACGTTTTTGAGCCTTCTGACGACTCAAGTAGTTTTTTTAAACTTGTGGCTTACCAATCGAAAGACGCTCATTATCCTTTTTGTTGGGAATAGTCTTCTGCGTACGATTGAACACGACCTTCTTCTCAAACTTCTCAGGTTCTTTTTCGTAGAAGCTGCTCTTGGCGGTAGTCTCTGCAAAGTTTTGTTCAAAACCTTTACCCGACGCATTTTTCAGTTTAAAAGCTCAAAGGTAAGTTCTCTCGAAAGCATTCTCCTTTTTTTTCATCAGTAGCTTCGAAAACCGATGATAACAACGATATCTCGAAATGACTTTTTTCTTGGTTTCCTATTTTTATCTCAATGTTAAAACATTTATTTCGGAGGTTCAAATTATTTTTCATTCAGTTTACAGTAAACATAAAATTTTAAAACCATTTTAATGTTGAGAGCATTTTTTTTGAAATTAAATCATTAAATAATCGTTCAAAAAAACGAAACCTTTGACTGGAGTGCAGCGTATGCCTTTTGAAAAAAAGAACTAAATTTTTTTGAAAAGTGCTTTTTGGATGAACATGAGCCGACTGAGTCTTTTGCTCCGCGCTTCCGGAATCTCCTGAAAAAAACGGCTTCACTTATTTCAAAGCTCTTTTTTGGTCGATTTTCGAATTTTTATTTTGCTGAACTTTCAATGTGTTTGAATATTGTCAAGTAAGAAAATTGAAAAAAACAATCGGTCATGAGTTTTGCAGATTTTTCAACTTTGATTGTTCTCAAAGTAAATTAAAATTCGAAATAAATTTTTGAATCAAAAAAATAATTTTTTTGATTAATAGTATGGATGATGTTCCTAACACATGTGTGCAAACCGTCCGGAAAGTTCTCCACATAAACAAAAAGAGACGCGTTCTCTTTACACACACGGATCTGTATATGAGGAAACAGAAGCGGTATCTCGGACGCCCCAAAAAACAGATGTTTTTGTTTACTCGATTCTCCCAACATGTCGATTTTGCCCAACTCACATTCGATTACTCCATTGGCGGCTTAGAGTTAACTCAAATAAAAAGGAAATAAAGCCTGAATGCAATTCCGATGAAACTTCCTGAGTTCAAAACTCCAAAAAAGAAAAAAAAAATCTGCACTTTTGCCTTTCAGTGATACAATGACCCTAGCAGAAGACCAAATGGGCAGTTTTTTTAGACTGATCTGAATGCAAGCTGTGTCAAGGTATCTCTAAGCCAAGAACTATCGACTTCTGAACCGAACACCTTTTACACCAATTTTGTTCAACTTCAAAAGTAATTCACTTTTCTCATCCACATCATTTCCACAGTTCCGTGAGACTGTTGCGAAAGCTTGACGGTCCACTGGAGAAGGGCTTCGCTTCAGATTTTTTATGTAGTTGGCAATATCTTCCAGTGTTTTCGGGGAGCTGCTAGCAACGTTCGACTCATCAACGGTGGGCGATTCTCTAGGACCTGAAATCCTCAATTTGGTTATATTATCTTCATTTTAATCGATAAAAGGGATTATAAAAACCAGAAAAAGTTTCATTTTCAGTTTTACAATGTATAAATCTCATGGATCAAGAACAGTTTTTCAAAATAATGTTATCCACTGTATTTTGAGGGAAATCAACTTAAAAAGGAGAATGCCTAAGGAATTTCCTTCTGTATCAATTCGAAATTCCTGAATAAGTAATTCGCTATACTTTCTAGTTTTTCTGTCAAACCAAGACTTATGTAGTCCTTAGAACTTACAGAGTACTTTTTGGGTCAAGAGGCGGGAAATCGTCCAGGTTGTTGAGGTCATGAAGCTCTGGAAATAACTTATAAAGAAAAAAACAGAGATTTTTTTAAATATTTTCGGTAGGTACCGAGTTGAATAACCAGTTTTTCTAAACTCCCAAAAAAATTCTCACAAAGGCTAGTCATAAACTTACTGGTTACCATGGGTCGTGCACGCAAGAAAGAGCGGGACACTTTCGAAGCATAAGACGCAGACTTTGATGGGAGCTGTTGACGGTCCATTGGACTAAAGTTGCACCTAGAATCAAAATGATGATAGAAATGGACAGTAGTGGACGGAATGAGGTTTCTATTAGGAAAAAGAATGGAGCGGAAACATACAAAACAGATAGTTCGGAGATAAGTACCACTCGGCGAGAAAAATGTGAAAAGAAAAAAGTTTTAAAGCACGCTAGAAATAGCTTTAAAATCACTGTCTCGAAAAAAACGACGAAAAACATTATCACGTTAGAACGTAATTTTTCGAGCTTTTTTTCAGAAAAAGAAATCCTTACGTTAAAAACATTTGAGACATTCAGAAATGTTAACAACGAATGAAAAGGTTGAACCTCTCCGGAGAAAAGGCGAGGAAAAACAAAATGACGGTTGTTCGCCCTAAAATCTGTTCCGGAGGCTGCGCATTTCACGATAAAAAAATCGATTAGTTCAATCTAACTCTTCATAAATCTGTTTTTGATAGAGGTTTTGCACTGTGAGGCTTTTCCTTTCAATTTTACTGAAGAAAAACATCGTTTTTCATCGATATATGACAGCAAAAAAAAAAAAGAAAACGTAGCGTGTTCCGTGCAAAAGAAAAGGCTGCTGGTCCGTTTTAGGCACCAGTTCAAATGGCGCAAGATCTCGTGGCCTGGGAAAATTTTTCTGGCCAATGCTTTCGAAAGATGTTTGAATGAAATGGTCTCGATGCGTTTTTGAACAGCTTACCATCAAAACACTTTTTTTTGCTTAAAATGACCTAATACATTTTTTTCATGTTTTTGGAAATAAAACCATAAAAAAGTATATCCTTACTTATAAACGAAGAAATTAATGATGAACTTTTTTAACAATTCACATATATCTGGGAAAAGCGGTTCTTAAGGGAGAAGAAAAAAGAAAATCTTGAAAAAAAAACACGTACAGGCTGCTCGACGCAAGAGTGGAGGAATGACCAGCCGCCGTCGTTGGCAACATCCGAAAAAAATAACTTGTGACATCGGAACAATGCGTCACGGCACCAGCTGGCCCATCATCTCTCCTTCCCGAAAAAAAGCGACCGGCTCGCGTCTCGAACGTTCTTCTGTACTCAAAGTAAGCCGCATCAGAAAAAAAAACGTTGTGATTTGAATGATAAGAATGTGACTTTTTCGAAAGTTCTTTACGTTTTTCGATAAATGAAACATTTTTTGAAAAACTTTGAATCAAGTTTACTCTTTTGATGAAGTTTAATTTTTCATGTTTTTGGCGTCAATCTATGTTTTAATAAGTCAGCATTTTTCTTCACACAGCCTTTCCTCAAAGTACTCGGACCGCCTTGAGCAACTCGATGTCTCTCCATTTTATCTCAGACAAGCTACATCTGACTTCCGAACTCTTTATGAAAATTATTTCGATAATTGATCATTTTTCTCAGTTCGAACTTTTTGCCCTGAGATCCAAGTCAAGGCGAAAACCACTTTGACTGGATTTCGGGAAAAGTCAGTTTTCTACTAATTTTCTCTTGAAACATTCCTACCAAACAAGCTCCCTTTCAATTTTCAGTTCAGCTTTTTGCGGAAACTTTGGCGATTTCCTTCGTAATTCACAAAATAAATTATCTCTGAAAAGAACCTAAAATTGGAATTTAGTGAGTCAGTCAAGTTGAAGCCTTTCGAGAAAATCGGTTTAATATTTTTAGTTTTCAACCATTCAGTTACGAGTGCATTTTGTAAAGCTCCAGTGCTCTATGTCCATCGCGCTATGTGAGAGGGAAGAAAGTTGTTTCAAATAATTTTTTTAATCAGGAATTTTTGAAAAAAAAAATTTTTAAAAACAATTCCATCCAAAAAATGAGAGAATTCGAGCCAGAGGAAAAAAATGGAACCATGTCGAGCCGTTTCAGAGTTCCAAATTAGATGTTGTTTCTAGTTATAAGCAGTTATCGAAAATTCCTCTCATCTTCCAAAATTCACTCCATTCTCGAATGGACACTATCAAAGTCTTTGCAAAATAAGAGGAAAACTGAAAAAAACAATCAATAAAAAAACAATTGGAACAAACAAATCAAAATGAAAATAATGATATATGCTCATATTCGCAGATTGAAGGTTCAGATTGTCGAACGGAGAGTGTTTCAAGACAAAGTCAGTCCAATACAAAAGACGCTCTTCAGCAGAGAAAGGTCGGCTCAGCATCAACTTGGAAAGTCGAGCGGCGTTGTTGGAGTACCTGAAAAGGGAGCCATCATGGGGAACTAAATAATTTAATCACTTCTGATCTTCCAAGATTGTGTTGATAACATCAAAAAAGGAAGTGTTAGTGACATCTTGACGCAGAACCATCTGAGAAAAACTGTTTAACGATAATCTTTGATAACCTAACTTTTCCAGATCCTCGTCGCTCAACTGTTTTGGCGTTGCGGAATTGGTCTGTGAAGATAGGAATTACCATCATAGGTGTCCCAAAAGTCATTCCTTCAAGTACACTGTTCATCCCACCATGAGACACAAACAATTTCACGTTTTTATGCTCTGAAAAAGGCTCGCATTTTCAAAAGGATCCAAGTGGCTCACTCAAAACGGCGATTTGGGGAGCCCACTCCAGAAGTTCTACATTTCTGACGTTTTTGAATAACAGTTTCGTAGTTTTGTCTCCTGAATATTATGAATTGAATGGAACACTGAGCTAATTTAACTCACCTGGCGCAGTTTTCAGAAGAAATTGGTATTCTCTAAGCTTGACGATAGTGTTATAAATTGCCATTCTCACATTGTCTGGCATCAAGTGGAAAGGCCCCACAGTTCCGAATGAAATGTAGATAGAGCCTTTCTCACTTTTGTTCAATATTTCGTCCAGTTCCTGACCAATCGAAAGAGGCTCATCAAAAGGTACACTTACAGGGCTTATTTCAAAGGTTTTGTTAGCTCCTAGCAATCCGACAAAGACGAATTTGTGTGAAATCGGACGCGGAAAGTCCAACATCTCGTTGGTATTCACAAAGTTGAAGCTGGTTTTCCGAACCAAATCACTCACATGAGGGAAATCAGGTTCTATGTGCTTTTGAAAAACCTAAAGGAGACAGCTAAAAAAATATTTCTATTGATAAAACCTTATGAATTCTATCCGAAACTGCACGAAAAGCGATATTAGCAGAAGTGTACTTCCAAGTATTTTTCAAGCGCTCCAAAAAACTCATTTGATCAGAAAGAGCATTTTCTTCCATAGATGGCACATAAGAAATAGGAGACGGTATTCCTGGGAGAAAATAAGTTTTTTACGTTAATTTTTCAAAATGAACCGTTGTCATAGGCAATATAATCCATGAGGGCTTCACTTGAAAGCAAAACAGTGTTTCTGATGCCAAGGTATCTCAATAAAAACATTATTAACGGTAAATACTTTCATCATTTTACTCGAGAACTCCGAAATTGCAGAAGTCGATGTCTTCTACGAAAGCCAAATCAAAGTTGTAATCTCGCAGGAAATCCAGCCGATGTCTATGGATCAAAACGTCTAAAAAGAAAAAGGCTTCCTTCAAAAACAAAGTAAAACTGAACCTTCACACATTTTCACCCAACACTGTGAATCAAAATAGATCTTTTTGAGTATTCCCAGATCATGGCTGGCAAGTACTTTAGTCCACTCGCTTTCCGATAAAGCATTGTCGAAGGCGTCACCTTCAACCTCAACGAAGATAAAGAATTTAGATAGACTAACGAACTGATGTTTGTTACACGTATCGTCTCTGCATGTTTGGCGGGGGAATAATTGTCTAAAGCAGAGGTATAGCTTGGAATGAAAAACACCTGGAACAGCAGGATGAAAATGGATAACTCAAAAAAGCTGACCACTTGGTGTCCGCCAATATGAAGAGCATCTGCGTATTTTGCACACAGCAAAACGTGACTTTTACTGATTGAGGGACAGTAGACTAAAATTTTTGCGCAATTGACTAGTCTGATTAGAAAAATGACACAGAAGACCAAAAGTAGACGCATAACCTTCTGAAAAAAACGGCGATGTTGGTGCACACCAAAGTTCTTCCCTCGTCTTTGATTAGATAAGGGGAAATGCGCGAGTTCGTCTCCTTGTCATCGGAACATATTTCAGATAGTCATTGATTTGATTAGTTGTTTTTCCCCAACTCTGTAGCTGTTAAAAGTAGGAAAAACTTTTTTTCTTCATTTTTCGAAAGTTATTTCATGCTTTTTTTTACAAATTACAAGATGGAATACTATTAAAAACCTTATACAGAAGTCAAAAAAATCTAAGAGAAAAAAACGTATAAGAGAAGATGATGCGAAAAAAATAGTCAGTATTAATTCTAATTCTTCTTATCGTTTTTTTGTCAATCATTTTAATTTTCAATTTTTCAACTAACTAGCTAAAAATTTATTTCTCAAAATCAATTTCTGGTTATCTTCATAGCCTCTGGAGATCTGTGCTTCCGAGTTTTTTCAAAACTTCATGCGAAACTTGAATTTTCGTGTCAAAACATTTCTACTCAGAGGTGAGCAAAAAAGGCATGATTTATCAGAAAAAGATAACTTAATAATTTTCGAATTCTAAAATTATTACACGTGGTGAAATTAAAAAGTGAAAGATTGGAGTTTGACTTCTGTCGTGAAAGAGATGACACGAGATCATTCGAAATGGAACGAGGCTTTTTCAGGCAAATCAATGAAAGCAACAACTAGTCATGACCTAAAATAGAAATGTACATTTAAATTCAATAAATATTAAATTAGAAATTGAAAAATGGTAGTTCAAAATAAGCAGATATTATGCACATAAGGGCTTTGGAACCTAATAAAAGAATTTCGATCATCTTTCAAGTGATGTCAGGCTACCCTTAGAAAATACATGAACAATTTTGAATAAATTAATGCTACGATTCTAATTCGAGAAAATGAGCATCAACGAGGTGTGAAGAACGAATAAAAGGTGAGCAGAATATCGCCGGAGATAGGCATTCGACAGATTCTGAAGATCTGCCAAAGCAAGGTTGACCTCCGCCGGAAGTTGGTGGCGAGACACATGCTCGTAACCTGGAATAATTTTCTTGTAGAGCTTGAAAAAAGAAGATTTTGCTAGGCTTTTTGGTGTTCTAATGATTTCTTATTTGCTGTCACGCACTTGGAAATACCTTTCTTTGAAAAGAGAAAAAATATAATTTTTTACTTACACTTTAATTTTGACGAGGTTTTCGAGAAGGTTCAAAAACGTACTTTGCGGCGTTTGAAGCAAAAATAATTTTTGTTCAACTTTTTTTTCGACTTTGAATAAATCCCCCGAAGTCAGAAATTCTTTGAGTTCAGAAAACTCGCCTAAATCCTTTTTATAATACCTTTGACTAAACTCACGCTGATGATAACTTCAAAATGTTATCAACCAAGCTTTGTACAAAATGAAACGTATTTCATTATCTTATCTTATCACGTTTTCATGTTTACAAATGCACTTTTGGAAAACCTCGTTCTTGTGCCAAACCCGCAGTTGCCCATACAATGAGACCATTCGTTCCAAGCCGACCATTCTCCGTCGTTTTCTAAATTATTCTTTTTTTTTCGGAAGGATCTTTTGTGCATTTTTGCAACCAAAAACATGCAGTGTTCATGCAAAATTTTTCTACTCTGAACGAAAAAACATTGCGATTTCAATGATCTTCGCGCTGAATTTTTAGGGGATTTCATTTTTTTTTTCGAAATTTGGTGATAGAGTGAATAAGATTTATTTGTTTTATTGGAAAAATTCACTGTAAATCATTTTCTCTCAGTTGGGGTAAAAAAATAAATTGATAAGCTTTTTATATTACAGATTTTAGTTTTTTTGTTGCAGGAACATTCATCTTCACCAAACATTTTTTTGATATGAAAATTTTTTTAATTTTTTTAAAAATGTTCTGAATTACGAGAGTTATATCGCTGAAAATTTTTTCATGTGAACAATATCTGAAAAGACGGGCAGTGACATGCAAGCGAAGACTGAGAAAATAATTGAAACGAAGAAATAAAAACGAAGATACCGTGATCGCAAGCGGGGAGCTGACAGAGCGACGTCTGATGAGCGACGCCGACGCAGGAATCGCCTCCAGAAGGCTTCGGCGAACTGCAAGTGCGCTCTCTCGACTGAACTCCGAATCCGCACTCCGCAGAACATTCAGACCAAGCCGACCAAGCTCCCCATGCACCTTCTTTAGCTGAAAGCGTGCCCAAACAAAGGTGTGAACAACCGAGCGAGTGAACAAGGAAAAGTACGTCGATCAGCTAGCAGAATATGAATTTCGAAAAATCAATGGATTTGAAAGCTGCACAATCATATTTACGACAAGTTTCAAAAAATATTAAACTTTGAAAATTTTTTCTAAATTTTCGATTCAGTCATGAGGAAAGTTTTTGAGCTTTCAGACAGCAAATTTGAAGCTCACGAGAAAGGTGATTCTACTTTGCGGTTGTGAATTCACTCAAACCAAAAGATCACTTCCAGTTTTTGAGAAATTAGGGCTTAAAGCCTCAAAAAAGCCTTTTCGATAGATTTTTAGGGTTTTTTATCGACTTTGAGGTGGTTTCTCAAAAACAAGGAAGATTCACAGGCTGAAATTTCAAGAATTCTCATCCGCTACATCAAGAAGAATTCTCGTTGAAATTATTAACTTTTCCAACCGCAAAGGAAAATGACGTTCCTCGCCAGAAACAAAATATCGGGTACTAACAGAACCATAGAACCCATCACCAACATGCAACAGCTTTGTGAAACTTTTAAACAACTAACAATGACACCGCGAAGGATCGAAACAAGGCTGAAGTTCGAAATCTGAACCGAGGCATGGATTGCCGCCTTCAGAAGGACGAGGATTTGCACAAAACCTGGAAAAAAGTGTTTAAAGTCTGCGTCCAAACTTTTTTTAACCTCGTTCTGCTTTTATGACCGTTGCGGCAGTGGTCGGTACATTCGCTCCAATCGGTCCATTCCGTCCAGCCGCCGTCGACTCTTTTCCCGCAGGCCATGTTCATCACGCAAGCCCTCTGGTCGAACGAGTACCCAGAGCAGTAAGCCCCTCTGAAAATTCGGATGAAAATCAAGAACAAGATCATTGTCAAAACCTCGACCACAAAACTTTCAATTATTATTATTTTATCAAAACTTTCCCAAACCTTTGTAAAAAATATTTTAAAGTAACAAACTTTGATTGACTTTTCATTATTTCAATGCGCATTTCCTCTCAAACAAGTCTTCTAGCATGTAAGCTTCTTTCAATTCGCGGTTGAGAATATCCTTAAAATTGACCACTCATTGACGTATCAGAAAAAGATTCAGAAGTCTAGCAGAGATTCCTGGTTTTTTAACAAAGACTCCCCAAAGTAGAAGCAAACCCTAAAAACTTTTTGAAATGACTTTTTTTTGAGTCATGAGCATTTATTCATTAAAAACTAGGAAGTTGCACAAGGTTAGTGAGTTTTTCAAACCACTTTTTCAAATTATTTTAAATTGAAAACTGAAATGACCTCCTTTCTGTAATGAAAAGAGAATAGAAAAACGCCGCAATCATAAAAAAATCATAACCCTTGTACCTTTATCTGCTATCAAAAAAAAAAAACTAATCTAAATTTCGAAGAGCTTCAAGGTATTCACTTTTCATATCTATTTTCACTTGTTTCTCACCGGTTTGAGGGAATAGGTTCGCTACACATGCGATTCCTGATTTGATGGCCAGTTCCGGCGCAATCTCTTGAGCACAGAGACCATTCTGACCAGCCTGACCAAGATCCGGCCGAAGGAGAACAGCTCTGAACGGATTCCAATTTCATTATCCTCATTTTTCCAAGCGGAATCTCACGATTGGAACACAAGGAATCTGTTCGAGAATCGGCCCAGCGCAAAATCCTTGAATCGCCGGGTCGTTGACCTGACAGAATCTCCTTCGAGTGGAAGTCAAGGAGAAACAAGAACAAGCGCTCCAGGAAGACCACTCCGACCAGCGTGGAGCTGAAAACTTTTCTCCATGGTATTTGTTGATATAATATACTCTATCGAAATTTCGGACTTGAATGTTTTCTAACATTTATCCCTCAAACGGTGTGAAGAACCACAAAAAAAAACATACTAGCAAAGCTGAATCTGGAAACATTGTTGGTACAATCCGGCATGCTATCGCATCTGACGTGTTCCACTTCAGCAGCGCACTAAAATTGATTTTTTTCATCGTGATAATTTTGTAGTTCCCAGGTGACCAATCAGAAAAGATTGAATCAAGCACTCACCTGGGGACCATTGAAAAGACACAACTTTCTTCTTGTTCGGATTCCTAAACCACAGCTGACAGAACAACTTGACCAGTCGCTCCAAACAAATAACTCTGAAGAAAATGATTTTTGAAACTTGAAAGAAAGGTAATGGAAAACCTAGGCAGGAGTTGTTACTACATTCTTCCTCTTGACGATCAGCAGCATTTTGACAGTTACCTTCAGGACACATCAAACTTCTAGAAATAAAAATTTTTTAAGCAAAAATTAAATAAAAAAAACCTGAAACGCATTCCAGTTCCACAGGTGACGCTGCACGGAGACCACCCCGACCATTCTGCTTTATTTTTGATTTTCTCAATGGGAAGGTTGGGTTTTCCAAATGCCTGTAAAGAACTTTTGAAAGGCTGCCAAGTATTCGAGTACCTTGCGGAGATCTACTCCCGTTATGAGCCTTGGTTTGCTGATAAACCTTTCACGAAGACAGACGTTATCGCAACTTTCTTCTTCACTTTTTTCTGTTGAAAAAAAAAACGATTGGAGAAGAAGTTATTAAAACACTTCTTTTTGAGCATTTTCTGATAACTGAATTTTCACCAGAGATTTAAAAACATCACGCAATCAGAACTTCTCAAAAATATTGAATTCTATGCAAGAAGCTGTGATCAAGAAAGCGATTTTTTCATCTTTTCTTTCGGAGTTGTATAGTTTTCCCTTTAACTCAAAAAATCAAATCTCCTAACTTTTTGTCAAAGTCCAACTAGTGAAACTGACTTTGACATTCCGGTTGGTCGTCGTCGCATAGAGATGAGCGAGATCGGCTTTCGAAAGAGGAACAGGAAGCACAGGAAGACCATTCAGACCAGCGGATTAACACTTCACAAGGTCCGTTCACGCAGCGCCGTTGCATCGTCGAGTCGGCGTCGTCGCAGTTTCCTGACCACACATTTTTTTGAAGTATTAGATTGATGAAACAGGATTCTCAAAGCTTGAAACAGAAAGCAGCTTGCAAAATTTTGATTATCTCGATTTTCTAACAAGACTTCCAGTTGATCAAAGTTTTTGAGAAAAGGAAAGCCTTGAGCAAGGGCAAGATGATACGATTGACTGATCCAACTTTTTGTCTGTAGTAAACAAAAACTTTCCAATTCTTTCTTTTTTTGGAGAAACTGAGAATGCTACGGACTACTCTTAATACAGAACATCTCGAAGAGTTGTCAAAATTTTTGGGTTTTGAGGCGAAGTAGCTTTCCTCATCCCCTCATTACCTGATCTCTATTCTTTTCTTATCGAACAAAACGTTCTCAGAAAACGCTTTTCAAGTTAAAAAATTTTAAGAAAAAAGAGAAAGAAAGATACCACGTCTACATGTCCTTTCACGTGTCTGAACGCCCTCCCCGCATGTTTCTGTACAGGTTGACCACTCGGTCCACTCGTTCCAGATGACGACTGACGTCACCACAGGACATTGCTGAAGTCATTTTGATTTATAGGCTGTATTATTTCCTGATAGATACCTGTTGATTGCAAGTTCTTGCTTGTTTATTTGCAGTTGGACAGAGTTGGCCGTCACAAAGTCTGGAAAATAAATGTTTTTTTGAAGGTATTTCTCTAGAGCTTGGGTTGAGAAACATAGCGATGACTCATTGAAATAACCAGATCTTAAACCCATCGGGTTATGGGTAGTTCGAAAAAAATCAGAAAGAAAGCAGGGTTTTCAATCAAGACTCGACGAACAGATCTGATTAAGCGACAATTCTCAAACTAGCAAAATTTTTTTCAAAATTTGTCGCGGAAAACGTTTAAAATGGACTGAGATGTTGAAAACCATATTTGTGCGAGAAAAAAAAACATGAAGAAGCGCGAAAAAACTTTTATATGCAAACAGTTTTAAAAATCAGACCAAAAAAAATATCCCTCTTCGAAAATTCAGTACTTTTTCAACATTTGAACATACCTTTCTCTAATCTGGAAGCCAATTCCGCAGGAAACCGAGCATGGCAACCAGTCTCCCCAGGTCTGCTCCACACACTTTTCACTGTTACAAAGCTGCTTTTCGACCGAATCTTCGTCACATTTGTCGTCCAGACACTTCCTAAGATGCTGATTCTTGGAAATTTCCTTTTTTGAAAGTGTCACCTGACACGGTATCTCCTTCCTCCTCCACAAGTTCTAGAGCAGTCCGACCATTCCTGCCAAGACGCCCAGCAACCTTCCTGAATATGTTTTAACAAGCCGTCTTACAGACCAAAAACGAAGTCAGAAAGGTAGACTTACATTGTCGCAAGGTCTGGTTTGTTCCAGAAGAGACTGTTCGCAATTGCCAGACAAGCATTGTCGGTACCGAACTTGCACGCCGAAGCCGCATTTTTTTGTGCATTTGCTCCATTCTTGCCAAGTTCCATACTCTTCGCACTCGAGAGGTATGCCCAAGCATTCTCGTGAATCTTCGAACTTTCCTGGAATTATGTGAATTCTGTGATAAAAAAAGAAATCAATTCCAAACCTTTGCATTTTTGAGGCAAAGAGCACTCTCGCTTACGTATTTGTCTTCCTCCGATTCCACAAGAAATACTGCATTCCGACCAGTTGGACCTGAAAAGTGTCAAAATTTGTTAAGTTATCTAACTAATACACGTTAAGAGTGAAATTATCGGTTTCTAGAGAAAACTGAAGTACAGAAAAAAAAAAGTCAGCAACTCACCACTCTTGCCACTCAAAAGTACTCCGCTCATCAAGTCTCGGGCAATCTTCTTCCAATTCGACCAAGCCTTTACTATCACAGGAAAGGCCCTAAATTTCATTTCTCTGTTTCAAATAACCTGTGATAATCATACCAAGCATTGTCCACCAACGCAGAAAGAACCGTCACCGCAAGGAGTTCCGTCAGGAAATTGGCCTTTGTTTCTGATCAACTCGGAATCGATTAAATGACACCACACTCGGCACGGCTGGGTCGAATCTGAAGTGATGAATTCAATCTCCAAAAGAATTTTATAATTGAAAAAAATAGAGAATGAACCAACGTTCAAAGCCCTCTCCAGTGAGTTGATGATCTGGTTTATGGGGATCGTATTTTATCGAAGAGCAGACTTTGTTTCCAAACTCTTCCCTCGAGTAGCCTGAAAACAGATATTAGAAAAAAAGAAAAAATCTGAGATTTCAAAATGGAAAACACAAAATACCAACAAGTAACAAAATTTAATGAAAAACTTGAAAACTTTCACAATTGTGGATTCTCAACCGATTTTCGTTTCCGCTTTTAATTTTAACTTTCACGTTTAAAGAAAAAAACTCAAAAGAATATCTACCTTGACAAGAACTGATGGTTGATCCACAAACAATACCACGGATCGATGCGCCTCGACAAGTTTGACCGCCGTTGTTAGGCCTGCAAAGTAACATTTCCAGGTATCGAATTCTGATAAGATTCAAATGAATATTTCAAAGCAAAAAAATTGGAGAAGGCTTATTATAATAGAGATTGATTATTTCTTAACAACCAAATTAATAGATGAATATAAGAAACTAACGCGGGATTGACGCAGTCTCGGTGTTGAGGCTGCACTACGATGCTTCCGGTGACCTGACATTGTTGAATGGGACAAGATTTCTCAGCTCCACCCCATTCTGACCAAGATCCATCGATTGGTAAGGGTTGATCCCCAAATTGCCAAGACATGCAGTGTCCTTTGTGGCACCACTGAAAAAAGGATAGAGATTCTAAGGTAATTTTAATGACGTAGTCTTCGTGATTTTTTTGTTTGCTTTATTGAAAATAAACAACAGAAGCTACTCTCCTATGGTTCACGGGTCTCCCTGAAAAAGTTCGACTAATTTTTTGTAGAGATGATAACTATCGATTTCATAGTAGCATAACCGCAACTTGCTTTTTTATAACTTTTTTTTTTGAAATTTGAAGTTGCAATATTCTATACGAATGTTTTTTCGTCACAAGATTCACTCAGAAAATGCTGCTTTTCATTTTTTTCTCAAAAGTTGAAAATTTTCAAGATGGCTAGATGGAAACCTTTTCATCACCGCACCAACTTCCTTCCAGAGCCGGATGAGCTGTTGAAATCGTAGAGCCGCTATTTCCGCACCACAGTATTCTACAGATATCCTGAAATTTTCATTATTATCAAATAATTATCTCTCAAATCTCACATCCATGGACCGTCCGTTGGGTATTTCCACCTTGTATTCACGTCCCCAGAAGTATGAGCACTGCTGATCAGCTGTAAACCGTTGACCAGGGAGCCTGGAAAAAAAAGATGCTCCAGAAACTATTCTAACATAAATGGACCTAGTGTCACTGAGATGGTTAGTCGTCAGAAGGCCTGGTGACGCATCTCGGAGACAGTTTCCTCTGCCGGATTCACTGCAGATGATAAATTGATACTTTTAAAAAGGAAAGAAATATGAGAGCAAAGATACATGATTTTATTTTAAGAAATTTGTTTTTTTCTGAGATATTTATCTAGGAATCTAGCTCAAAAAGAAATTTTTGAACAAGAAAAATGGCGAGCAGAAAAAAATTCCGGTACTGAAGTTTAAAAAAATAAAAAAATAGGAATTAAAAAAACACTATAACGAAACCAGTCAAAAAAACGTGAGTAAAACATGGCGTCCTAAAATAAAAATTCAAGAAAGCAGGTGAAAATCATAATTTTAATGTCGTGTTTTTGTAGGAGAATTTGAGAACCGGTAGGTTCACACTTTTTTGAATAGTAAGAAATCTACAGACCACAAAGATCAATATGTGCGATCTACTAATGTGACACGTTATAAATTTTTCAAAAAAGCTCAAGAAAGTCTCAAAGATAATCAAAAAAACGAACTCGAGCTGAAGCAGGAAAGCGTTGAACTCTCTGACGGAGCATTCCGACCACGTCGTTTTTCCTGCGCCGTTGACCGCCGACATCAAACAGCACGACTTGCTGCATTGGTTCTGCACCCCATCATGTACCATTCCCATGCTTAAAGGTTATATTTTTCTCAATTTTTCAAAAAAATTCTTACTTGTGGCCCATTTCATGAGCAAGAACAAACGAGCGCCCAAGATGGAGGCCTTCAACCAAGGAACATGCGAAAAGCGGATCACACATTCTGGCCACTGGCGCCACCCCTGCTACGGATGTTGTAGTGTGATAAATGTCGTAGCTGTAAATGAACGAAGAGATATGAGTAAAAATAAGACAAATTTAAAAAACTTCCTTCTTTTCTACCATTCACATTTCAAAATCTCTTTGCCTTAAAAATCATCAATTCATTATTCATTTTCTGCGTCGAGTAAATCAAAAATAACTCAGAATTCCTCTCAAAACTTACTCTAACTATTCGGGGTGGTCAGCGTGAACTGGTGATAGAAATCGAAAAATTTGTTTCAAAGATTTCTAGATTTTTTGAGCATCTACTAGGATTGCTTTCAATTCAAAAAAGATCTACTTATTTCTTTTTCACATAATAATAAAAACGGGTACCCTGTGAGCAAAACTCCGTGATCCCAGTGCTGCATGTCTGTCAAATCTGTCCCAGGATTCATGTGAGCTTGATATCGGCAAAACGCGTCCAGAAGACTTTGAGCCTGTCCGTTTCGGTGTACCAGGGTTCCCAAAGCGCTCTGCAAGTTTTTTTCAATTAAAAATTAATTCATTCATTCATTAATTGTGAACAAAAACCTCGAGCAGATGTTAGTACACTTTCTGGATCAATTTATTTTTGCAGCGAAAATGAGAATTTCGTCCATGTATTATAAATTATAAGGTTTTTTTATTGACGATCTGAGGTTGTCTCTGTCTCTTTTTGATCCTGCGATTTTGTTTTCCCTTTTTTTTTCTTTGAAGAATCGCGTAACCAAAGGTCAGAACAAACCGGCTGGGATTTCCACATCTCGTAGCGAACGATCACAATGTCCAAATTTGGCGTCAGGGTGTCTTGTTGGTACAAAACGTGTACATTGTTGATCAATGCCAGAGAAAATTCCAAAAGATGTTGTTCAGCGTCTTGGATATATTCTCTGAAATAAATGATCATTGGCAATGAATAACTTTTTTTTTTTCCAGAGACAATTTTTTTTCTGATTCTGTTTTTTTAAATATAATTTTCTACCAAATTTTTTTGATTAAGAAGCCGTTAGACAGACTTTATTGATTCTCTAATTTGAAGAAACTTGAATACTCTTTTCTGATCGATCTCAAAATAGCGAAACAAATTTTTGTTGTTGTTAGATCCTTCAATCCGACCTTTGAAAATGCTCAAAAAGCTTGGAGTCCAAAAATAATCCGATTTCCAGCGTTATCGGATCCATATTTGGGAAAATGAATGGTGAATCGAGTTGACCGGATGCAGGCACTGTGTAATTGAACTGCAGGGATTGAGCTGAACCGGGTGGTTTTTACGATTTTCCGTGGCGGTCAGAGATCCGCTTCGGTTGGCTTACATGAGGTGGGATCGTCGAGCGATTCACTGGTGTCACAGAAAGATTCCTGCGATTCCTGAAGCCGCGAGATCTCCTCTCTTATACGGCTTTCCGTGTCACTCAGCAGCCCAGCGGCGCGTTTGAAAACAAGATGCTGCTCTTTCTAAAACCGTCAAAATCCTTGAATTCTTCAATTGTCGCGGAAAAACGCGCCTGCAGATGTCTGACGCGGTTGGGCACCGTCTGAAGCACCAGAAAGTGGTCTTCCATTATTAAAGACCCCATGAGAGAGCCGCAGTCCGAGACAGCCGCCGCGCGATCTCCATGCGATTTCACTTTCCCCTGAAAGCCGACGAAACAAAAAATGACGTATCATATCAATTGCGTCATGGGCCCTGTGGTTATGCGAAGAACCTGATAATGACAGTGGCGATAGTTCTGAAGGCCGTTGAACTGAGTGACATTGTCGCCTTGGCGGATCACCGTCACCTGGTTGACAATTCAAATATCAGATTTCCTGTTTTGAGGTTTCAACAAACAACGTGCGGACTGACGATCCGAGAGTTTTTCTTCAGGTGGAGGTGATAAGTGTCGTTCCACGCCGAAAACCGTATTTTGAGATCTCCATTTTTATTGCGAACCCGTTTCGCGTCTATTAAGCTATATTCAGGTACCTGGAAAACTTTGAGATCATCCGATGACAAGGAAAAAATTACCTCATGTTTATTATTAACTCCAAAAACTTGTTTCAATTCCTGAGAGTTCAAGTTGTGATGGAGGGCCTGAAACAGAAAAAAATTTTGATTTAGGTTTTATCGTTGATTCGAGCTGAGACCTTTCTTTTCTGTCATGAATTGAGTTGAATTGAAAAAAATTCTATGAAAAAAATATATTAAAAAAATCAAGTAAAAAAACCATATTTAATATTTTGATTTTTTTGAATCTTTGCCTTAGCGCAAGAGCTTCCAATTTTTATAAAAGCCCTCTTATGACACTACTGTAAAAGAATTTATTCCCAGAACACTATGTGAGAAAAATTCCCGACAGCTTTGAATGGCAAATTCCCAAGTTGCGTACGCTCTCATGAAACCGAAAAAAAAAAGAAAAAAAGTGTTCCCGTTCCTCTTCGGCGATTCGATCTTAAATGCGTGTGGAAACGCCTTTTGCCATTCGATTCATCGAGAAAAAGGAGTTAAATTTGAGTTTCTTTATTCCGGAAAATTGGAAAAAAAAATAACGATCGCAACAAGATAGAAAAACTTTCTGATGGTACGTGATTAATTAAAAAAACTAGGAAAAACTTTGTTGAACGACAGAGTTAAAAAGTACAAATATTGCTTTTCAAACTCAAACAGAATTGAGGCTCAAAAGCCATTAATTCTGCTTCTCTCAAATTTCAAGTTCATCTCATTTTTTCTTGTGAAAATCTGTTAGACTCTGAGCTGAAGTTTTACAGAAGAATGATTCACTGAACGTTGGATTGTACTGCATGAAATCTAGCTAAAGCTCGCAACGAGAAAATGAGAACAAAGTAAAAATAAGAAATGACCAGACAGATTGATTTCAGAAATTTTAGCTTCTTTTCGCTCAACAAGCCCCAAAACGAGCAAAAAGAAATTTTTCAATTTCAAAACCTCGAATAAATGGTTGGAAAAAGTTAAAAACTTAATTTGGATCGAAACTGACCTTCGAAGTGTGCAGTACAAGGGCAAGAATGAAAGTCGGCAGGAACATGAGTTCCCTTGCGATCTCATATGCCGACTGCCAATCCTAGCCAGTTTCGATGCGATCGGCCCGCCACGGTCACAGCCTTGGTGGCTTCCTGCTGTATCACACACAAACTTTTAAACTTGGCAAAGTGACGGAGAATCAGATGAGTCATCGAGGAGAAAGTCAGAAATAAATTAAAGAAATGAACAATAGTGAAAATTGATTCGGAAGATAACATTTCTCAGATAATTTGAACTTATCTAAAATTATATTGTAAATGAAAAGTCGCTTTTTGCATCGGGAAAAAATGGAAACAAAGTTCAACTTAAACAGGAATAAATTGTATAACCGATAGTCTTCCGAATTCACTTTGAAAGCCTTCCATCAATAAATGATTTTAAATTGAACGAATCCAGAAGCCAGACAACCAAGCAAAGAAGAGTGAAAGAAGCAACAAATTGGGGAAGTATATCGGATGGATAAAGATATGGGCGTGTGGCAGGAAAAGCAGATCAAACGGCTTGGCGATGGCTGAAAGCAAACTTCGCAACGGGTCGTGGCATCTCACTGACGATCCGCCGCCCGCCGAAGCGCCAAAAAAGCAGCGATCCTGTGGAAAAACGATCGAGGTTAATAATTGCCATTTACGGATGAAGAAACAAAAAAAAAGCTGTCAGCAGGTTGTGGAAGAAAAATATTGTCTCAAGGTGGGAATCAGAGGCAAACAGTCTAAAAAAAGGTTTCATAAAAAGTTTCCTATTTAAGTCTCGATAAAAAGTAGTGATAAATCATTCTCCCGGCAAAAATAAAGGATATCTTTCGGAGTAAGGTTCGAATTAGTAACTTGAAGGGAATTTTTGAAATACCAGAACTGACAAAAAACGCACTAGAAAAGAAATTGGTTCTCTCAAAAGTTTTATATAATCAACTGAAACTCGAGTGGAACAAAAGTTAGTGATTTTGTGATCAAGATAAAACTTTACGAAAGGATGACTGCATTTTGTTCGAATTTTAACTCCAAAACCAACTTAGACCTAGAAATTGGAAGAACAGCCTCGAAAATTGGTATTAATATCGAAATTCGGAAGATACTAGATAAAATAAATGCAAGGCGACAAACTCTGAAAGTCCAAACAGTTGAACAGGAAAACTTTCCGGAAGTCACAAAACAACGGCGCCATTACCGATAAACTCTCGACTTAAAAAAAAACGAAGCGTGCTCAAAAAAAGTATGATGATTCAAAAAGCTTCACAAAAAGCCCTAAACTATGAGAAGGAGAAGTTCAATTTTTGATCATTTCAGACTTTAAAAAATGCTTCACGGAACTTGGAAAATAATGAGATTGCGGTAGGTTCTCGTGAGGTACGATCCTCAGAAGGCTTGGAAGGAAAAAAGATTGAATATTTAAACATGCGCGAAACATTTTGTGTAAGCGATAGGTCGCTAATTGAAAGCATCAACCGGTTGTTGGGTGAATCAGCGAAGCTTGAATGGCGTCGCTCGAAAGGACGCTACCAGTAGTGCCGTCGCCGACAGCTGGACGGTTCAGCCCAGATATCATGCAGATTTACGGACGCCGCAAAAGATACGATGAGACACGCAGAGAAGCGCGATCAAGAGGGGGATTTTGAACGCTTGACGCGTATGAGAGAAAACCGGCTGGAGAAAGTATAGGTGACTACTCGACGGGCCACCGGCCGGCAGTCGCTTTTCGCTTATACCCCCTGAGGCGTTCGAGGTAGCCGAGTTGTTCCAGCCAGCCTGTTCTCCAGCCTCATCGCCGCCAATTTGCGGTCGGTCGGTCACTCAATTCGGCCTGACGTGAAGGTTGAAGATCCAGCCGGAGAGTCATACCGTTTGTCCATGGGGCGCCGTTCATCGCCGGCTGATTTATTCGGCTGTCGGCGTTTAATCAAGCCCGGATGCACGCCTGTCTGTATAATTGAGGTCGTCCACCTTCTCGTTGAGTGAAAAGCGTGTCTAAGTGACCACTTGGTGGATCAAAACGGTATGAGCGCAGTTAGAAAGAAATTGAAGCTCTTCACAAAAAGTGAAGTCCCAAAAACGATTCAAAAACCAAAAGACAAAGATTTTTTCCATTACAACTGCGGAGTAGACAGTGATAATAATGAAGCTCGGGAGAATTTTAAGTTTTCTAAGAGTTCCACTTCCTCTCAACAAAAAACAGAACGTAACCTCTTTCAAAAACCACAATCATCATAATTATTTTTCCAACAGAAGAATCTCACACGCCGAAAATGAACCAAAATATTTCTTCAGTTTTTATTATCCACAAATTCAAAACTTGGTCAGAGCTAGACCGACATGGAGCTTCAGTTGAACAGCGTACGACGTGCGGATTGTGGGAAGTTTTCGTAGATCGTAAATACTTGAAAACGACATAAAAGTCTTTTTCGAATGAAAGCAAACACCTGTCCCGAATCCTCACGTATTCGAAACGGGAAGTTTTACAAACCGTTCCGTGTGGCTGTTATTGTTGCCAAACAGTTGGACGATATGGTTTTCTTCGGCTAAAACTTGAAAGGAAAAAGAGAATGTTTCAATTTCAACAAGGAAATAATGCACTGCTTTCAAAAATGCAAAGAAGGTTATTGTGCTGTGGAGTCGAATTTCATAATAAAAGTCTCCACAGCTTCAAAGAGTTTTGAAGGAAATTCGCTACTATGACTTCCTGCGCAAATTATTAGTTTGATAACGAATTTCGAAACGTGCAGATTCGTTGATTCCGATTCAGAATATAAGTTGAACAGGGATAATATTTTATTTGTTTGGCATATGACGGCATAGCAGCGATGAAAAAGCAGAATCTTCAAGAACTTTTAAAAATGGTTAGTTGAAATTGCAGATATTTTTGATCACATTTGGATGACTTTTTTTGTCTAATAAATGCTAGTTTTTTTCCTTTCTTTTTTTGAGGAATCTAAAAAAATCTTTAGGTTAAATTTATTGAACTTCTCTAAGAATTATTATTTTTTTGATTCTATTTTTCAAATATTGTGACGAAAAAGTTCAAAAAAAGTTTAAAAAAACTCTGAAAGCGTTTTTTTATTTTAAGGGTAAAAAAATTTCTACTGGCAGATAGATTATTTGGAATTTTTTTCAACGTTCTGTCTGTTTGAGGTGAAAAAGAAATTTTACTCAAAAATTTCATTGTCACGAGGCCAAATTTTAGTTCTGTGTTCCGTGAATCATCGAAAAATTATTTAGTGGTTGAGCCACAATAAATATTTTTTTCCCAGATTAAAAAAATTTAGTTTTCGATGAGTAAGACCCACTTCCCAATTACAAGCTTGTGAATCAACAGCTTCTCAAAGGCCGATTTCTCTACTTTCATACTTCCATCCAAGTTCCGTCTTAGAAATGATGCTAGGTATCTAAAATGCGATGAATTTAGTCATAAGTTGTGAAGCGGCTCAGAAGCTCATCTTTTTCTCATCGCTTGGATTATCGCCCTTTTCCGGCCCCTACCACAGACAGCAAGTCTGATAAATTTCTTTATAAAGTATCTTTTTTGTTTTTTTTCGATCTTCACGAGATTCGTCATAATTCCAGGTATGTGACTTGTTTTTTTTATCATTCTTGAGCCTGAATAAGGGAAGATTTGATGACGTACTCGATACTACCAATGTTTGTTTTTGAACTTCATCAAGTAGAGAAGGTTTTGGGCTGCGCATAAATAATTCCTTTTCAATCTTTTTTTGACTCTATGCACTGTTTTTCTTTGTTTTCACAAATCTAAATATAAAAAACAAATAACCTTTCATAAACAAATTTATTTTATCAAGCAACCTTTCACATGTTTCTGAATAATTATACTAAGTTTAAATTTTGTATTATTAAGGTTTGAAAGAAAAAAATCGCCTTTCCCATCCAGAAAAAAATAAAAAAACTCTTCTAAAGTGTTTTTTTTCACTTTTTTTTACGAGTTTCTATTGTCTTTAGACAATCCTTGCTAACTAGAAAATTAAAGTTCACGATCAACAAGAAAAAGAGTTTCATGTAAGTCGCCTTTTTATTCCCATTCTTGAGTAGAAATACGAGTTTGTTCCATATTCACGAGTTCCTGTTGTAAAACTCAAAGGGAAAGCTCGTTTTTGCCTTTGTTCGATTGGCAACTCCCTTGAAGACGGCTGGCGCTCTGAAAAGTGCGTTCGACTTTTTCTGCTCGAATATTCAACCAGAACTTCGAAAGTTTCAATTTTTCCAAGTTACCTTTTTCATTTCCGAGTTCAATCAATTCTTATTTTCCAGTTAAATGTGTACGGAAAACAAAAAAACGTGTTGAAGTTTTTTAATGCAATCAAGACAAAAAAAAATTATTTTTTATATAAGCGGTTCCAGATTTTCGAGGAAACCATTTGCGTGACTTTTTATTCAGAGTGCTGTTTGAAAGCTTCAGGTCAAAAATTAATTTCAGTTTGAAACAAAACGAAGCAGGCGATTTTATAAAAAAATTCTTCCTTGTTTTTTTATCGGAGACTAAAAGTTGATAGTCATACGACATAAAAATAATACTTATATGCTTTTTTTAAAAATTTCAAAGACGTAATAAAGGTCGGCTTGTTCGTTATTTCAAGAACCACAATTTTAGAAACACTAGATTAGAAAAAAAGAAACTTATTAGAACCTAAAAAGTTTGCACTTCATGTTATCTCAAAAACAAAACGATATTATAAAAAAGAAGGTTTCCAATTTCCATGAATACCAATCTGAAAAGTTTTGAAAATTCTTTGTACCTAGGGTGGAAGAGTGGAAGTTGAAATGAACTTCCTTCATTCCTTTTGGCAAGAAGGAAGTCTTTTAAGATGCAATTTGTGCTTAATAAATGCCACCCAGTGGATGAGAAAACGGAGACAAGAACCGCCCTCAGATAGGCATCGAAGAGCGAAAAGTGCACAAGACGTAAACAAACGCGGCCGTGTCTGCACCTCCCGCACTCTCGAGAGGTTCAATTGTACCCTTCCAGCCGTGTTTAATGTTGTGTTCATTTGTTTTCTTCCGTTCGACTCCACCACTCGACTTTTTTCAGCCTTTTCATATAATTTATTGGCTTTCTCAATTACAATGTGTTCCCGCCAGAGCTGATTAATCCTGATAAAATGTTTCTCGAGTTGGAAAGCTAGATTCTTTTTTTGCCTTTTCTGATTTACTTTTTGTTTCAAAAATTCTCCACATACTTTAAATTAAATTTATTATGGTGGTCAGAAATTTTATCAGAGTTTTTTTATAGTAAAATATTTTTCGAAGTCAAATTGAGGTGGATAATATCGAATAAAAATAACTTATCTATCCAAAAAATGAGAAAAATAAGTTGAAGAAGTTGAGTAAGTCTCAAGTTTGCCTACGAAGCTCATTAATGGTAAATGTTTTATTGAAAATAGAGATATTGGAAAGACGACAGGATTAATTAGCTGTTTTTTCTGACACTGTGAGTTTTCCTTTTTGAATTTTTCTAAGAGCTTGTTTATTGAGGGAAGTTTCAATCTTGAGGAAAAAAACTTTATGTAAACTAAATGAAATTGGAAATCCATTTCTGGTAAATTTTTAAAAAAATTGTTCCTAACCCCTTTTTGCCATCTAACTGTCGAACAACACCGTTGTGACGAAACAATACATCGAAATTAACTTGAGTTCACCAAATTTTATTCTTTGGCTTTAAACAGAGAAGGAGAAAAAAGATTACGGAGATTAGAAAAGGGTTTAGGGCAATTTTCAGAGAAAAAATGATTAATTCAGAGAAAATGGGAGGAATCCAGGGATCCAACGACATTTTCAGACGTTTCAATGCTCAATGAGGTTTTTCAAGTAGTTTGCTTTCTCCTCACACGTATTTCTCCATTGCGACGAATCGATCGGGGTCTCTCCTCGTTTCACACGCTCTCTCGCCCGTTTTCTGCCCTTGGCGTGTTATTCGTGTTAATCCCAAGTTCAAGCAAATGCGCCGACGTGTATATGTGTGTATGGAAGCTTACGGGGCGGGCGATTTTCAGAAAGATGAATTCCAAAGTGCATGCCAGTCGTTTGAGTTACTGCTTAGCCGGCTTCCTAATCATTTATCCTATCTGCTTCTCATCTAATTTTCATTCTCAGATTACGTGACTTGACAGAAGATAGGAGGGATTTCGAAAAGGTGTTTTGCAAAGCGTTCGAAAATCATTAGAGGCTTCTTTTCGAAGGTCTTATACGGATTTTGGTTTTTTGTGATATTTTCTCTGAAATAAAAAAAAGTCTTTTTTTAAATAAATTGCAACAAAAGTTTGGGAGACGAATTTAAGATTCTTTTATCAAAAATTTTCCCTTGTCGTGTATTTTGAGAGTTTTTTTTCACATTGAAAAAAACTCGTTGTTTCAGCTCTCTTACAATGAATACACTATACTTGTCTTCTCTGGCTCAAAAAGTCAAAAAGTTGAACTTTTCTGTTCTTTGCTGAATATTCAATACTGTGAGAAAATCTCAGGATATATATTTCTCAAAAATTTTATTTAGCTTTGTCAAAAAAAGTCGTTTCATCGAAAACCAATAAACCCTTTGAAATCTCAAATTTCGAAAAGATGTTCATCTTTTTATGCGATCATTCTGAAATAGGATCTGAATTCAACCTTATTTATTTGCGCTTGAAATTTGCTTCAGAGAATGTCCTGTCCTCAAAATCATTTCAAGAATGCAGATGCAAACCAAGGCTTTTCAGAAAGAGCAAGTCGAGATGAAAATTGAAACTTCGGCGCCGAGACTAGCAAGCAATGTATATTATAGTAGAAATTGCAACACCCGTAGTTCTTTGAATTTGCGCTTTTTTCCGCCAAAGTTCATTTTCTTTCTCAATATTTTCACACGTCACTAAAAGTAGTTATTCCTTTTTTCTCATGGTTCAATTCAATAAAATAACTATGTGTGATCTTTGAAACGTTTCCTCGTTTTTTTTTTCTATCATAAAAGTTGTCTAGATCGGGACAGCTTTTCAAACAAGCGTCTGACTAGACTGTCCCTGTTCTATTCGAATTGCGACCCAACGAAACTTCGACTTTTTTTTGTTCAAAATTTTTTGAGTTGCTCAACGATCTTCAAATTGCGGAAGTTCATTTGTTTACCTTTGTAAAGTTTTCTTCGAAAGGCTGATAAGTAATCTTTTCAACTACGTTTTAGGTAATGAGTGATTAACTCGTTGCTCACCACTTCGTTTTAATTATTATTCATTCGTGAGAAAAGAAAGTAATTTTTATCCCCAGCCGCGTAACAGAACTTACTTATTAAAGTGACTATACACTGAATTACTTGAATCATTTCGAAAACTACACTTTTGTCCAAAAAAGGCATTTTTCTTCGAAATAAAATTTCTTAGGTGCTATTTTTGTTTTCTGTTTAATTTTGTTTGCTTTTCGTTTTTTGGTCAACTGTTTTATAATTTTATTTTGACTATTCCAATATTCGTATAATGGTTTTTTTCGTGAACCAAAAAATGAGAAAAAAATGTTTTTTTGATTTTTAAAGGCAGCGTTTTATTGGCACAAAAATTCTACCACAATGCACAAAACTATACGTACGGAATAAACGGCCGCTTTTACTTTGCTTTTATGTTTGTGTTCGCAAATCGATGTAATCGGGTGTTTCATGTGTCTGTTGGACGTTTTTCGTCGTCTCCCTACATACTATCAGTGTTACACGTGACATTTGAAAGAGGTTTTTTCCTTTTTTGAAATTTAAAATCATTTGAATTTTTCTCACAGCTAATTCAATTTTCGAATTTGCTCTGAGCATTGATCTTGAACGTATGAGAGTGAACTTTAACATTGCTTTCAGGGTTTCTCGATTTCTGAGAATGATAAGTGATTCTTTATTCTTGATGTTACCCAATCAATCACTCAATTTGCGCGTTTCATTTTGTCACGTATTTGACAGACTACAAAAGAATATGAAACAGAGTAACCACTAAGTTTTTCACACAATCTAAAAGACATTCGAGAACAAATTGCAAGATGTAATCGGAAAAATTAAATTATTTCCCCCTATCGTGGTCGATTTAAAAACTGTGCTTCTATTGTTGTGGACCTTGAAAAATCTCCTGAAAGAAAAACAGTAAGACAATTATAAAATGAAACTGTCCAAGTTCTCCAAGCTTATCTAGTTTATTTAGAACTACAATAAAAACTTCTACGCACTCCCTCTATTGCACTTTGGAATTTTCAGAAAACGCGCTATCCCTTTTTTGACCCAATATATTTTGTGTTCCAGTTGAACCCTTTTGAACTCTGTTTTTTTTTTAGTTTGGTTTCTTTCCATTATTTATTGATTTCAAGGCGTTCAAGCTGTTGGCGGTTTTTTGGTTATTCGAAACTTTTATTGAACCCTTTTCACCACCTTTGATGCTGTAATTAAACTAAAAAATGGAATTGTGACTTTTTAAACATCAACATTGCTGTGTTTGTTTGATCGAGTACTCATGTTTTTTGCTTATCAGTGAACCATGGAGCTGAGAAATGACTAGAGTGATGCGAGAATGTTTGTTCTTTCCTTCTCTCTCTCTCGCTACACATTTGTCACTCTCGCAGAGGTTCAGTGATCAGGGAAAGCGAGAAATCAAACTGAGAGACAGTTTTATTGGTTCGTTTCTGCTACGCAACCCTTGTTTTTAGGTTTCAAACCAAGTTTTTTACCGTTACAAACTTCATCTAAGCTTGAGGATATCAGCTTCATGATACCTTTTTTCTGAAGTCATAATGGTAGCAGCGTAAGAACTTTCAACGGCTTCTGAAAACGCCTATGCTGTATTTTCGTTTTTTGGAATTGAAAACCCAAAAATTTCGAAAAGATACAGAACATTTCAAGGGCATTTTTCCGTGTATCTGAAATTCTTGTTACCACCTGCCCTATTTGAGAACAGGATCATTTTTGGAACAGGAAGTAAACTTTCATGAGATTTTTTTGAGTTGAACTTTCGTGGGATATTTTTTGTTCCTATCCTTTGCCATATGACAAGCTTTTGTCAGTGTTGAATATTTTTAATCGAAAATTTTTTTTCGTTTTTCTCCTTACAGATTGTTCAGTTAAATCTACTGTTGAAGTTTTTCTTTTTGCTAAGATCCGTTTAATCTTGGATTATCATACCTATTTTATCGGAAATCAACTATTTTTCCACATATTCTAAATATCAGTTGGCGATAACTGTTTTTTTTTTTGTTTTCTGAGTTCCAATTTTAGCATTTCGACTATTTTGTTTCATGCATCCGTTATAGTTTTTCCAGCTTCTTGCCCACTCATTTCTGAGAAACTGAGAAATTTCCAGCAAAATTGGGCTCATTATTATGAATGAGCATGACGTCGCTGCGGAGACGATCATTGCTCGACAAAAGGCCAAAGAATTGGCGAAGAAGTTCATTCCAGGTTGGTTGGGACCAATTTCTTCTAATGAACTCTGAGGAATCATCTCAGACGCCGGAGAGTTGTGCTGCGTTTGTGGAGACGTCGCTTCAGGAATCCATTACTCAGTCCCTGCTTGCAATGGCTGCAAGACTTTCTTCCGAAGAGTTGTTCTTGAGGTTTTTTTTCTTCATTTTTGTGATTTGAAAAAGAAAAAGAGAAATACGGATTGTACGCGCCTCTCCTCTGTCGATCGTGAAATCTTCAAGACAGGCGTGTTTTTAAATAGATGAGATTGAGCAGATTTCAATTGAATACCCTGTAAGAATTAAAAAAATTGATTGGCGGTTTGAAAAAAATCTTTTCTGAATTAAATTGCATTTTAGTCATTTTCCTTTAGTTTTTCGGAAAAATTTGAACTCTTTTTGGAAAAATGAATCTAAATGAGATACGATCAATGAGTTTATCGAGGTAAAACAATAACCATAGTTTCAAATTTTTTTGATTTCCCTTCTAGAGCTATAATGAAAATTATTGCGTCATTGAGCTTCATTTCATTCCTTTTACCTTTTCACTCAGTGTTCTTCCAAAATTTGGGGGAAGAGGAACAATCGTCATTAACTATCTTTCATACAAATCTATAAGAAAAAGATACAAAGATTTTTTTAATTTATAACTTTTTGCATGGAGCTGAATCTTTTATTTTGAAATCATGATTACTGTTATTTTTTTCACATTTTTTTCGCAAAATTTCAATTTTAAAAAAAGTGCAGCATCAGAAAATTTCAAGGAAAGCGAGCTCCATAAAAAAAGAAAAATAGACTTGTGACTAAACTAATATTTTTTTTGGGAGTTTTATGACGAAACTGAATAAGAAATCGGTTTCAGAACCGGACCTACTCCTGCAAGAACAACGGCGACTGCATCATCGACAAGTCCATGCGGTGTTCCTGTCGATACTGCCGATATAAGAAATGTATCGTCGTCGGCATGGACAGAGCAGGTGGCGACTTAGTTCCTCTCCCATGGCACAATATATAATTACGCGGAGCTTAGTCAAATGAACTTTATAAACCTTCTAGATTACGCTAGCAACTTAGCGTCGCTTTTCAAGAAAAAAGAATCATCGCGGACAGAGGAAAGTCGAATTTTTCAATCTAATTCTTCAGAAAAAAAGTGATCGCCAATAGCTTTTTCGATTCTTACAAAACTCTTGTTTTTTTAGTTATGAAAGTTGATATTTTTTTGATAATTCAAATGAAGTTTGACAGACGAACTGAGAATATTCTCTAATCAAATAAAAATAGGAAGGCAAATTTTTTTAGTTTTCGAAGTTTTTTTAAAAATCTGCGCAGAAGTCGACTTTAAAAGAAAAACTTTCTCATAGAGAAATCTAAAAAAATTGAAAAAAATCAAATCGAAATAAAAAAACGTACCCGAAAAAAATATCAAATCTGAAAAAAATTTTTTTAATTTTTGCTTCAAAGTCTTTTTTTGATTTTTTTTGCTCTTTCATGTATCTCAGAAGTTTTCATTCATGTTTCTTTCAATTCAAAAAAAATCGAACTTCTTCTATTTGAAACTAGCCAACGAACCAAAAAATTCAGACTCTAGACAGATCTGACTGAACTCCAAAATATGTTATCAACAAACAATTAACGTATTTCCAGAACTCAGCATGGAACGAAGGCGGAAGCGGAAAGCAGCCAACGGCGGTCCAGACGACGATATCCACGAAATTGTTGTCAAGGACCCTTTAATAGAGTTGTTACTCGACAAGGAAAATAGGCAAGCTCGAGAATAATGAGCAATCCAAAATGAAGGATTTAAGGTACCAAACATTATTAGTTTCTTCTGAAATGCCCATACACACGACGTTACACGAAGCCTTGCACAATGGCTACATTGCTTTTGAACACGCCTACACAAAGGTTTCAAGATCAATGAAAACTTCAAATGGTTGGAAATTTCAGTATCATAAGCGGATGGATCCGAAATTCCCTACAAACTTTTCCTTCTGGCGAGCGAAAATATTGAGCGTTTTGGCTGAATGGGCCAAATCTTTTGAGGTGAAGCTATACGTAAATTCCGAAGACCAGTTTTTTTTAGGTTTTTTCCCGGCTAGACCGAGACGATCAGAAGCGGTTATTCATTCACACGGCTTTTTCCAACCTTGTCCTGGCTGAAGCTTTTCATACCCCTGAAAAGTATAACGATCGCGTAGTTTTTCCAGACGGTCTCTGCGGGTTCGTTGGCTTCATCATTAAAATCTGAGAATGGGAACTTTTAGGTTTCGAAACGTGGCGCAGACAGTCTCTTCTGACGGAGTTTCCAGTAAAACCTTCGGCCTGACGCCGACTGTTGTGGCCGTGATAAACGACGTCTTGGTGCCTATCCGAAGGATGAGACTGACTCGGATCGAATACGTTCTGTTGCAAGCGATTATTTTTTATGATCCTGGTGGGTTTCACAAATTTCTTCAGCATTTTGACACGTTCATTAAAAAAAAATAGCAAAGGTACAAGCTCAATGAAGAATCGACTGTTTTATTAGTTTTTTCAGAGAATTATTCTTAAGAACAGGAAAAAGTGCTTGGGAACGTTTCGACATCAGCGAGTAGTTTTTTGATGAAGCTAATAAAAAACTTGAAGGCCTCATGTTGCATTTCTTCCATAATTCAACAAAAAAGATGTGAAGTTTCCTCTCAAAAGCAAAAAAAAAAAATCGAAGTTGATTAATTAAAAATATCGATAATTTTTATTTCCTGATTTACTAGGATATTTAAAAATTGAAATTCAGACTTTGGATTAGTCAGGGTCGACCAATCAGATGCACTCAGAATTCTTGATTTTGAAGCTCGGCTATGATTCAGTTCCTTTCAACAAAGGGAAAAAAATTATTTAAAGACGAACAGTTTTTGCGATTTCAGTTTTGATAGAATTTGTTGAGAATTCACAAGATATCTTAAAAAGAAAATGGTAGATAAATTGGAAAACAATTGGAAGTTTCTAAGTATGACTAATTAAAACAATTAACAATACATTTAAAAAAATGTTTCAAGCGCACCATTCAAATATAGTACAGTGTTTTTGAATATTCAGACTGCCTCTCGTTAACCAACCACGCAACACAACTGATAGCAGCAAAACGAAGAAGACTTCTGGATTCTCTGAGAAAACATTTGAATCAGCAGCTACGGGATACAGTAGAAGCCGCTACAAGATTCGCGGAAATACTTCTCAGGATATGTAATGTACAGGTTGGTCCTGTCTTTGCCTTTCCGAAATAGATCTTTTTTAAATTATAGAAAGTCGCAGCTTTCAAACGAGAGACCTTGTGCACGATCGAGACGTTTGAATTGATGCAGCCTCATCCTTTCACACTGGAAATTTCTCGAAGCTATCCTGATTTTTCTTATTTCTAATTCTTGTTACTTTTTAATCGTTCAAACTAGATTTCTGTATTTTAGTTATGTTTTTTAGACACGCTTAGTAATTACTATATTCATTTATAGTCAGGATCATATCATGAAGCGAGTTTATAGTTGTACTTGGTAGTATTTCTATTTTCAAATTTTACTTTTTTTTTTCCGCCTTCCAGTCAATTCTTTCCATTTTATACTGATTAATTGCTCAATCAGGATAGAATATTGTATTTTGTACAAAACTTTCACCTCTTCTCATCGGGTCCAACCTACCATCGATCTCCCACCTTCCCAGTCGTTGTTTCTGATTTGCTCATATCCATCTCATATCAAATATTTTATCTTTTTTCTCCAATGAAAAGTCATTTATTGTTCCGCTTTCTCAACACCTTAGAAATCCGAAAACAGTAATGAATTGAATTTAGCCATGAGCGCGTTTACGTGGATACCGTAGAGAGGTTTGACGTGGCCGACCAAATCTGATTATACCAGAAAATAGGCGGAGATTTGCCGATATATTGTCTCGGCTCTGACAGAAGTCATTCCCACATTTTACCATGAACGGGCAGCTTCTACTCGGTGAGTTTCTTTCCATTTTAGAAATTTCGAATGCTGATTCAGCTGTTTTGCGTAGGTTAAAGCGTAGTAGTCGCAGCAAGAAGCGATCAGCTTCAGGTGGAAAAGCATAGAAAAGTAAAATAAAAATGAAAATGAATGTGTTTTTTGAAATAAAATCCAAAGCTAAGATTTACAGGCTCAAATGTTTTTTGACTGCAATAAATAATAACTGGACTCAATCTGCGAAGTGCCATTTAGGTCTGAACTTACTATTCAAATTTTAAAATGAGAATCTGGCAGACAACGTCTATATTTGCAATCTGACAGATTTTTCAAGCCCTCTATCCGACAAATAATCTTAAACCTTTTGTATTTTTCAAAAACAGAAGATTTGCAAGTTTCCAGCTTCAAAGATGAGATACGTTGTCAAGCTTCTTTAAAACTTCAGAAGATATTTTAAGCATTATTGATCTGAAGCCTGATTGCAGCGATACTTCTCTGCCTCTGCCTCAGCACGTCGGCGTTGCGTGGCGCTCTCTTCAGAAGTGGCCGTAGTGTGAGGCAACCCATCGGACAGGTTTTCTCCCAATTTACCTTATTTTTGAGGTCTCATCAACTTCAAGCCTTATTTTTAACTGCTAGAATCTCTCAAAATTTGAGGAAAGCGGAGAACAAGTGTATCCAATGAGGCGATTCAACGGAAAGTCAGGCTACGACGTGCCGCCGATATACCTGCCTCTCTACGACCGTTATCCGTTCTAAACGTACTGACTATATGCAAAAATAATAAAGGTTCCGTGAATTGTTAAAAAATTGAATAATTTAGTGTAGTCATAAGGTTTCAAACAACGCATGAGTACTGTTTATCACTCGGAGGCAAAGCCAATTTGTGTTGCGCAGGAAACTTTATTCGATAACTCGACACCTGCGGGCCGTATATGATTCTATCCAGCTCATTTGATTACTCCTGCTGACTTGAGGAAATGTGATAAATGTACAGAAAAGCTGAGAGATTAGAAGTATGTTGTGATACAAAAACAGCGTTTTTTTTTTTGAATTTTATGAGTTAGCCTCTTCTAAAGTTTTTTTAGCTTGAGCATAAAATGAATTCTCGCAACTAGAGATTTGCAAAAGAAGAATATTTAAAATAGGTTTTTTCGAATTCTAAATTTTCAACAACTTCATAATTGATTGAAAACATTCTTTAATGAAAGTTTCAGTTTTCAGAATAAAAAAATAACTCTGAAGTTTCTGTTTGCATTTTAATTTTAGGCATAAAATTCAAACAAATGAGTTATCTGTACATCAAAAAAAGGAGATTCTCAGATTTGTCTTTCTCTCTGAATTAGACTCATTATTTGTTTCTTGAAAAAAATAATTTCAAATCTAGAAAAAAATTTCACGTTTTGAGTGGAATTGATTTCCACCGCAAAAAAAGATTTTTTTGTTGCTATCAGAAGTATTGAGATAAAATAGAATCGAAACACAATTTCTTTTGAATTTTTCTTATTTTTCACTCAATAAGATTGTAGGCGTATTTAAATGAATATCATTGTAAAGCAGAAAAGCGCGGATGTCATACCTTAAAGTTTTTGACAAAGAAAATGACAAAGAAAAATGAAGCTCGAAATTCTCAACTTCTCGAAATACTTATTTCTTCATTTTTTGAATTTTTTTAAATTTCACGTCAGCAACCTTTGAATGAGTTTTAAAAAAACATTGATCGTTAGTTTTTCAACAATAAAATGTGAGAATCTGATTCCCACTCGCTCTTGAAAGTTATTTAGAAGAGAAAGATGTGCAAAACTTTCATTTCGAATCTTCCCTCCGCAAATTTGGTCTTGAATAAAGTGCAAGTACAATCATGCTTTTCGTGTCACCCTGTTCAAGACGGTTTTTCCCTTATCATTTCGACCTTCGTCTTTATCACTCTTGAAAAATGCGATAGCTGAACAGTGGTTGCTGTAAGAGTTTCCCAATCATTAAAAAAAGACGAAAAATGGTTGAGAAGAACTGATTTTCACATCTCAAAATCTTGAAATTTGAAGAGCAGCGTTCGCAAGGATATCTTTTCTGTTGATCGTGTGCCTCGAGCGTGCTTGGGGAAAAACAACTCGGCGGCCTCTTTTTTCGTTCTTTGATGGGGGCAAAGAACAAATGTCTGGAGATCCAAGGCTTTCCCGTGCAGTCAACTGCCGAATCAACTTTATTGAAAAACATATTCATGAATTTTCGAAATTTTTCAAATTGTCGGTGAGCTCAATACCTTCTCAATGAAACAGCGTCTCTGAAAATATTTACCTATGAGAATCTGAAATTTTAACATTTTATTCTCTAGTTGTAAATTTTCTGGTTTCACCAACAAGGGAAAAAATTAAAAAAAGCAAAGAAATGAAAAGACGAGAGTTCTTATATATCTTCTCCGAAAGTTCGAAATATATCGGGCACTGCAGTTGAATTTTTTTAAATTTTTTTGTTTTGACGACAGATGAAATGAAAATCAAAAAAATATTTGATTCGATAATAAATCAATTACATAGATTCAAGGCATATAAAATTGAGCATATCCTTTTTATTCGATATGTTAAAAAAACAAAAAAGTTTTATCGAGGTTTTACTTGAAAATTTGAAGATTTTCGGTCTATGTTTGCTAAACAATTAGGATATTCTACCTACGTTTTGTAACCCTGAAAACGAGGAATGATGAAAATGGAATCAATCAAACTCAAAAGCTTTTCCTGCTTTTCATTTGGTCCTGTTGGCGGATTCCCTTCATAAATGTCACCTAGACGTTGGAAAGATCGTTGGGCAGAACTCAAAAGTGCAAGGAGCAAGCAACTCGGCGACGTTCCCTCGAGGCGGCGTTCCCAGCACCGAGCGGCGAACGTTGCGCCGCGGGAACGGACGAGTACCAAGCAGTGCCTGAAGCGGCCGCCGTTCGTGTTGGTCGGCGACTGGACGCCGGCGAACGCCGTCCCCTCGCTCGCCGCCGTCGCTCCTCGTTCCTTTTTCCAGCGTTCGTCCACTCCTTTTCTTTCCTCGCCGCGAGCTGTGTTCTACTGCCCCACAGACCTTCTTTTGTCTCCCTTTCACTCATTTTCTTTTGTATCAGACCTGTTTCTTTCGAGTTTTTTTCAAAGAAGCCTAAGCAAACTTGACGTTTTCTTGATGCAAGTACAGAGAGGCTTACTTTAAGTTTAAAAATAATTCATTACAGTATGAAATAAAAAAATATGAGATTGAGATTTTTTTGACTATATAGCTTTAATTCAAAAACATAGAAAAACTTAGTATATCATAATAAATAGAAAAAAACAGAGCAAAAAAATTTTTTTCTTTCTTTACATGGTTCAAAAAGTTAGAAAAAGGTTTCTCATTGCAATAAAAAAACTTTTATTTTACTATTTAAAAAAATTTTTTTCATGGATAAAGAATGAATTTAGAAAAAAATATAAAAAACTTTTTGAATCCTAAGAATTTTGTTTAGGTTTGTGCAAAAAAGCAGATAATTCACACAGTTATTAACGAATTCCTGAAACGTAATGTCAAAGTTGTTTTCCGGAACAAAGAGTTTTTAAATGCTTTGTAGAGCGCGAAAAATTTGAATTCCACTACTATCTTATAAGCTTTCGAAAAATGGACTCTGTCGAAATTAAAATGAATACAATAAAAAAACTCGAATTTGAAAAATCGCTGAAGTTTTCCTAAATAAAATGATTTCACTTTATGTGTACAAAACTTTTTATCATCTTGGGAAACGATAAATTAGTAGGTTCGACGTAGTGAAGCAGGATTTGGAAATATCAACTCTCGAGCTTCACGCAGAAACTGAGACGGCGTTCCCGACAGCGGCGCAAAGTGCAGAGGAAGTGCAAGTGCACTAGAGGCAGCGGTGTGGCACCGACTGCGGCGAACGGCCGCCAGGAGGAGAACGCTGGCGCCAGCTGGTGGGAGGCGGCGGCGGGCCGTTCCGCAGCCACCGCGAACGCTCTCCGTCGCCTGCGTTGGTGGGCTGAACGCCCGGAAAGGGACACGTATCGTGAGCGATTCCCAAAGTACACACATCCAAAAGGCGTTCGCTTTGTCCTGGAAACACTTCACTTTCTGACCACCCGTGCAGCGGACATTCTCTTTTTTCTCCTTCTTGCTGGCTTTCTCTTTCTGCGCATACTGTAACTAACCTACTCTGCATGAATTATCTAGGGAAATGAACTCTAAAATATCGCGATTTCAAGAAAGGCATTGATAAAAAGAATTTGACATTCTTGTAGTATTCTCAAAATCTATTTGAATATCAAAAAAAAATTCGTTAATCATGAATTTCGATTACAAGTTAAGCCGCATAAAAAAAGATGTCGCTCAAAAAGATCTCTATATTGGAAAAAGAGAAGAATGAGCGTAGCTCTATTATTAAAAAAATTAAAAAAAGGTTGAAGATATTTAAGAATTTTTGTTTACCAAAGACATTGAATTATTGAATAAGTTTTTTTCTTTATTACATCAACTTTTGATAATACGCAAAAATGGTCTAAAGAGATAATCAAATTTTTGATCTAGATCTGTAGATATTTCCCTTTCATTCAGCCAAAAAAAAAATCTAGGACCGGACTCTTTATTCCAACTTCATTTTTTTTCTCTAAAAACTAGTTCTCGTCCATATTCTTGTTCTCAAAATAAATTTCGAAAAAGAAAGCGTTTTTCAGAGGCTTCCTCTTGGACGACGGGCAGTTGCCTGCGCCGCTCTTCGCTGGCTGACCTAGCGAGCTAGGTATTCAGGATACTCTAATTATTCACGATTATAGTGATTCCCGTTTCAGGCAATGGCGGTTCTGTGGGGAAGGCTAAGTGCTGGCCCGATAAGGGAAGCTGCGTGTGCGCATGTGTGAAGTAGCTTGTCGGTGCTTATCTCTACTCCTTGGAGTTGGCATTGAGTAAGTTATATTTCTTTAAAATAAGGAGACTGTTAGGAAAATAAAAAATGATTGACTTCTTTTGAAACACTCGGAAAATTAATAATTTTGTAGGAACTTAGCTTTCTGTGAAGTATTTATCATTCGGACTCACAATCATTTGAAATGTTCAAATCGGCTAAAAGACAATTGAAATATAAAAGCTCTTTCCGGTTTCTATGTTTATGATCAATTCCAGGCACCGAGAATGCGCTACAAAGGTTCTTGAATGGTTTGGGTGGATCGGAGGTCGATTGGTCCGTCTTCAGCAAAAAATTCACACACAGCGAGAGCAGCGCCGAACCTTCTCACAGTCAAAAGTCTGTACCTGGTGGACTGTGCTGATAAAACATTTAACGGATAAAAACTTTCCTCGTGATTTTTGTGTTCTGACTTATCTGACAAAGCCGTGAAACGCAAAGAAATGAACCGTTCCCTCAAACTGGGTCAATCGACTTTGGGTTAGCCGCTGAGGCTCCTAAAAGAGAAAGTTCGAAAAAACGTCGCGGAGGGATAATGACCTTTTCTTGATTTCACTTCACCATTTATTTCATCAAGCAACAAACATAGTGTGAGAAAGGGATCAAAAAAATTCTTTCATTAAAAGTTACAGGTACTATCAGAAAATTTTTTGGTCAAAACAACGATTATAACATGATTTTAGATATGACTTCAAACGTTCTGAGTAAGTTCCACTTTAATATGTAAAGGGAAAGTTCAGAAATGATATTAAAAAAACAAGTTTGAAAGTTATATAAATTCATGTTGAAGATATCTAAAAGGTTTCAACGCGCAAAAAAACTCAGGATGAAAAACAAATTTTATTCTAGACCTTTATTTCTATTTTTTTATTTTAGACAGCTATTAAAGTATGGAAAAAGAGAACTCGGTCCTTCAACTAAGGCCTTGTTGAGTCAAAAGCGACTGAATGGCCCATTGCTTTTAGCTTCCGAGTCCACGTCGGCATCATCGTGGGTGAATGGAGTGGCCAAGCCGAGGAGTTCAACAACGGTCTTCCTGAAACTCAATACGGAGGAAACTGATAAAAAAAAGGTGCTTGATACCTTAAACGCTGCGTCTTTTCAAAAAAAAAAACCCTACGTACTTTTTGACCCAGAGTTTTTAAACGAAAACCGTATCTGCAATACCATAATGAACTCACGATTCTTCAGCAAGGCTCACAGATTCTTCAACTTCGTCTCCAACTTCGTCTCCAACTTCGTCTCCAACTTCGTCTCCAATCGCCCCAGTTTTTTCGTCTGTGGGAGCTTCAGGATTCGCTTCTTTTTGACATGTTGGCAGAGATTTCGGAAGTTTCTGAATATTTCCACTGTGTCATACTCGCCAAATTCAACGACCAAATCTTATTTTTATTTTAGAATCAAACCTTCAATTCAGGAAATGAAAATCCTTCCAAGAAGTTTCACAAGCAGTCTCAAATTTTTTTTGCTTTTCAAAAATTTAATACTCACACCCGAAGCATTCCTTTCGACGTCGCTGTATTCTCCTTCAGATGACTCGATGGGCTCTGAGTCCGAATCCGATTCGGACTCGCTTGTTTCCAAGTTCTCGAACTTTCTCCGAACGTTTTCCTGAATTTATAAATATCAGAACCAAATCAGCAATTCGAAACTGCACCTTCAGATGTTGCAGCAAATTGCAGTACTCGAAGAAAGGATAAAACCTAAAACATGTGTCTTCCAGTTGAGCTTCTCTGGTCAAGGTCGCCGCGGTTTCCGTGAGGCCTGAGAATATAGTTTCCTCCATGATTTGATCTGCTTTTAATTACCCCATCGTTCTAGGAAAAACTTGAAAAACAGCAAGATTCTGGTGGTCGTTTTCATGTTTAATATAGCAACAATGTTCCTGTTTCTGAAATTTTTATTGTGCAGAAGACGGACAAATTACGTCAAGATCAACCTATTCGTTCTCTGGAAAATTGAGATAAATGAAAAACAACTTATCGTAATTTTAAGTCAGAATTTCAAAACTCGCGGTTTCCTTCTAAAAAAATTGAAAATCATAATATCGATCAAGCTCCTCAGAGTTGATTTTCAATCGACTACTCAGTCCATCAAATATGTCTCTTTCACCTGAGTGATTCTGAACTAGACAAACAGAACGATATAAAAAACGAAGAAAATGATATTATCTGTAGAAATGAGAGCTGAGAAAGAGGCAGTCGACGAGGCTCAAAGACAGCTTAAAAGTGTCAGAGTCCTTTTTTCTTCTTTTTTTTTGTTTCAGATAAATCGTTTTCTCTTGTTGCTCCTGGTCGAGCTGCTCAAGACAGTTGTTTCCAAAAAAACGAAGAATGAGCCTTGGCGTCGATTAATCTTTTGGGCTTGCAAGATTGCCTTCTTCTCGGCAGCCAATGCAGTTTAGCCGCTGATATCTTAAGTTTTTGAGAGCACATCCCAAAGAATCACCAGTTGGTTCTGGTTTGTTGATTCTCTTCCAAGTTTTCGAGGTGTTTATAAAAAAAAAAGCAATTTTCGAAGAGCAAACTCCTGCGATGAAAAGTTATGAAAATTCAAATAAAAATTGTTTCCTCTAAAAATGAGCTCGAATCAGAGGGAGAAAAGTGCAAAAAGCTCTCACTGAGAAACTACTAAAAATCGGAGACGAGTTGCGGGTTGAAACTGGTGGCTTACCTAGGTGAGAGCTTCTGGATTTAAAAAAAAGATTATTTGCTGAACATCTCAGCTTCTGAGAGAAAGCTCCTTGAATAAAACGACAAAGAGTCCTGTACGGGCCATTTTGACCTTTTTTATTATCGAGGTCTTCTGGTTTAATGGTTAGGAAGTCAGTGCAATCTTTAATGCCTACTTCAGACTCTTCTCTTGACAGATTTTAATGGAAAGTTATTATTTTTTTCAATATTTATTTTCACAAAGATAACGTTAAGATTGTGAAATTTCGTTTTCACTCGATGAATTTTTCCCGCTAACAATGAAGATCTTTAAACTTTACATCTGAAAAGTTAACAGAAGTAAATATCATTGAAACGATGATTGAGGTGTTTCGATAATTTCTGATAAAACTTGAAGATCCTCAAATTTTGCAGAGTAAGTACTTTGCACCTACAAAAAGTGAATTGGAGAACCAATTCGAACTTCGAAAAAAATTTATTCGGAATCTTGTTGCTGAATAAACACAATCTATATTACTATCTATGTAGAAGAAAGTGAGTTTAGTATTATTCTAAACATTCACAAAGTTTCGATCGAATGTAGAAAAATGATTGATTTGTTCATTGAACTTGTACGTGTGCGTGAGCCAGTAGACAAGTATGTGTACTTTAGAGTATGGAAGAAAACAAATCTTACAAAATTTAAAAAAATTTACAAGCGGTTGCTGTGAATCGGGAGGACAAAAAAAACCGGTGTCGAGATTTTCAAGGCAAAAAAGATAAAAGACAAGAAACGGCTGAATTGAAAAAGAGTTGGTTGTGGGGATCTCACTTCTTGTTACATAGCGACTGAGAAATTAAATGGTAGATTATATAAAGGATGAAGAGTTTTTCAAAGAACTTGAAGACGACGGACACGAGTGATCGAACTTTTCAGAACACTGAAAAAAAAACATTATTTTGTAACAGAGAAAGCTTTTTTCAAAGGTTTGAAAGAAGAAAAAATGAGATTATAGTCTGTTCAGGTTTTTAAATGGAAAGCAGCTAAATCCGCCCCTGCTGGCACAGTACCCTTTCGCGTCGATGTTTCATTTCGTGGAACGGTTTTTGATCTTTTTTGTTCTAAAAGATGTTCTAAAGGAGAAAAAGAAATCGAAAAATGCAGCCATATTAAAGCTTCATTGGGATCTGGAAATAAAAAATTGACGCAAAAAATATTGTAGCCTTGGGGGCGGAGTTTGTTGCTTGGCATGCCAGATCTGAACAGACTATATCGCGTATCTTTTGTTCAACACCGATCAAAAGTTGGATGATGAGATATATATTATGGTTTTCGAACATTTAGACCAGAAAAAAGCAAAATTATGAGAAAACAATAGCTTCATAAGAGAGGAGAAATTCAAAAATTTTCCTCGGATAAACATTTTAGAACTTTCGCGTTGCGTGATGAAAACTGATAAAATTGAGACATTTTGATCGAAAATTACGGTCTTGATCTTGTACCCAATATAGAGGAACTTTCTATTAACATCTGAAAATCAAAGTAAAGCTTTTGAACGTTCATGGACACGAAATTTTGGGAAAATCATCAAAACGTACTTATTTCCCAAAGAGATTTTATAATTTTGAAATTTAAATGTTATCTTAAAATAAGTTGAAACATACGAGTGAGGAAGTTGTTGACAAACTGCCAGTGATGCACCCATTCCTTGATCTTCTCTCGGATCATCTCCAGTTCGATCCTCAGCCTGAATGATCTCAAATGGTTTTCTACCCCCGGGAGGACCATCACATTTCTCTTTCTCTTCTCTGTCTTGTGCTCCTCAACTGGCCCATCATCTCTTTTCTCTCCCAACTGAGCTCACCCAGATAGTCGCTGACAGCATTCAAGTGCCTCCACAGGCTTCTGCGGACCTGAAATATCATTTTGCTGCTCAAAAAAGAGTGACCGAAAAGAAATGACAGCTTTTTTGAGCCCGAAGTTTACCTCGCGGTGTCGGAAATCGTCGTAATAACAACAGAAATCTCGAGCAGACATGACGCCGTGTTACGGAAATAACGAGATTCAATCTGTAAATTTAGTTGCTCAAACGATTCTCAAGTTTGAAGCTAGATAATCTAAGAGAACAGAATATTCGAGGCAAAAATGTTTTAAGATGATGGGGAGTGATTAGAAAAGATATTTTTCGCCCAATTAAAAAGGGTTCAAGAAATCGAGAAAAAACGCAAATTATAGCAAGAACTTCATTCAAACGCAGTAACTACAGATAACATAACAAAACTGAAAACAAGAAAAGTCGGACGCTTGTCGGAGCTTCTCACTGATCTGAAAAAAACACTTTTTTTATATTTAAATCCGTAAAAAAATGAAGATTTCAAAAAGGAATAGGAGAATTTTTCTTACCGCCTGTCGATCCTGACGCACGGTTTCTAGCTTCAAAGAGTCGGAGAACTCCCAGGTAGTGATCTTTAGTGGTCCGAAGTTCCGCGCGCTTGACCTCTCGAAGTTCTTTCAAACTGAAAAGCTGTTCCACTTTAACACCTGAAAAGAAGTCAAACTGCTGGAGCTCTGTTTCTGAGGTGACAAAAGCCTCGTAAAAGTTCAAAGTGTTGATGTCCATCAGCAGTTCCGCCATTTTGTCCAGCAGTTCTCTTCTGACCCGAGACATCCTGCAAATCAAACCGAATTTCAGGAAGGCGCTGAAACAAGAAGTATAAGAAACAAATCATCAAATATGGGGAGAGGGGGTGTTCAAAACAGGAGAGAAATTCAAAAGATACGTTTTGTCCTTTTTCAAGGAGTATCAAAGAAAAAAAAACTTAAGAATAGAAGTGATTTATCAAAGCAGATCAAAGGTGAAAGTTTATTTAAAAAACACTTGTATTAGATAAAGAAAACGATAAATAACATTTGAAAAAGAGAAGTAATAATAAAATGAAGTTGGATATAAATTACACTAGTTCAACAAAATCGCGCGACGAAGAGCTCCCTCTTATGTGCGAGACGCGTTCTGAAAAGAAAAATGGTAAAAGTTAGTGAGTACACGGAATAATTTCTAGTTAAATTTGAAAAGAAACTCACCGAGTTCCAGAGGCGCTGAAGCACCACAGTGAGGTCTCTCCTCACGAGCATTTGATCCAATCGAATTTCGAATCTGAAAGATTCATTCATCTTATGACATCTGTATTCCAACTCACGCCCTCCTATCTTCTTGTGAGAGATTTTCTTTTAAAATTTCTTTAGCAGATTCGATCAAGTGATCGTAGGTGGAAATAATCATGTCGTAGTCTGACATCCTGTACAAAGAAGGAGAGAAAAACTGGAAATGGAGCTGTCAATGAAGTACTTTTTGTCCTTTTGCAAAGGAGTATAAACAAATCGAGCATTATTTCTGGTGAGATTTCATTCATTTGAAACAAAAACAGTAGAGAAATGCAAAGTTGCTTTTTTTGTAGTAGAATGCCGAGCAAGTGAGAAGGCGATTGAAACAGGAACTGCAAAAAAAGTTTTCATCGAAAATTGTCTTTCTTTTTGTTTTTTTGTATAATCAGAACCAGAGTTTCTACAAGAGAAGAAAAATAATATTTCTTTTAATGGTGAGTAGGAGTTTTTGCTTTTTGATTATGCTGATGAATGTTTTTCGCAGTTTTCTGTTTTTCAAAACATGAAAAAAATACCGATTGACAAACCTGAATTTTTCATGAGAAAAAAAAAATCATACAAGCATCTGTGAGCAGGAAACTTATTCGGACGAGCTTCATTGAGAAGAAGAACCTAAAAAATCAAGCTTACTCGGAGAAACTGAAGAGTTTTCACGATAAAATGGATGAGAATGGAATTTATACCATTCTTATTTTATCCGCATTTCCACCAGATCACAAACATGAATAATCAAAAGAAAGGGTTTTTAATTTTATTCAAACAAACTTCCTACCGCTTGAAACTATTGACTTCATTTTATTAAAACCTTTTCTCAAAGGCTGCTGAAAAAAAACGTTTTATTTTATCGCAAGGAAAATAGGCTAAAATGCACAAAGAAGACCTGGGAGAAGGTTGCAGGAATATCCTTCGGCAGCTTCGAGGACCCTAACGGGTTCCGACGCAGGACCCTCCGGGTTGAAGGTTGAGGCGACGCGAAGAAAGATGAAGGAGAACCGAATTTGATACAAGGCCTGGTTATCTTCATACTGTTTCACGAGGCTGAGAATATTCCATTGTCGAATAATGATAAGTGAAACGTACGCCTTCTTTTGCTCTGGGGACAGTAGGGAATTTTCTTCCATTTCTAGTTCCGCTTTTCTGATGAGTCTATCGTATCGCTCAACAAACGCGTGAAAAAGCAGGTCCAGGGAGATATCTGCAGAAATAATATTTTCTCCTTTTTATGAGTAACTTCATCTGAGAATTCCTGATCGAGTTCAATCTTTAAGAGGCTTCCAAACATTTTACTTTCTTCAGCGAGATTTGAGAGAGTTTTAATCAATTTAGATTTTCATATTGATTTAACTTAGAAAGTAAATTTTTTTCTTTGTTTCACTCTAACAAACCTCAGTTGGGAGAGCGCTTCGCTCAGCGACATGGGAGACCCTTTTGGTTGCATCTTCTGTACAAAAAAAGTTTGCATGAGAACTGAAATCAAATCAAGATAGGAAAGGCAAAAAAACCTATTTGAGATCAAAATCTAAAAACATTCAACTGTTTATTTCGAGAAAAATAGGAGAAGGTAGAGAAATTTCACTCAAACACTTAAAAACAGTAGGAAAATCAACACCGGATATAAGAAATACAACTTCGAAAGAATTTGGTATGAAGAAATTTCTGTATAAAGTTGCCTATTTCAAAGAGTCTTGGATAAAAAACAATTTTTTTTTGAACTTAAACGCTTCGAGTGCTATGGAAAAAAAAGGAGATTAGGTTTGAGAAACAAGTTGAGGAAAACAGAAGCGGCTTCTTGAGTTCAACGACGTTCCATCTGCAAAGGAAACAGCAATGTTATGTTCATACATCTCACGTACATCTCTTTGAATTTGTTAGTCTAATTTACATAAAAAAATAAAAATACAATCTGTAGTTCTAAACTATAACGTTTGAAACTTACAATATAAAGTTACTTAATATATGAAATAGAAAAGTTTAATATCTACGCACACAAAAAAATATTATTCTTCTCAAGTTTTTTTAATTTTTCAACTTTAAGGCGCCCGTTTTTTTGAGAACTGAATAAGTTTTTTTAGATTGCAACTGCGAAAGTCTCCCTTTGAGTAAATCAAGAAGCCGGCAAGTTTTCGAAATCATTCATTTTTTTCAAACCTTGGAATAATTTTGTGGAAAAACTCTTAATTTTTTTGCTGATAAATTCTTAGCAACTTACCCAATAGTTTTTCGCTTGTCGAGGATTTTGTATTTTTGTTGTTGTTATGGATGCGTTTCACAGATTATATACAAATATCCCCTCGGCCTGTTCAGTTGAAATAAAGTTATGGTCAATAAATCAAAAGTTATTCACCGCTTTTCGTTTTACTGTAGCTCTAATATTTTTATTTTTTTAGACTTCAAAGTATCGCAGTTCCTTCCAATTCATACAAAAAATACTGACTTTGATGAAGTTGTCAAAGGCGAGCTGTTCAGCTTCACTGGCTTTATCGATCGCTTTGTCAGCTTCGATAATACGCTTCTCCAACCTAAAGAAAATTTTTTGTTTCTGAACAAGCCCGAAAGAAAAACAACCGTTTTTTAGCGGCTTCATCCGAGGTACCGTAGTACTGCTTGTGGAGCTCGTTGATCACTTTGATGGCCTCGTTCTGGCGGACGACGGCGCGGCTATGCTCCGCGGCTGCAAAAGAGAGCAAGCTTCTTGAAACTTGTTAAGCTTCTCTTTTTTGAATTAAATCATGTTCCACTTTCTCTTTATTTTCTTAAAATCCTTTGTTTCCTTTTTCAAGCCGTAAAACATTGACACATTCTGACCAAATTTTCGACAGAAAGAGCAGTAGAAAGCTCCGATTGTATGTGGACAGTCTTGTTAAGTTCCGCCAATAAAAATACGGGGAAAGCGCTTCTTTGATCACAACTTTTTTGTTTGATGTTCGATATTTTTGAAGCCTTCTGGAGTTGTGATAAATTTGTTCTCAACGCTCCGTTGTAAATACAGAAAAAAGCCGCTTTATGATGTTTCAAAAAATTGATTTCAATTCAAGATTTAAGAAAAAAAAAGGTTTTTTTTTTAAATTTTTGCCAAGGGTACTGTATATCAAAAACTCAAAAACTACAACTTAGAAGATTATCCATATTTTGTTGCGCCAATCTTGATAAACTAACCAAGAGCACTGGCGTGAGCCTCGGCTTCGGTTTCGGAAAGATACTCCCAGTTATCACGGATATTTTGATACACCATTTTCCGCACACTCTCGACTTCTTTTGCTTGCTTGAACTTCTTGAGCAGTCTGGAAAAAGCAGTTGAACGGATAACAGTATGCTTATGTTTTTGTTGAAATGGTGTGAATGTTGTATATATAAATATTGAAAGCAAAAAAACATCTGTTCGGACCCTTAATCACTCATTTCGAAAGTCTAAAAAAAGAAACGTTGCTTATTTAGAAAAAATTGAACGCTTTGTTTTTTTGAGTTGTGGATTTTTTTTCGTCTTTTTTAAAACTTCAAAAAGTCTTTTATTTGAACCAAGTTATGTGAACATACTTAAATCGAAAAATCGTTTGATAGTTCGAACTGAATGCTTCGATTGAGCTAGCCTCAAGAAGGCGCTAAAATTTCGTTGTATGCATTGTTCATAGCAGACAAAGTTCCTTTGTTTTCAAATACCGAAGGAAAGACATCGAGTGCTAACTTTTTTCCGTAGATTTGTCGCGGTCTTTTCCAAAAAGAAAGAATCGAGAGGCCGTGGGATGGCTTCCTATGAATCACGCGATTGGTGCCAGTACCTCGTAAACATTCCTTTGACGGTGCACAACCCATTAGAAATAATGGCGTCCTACGGTCCTGATTCTTCACACTTTTCAAATATATTGCGGCTTGAAAAAATGTACTTTCTCATAAGTGCAAGTCATGCGTTTTGAAACAACAGTAGAATATTCAAAAGTTTTTTGTTGTTGAGCAACTTCACTGCCAGGTTTTTTTAAACATGATATTATAATGAAGTTTGGAAAAAAAGCATACTATGTTCAGTACAAAAACATTGGGCTAAAGAAGCCCTCACTGAAAAACTTTGAAAAGTTATTGAAACGTTGCTTTGGAATACGTGAAAATCTAGAAGATCCCTCTTAGCTTGACACAAACTTGTCTTTTAGAAGTTTTGATCTTTCACAGTTGAGAGAAACTATGCGAGCCGTATTTTGTGTAGAAAGATTCTAGGCTAGCATTCCAATTAGAAAATTATGAGTAGTTTTGGAAAAAATCGCGAGCTCGTTTGTTTGCGGTTTACATTCTGATGATGAACTTTGTCGAGATTCGAAAAAAATTGAAAAAAGGCGAACAGAACAGTAATACTGTCTTTGTTAGAAAACTTTTGAAAATTATGAAATCGAACTATATACTGAAATCGAACTAACTCGGCCTTCTCCTCTTCCGTTTTGACCTTTGCCATCTCCCGCCATATTTCTTTGGCGTCCTGTTCGGCTTGACAAAAGTCGAAACGAGCCCGTCTCAACAAGAACGTCATGACGAGCTGCAATTGACTGAGAAAGTTGGTGTCATATAGAACAAAAAATGTTCTCTTTTAATAGAAACGTGTTTTTTTTCGAAATTCAAAGAGAAAAGGAAATTTTACAGCAAAAAGGCAGGTCGAAAGCTGAAAAGTACAGCGAAACACAGAATCCCTTGCGCGCTTCGGCTTTTTCGATAAACAAAAAACAAATTGCAATGTTGAGAGATCGTACATTGATGAGAGAGCAAAACGTTTCAGAACAGAAAAGAGCAGAAAGGTGAAAGCTTTTTTCGAAAAGACGATTTGATGAAAACATCCGCATGAGTCATGTTTATATTACAAGAGAGACCGCACGAGAAACTTTTTCAAAACTGCAGATAAGCGAAGAAAATATTATGAAAAACTCAGGAGCACCTATAAAGTGTTTTTGAAAAATCCGAAATGGATTTGAATGATCAAGATTTGAAAGTTAGGTCTTTTCCTTCAACGAAGATCGGATGTTTGAAGGCTATACCGATCTCATTTTCTCATTATCTTTGTCGAATCTTTTGTTCAAGTAGCTATGAAAAACTATTGTTTCTGCATTTAGGGGAGAAGGATAACTGGCCATGCTCAAATGACTACGAAACCTTGAGATATGAAAAATGTATTCTCGGATTTTGCCTGACAACAAAGGTCATGCAGGCTTCGGGGTCAGAAATGTGGGAAATTTTTGAGGAAATCAATGATCGAACTGACAATTGTGTCGCCAACTCCCCCTGGCCGACAGTTCAGAACTTTTGAAGTGGTACGGTGGCTATCGCCTTGCCAAACATTCGAAGTTATTCATTGCTATAGGTTTGATATTAGAATCTTTTTCCATGCGTATATCTAGAAGTCATTTTTTTCTACGACGACGTCGGAACGAATTTCCATGTTATATCGGCTACTTTTCATCTTACTGTGGGCGGTGTTTTCCGTGAAAACGGGGATAAAAATAGCGTTTTTCTCCGCACTAAGAGACAAAGAAATTGTAAAAGTGCGGGAGCGCAGACGGTTTGCCACACCTTTGGGTCCCCTCACCATCTTTTTTTCGGGATTTTCTCACTATTTTTCTTATGTTGTTTTCAGACAAACCTTGGTAGAGTCGTAATCAACACGCGGGTTACCCAAAGAGGAAATGAAACTGAGTCAGTGGATCAAAATTTCCAAACGCCGGAACCAAGCCACATGTTCAAACTGACCACTTGAAAGCAACTAAAAAGTAGCCTTTTGCAGTGCTCCTGCGATTCTTTTTTCATGAGCACTCTCTTCATTGTTTCACATTTTCAAACTTCTAAAATTTAACTATTTCCTTTCTAATGAATGAAATAATATAACCAGTATAAATTTACTATTTCTTAGTTCATTGCTTTGATATTATAATCTTTCTCTATGCGATTTTTCTCGAATCGTTTGCTTTCTATGGAGCAACACGTTCTAATTACTTACAAACATTTGTTCCGCTGAACTGGCATTATTTTCAAGTATCTTATAGTCGAAAACTAAACGGAACGAGATCCTCGAGAGTTTTTAAGTTCACAGCTCTTGCTGATCGTTTGAAGTCGATTGTCAATGCTCAACCCAACTTCAATTATAGGAACCAACTTCTTTCAGGAAGAAGCAAGTCAATGCAACTGTCTGCCAATTTTTATCGCGTTGCCCCGTTGAAAAAAAGTTTGAAACCACGCGACCCAGGTGCGCCGCTTTGTGCAAAAGTGAACGAAGAGTTCACCACAAAGGCAAGGAGGGACGCGTCGTCTTCTTTTTACACACGATTCTGTTTGTGAGAAGAAACAAAAACGGTATCTCCCAACATCCCTGCGAAAGGATATTCTTTGATGTTTCGAATCTCAGCAGCATTGCACTGTCCGTCAACTTGTGTTCGAAGGCTGCAACTTCGAGTGCCATAGAGAACTCGATTGATGAAAAAAAGTGTTGAATACTTGGATCTTATTAGCATAAAGTCCAGCGGCGTTGATGTTGGATGCATTTTACGAAATCTTTTTATGACTTGAGCATTATTATGTCAACTCATTTCACTCTAGAAGCACGAAGGGAAATAAAAAGATACGGAGCGTGATTAAAAACACCGAAATCTTCCTAGCAACGATTGTAAAAAAAAGAACTTCGAGCAGTGGGAACAGAAAACGGCAAATATCAATGAAACCAACCACCCAGAACGAAGTGCGCGATTTGAGGTAATAAAAATCAGCAATCTTCTTTTAGAAGTCTTGGAAACGGTCCAAACTGATCGATATTCAAAACTTCGAAGGTATTCAGAGCAGGTTACAAGAACATCCACAATTATTCAAAATTGGGAATTTCAAAGAATTAGTCATGACTTTATGTTTTCCACAGTATTCAGACCTAGTTTTATAAAGTCTCTTTCTTATATTTTTTTTCACAAAAAAATAAAATTGTGTTATTAACTTCGAAAAAAATTATGAAAGTTTCAGTTTTTTTGCTGTCCTTTTGAAAAAAAAAAAAGAATCGATAAACAGTTCAGTTGATCTGTGGTCTCTTGAGAAAAGGGATCCAAGAAAAAGTTAGGGTACAGGGAAAAAAAAACAGATTTTTCAAAACAGACCTGCTCACAAGCAGCGAAAAGGATGGCCGAACCACCGGAAGATCAACGATCAAGTTCGAAAAGGTCATCGAAGACAAGCGCCCTTTTGCAGCTGGTTTCTTTTTTTCTTAAAACTATCCAGATTCGGGAAGATTCTCAAACTTTTTGGATGGAAAACTGGTTGCAGGTGCAGCTTTCAAAGCAGATGTTTGCACTTCCCCTTTATTTGGGTACTATCCTTCAGAAAAATAATCAAATAATTCCGAGTGAAGAGTGTTATAAAATAAAAACTGAAGCTGAATTGTGTCGTGTGCTTGATTCAACAATGGAAAAGTTAGTATAAAGAAAAGGTGAAGGTGAATGAGAAAAGTTATAGGAAATAACACTTTGACAATATGGCTTACACGATCTTTCGAGCTCTAAAGGTTATAGTGATGATGTGGCAATTTTTATGTGACTCATCTTCGAGTAAGTTTTCAGAAAATGTTTGCTACGTTTTTCGAAGAAAAGTATCAAGATGAGGGAAAAGAGTGTTTTCAAGAAGCTGAGAACTAACTGTGATAAAGTTGATAAACTCATAAGAACCATTAAAATTTCGATGTAAGTCCATAGTCTCTTCTGAATGGCTCACTTGGTTTTTAAAGAGAATTTTTCTTGCGTGATCAAGAAACTTTCTTTCGTACGATAGATAGTTGAAAACAAAACTGTTGTGGAAAAAAATCTTACGGATATATTTTTGCTCCTTTGAAAAGCCTAGCCAGTGTTCATGAGGAGACTATGAAAACAAAAGTTTCGGAGCCTAAAGGAAGGCAGTCCGGCGTTAACATTACCATCAACGCGAATTGAAGTGCGACATGCTCTTGGAAGCCGTCTGATGAGAAGACTGTTCACGCAAGCGCACAGAGGATCTCCATCTCTGCACTCTCCGGCGCTCTCGCACTGTTTCTCGACTCCGCCTCTTCTAGACGGTTTGGCTGTCCTCCTTCGCGACGCTCGCGCCCAGGAGCCACTGCGTCTCTCCTTCCGCATGTTTTGAAACTCATTCTTTTCAAATGCCAGAGGACATACGAAAACAATTTTCTTGGAAAGATTTGCGATTGTCGCATTGTAGAGCTGAGTCTATCATAACAAAATGATTTTTATGAAAAAAAGACAAAAAAGGTGGCGATCAAACATTGAAACTATTCTTTAATCCAAAAAAAATATTCAAGGATCTTGGTTTGAAAACGCACCAGTTATTCAGCCCTCATCAAAAAGTGAACTGCATCTTTTTTATAATTTCTAAATCCCTATTTGAACTTCAAGCATTATTATATTGTTTTGATAAAAAAATGTTCTGGATTACGCAGCAAAAACTTATAAAAATGTAACCGTCGAAAAAATAGAAACCAACCAAGTTTTCGAGATATAATCAAACATTGCTCATGGTCTATAAAGAAATATTTTTTGGCATTTCACTGTTTTCACCGACTTTTCAGACTTCATAAGAGACTGTCATTGAATTGCCGACGACAGGGAGCAGTTATAATCCGCAAACTTAGATTTTTCTGAGAGACTCTCTTTGCGACGGACGCTCCCGGTCTTTTATAAATGATCGAAAAGTTTAAATCTCGAGTTTTGGCGAGATTTGTATTATTTTGTTTTGCGATTATTTTCGCAAAAAAAAGGTTATTTTACGGTTAGTTGAGCTGCTTGAAACTGTTGTTTTCAGGGATCAAGCAACAGTATTTCAAAGCAGTACTTTATGTCATTCCGAGAACCAACATAATGCCGAACACACTGTACATTTTGAATTTTTTTTTTTCATCAACGAACCATGCTCTATATGAACTTGCATTTTCTTTTTGAATTTGAATTTTATTTGATTTCTAGAAGAGGCAGCGTACACGATCACCTGGAAAGAGAGTTTTACGGCAGAGCAGTCGCTATTTGTGTCCCCTCAACCGTACAAATTTTTCCGAAAACACAACCATATCTCTTCTTTGAACTCCGAAGATCAGAGGAGTTGATTCAAATTCTCGTATCAAGTTTCCCTTGAATTCATTATTGATATCGTTAAAAAAAAGTATGTATAAAGCCGTAGGAGTAACTGCAGCATGCTCCATTCTTCTCATTATCGTCCAAAAGATGATTAAACATGAGAATCAAAAGAGCAGATAATGAGAAAGGATGTACTTTTTAGAAACCGCGATAAAGACCATTTCACCTTGTTAGTGAGCGCTCATTAAGAATAGTCAGCCGCCGCGTCAAATGGTTGGCGAGAAGTCGTTGCGTCACTCGTTTCTTCTAATGAGGAGGATTACCGGTGGAGCAAAACGAGCCGAATCCGTTTCCAAGAACAGGTGGGTGATAGTCATATTCCAATGGTTGAGGAGTAAAAAATGCCAAGTGTTGTATGGTCAATTTTGGCAAAAGCGCAGACATTTCGCTTAGAAAAATTGACGTTATATTGAGAAACTGCGGACGGAAAGGTTTTTTTAATGTCATAAACCTCCGTATGTACTTAAGAGCAGTTTGAAACTTCGAAAGAAAGAATTTTACAAAAAAAAAGAGTTTGGAAGCGTTATGTGACAGTCTGACCGTATACGGATAAAAACTATGGAAGTTTTTTCGGCCACCGAAATGCAAATTAACATTTTTTATGGCTCAAGACTTTCAAAAGACATTATTTGAAGCCTGTAGTTCACTTCCCAAAGCCTGACGCATAAAAAACACACTTCCTTAACAAGTTCTTCTTTATTCAACAAGAAAAAACGCGAAACAAATCATCACAGCACACAGAGGCTACCAAAGAAACTTCGCCTGTGATTGAACAACAAAACTGACCGATTGCGTTTAATCTATCATGATTTGAAAAAGGAAAAAAAAACAACACGAATGAAAATCAATATAAAAATGCTTTAAATCCGGATTCATGTGATTCGAATTCTCATTAAAAGAAAACAAAAGTCGTTAAAAGAAAAAAAAAATTGCGAGGCATGAAATACAGCACGTCTTAAATTTGGCTAACTGTCTGTAGATGAAAAATTAGTTGGTATCGAAAAATGACAGGAGGAAAAAAAGAGTTTACTATACCCTGTTTGCCACGACTCAAAAAAGCCAAATTGGGCCGAACTGCATATTATATTGGTCAATTATATGCGACCACGTTTAAAATGTTTTCTTCATTTTTCCAAGGAAAAATTCCTGTTCAGAGTTTTCTTTTGTTGTTGAACAACATACAGTACTGTCTAAAAAAATACGAAAAAAAAAACGCTTTTTGGAACCGAAAATGTGGTTTTTCGTATCTTTTTGACAAAACTGTAAATACCTGGTAAAAAAAAATCATTGGATAGTCGCTAAAAGACTGTTATATGTCAAAATCGCGGAAAGTTAGATTTTTCAAGTCGTGGCAGACACAGTACAATGATAACTGTAGAACGTTTTCACCGTTCTGAGCCTTTTATTGCCTCGAGAAAACTAAAGAAGTTTGCATTTGTTGTTTCTGCGACTCCATCCATGTTCTAGCTGCAAATTTGGCATTCATCTACAGTCAATCCTTCTCGACTTGAAAGACAAGATGGGTAGAAGGGCAAGGCGAAACGTTGCGTACGCGAGGCGACCTTTTGGCGAACAACTCGAAGTCAAATGCTAGAAGTCAAACCTTTTTTTTACCCCTTTTTTTGATAATTTTTCGACGATCTTCAATTTTTTACGATCGTGAAAATATTAGTTGAACGAATAAAAATTTTAACTAATGAGAAAAGTTTTTTTTTCCACATTTTCTCATGATTTTGTTTGACCTCGAAATGCACGCCAAAAAGCCGCGACGCGTACGCAACACGCTTGCTTATTAACCAATCTTGCCTTTCAGTTCGAAAAAGTGTGACTATAATGAGGGAAACGTGCGAAAAATCTCTAAAACAGATCATGAATAGTCATACGCTGGTCATTACAAAGGTTCTCTTTTTTTCAAAACTTATAACAAGAAAAGCGAACGAGTAACCCTCATGAAGTCGTTGAAAGCAACTCGTTCTTCTTCGATGGCACGCTCGAGATCCGTTTGCGAATCGATTATGCGCCTCGCTGCACTGAAAACTAAAGTTGCACGGTTTATTCTGGGAAGTTCCTACCGTCTTTGCTCCCGTGGGGTCACAGCAAGGTTGAACTGTTTTGCGAGCTCTGCGTTGACCCTCGCAGCTTCGAACATGCGAATTCGCGCGTCGCTGTGTACCAGAGCTGAAACATGGAAAAACATTCAAACGGTCAGGAGTTAAGCAAAATTCTATCAAGATGCCACAATCCTTTACGCCCTGAGATGAAATTTTTAATATATCTGATTGGTGATTCTGCGCTTTCATTACGATATAGTTATTGAGCTTGGAAAATAAAACAAAAAGAAATTACCAAGGGAATCAGCCATCTTTTCGTCATCTGAATGAATCAGATCATAATAAATCTGGTGAATGTGCTTCACCAATCGTTCGCATCGGCCCTTGTGATCCAATGCTTTCCGCAGCTTGGCGAACTTTCTGCGAAATTCCTTTCAACTGTGAAAAAACTCGGAAAAAGACTGACAACGCGAGATCTTCCGGTGTTTCAGCACTTCTCCAGCGTTTTTTGCATCGAGAGTAGTCTTCACGCGCCACGATAAGTTCAAAACGAGCCCGTCTTTCCAAGTACGTCATCTTGAGAAAATAGTGAGTACATACAGTGACTTTCTGCCAACTGGAGTGAATAATTTCTAAGAAAAAAATTATTTTAATAAATGGAGCTGGAAAACACCAGAGATCACCAAATCAAAAAGAGCCAAAATTTGAGAGCTTTAACGAAAGTTTCATGATAACAATGCAAACTGATCCATCCTTCCAAACTTATCGATCTTCTCGAAGCCTCATTAATAAGAAACCAATAAAAAAAAATATACACGAATGGCTAAGAAAAAGTCTCCGCCTAAACAGAAAAAAGGTTTTTGTTTACGACGAAAAATTTTAACTGCTAATTCAAAAATACGAGGAGGCTTGGAGATATAGTAAGCGAATGGAAAAAAGTGAATTTCTACGGAGAGGTGGCGAAGAAAAACAGAATGACGGTCCGTCCGCCCTAAAATAATTTCCGGAGACTGCACATTTCACGGTAAACAAATCGGTGAGATCAATCGTCTCCACGAATTCTGCATGGGCAATAAATTTCTGATAGAGGCTCCGCACACCTAGAACTTCCCGGCGTTATTTTCTACCCAACCGAGTGATTTTTAGTTTTGTAGATTGATTCATGAAACTTCTGATACTGACAAAAACTGAAAATAAAAAGTTTTCTTTAGATTAGGAAAGTCACGAGTATTGCGCATCCATTTTTTTTTTGTTTTTAAACAGTCTCTAGAAATTTCAACAATTAGAAGCTTGGTCTTAGTTTCCAAAAAAATATTCTAGCTAATACATTTTTTTAAAAAGTATAGGAAGCGAATTCATTACAATTATATTAGTCAGAGAATATCAGTAAGAATATTATTTTCACTGCTAACTCGAGGAAAGTTTAGGTTTGAAATAGGCCAACCAACTGCATATTATCAGGAAACACAGTTCCCACGGGAAAACAAACATGATGAACCGTGCCACAACGAATACCGTTGCTCAACGCGAAAATAGGAAAAAGACCAGCCGCCATAGCTGGCAACATCTCAAAAAATGACTTGTGACATCGGCACAATGCGTCACGTCGGCCGCTAGCCTTTTCGTCTCTCCTTCCTGAGAAAAAGACCGGCGAGCGCGCCTTTTGAACATTCTTCTGTACTCAAAGCGAGCCGCAAACGGAGACAAACGGGTCCCAACCTTCGAATAATGAAACCAAGTTCAAAGAAGATTTTTGTTTTGAATCTTTTGAATCTTACTTCACTGATTCGAATTGAAAATGATCATTTGAAACTATTTTCCGAATATCAGGCCTTCACATGATGGAACAATTTTTTTGTTTTGCCGAATCAAACAAAAGACTTCTCATTTTTTTAAACATTCAGAGCTCTGTCCAAACTGATATACCGTCAACCACAGTACCAATTCTCTTTGCGAACGGTTTTCCGGTCCGTTTTTTTTCCGGTTCGTTTTTTTTTTCAAGAGTTTGAGCTAAACCGATTCTTCCTCCCCTGTGATCCCAGGAGAAAAAATGTAGAAAAACAAACAACAGAAGTCTTTATTCCGAAAAGGAACAAAGACCGAAAAAGAGCAGACTCAGCGAGCGCTCAAACGACGAGCGCCGGCAGCAGCAGCCTCAGCAGCAACCGGCAGCCAGGCCCGACGCAAGGCCGACGCAGCAGCAGCAGCAGCGACCTGAGCCTCGCGCTCAGCCACCCAACGAGGCACGGGCGGCGCAGGCGGCCAGACCGCAGGGCGCAACTGAAAGATTCATGCTCAAATTTGCGACACCGACATAATTTGTACAAACGACTTTTCTCAGCCAGTTTGAGGCAACGTCAAATACTTACAGTTATATGAATTCACAAAAAAAAGTCGTAGTGATCCATTTTGAGTTCCATACAAACCATCACAACTTGAGTTTTTCTCTTTTTTAAGTCATTAACAAGTAAAAACTCACCGGGAGAGCGCCAAAGGACACCTCACCATCAGCCTCTGGCACGAGAAGGTTGATGTCGACGTGGGACGAGAAGGTCGAAAACGGCATCTCTGAAGTTTTCTTATTAGTTTGAGTATTTCAATAAAGCGCGAATGTAAATGCGATTGAAGAGCGAAAAACAAAACCATGAAAAAATTTAAAAATGCACTAAAGTTTTTGAAAATTTCTTGATCAGTTAAACAGGGGAGCCAGAAGTGAATCTGGAAAGTCGACAAGTTGTTCTAAACGAAAATCTACATCGAAAATGCGAAATCCCTCACGTTGGAAATAAGAAAAAACAAAAAAATGAACGAAAATTGATGAAACGTGACGAGACGAGAGCAAAAGCGGCAGGCAAAAGTCTGCAATGCGCCGTCGTTTTGAGCGACGTGTATGCAGACTCCAAGTTTCTTGACGCTGGTGCAACTTGCGTGCCTGATATTCTTCATTCTTGCACTACTTTTAACTACTTTCATCGACTTCTGTCATTAATTTTCCTTGTTTCTCACGTATTTCTATCTATATTATATGCATTTCACTCATTAAACTGTGGAGAAATATAATAAGTTCAAGAAACTTATTCCACCAGTGAAGAAATGACTTTTACAGGACTTGAACGAAATTTCGCTTTACAAACGACGAAGATAACCATGTTCACCATGCGGGAGAGTCTGCAATGCGCCGTCATTTAAAGCGACGTGTATGCAGGAGCCTATTTTCATGTTGTCGGACCAATTTGCTTCGAATACATTTTGTGAAATTATCCTGACCTTCTTCTTTGTTTTTCTAGATACAATACATTCCTATTTAATGACATTAGAAACGGCGAAATAAAAACTAAAGTTCTATAACAAAAACTTTTCATCCACACCTTTTCACTGAAAAGTATGAAAATGCAAAAACCTCATTGAAGTTTCAAAAAATCTTTTCAAGCAAATTTGTTTCATTTTTCATAACTTTATTGTGTCAAATTGCTTCAATTACTTTTCTTCACACTTTTTACCGTTTTTGTCTGTTCAGGTTTTAGTTGTAGAGCAGCTTAATCCACCTTTGCTGGCACAGTACCCTTTCGCGTCAATGTTTCATGGCGTGGAACGGTTTCGGATATTTTTTGTTCTAAAAGATAGAAAACGAAGTCAAAAGCCATATTAAAGGTCATTTTCATCTACGATAAAACATTGACACAAAAGATTTCGTAGTCGTGGGGCAAAGTTAGCTGCTGATCATTCAAAATCTGAGAAGTTTTTTATGTGTTCGAGCCGGCTCGAAAATTTTTGGAAAAATTCGTGTTTCAGTATGAATTTTTAGATTCTGAAACACCGCTTAAAATGAGACTCGATATGAGTGCATTAAGTGGAGGCAATGAATGTAATTTTTATTGTTTTTTAAAAGTAACCTCATTCAGATATTTTTTTTACAACCGATAAGCATCTGTGGTTCCCGTTTTACCGGCTCTGACCCTTTTTCTTCCAATTTTTGCGAAACTGACAAGGTGAAGTTTAGTGACAAATTCCTGAAATTTTGTGACGAGAAAAACATGTTTCACATTTTACTGTACCAAGTTCACTTGAACGTGTTCATTCGAAGCTACTTACCCTTTATCTTTTTCATTTGATCGGAAAATGTTCATCTTTTTGCCGATTCAGAGAAAGACCTTTTCTTCCTGTAAAAATTCGAAGCTCCGTCCAAATTGATATGAAGTAGAACCAATTCTCACTGCCAACGGAATTTTCCAATCCATTTCTCTTTTTTTTCAAGAGTTTGAGCTAACCCGATTCTTTCTCCCCTGTGAACCCAGAAGAAAAAACAAAAACAACAGAAGTCTTTATTCCGAAAAGGAACAAAGACCGAAAAAGAGCAGACTCAGCGGGCGCTCAAACGACGAGCGCCGGCAGCAGCAGCCTCAGCAGCAACCGGCAGCCAGGCCCGACGCAAGGCCGACGCAGCAGCAGCAGCAGCGACCTGAGCCTCGCGCTCAGCCACCCAACGAGGCACGGGCGGCGCAGGCGGCCAGACCGCAGGGCGCAACTGAAAGATTCATGCTCAAATTTGCGACACCGACATAATTTGTACAAACGACTTTTCTCAGCCAGTTTGAGGCAACGTCAAATACTTACAGTTATATGAATTCACAAAAAAAAGTCGTAGTGATCCATTTTGAGTTCCATACAAACCATCACAACTTGAGTTTTTCTCTTTTTTAAGTCATTAACAAGTAAAAACTCACCGGGAGAGCGCCAAGGGACACCTCACCATCAGCCTCTGGCACGAGAAGGTTGATGTCGACGTGGGACGAGAAGGTCGAAAACGGCATCTCTGAAGTTTTCTTATTAGTTTGAGTATGTCAAAAAAAGCGCGAATGTATATGCGGCAACAGAGGGAGAGAAGATAACACTATATAAAAGAATTTAATTTTGCAATCACACTATAGACATGAAATAATGAAGATTACACGAATAGGTGTCCTCAAAATGTGTTGTTGGCTCTCGAAACACGTATATCATAATTATCATTCTCATTAAAAAAGATGTTTCGTGAAAAACAAACATATAATTAGTTCTAATAAAAAAATAATTTATATTGAAACTGCGAAAAAAACACAAAGTTGGAAATCTGAAGAAACATATTTATGAGGTGAGAAGTGACGAGACGAGAGCAAAATCGACAGGCAAGAGTCTGCAACGCGCCGTCGTTTTTGAGCGATGTGTATGCAGACGCCGATGTTCTCGGCGCTAATGCGATCTGCTGACTTTTTCGCATTCTCCCATTTTTTTGCAATAATCTCATCAATTTCCATCGTGTTTCATGTAAGTTTTCCTATATAACATGTATTTCACCTATTGAGTTGTTGTGAAATGTCAGGAATGAATGAAATTTGCTCGAGTAGTTGCAAAATGGTTGCAATTGCAAACTCATCATCGTTTGCTCAGCTTCACAGCTTCTTTTTAAAGTATGATCACGCACTTTTTTTGTTTGTTTGAGTCCTCTTATTGATAATAGGATACGTGAATTTTACAATATTCTCTTTGAAATTATACATTTGAACTGTTATGATATCAATCAATACGTTTTCAGATATAACCCCAACCTTTTGTATTCTTTCCGTGTATGAGCTGTGCGAAACGAATATTTAATTTTTTTTTTTCCGAACCTGAATTCCGGGCAGTTTTGAACCAAAATTTTTTCTGAAGTAATAAAAATACAGCGTGAATCGAATAAAATAAGATTGAAACTTCTCCGACCTTATGATGTTTTAATAAGACAAAATTAGACTTTGCCGCAGATTCTCCGTACATGGAAAGAGAATTCGTGAAATTCCCGCTTTGAGAGAAAAATTTTTGTAGCACGCTTTGCAATTGGCGTACTCTTCCAGTCAAGTTATTTTTTTTCAAAATCAAATCAACGTCAGAATATGATCTGGGAAAATAAATGGTGAAGCGTTTTATAGTTGTCAAATAAAAAGTCGGCATCCAAAACGTCAAATGGAGGCTTCGACGGAGCTCATGAGCCATTATAACGGAATTTTCGCGTTGCATTTTCTGAACTGACCGAGAAAAGAATGAAGAATATATTGCAGGGAAACCCAGTCGCCTTTCCAGCAAAAGTAGGTAACTTATATCTCTTTAGCTTGGCTTTGGGCCGGAACTTTATTCGATTCGTTTTAATTATAATCTTCACATGATCCTAAAATTTGAAAACGGTTTTCCGTTTTTTAATTGATTCCGCATAGGTAAAACTACCCTCGTCAAGTATTTTTTTTAGTAGTGTATACGCAATAAGGAACAAAAAATTCAGTTTTTCCTTGAATTGGGTTCCACCTATTGATGATCGAATGTATAATAAACCTCACATAAGTTATAACTCACACACAAGTTGTTCTAAACGAAAGTCTACATCGAAAATGCGAAATCCCTCACGTTGGAAATAAGAAAAAACAAAAAAATGAACGAAAATTGATGAAACGTGACGAACCGAGAGCAAAAGCGGCAGGCAAGAGTCTGCAATGCGCCGTCGTTTTGAGCGACGTGTATGCAGACTCCAAGTTTCTTGACGCTGGTGCAACTTGCGTGCCTGATATTCTTCATTCTTGCACTACTTTTAACTACTTTCATCGACTTCTGTCATTAATTTTCCTTGTTTCTCACGTATTTCTATCTATATTATATGCATTTCACTCATTAAACTGTGGAGAAATATAATAAGTTCAAGAAACTTATTCCACCAGTGAAGAAAAATGACTTTTACAAAACTTGAACGAAATTTCGCTTTACAAACGACGAAGATAACCATGTTCACCATGCGGGAGAGTCTGCAATGCGCCGTCATTTAAAGCGACGTGTATGCAGGAGCCTATTTTCATGTTGTCGGAGCAACGTGCTTTTTTGTTTTTTTTTTCATTTAGCATTTTCGCACGTCTTTTTGTTGCTATCATTGGTTATCATCGTTCCGTATGCACTCCACATGAATGCATCACACTCCTTGATGTGTTGTGAAACATGATGGAGCTCTCTCAACATGATGGAACCCTCTGACAATATGCAAGGTGTATTAGAATAGGAACATCCGAAGCGATCAGCTTTTTTGAATTGTTTCGAGCAGACGCGAAAATTCAGAGAACAATTCAACAATAAAAAATGTGATAAAATGTGACAATAGTCATTCCGAACAAATTAAAGATAACCCTTCTTAATATGAATGGATTGGGGATGATATGACACGTGAAGCAACAAGAATTAGAAGCAAGTTGGAATATTGTCTGAAAATGGGTTCGTCCCACATAAAACTCGCCGTCTGCATACACGTCGCTTTAAATGACGGCGCATTGCAGACTCTCCCGCATGGTGAACATGGTTATCTTCGTCGTTTGTAAAGCGAAATTTCGTTCAAGTCCTGTAAAAAGTCATTTTTTTCTTCACTGGTGGAATAAGTTTCTTGAACTTATTATATTTCTCCACAGTTTAATGAGTGAAATGCATATAATATAGATAGAAATACGTAAGAAACAAGAAAAAAATTAATGACAGAAGTCGATGAAAGTAGTTAAAAAGTAGTGCAAGAATGAAGAATATCAGGCACGCAAGTTGCACCAGCGTCAAGAAACTTGGGTCTGCATACACGTCGCTCAAAACGACGGCGCATTGCAGACTTTTGCCTGCCGCTTTTGCTCTCGTCTCGTCACGTTTCATCAATTTTCGTTCATTTTTTTGTTTTTTCTTATTTCCAACGCTTTATTGAAATACTCAAACTAATAAGAAAACTTCAGAGATGCCGTTTTCGACCTTCTCGTCCCACGTCGACATCAACCTTCTCGTGCCAGAGGCTGATGGTGAGGTGTCCCTTGGCGCTCTCCCGGTGAGTTTTTACTTGTTAATGACTTAAAAAAGAGAAAAACTCAAGTTGTGATGGTTTGTATGGAACTCAAAATGGATCACTACGACTTTTTTTTGTGAATTCATATAACTGTAAGTATTTGACGTTGCCTCAAACTGGCTGAGAAAAGTCGTTTGTACAAATTATGTCGGTGTCGCAAATTTGAGCATGAATCTTTCAGTTGCGCCCTGCGGTCTGGCCGCCTGCGCCGCCCGTGCCTCGTTGGGTGGCTGAGCGCGAGGCTCAGGTCGCTGCTGCTGCTGCTGCGTCGGCCTTGCGTCGGGCCTGGCTGCCGGTTGCTGCTGAGGCTGCTGCTGCCGGCGCTCGTCGTTTGAGCGCCCGCTGAGTCTGCTCTTTTTCGGTCTTTGTTCCTTTTCGGAATAAAGACTTCTGTTGTTTTTGTTTTTTCTTCTGGGTTCACAGGGGAGAAAGAATCGGTTCAGCTATGAGTTCTGCAAGATGGTGAGCAGGTTGAAAAAGTCGATTTCGCAAAGGTAGTATAGCTTGGTACTTTGTTTTGAATTCTAATAAAAAAGATTCTCAAAACAGAGAAATGTTTTTAATAAAATAATACAGGAGATTCGTAAATTAGATTCTGATGAATATGTCCAAATGCAGTCTACACAATAGAAAGAGTAGTATACTGAAGTTTTAGTTTTTAAACGTTTTAAGGCGACTCCAACGTTTACAGTGCTTGAAAAAAAGTGTGAAAATTAATAAAACGTAAAATTTATCAGAGGAAATTTTTTTATTTTTTTTCGTTCAAAAAAAGTTTTTTTCAAAGATTAAATTGTCATTCGCATTGTTGAAACGCGTCGATCTTCTTTGGAAAACCATGGATAGCTTTCAAAACTCTGGAATGTTTTTGGTGAATTTTATTAAACGTATTAGACCGACCCTCCTTCTATCCGCTCCACTTTCCAGTAGCGATTCCCCGAAAATAAAAAAATCCTTCGGAGTTTTTTTGAAAAATCGCAGCACCTATCGAAGTTGGCATTGGCGTCTGGAAACAAAAAACCTTGTTTCATTCGTATATTTTATTGAACTTCATTCGATTTTCTGAATATTTCTTCGATCCTGCGGGGCCAAGAAGGTGACATTCCAAAACGCGAATAGGGCCAGTACTGACGTCCTAATAAGATTTTTGTTTCAAATTAAGTTTTAGTATAAACCTTTGAAAAAAATATTGAGTTGAATGGTCCCATAGCATTGCTGCGTCAATTCTGCCGGGCATACTGACAAGTCCCTCGGAAATATTCTGAAAAACAATGAACAAAAGACCAAATAAAAAAAAACCTTTGGGTATCCTGCATAGACTTTGCCATTTCTTGCGAGAAGCCAATATTGAAAATTCTGTAATACAGGAGAAGATTAATTAAACTAATTCAGAATGAAAACTTCAAGGTTAGTTACAAAAATTTCAAACTTTAAACAAGTAAATGTTCCCGTATGAGTCCGTTGTGGCAGCATCTAACGGTCCTTCCACTGGAAAAACCGATTCGATAAGTTGCGGGTATTGATTCATCCCCTTGGACGGGAATTTTACAAATTCCTTGCCTGAAATGTGACCTTATTAATTTTAAAAACGAGGAGGGAAAAATATATTTGTCTTTAAATGCGTGATGAAAATCAATCATCGTCTACAAGCTGACATCCAAGAAATTTATGTTTGAGTAAAGCAGGGAAAATCTACCTTTGAAGAAATATTGTGATCCGTTGGCCATTTGGAATATTGCATCGTAATAAGGTATCTGGCAAAACTTTATAAGCCTTTTCTCTCTCTGTTCCTTGGCCGGTCCGTAGAGTCTTTTGACAGCCAGTTTGTCGTCTGTTCAATGAAATATTTATTGAATCATGGAAAAAAAACCGTTGTGAAGGTGAAGACCATTGCCAGTATATTGTTTATAAAAAGGGGCCATGATTGCAGTCGAAACATGCGAATGCTTCAAGCCAAGGGCGTGGCCGATTTCGTGAACTGCTACAGCGTAAAGATCGACTCCGACTGAAAACAATTAGGAATGAAAAAGCAATGGAAGTTTCCGTAAATTGCCGGTCTAAAAATATATGAATCAAACATAGAAAACCGATAAGTTTATGATAACTATTAGAATAGAATACTTCAGTTTAAGAGAAAAATGATTGTAGTTTAATTTGAAAAAATGACTGTTTCAAATTAAAAAAGAGTCATGTTTTTTTATTCAGAAACGAACTTATCCAATTTAATATTACTAACCTAAATTAGATCACTCAGGACAATTTTGAAATGAACAAAGAAACATTTTCCTCATCAAACTAACAGTTTCTGCTTGCAGACCAGTCTTCATCGTCGTCAAAATGAAGAGAGCCACCATACCGTGGAAAAAATGCATGCGCCAGAACATCTCCTGAAAAAATATTTGTGGATCGTTTCAAAGCTTTTAAAATAAGTTTTAGATTCTCATTTACCTTTTCCATCAAAAGGCTCGCCGTCCCCATGTTCTCTGCTTCTGAATTGAATATCAATATGTGGTGATTCGTGTGCAGTTTCTACAAACTCAAGACCTGTATCTTCTTCCCACACCTGTGAATGAAAAAAAATTGTGGATTTTATTTTTTGTTCTCAAAACCTTGAAAGCTTTTCGAAATACTTCTCGCAAAACTTCAACTGGCAAAGAGCTACTTGGCTTAGTTAACCTGTATTTTATCTCTTTAGTAGACCAGTAAGATCCTGAAAGTGTTACCGTGTAAAACTTTGAACTTCGAAAAAACCTAACCTTCAATGGAATAGCGTTTATGTCGAAAGGAGGGTAAATTTGTGTAGTTCAAAAATTTCTGTAAAGTTCTGGGAATATTTGGAAACATTCTATCGTTCAAATCTTTCAAATTCAGTTTTTCATTGTAGTGAGAGTGAAAGCTCGTTTTGCTTCCTGCCCGAATTTGAAATGATTCGAGCGCGCATGCAGGATGACTTTTTTTAAGTATGGAAAACTTTTTTTATACTTTTAAAATTTTTAAAGTAAAAGTTCAAATCAATACTAAGCACACAGTTTACCTGAAGAAAGACGATATGGAGAAAACCAAAGACGAGTGAAAGACGTAATAAGCGGCAGTTGACCATTACTTCGAGACCTAAAACGGCGGGCCTCTCGGCGACGAGAAATTCGGACGAGGTCAATGTGTCTGACCGGCAGCAATTATGAGTCGGCTCCATGGCTCTTCTTTGTTTTGATTTATGTCCAGATCCCATCGCTTATGTACGAAATTGAGTTTGTGTTTTTCCGACTGCAGTAGTGGTAAAGTAAAATTTAATCTAATTTGGCAGACGGTCTTTTTGGCAAAAAAAAAACGTGAAAAAAACTGGTAGACCATAAAAAGTTTGTGATTCACTTCAGTTTTTTTAAGATAAAAATAAAGTATGATTTCAAAAAAACAACATCTTTGTGCCACACTTTTTTGCCGTTCATCGATTTTTTCGGGTAACGTTTATTTTTTTTTGTTAATTTCTCCATGTTACTTTGCATCATTAAACTTTTCTTTTTGATTGCGGTTTTTCAAAACACAGAATAGACAAAACATTGTAACGAATAAAATTTCTATCAAAACTTCCGCTTTTGTTTCGCGCCTGAATGGATAAAAAAAAGTGTGTATTTCATTTCGACTCTCGGCAAAATTTTCGCTTGAAAAAATTAGCCTGATTATAGTTCAGCGTGAAACTTGAATTCTTTCTTTGTCTGAAATCTACTCCGAGTGCGCTAATAATTTCGAAGTTTTTTTTCAGATTCTCAATCCCGATACAATGCTTCTCATGTCTAATTCATTTGAATGATCACAAATCTAAAAAATAGAGAAATTAACTCTTGCTTCACAAAATAATACGAGTTTCTTAACTATTACGTGCGCATTCCATGAAAGACGTTTTATCGTTTGAATGGTATGATGGGGAGATTCGTGATTTTTGAAAATTTGAAAATGTGAGAAATTTGCAAACACTCTCCTCAAAACAAAACGAAAACTTGTTTTGTTGTCTTTCTCAAACTCTTGAGTTTTTTTTTCGCTTTTTCTCTGGTCAATGCAGATTTTGCACAGTTTGCATTGCACATTGTAATCTATGCATTGAGACTTCTCAAAACACAAACTTCCACCGGAGCTGGTTGAATTCCTTCTCTTCCAACGATTTCATTACACGTGTACGCAGACGTTGCATTTTTGATAGAACGACAAAATTAGTTTCCGCTTTTCGATTCGAAAACTTCCCCGCCTCAAACACATTCGAGCTCTCAGCGCCTTGTTTTGGGCTCTCAACCTTTTCTTTTCTTGAATCTAGAATATTTTTTAAATTCGATTTCTTACGCTTAACCCTTGCTTGAAATAGCTCTATGAGAAATTGAAGTTTTCTTCCAAAGTATGAAAACTTTTGGCTAATTATTTTAAGTTAAGAAAGGCAAAAATTAGGAGTTTTTCTTTTTAGTAAAGGTTAATTGAAAAATTTTCACTCTTACTCTGGATACCGTTCAAAAAAATTGGTTGGAATTCAAAGCTTTTTCAAAAAAATTTTTCAGGATGCATTCTCAATAGCTAGAACTCGTTTTTTTAAATTCTTAAGTTGTAAAAATAAAAGTTACAAAATTCCTTCTAGGTGATATCAAAGCCGTCAATTGTTTTCAAAAATCGAATCCCTGGGAAGTGCTCGAATCTGCAGTGAGCCAAACCAATGTTCTCGCGAAGCTCTCAGCTTTTTTTTGAGCCAGCCCTTTTTTGGGAGGCGTAATTAAGCAGTTGCGGCAAGCTGCTGAACAAATTGAAGCAAGTGATTGGCGCGTCGCGGAGCAGATCGACAACAACACGAGTCTCCCGCGTAATGCATTCGGGTCGACTGAGGACGGCCGGTTTCTGTATTGATTTTCACAACAAACGTGCCGCCGACCCTTGTTTAACCAATTTTTTACCTCCGCGCCTCTTCCTTTAACCTAATCGATTGCGATTATCGCGCGGATAAAGCTCAGCCGGCGGGAGTCGACTGTTTGCCTGCCCCTCCTTCAGAAAAAATATTCCCTCCTTAGATCGGTTTGTTGTCCCATATTTATTGTTTGAAAGAAAAAACTCCGAAGAGATCTTTTTGCTTCCTGATCAACTTCTTCCATGATTTTCCAATGATTCGTTATCAATCAATTTCTAGAAGATGAAACGACCTTTTTTTTAGTCAGATTTGTTTGATTTTATTTCAGAAAAATATTTCTTTTGATTTTTTTAAGCGAACTTGGCCTATTGGAAATTTGTCTTTCTATTCATTGAGCTTTTGCAACTTGAGTTTTTGTGAGAGTTCCTGGGATAAACAAAAACACGTTCAATTTCCAAAAAAAAACATTTCCTTCATAGTAAATGTAAGATTTATCAAATAGCCACTAAGGTGGTTCTGATAGTAGAACTTTCAAAAACCTCACAAATGTATTGGTGAATAGAACCTGAACATATTTCAATTCTATTATTGTTATCGCCCTTTTATTTTTTACACCACCACATGTCAGTTGTTTTTCTTCATTTTTCCCATTTTATCCTGAAGTTTTCTGGGTTTCCTTATTTCTTCCTACCAAAAAAAGTTTATTAAATTTTAAAAGAGCTACTAGCAATAAATCATCGAACCAAAAAAATCTTGAGCAGTAAATATCCTGAAATAGATTGATAAATACCTTCTACGCGTAGATCTCTTCTTTTTTGGTTTTCTGATTTCTTTTCGAATGTCGGATATCCGCCAAGACTCTCCCATTTCCGTCTTTGGTTATAAAAAAATAACTCGTTCAGCCAACTTTTTCACAAATTCAATTAATTTCCTTTTCCCACTTCCTCTTGAGAGAAAAAAAGAGGAAACATTTCTCACTACTCTCTCTTTGCGTTCCTCTTGTTCCAACGTCAAAAGAGCCTATTTCTCTCGTAATGTTGAAATTAATCGAATGAGTCAAATATTTCAATAGCGTAAGTTATGACTCATAGAAAAAGCTTGCAAAAAGCCAGATGGAACTTTTCGGGAAATTTTTTTTCAAATTGTTGTACATGTTATTTTTTTCATTCCGATTTCTTATCGCTTTCTTCTCATTAGTTACACTTCATTCATCGCGCTCCTTACGCACTTTTTCACATTTATCAGCTTTCTTCAACCAAACGTTTTATCCTTCAGGCTCATCAATAAAAAGACGAATATGTTCTTTGGACTTGATCAGTGGCTAACGGAGTCGAGTTCCCGATGCAATATCAACATGAAGGTCGGTTCTTGTCTTTTTCTATCTAGAAGTCAACAAAAACTTCAGAAATCCGTTCTCTGCGCCGTTTCGTTTGTCCTTCTGCTCGCCCTCGGTATCATGGAATTCTTCTTCATTGACCACTTTCGCCTCGTGACGCCATCTACCGGTTTGACCTTGGCTTGACCCTCGGCATTCAAAATAACTGATTTTTGTCCGTAAAAAAACCGCAACAAAGTTTGATGTCAAAGTTTTTGTAAAAAGCCAAGATTTCATTAAACCAATTCTTCTTCAGAAAAAATGTAACTTCTATTTGGATTATCGCTCACAACTTTTACGAATTAAAAAAATCTTCCATTGAAACCCTAAAACTCAAAATTTTCACCTGAGAAAACTTCAAAGAATGATGAATTATTTGAAAAAATTGCTAATAAATCTTTATAATTTTAGTTAAAAAAACTTATTTTTTTCCGTTGCATCTAAGGCTTTCTGAGGTCTTATCAATTGAGTCTGATTTGAGCGTAACTAAAAAAAAAGTAGCTCATATTTCTGAAAATGAATCATAACTTGAGCCTAGACAAGTCTTCGCATTTATCTTTTTTTTACTTGATAATTAAGAAAAGTTTATGAACGGTTATTTCATCAAATGTGTTAGGTGGAGCCGCAGAAAAGTTGAAGGAAATCTTTCCGTTTGTAGACATCGATGTTCCTAGCCCTTAACAAATCATACTTTCTGACGATGCCAATTGAGGAGAACTTCAATCCTTTCTCGGAGAAATCCTTGTAAATAATTCCCCAAATTTTCTAGGACACGCGATTCTATTTTTGGTGGAACTAATATGTTTTCTGGTCTTCATCCACGCTCTCTTCAGCGAAAAAAGCACGCTGTTCTTGCCGTTCGCAATCGCTGAAGTGAGAATTGGCTTTGTTATGCTCCTAATCGGAATATTTGAAGCTTGTGCGCTCGATTGCGATTTCATGCCTGGTTATTTACTACATCGTACGCATGTTTATGGATGGGGGAAAAGAGTACGAAAGGTGAGCAAATTTATAACAGGTTAATATTTTGAGATATACGGAGCATCGTATGTGAGAATAGATGCTTCTTAATGGATGAAAACTGAAATCTCAAAAATTTTTATTCATTTCAAGCATTTTTTTCGATTGGTTTCCCATGTAGTTAAAAAGTCGTGGAAATAAATAATATGAACTGCCAGTAAATTTGAATTCTTTACCACAAACGAATCAAAGCTCTTGGAGTTTTCAAAATCTCGCAAACTTTGATGAATTCCGTTTCTCAGAAGTTTTCAAAGCCCGAGAAGCTGAATGATTCAAAAAAAAAAGATAAAAAAGTTGTGCTATCATCGGAGTTTTTCCCAGTCCCGATATATGGAGTAAAATTTGCTACACATTTTTTTAATCGAATAGAAATAGATAGAGAAAAATTTCGAGTGTCCAACAAGAATGATTCTGAAACAATTGATTTTGAGCATTTTCAGACCTGTCATCAACGTTCCCGGGCTAGTCTACGACAGTGAACACCGAAGCTGTCAGTTTCATTTCTGAAATCGGAAAAAAATTTTTGATTTTTAGTGAGAGCCGCTGGCAAACTTCTCGGCCATATCACCTTCACATTGGTCGGCCACTGTCTTCTGCTCTCGATTGCTTACCGCTGCTACCAGGTGATCCCTAATAGGTTCTTCAGACACGGCAAAAGTTATTTTCTTTCTAAGAACAAGAATAAAACCACGCCCGGTCGAATATTGTTTACTGAGCTCAAATCTCGGCAAATCAGCCTCAATCTTCAATTACTGTCTCTTAAATTTCTGTAGTTTGAGGATAATTTCCAAAGATGTATTTGAGAAGAAAAATTTTTTGAAGCATCAGGCTTTCAACTTTTTTTCCAGCTCTACTCTCGTCACGCTCGACACTCCCTTTCCACAGAAGTCTACCGTACTTCCCATCCGATGCATTCTGTAATTGTGCTGGAGCAACCCATTGAACAGGCCATGTACGGCAAAAAAGTTTGATTTTCCTCTTTTCCATCCTCCAGTGTATATCACACGTTTTTGCTTTTGTAACCTTGACGGGTCTTTCCACGAATCTCATGTATGTTAATCGGCCTCTTCTTATTTTTAAATTTCCCGGTGCTATAATGTATCCCATTGGTGAAACTTTGAATGTGAATAAACGCATCGAAACAATTAATGGAAGGAGAAGTGTCAAAGCCAAGCGTTCGTTGAGAAGGTCATCCGAAAGTTCAAACAAAAATAGATTGCGAGAAAAAAAGGGATAGCAATTGGAAAGGAGTTTAGCGTTTATAGATGAAGCTTTTTCGACTTTTCATAGAGATTGAACTTTCCAAAAAACTGAATAAAATAGATAACGATGAGGTTGTTTTTTTGAAAGTGAGAAAAATTGGTGAAAAAAGTTTTCTTGTTAAAAAACTTGGAGACGTATTTTTTATGTGGCCTTTTGATAATTTGTATCAGCTCTCGCAAAGATTTCAAAGTCTAGAGGAATATCCATTATAATATTCACCAGCTTAAATTTTTTTCAAGTTAGAAAATTCAGCTCAAAAAAAACTGGCTTTTTTCAAATTTATTTTTCAAAAATTAGACAATTTCGCCCATTCCTTTTTCACAAAAAAAGTTTGTCTTCTGAATGCTGAGAAACGTTTTGACGTTTCGGAAATTGCAGGTTGCAACAGATTGATGGCAAAAGCCGCGTGGACGCATAGGTGAGACGGCCGAACGAGCGCCACGAATACACCCGATCAGTTCGGTATTCAACCTCAAAAAACGACATTTGATTGTCTGAACCTGTTCTAATTTCTTGTCATCATGTGATACAGTTATGGATATTACTGCAGAAATCTCAAAATTGTTGAAATTAAGTTTTCTCGACAGATTCACAGTCTTCAACATACAGTCACGGTTTAGATATGTGGTCCAGCGAAGAAAATTATTCATATTCCAAAAAAATTAAGATGCAATAGGAATCTGTTACAATTCGTCTTTCCTGTCTTATTTTGAGAAAACATTGAAAAGAAATTAACCGGGTTAAATTAAAAACCGAGATGATCAGAATCAGAAAGTTAGATGATATTCGATGTTTCGCTAATAATGCGACATATCGTAATCTAGCACTTTAAATTTATTTCTTCAAAAAATTATGAGGAACGTCTTTAAAATCCGACATTCGATCGTAAACAAGAGTACCAACAAAAATTATGTAGTCACTTTTGGTCAAAAACAAAGTGAAGGAAAAATTCAGATCTTCCTTGACACAAAAAAAGCCAAAAAAAGCGTTATAAATATTGTGAAGAATATTGAAAAAAAAGTTACAGTCCAACTTGAAACCTGCAACGCAGCAAGTACCACGAAGTTTGAATAAGATTTAGTTATGTGAAAATTGTTTGCCGTACACCTTAAGTCTCGGAAAAAAAAAATTAGATAAACACCTTTTCGTAGGCTGATATGGTAATATAAAAAGGTCAAAACTTGTTAATGCTAGCTGTAACGATGATGAGTAACAAGAAAACGAGGTTGAAATCATTCTTTGATGATATCTTGATGGGTTGCCCGCCTACCGTCGGCGGCGACGGCGCGGAACCCACGTATAAAAGTTGCGACGCCGGGGAAAAGCTTCAAATCAAAAGATGACAGGCGCCACGGCCAAGTTGGCTGCGTACAGCAGCATCGCCATATGCACCTTCTGCATTTCGGCTACTGTTTTTTATATTCCTTACTTCTTAAGCCGAATCGATAACATTCGCAACACTTTGGCTGTTGACATGGACGAGTTCAATGTCATGCAGGTTGGTTAGAATTTTTTGAATAAAAGACATTTTTAAACTTTCGAATTTACTTCTTCAAGGCTAGTAGCAAATGAACCTGATCATTCTTTCTTTTTTCAACTGGGTAGCAAAAAAAAACTTGTTCGTTTGTCATCTTCCTCATTTAATAGAACAAACTCAAGGTTTATTTTCTATCCTCTTCAGTTACTGTCATTTGGAAGCTAAGTTTTATTTGGTGTTCTTTTTACTTCTTCACCATCTGAGTTGTTCCCTGATTTTTCAAACGCTCCACGAAAACATCTCGAAATTTGATTATTGCAGCAAGAAGTATGGGGAGATATTCTCAGTATCCGTGGAGACACACCAAACATCAAACGCCGTGTCGTTAAGCGTCAAACCCAAGAAGAGTGCTGTAAGTCTCTTTTTAAAAGTTCTCAGCAATAATTGATAACTTCAGCTTGCGAGGAACAGAACTTGTGTCCGGCTGGTCCTAAAGGCCGTCCTGGAGCTGACGGTCATGACGGAAACCCTGGAACTCCGGGTGAACCAGGAGAAGTTGGAGCGGTTGGAATCCTTCCTCAAGAGGAAGTGCCTCCGGCGAGCGGATGCAGAACTTGCCCACCTGGACCACCTGGGCCTGCTGGTTTGTTTCCATGTATTACAAAAAAAAAAAAAAAAAAAAAAAAATGCAAACCTGCCATTCTAGGTTATCCTGGCCAACCTGGACCACAAGGGCTGCCAGGACCTCAAGGAGAAGCTGGAAATGAGGGCCGCCCAGGAACCACCGGACCGCTTGGACCACCCGGAGACATGGGAATGATGGGAGAACCAGGAAAGGAAGGAGAAGCTGGACAACCTGGACGCGAAGGAGTGCGAGGAGAGAAAGGACCAGCTGGTCCACCAGGACTGCCAGGCCTTGTCGGACCTCGTGGCTTCTCTGGAAACGCAGGGCCACCAGGAAATGCTGGACCTCTGGGAGCCGAAGGAGAAGTCGGACCTCCTGGCAAGAATGGTCAGTGCCTTGCTTTTTCGTAAACTTTTCTTTCAACTTCTGCTCTTTTTCGCCGTGCTTCTGGTATTCAAATTTCTGTTTCACAGGCGCTGATGGCTACGAAGGAGGCGTCGGAAACTACGGAGAGCCCGGACAGCCAGGAGAAGACGCCGGTTATTGCAAATGCCCAACACGCAATAAGCGAAAGCAATAAACTACAGCCCACCTTCCATTTTTTTCTTTCCGGAAACAATAAATCACTGCCAATTCAATGAAACGCCTTGTATGTTCGCAGCTGGGAGATAATCTCCATGCCTTCTCGAAGCTTATTTTTTCTGCGCGTTTTGTTACTTTTCATCTTACATGGTAATCCTTAAACTCAAATTTTTCAAGTTTCGGTTTGATGTACCAAACAAAAAAGCTGAGGATTTCCGAGAGGGCAGGTCTCAATGCAGTAAAACGGCCTGATTCTTCAATTTAGATTTTTTTTTTGTTTTTTCTCCCCGATTTTAGGCGTATTCACCCAAAGATAAGGAGTTTACCGTCTTGAAAATCCCCAATCTTCATCTGGTACATCAAGGAGTATTTCAAACAATCTCCGTGAAAATGTCAAAGTGCAAACCTTACTGTTCAATCGATTTAAGCTCCCAGTTGAAGTGAACAGCAGAAGCACAAAGGAAAAAAATAGCGTATGACTCACCGTGATATTTTCAAAAAAATTTATTTAATAATTAAATAAAAGGTGCAGTCAATGAGAAGTATTATTTAATAATTAAATAAAACTTCTCATTGACTGCACCAAAAGCTAAATCTAACCGTTCCTAGTAATTTGAACTCTCCTTGTGCTAACTTTTCTGGCCTCAGCAAAAAAAGAAGAACTTTTTTACTATAGTTGTTTGACTAGACTCCCTTTGAGTTTTTTTTCCTCTCGATCCGCACTGAGCTCTGCAAAATAAGTCCCCTTATTGCCTTGCAGCGTTTGCCAAAGGAATTTGAAACCAACGACCAAAAAGTGCAACGAAACTTTGCTTTGAACAATCATCCTTGGAAAGTCGAGTTGATAATTGGAAGTTCCGTGAAAAATATCAAAGCTTAATTCATTGTAAGCAAAAACAAATTTTTTTATTACATGGGTGCATTATCAGGAAAGCATTTATCGATTTTATTAGGTTAAACTTTTTTTGCAAATTTTCCACGGGTGACCGTGGTTTACCTCAAGGTTTCATAGGGAACATTTAGACACAGTTCTACAAAAACAAGGACGACTCAAGGTTGAGACAACAACTTCTACTCTAAGAGTTCAACTCTTCTCACCAACAACGTTAAGATATCCTTTTTGTCGTGTTCGAGGACATGATCTCGAACGATTGAAGGCGTCAGGCTTTACGGTCTCACCAGAAGAGGCTTTTTGTCTTTGAAATGTTTCTCATAGAACATATAACCTACTTGTTTCATTTAGAAAAGCAGACCGCAGTCCAAAGATTTCTCTAACTCAAATCTCACAATGAATTGTATTCCCACTTGGATGTTAATTCTACGAATCTCGTCCGCTTCTTGGAAGTGTAGTACAATGTTACGATTTCCTACATTTTGCCGTTTCTTTTCTTTTTTTATTTGTTTCCCAAGAATCGCATTCTTCGTGTGAATAACACGTCGACTTATTTTTCTATAAAACGTTTCGATATTTCATTGTTTAATCGGCATCCCACCAGCGCCGAAAAATGTACAATTTTTCGTTCGTGGCCTATACGAATATTCCAACGCAGACCGTCATTTTTTGTTAATATGAAGGTTTTTTTTTCATAGAGAAAATCGCCGTAAACCACACTTTCATGATTATTGAGAAAGTAGAAACTTGGACTAGGATCTTATCTGTGACCCATGAGAAGTGCAAAGAAGTTTTTTTTTTTCTGGGTATATTGACTCAAGACCTTTCTATTTTCGTTTACCTTGCGGTTGCTTCCCTCATAAAATAGACGTTGCGAAGGAAGAAGCCTTTGAAAAGCTTCCAAAAGCACGCGGCCGAGGCGGGCAGAGGAACCAATGAGCGGGAAAAACGCCGAAAAAACAGAGTTGACCGTCCTCCCGTTTCCAAGAGGTTTTTTCTTTTTTTCTCATCAGTCGATTTAATATTTGGTTATCATAGAAGTTATATTCTCAACTTTTCAAAGCTCTAAAGTCTAAAACTTTTATTGAACAATTTTTATGTAACATTATCTCTACACATTTATGCATTGCCAAATTTAGTTAACAAATATTTCAGAAAAAATTCATTGAATCGCAGTCTTTGAAAAATTGCGATTGAAAATGATAAGAAAAAGGCCCGTTATCAGCTTAGTGTTGTTGCAAAATGGGGAAATTAGCAGTTAGATTAGGTGGTTTTTGAAAGTTCATAAAGCTATTCAACCTTTTTTTCTCAACTTCTTCTCTGCGCCTATTTATGAAAACTCTGAAATACCAGAGAAAATTTGGTTCTCGATAGGTATAACTGCTCAAACATAGCAGAACAATATATTTTTCTCTACGAAAATTCGATTAGAAAATAATTGAAGTTTGCAAACAGAACTTTTAGTCAACTTGAATAAGTTAGATTATTTCATACTCTGTAGTTTTTCAAAACTGATTTTTATTTGAAATTTTCCTCATTTCACGACTTTGTTTTTAAGCTCCACAAAACGATGAAGAAAAGATTTTTTTTCCAAACTTATGAAAAAAGTTGAGGCTTTCAATTTCATCCGTGCAAAATGAACTATGATAAAAGATGAATTGAAAACGGGAAACTTGGGTAGTAATAGCAGCCCAAAAACACAATCAGTTGTCGGCACGTGTATGTCACTCCGAAGTGTGTAGCTGTCTAAGTTGAGCCGAGGAAATAGCCAACGGCGAGGATCTGGTCGGATCGATGCCCCCGAGTGTACTTTGCCGTCGGCTTCCTATCATATCGATGGCGCTGCCCACTGACCGCCGCGCCCCAGACGCTTTTTATCACCTTTCTCTCTATCCGAACTATAATTGTCGTCGCATTTCGTCGCTATACGCTCTATTTTTTTATCAGCTTAGCTTGACTCCCACGTTGGGCGCTTTTTTTTTCTTCTATGCTAGTTGTATTTACCCGCTTGACCGCCGCTCTAATTTTTTATTGCTGCAGTAAAAAAGCACTTTCGTGTTTCAGAAACGTGTAGGTTTATGTCAATAAGGAATAATGATGATTTATCGCTTTGACTTTTTGATTGACGTTTTCTGAAGTCATCATTTGACTTTTTTTTTAATATTTCATTCTAAGGATTAGATAAATATATACGTAATTTTTTGTTTCCTTGGAAACAAAACAGACATTTTTATATTTTTGAACTTCTAGTAGACTATTTGTTCTATGAAAGCCTCTTCCGAATTCATACTTTCGCGTTTTTCGCTCATGTAGTCGCATAACTTCAAAATCTGACATGAAACAAGGTCCCAAATTTGTTGATTATCTTTCCCAAACGTTTGCAGAAACATTCCCATAAGAGCAACCGAGTAGACATAATAGTCTAGGGAAAACACGTGCGTTCAAAGAAAACATTAGTTGTTGACAAAAACGAAAATGGTCATAAAATCATAGCGTTGTGATTTTTGAAAAATTGATACAAAATTCTGATTTGATTCGATCTTTTCTTCTGCAACTTGACAGGTCAGTCTTTTATCATGATTTGAATGAGTAGAAAATAAAGAGGCTTTTTTTCAATCAAAAATCCTTGAGAAATCAAGGATATCAGGTTTAATCAAAAATACGTTTATGTAATAATTGTTTTCTGTTTCTAATTGATGAAATATATATCGAGCTTTAAAAATCTATTTTATAAACTGTTTGCGCAGTTGAAACCTTTACGTTTCCCACTGGTTCTCATAAATTTTCAAAGCTGGAATTTTTTCTGCGTTCGAGTTCTGTGAATTTTCTTTGCAATTGTCATTCGAGATTATTTGTTCATAGAAAATTTAAACCCTAAATAATTTAGGCGTCAAAATTCAAGGCCGCAAGAAGCTGACAATGATATGGCAATGTGTAGAACACGTTATTTGATCTTTCAGTCTTTGGAAACCGTTTATGATTAATTTACACTGGCCAAATGGGAAAAAAAAAACCAAAAAATTTGAGAGTTTATCTCCTCATTAGGCGGAGCTCATCCAGAGCGTCAGTGTGTAGTCCGCGAAAAAGGAAGAAGAAGCAAGCGCGTGCACGTGCAGTAGGGCGCAAATGTACACATGCTTGCGTCTCTGAAATAAACGATGTCCGCACTCAGCCGGCGGTTGCCCGTCCGTGGTTTGATTTTTTATTCTCGGTTATCTTTGGTTTCGTCGCCGCAATTCTCCCCTGCTGTTTTCCCGCCTTTCTGACGGTCACATCATCTTTGATAGTTGCAGCCTCGGCTCTCTTGGCGGATAGTTGAAGCCGTGCCAATCATGTCACTCGACGTCATTGAAGACAAACGCAAAGTCTCCATAGCCGTTCAGTCGTCCGATGGTCAAACCAAGAAGGTCCGTTGTTCTTTGTTTTTTTTTTCGCAGTCCGACGCCAACTCTTGTTTGCGTCCCTTTTCAAATTTCCCACGCGGCCCAATTGTTTACGGACGTGGATCCTCACGCTTTTTTGGCTTTTTTCTCTCAGCAGCTGGGAAAGGACACTTTTGCCGAAATGGAGTAGCGGTTTCATTTCGAAAAAACATTGTCGAAAAAACGAAAAAATTTGGATATGAATGTCAGAAAAAACTGATTTTTATGATTTACGCAGACATCGAGAATTTGATCAAGGTAATTTCTTTCTTCAAAAATTGTTAGTTTTTCATATTATCAGCAATAAATTCTGGAAGATATTAATTTCAAAACGTCTCAATCTCAAAAAAATCTGTTAGAGAATAAAAAACCAGCAGAAATTCGAATTATTTTGTTTGCGAAATTTCTTTTTCGTGCAAAAGTCGCCACGACAAAGAAAAAAACAATTTTGAGAAACAATACACGTGTCAAAAGCTCAAATTTCAAAATTTCGTCAGGAAAATATTTGTTACAAAAAATCAAAATGGCCCGACTTTTGTTTATCACAGCTGTTATCGTTTTTTTTTGTTTTTCTGTTTGCAAAAAAAAAAATTTGCAGGGGGATGCACTCACCTTGCTTCCAAAAAGAACAAGAAGTGCCGTTTCAATGCGAGCCGACGAAACGGACAAGTGGGGTCAGGAATCTTTGGACGAGAAGGACGACTTCACCTTGATGCTCAGAGACCCGACGGTTAAGGTAATTATTCTTAGAGAGCTATTGGAATCAGATTTTTTTTCACTGCAGAATGAACTATTGGACCGCTTGAATACCTTCCGTCGCAATCGTGAACTTTGTGATGTCGTACTTTTCGTGAAGTTAGTTCTGAAATAAACAAAAATGAACAATGAAATTCCAGGGAACGGGAAATCTTTGCGCATAAAGTTGTCCTGGCTGCTGTGTCTCCAGCTCTTTTTGATATGTTCATTGAAACTGCCAACGATGAAGGTCTGGAAGAAAAAATTCTTAAACTGAACCTTTATAATGCAATTTTCAGAAAAAGCTTTAGGAACTCCGACTGAAAAAGCAGCTTCCCCAACTCTGCCATCAAACTCGCTGCAAAATGGAAAACCGAACATGTCTTACTTTGAATTTGCTCACACCGACTTTGAATGTTTCGAGGCTCTGGTCAATTTTTCCTATACCGCTTAGTGAGTTCACAACTTTATTTCACTTTTCGCCTAGAGAAATAGTAAAATTGGATACGCGCGATCGCTTTCATACCGTTATTGTGTACTCTAATTCCAAGAACACTTTTAGAAAAACGGGACAAAAAATTCAGAAAGTTTTAAAAACTTTATAAGCAGGGAGAATCAGTTCTTCAACTTTACGAGTCATATCATAGACATTTTTGTATTGAAATTTCTAAAGTCGTTTTCAGTTTGGAAATCAGCTCCAAAAAAGTTGCCGAACTTTACAAAACGGCCTATGGACTACAAATGAACCCCGTGATTCGCGCATGCGCAACGTTTCTTGCCGATAACCTGACTGTGACGAACTGCATCGGTGTGTTCCGTCGCCTCGCACATCAAGGTCACGTCTTCTGATTCAGGAATTCGACGACAAGCCAACTTTCAAAACGATGCCTTCCTCAAGACGCAGGTCGACAAATTCATCGAAGAGAACTTCGAGAAGATAGCCAACGACAGCAAGGAATTCACGCAGCTGCCCGTTATCCAAGTAGGTCATCAATAAAGAAAATAACCAATTATTTTTTGAAGACTAGAATCATCGTGACTATCGAAGGAGGCAAGGCAGCTCAGAACAATGTGGGACTTGCTTCCATGGCCCTTCAATACTTTCAAAACATCCCTCACGACAGAATCGAACATTCGTTAGACATCCTCACTTGCAAGGTTATTTTTTCATCTCTTCCAATTATAAATCTCAGCAGGAATAGAAGAAGATTCTCAAAAAAGTGTAAGGTAGACTATCTCAGTCGTTTGATACTGAGTATAGTCCCAACCCGGTTTATCAAACGTTCTCCGCTTATCAGACTTTTTTGGAAAATGAGAAAACCGGTTCGCGGTCATTCATTTATCACGGTCGCGACCTTTATCAATAGGATGACTTGAAGTTAAAAAAGTTCATTGGACGAGCGTTTTGAATATTTTTCCTTTGTGATTAGTATCATGCTGCAAAAAAGAAAACTAGAAAAAAATTCAAGGTTGAGATGACAGTTTTTTTTTTTGCTTGTTCAACTTTTAAAGTGTGCTTCAGACGCATATTTTGTACCTGGAGGAAGATCATCTTGCGGACTGCTCAGAACTCGACGAGCGATCTTCTGTAGGAAGCTGCGACATCATTCAGGACTACAAAAAGAGCGGCAAAGACGGGAAAGATGTAGCCAAGGCTATGACGTGAGTGCATACAAAATGCTAATTTTTCCATAGTTTGAATTTGTTTTACTTCCTCATAATCTTCGTCTTCTACAGAGTTACGGACCCTGTGACAACGCAGACAGTTTCTCATCGCATCACCGGCGCTGTACCTGTCCGACTGAACGCTTCTCGAATGGCCAACTTGCGACTTTCAAATGAGAGCCTCGAATCGGCTGGAACGGAGGAGAGCGAGCCAAGCGAAACCATTGAAACGCGGCTGATCGCAACACATCAAACTGCTCGTAAGTTCCCATTATTCCCTTTTACTTTTGAAATTGCTGATATTGCTTCTTGTGAGGCAAATGAGCCATAAATGAAAATTATAGCAGGGAAACTGTAGCTTCCACTAGTTTCAAACTTAATAAGGTTTTTGGTTAAATTTCTATCAAATTAATACTTGATTATGTGTATCTATGATAGATCCTGGAAATCATTCACCAAAGTACTGAAAAGAATTTCACCAAAAAAATTGAGAATATTTCCAAAAAAATTGAGAATAATATTCGCGAAAAAAACTTCGCGAGACACGGAAAAATGAGAATTTTTTTGATTTCAGCTTCTTATTGGGTAGCCCTGGTAGTCCTTTATCACCGCCTGGCTGCGCTTAGTCTCCAGCTGACGGACGACGAAGAACTTGTAAAACAGCGACGTGACGCTCCTGCCGTTCCTGTAGACACCCACAAAGCCGCCTTACTATCCCGACTCATTTCCTGCACCGGACAGCAACAGGTTCCTCTAGCCAACATGACCGCCCCAAGGTGTTCGGTCGGAGCTTCTTTCCTCAACGGCAAAATTATCGTTTGTGGTATGATTGACTCTGTTTGAATCAAAGGAGATCGAGGAGTTCCAGGTGGATACGACAGAGGGGAATGTTTGAAGAGCGTCGAAGAGTACGATGTACTGAATGGGACGTGGCGACAGCTTCAGGGCATGAAAACTGAACGAGGTCGCTTTGACAGTGCTGTTCACAATGGAAAGGTTTGTCAAGGATCAGAAAATGGACATTTGTTTTCCGACATTCTCAAAAACAGAACACGGGAACACAATGAGGTTGTTTTCGGTTTGGAATTTACGAATTTATTTGTTTATATAATAAAAACCTTTTTTTCCGCTACGATTTCCACTTTCTGAGGAGTTTTTTTGCTCACCTTTGAAGTTTTTTTCTAGAAAAACTAACTACAAATTGAGAAATTTTACGAAAAACATTTAGAATGAATACAAGGAAATTGAGCGAACATCTATTTTAACAGATTTATGCCATTGCCGGGAGCAACGGGAACAATGACCTCAAAACCGCGGAAATGTTTGACCCAAAGGCAAATCTGTGGTCTCTCATTCCGCCTCTGCTCAAGCCTCGTTGTCATAACGGTACCAAGAAATAGAGAGAAGAAATCGAGAAGAAAACGAATTTCAGGGTGCGCAGTTCTCGAAAACTTTATTTATTGTATTGGAGGCTCTTCCGACCAGGTGGTCCTCAAAGACTGCGAAAGGCTTGACGTAAATGATCTGGTAAATATCAGCTCCTCTCGATCAAACTACCAATTGGATTGCAGACATGGGCACCAATAGCTCCTTTGGAACAGGCCAGGTATCAAGCAGGAGTGATTGCCTGGCGAGGAATGGTCGTTGCTTGTGGAGGATGCGACAGGTTACTTATTTTTTTGTTCAGTTAGCAGAAAAATTAATATTGTAGTTGCCTGTGACAAAGCTAAAAAAAAATCACTGAGAAGGCGAACCAAAAATAACGATTTTCAAGTTTTTTCAAAGTTTCAAGTCATCTATTGTCTTTTTCGTATGGGAATAAATTTCCATATATCATTTGGATCATCAAGAAAAAAAAGATGATATTGATCTCGAAGACTTCAAATGACGGAAATTCAGATGGGCGTGCGTTGATACCGTGGAAGCGTACGACCCGAAGACGAACGCCTGGCGTCAGCTCGCGAAACTAAGACAAGCCAGACGCGGATGCGCGGTCGCTGTTGTTCGAGGTCAGTTGTGTCTATTCCATCATTCATTTAGTCGCCTGAAACTGTTTCAGATATGCTATACGTTATTGGAGGTCACGATGGAACGCAATCACTGTCGACTGTTGAAGTTTTGGACAGTCCTGTAGGCTCTTGGAGATCTGGACCCCCTTTGACTTGCCCCAGGTAATCCATTTTATCAGTAGAAAATTATCAAAAAACAAAAGGTTTCTGGTCGATAAAACTCGTAAATAACACCTTAAAATGCGTTTACGCGGGTTTAATTGTGACCCACTACCATAAAAATATTTCAAAAAAACGTAATAAAAAAATATCTTTCAGCATTTATTAAAAAAAGAAATGACACGCTTTCAACAAGAATAACACGCAAAAAAGATCAAAAAAACGCAAATTTGACTCCCACAAAAGTGTACGAAATGAACAATTCATTATAAATCAAATGTTTTTTCATCAAGAACAAACTATTATGTAACTAGAATAATAATACAACAAAGAAAACAACAAAAAATAATCAAAAAAGAAGAGCGGAACACGCAGCGAATTTAATTTTAGAGATTACGGTAGGCAACTGCAAGACGGCTGTAGCTTTGGCTGTTTGCGGGACTACAAAGTCCGCAATCGAAACATTTGAAATTTTCTCCCATTCTCTCGTTATTTTTAATTGTTTTTTGTCGTTTTTTGTGTTTTTTCTTTATTTTCTTTGTTTCAGGGCCAATACTCATGCTGTCGTCACCGCGGGGAACGTCATTTATGCAGTTGGCGGCTTCAACGGCAACCAGTTCCTCAACACGATCGAGTTGATGGAAAGCGGTATGTTTTATGTTTTCTTTTTTTGTATTTGATAACTACATTATGTTATATTATTTAAATATCTTCCTCTGAGTTTACTTTACACTTTTAATAGTCTAGAGAACAGTAAAAAAACTCGAAAAAAATTTGCTCCCTTTTTTTCGAATGAATTTTTTTCAATCTTTTTCAATTTTTTTGCGTGACAGGAATGGCTATTTCATTCGTTTTTTTAATAATTACTTATTTTATTAAAAAAATTAAAGTCATTCAAGATGTTAATTAGATAAATATAATCAATTTATGAGTTTTTTTGATAATTTCAAGAAGTTTTTTTGGCATTCGATGTTGTTTTGCATTCATACTGAGAGTCCTGTTTGTGATGCAAATTTTATTTTTTTCACAAAGCATTCGAAAAAGCTCCAATTGAAATTCAAGATATATTTTTACAGAGCAAGTTGGTTGGAGAAACTGGAGACAACAGAACTGCGCCCTCGAAGAAGAAGAAGAAATCTTGGACGATCTCGCCCCTGCAAATTGAATAAAACTAAATTTGTATATTTTTCCTCAAGTTATCTTTGTTCATGTGATAGTTGTGATACTTTCTCAATATTTTCTTATAATCATTTAAGGCTCAAATCACTTTGTAACCCAAAAACACATCAAAAATCGTTTGTACTTTGTTGTTATTTCTTTTCCTGTTTTTCTATTATTGTAAATTTGGTACTCGTTGATTTAGCAGTGGGTTCAAGTAGTTCTTGGTTAGCACTCGCTGGTTGGGCGGTTAATATATACTTTTTTTACTTTTTAATCAACAGAGAAATTAATGTATAAAGCGTAATTTATGGTTTATTCTGTACTCGTGAAAACCAAGAAAGCTCTGAGTAGCACAATGAAGGTACTTTGGAAGGAGAAAACTAAAATAAAAAATAGTTGTAACACAAAATGGAGAATTCAGAGAGAATGCCTCGTCGTCAGCCTTGGTTCATTATCAGGCCATGTCGTCGCCGACTTTGCCTGGCATTTCTGGTAATAATTTCGATAACAATTCTTTCAATGCTGGGATTCACGAGTTATCTCATGGAGGTACACAATGATTTGGACGCTATCACCGAATAATTTTCAGATTCCCTATAATCAGTTCGTGTGGCCGGATATCAATGCCAAGCAGTACGCGATAGTTTAGATCTAACATTTTTCAAAAATATTTATTATTCGTTCAGGATTCACGCAACGACAATCACCACAATTCTCGGGTTCTCAATCCGAACAACTACACTTGGCTTCTGGCTCCCGAAATCAGAATGGCCCATTCCACGACATTCATTTACATTATAATCAAGTCTTTCGTCGGGAATTTCGAGGTAAACCTACCCTGAACTTCAAAATTCATAGAAAAAAATTTCAGCAACGTGAAGCTGTGAGAAACACTTGGGGAAGTCGTCGTGTTGTCAACGGCGTCGAGGTCTACAAATAATCAAAGTCCACGTAACATTCAAACTTCAGGTTGTTCCTGTTTTTGTGATGGGAAGGTATGAGGCGGGGCTCGAGCACAACGAGAACTGGAACCTAGTTGAGTTGGAGCAGGAACGAAACAAAGACATTTTCGCTCTTGACTTCTCAGACACATACCGCAACAACACCAAAAAAGTAGGCTCTTAGTGGAACATTGCTCTCATTTTCGAAAAAATTCCAGTTTATGGCCGCGATTCGCTTTGCTCACGAAAGCCCCGACACTCCAGCTCCACTTTTCACGCTTCTTATTGATGACGACTACATTCTGAGCGTAAAGAACCTTGTCGAATACGCCATGACAAAAAATTCAAGTCTTGAGGTATCATATTGTATTGGTCCATTAGGACATTGCCATTTTCAATTTTTTGAATGGTTTTGTTTAAAAATAAGTTTTATCTTTTTTAGAACTACGAAGGCTGGGCTTTTGACACTTCTCCATTTCGACTGGCTTTCCACAAGCACTGGGTTTGTTAGAAGATTTGAATTATTTTTGGAAACAGTATTAATCAAGGTTTCGATCAACGACTACCCGTTCAGCAGGTACCCTCCGTACATTTCGGCAGGAGCTGTTCTTCTGTCGCAGGCCACCGTTGAAACTTTCTATCATATGATTCCATACGTCAAGGTGAACCTAGAAACTTTTTCTGACATGAATATTATCTCAGGAGTACTCGTTTGATGATATCTATGCTGGAATTCTGGCGAAAAAAGCCGACATCCTTGCCACTCATAACCCGGCGTTTGTCTTCTGGACTCGCGAAACGACGATCCAGGAATGGAGGAGTGGAGATTTGATCGCTGCTCACGGCTACGACGCCAAGAAACTCATCAAAACGTATAATTACCACAGAGGACTTGGCGTTCCCATGTGAAACTTCATTTGATTGTTCTTTTTTGACGTTATCAATCCATTATTTGTTTGATGCTTTTTAGAATTTTCTGCTTTACTTACCTAACGAGATCAATGTATCACCTGTGCCAACTCTCTCATTGGGTAACATCTTGCAATTTCTAAACGTGTATATTTTGTTGCCGGTCTTTTTCTTGCTGGTTTTAAAACCCCGAACGACGTAATTTCTTGGTGCTACTTTTGCGTGGAATTTATTTTTTGTATCCTTCGAGTTTGGGTGTCATAGCCCTGACCAAAAAAGATTCAAACTCCAAAAATAAACTATTTTCTGAAGAGACATATAAAACTGTGGGTAAAAGCTGAGAAACTCCTTGGAAATCTTGAAAGGAAAATGATCGAAGAAGGAAAGATCAGTTAGAACTCTTTGGAAAGAAAGAATGAAAAGAACTCTTACCGTAACCAGAAAGAAAATAAAAAAAAACAGGCCGAAATTGGACAAAAAGCGTGAGTATAACAAACAAAAAGAATGGAATTCTGTAAACCTTTATCCGAAAACTTCAAACCTTGCACAGAACGGATCTTTTTCTCGAGTTTCAGGCCATGATTTTTGTGTTGAAGAGACAGTTGTTGTTTGAATTGTAAGAACCTGGAGAATCTCCGAAATGTGAATGATACACGTTCATTATGTAGTTTTCTATATTTTTGTCATTATTAAAAATGAATCCAATCTCATTATACATTTATTTTTCCTCGTTTTTTTCATTTTTTTCAAATACACCTTTAAGTAATTTTTTTGCTCTTTACGATAGATAGATAGTTTATTCACTGCCATTATTTAACATATAATTGAAGAATAGATGATCAAGTGAAGGAATAGGCAGAGAATTAACAATACACGGGAAAGAGTCAACCCCAACGAGTTGACGGGTACCCGGAAATATGGCAAATTACGATAAATGAAAAAACTTTGAAATACCTAAGTGATTGAAATTTTTGCAAGTTCCTGAATGGATTTATTTTCCGTAACCTCATCATAAGAGGAAAATATTTCTTATTGCATGAGATAGCCTTTCGAAAATTGCAAACTCATAGTTCAAATTTTTTTAAGTCTTTTTTTTTGTCGGAACGATTTGCCGTTTGTGTAATTTTGTCGCGTGATTCTACCGTTGTTAATTTTTCACTTCTCCTTTTAAATCAACTCAATTTGCAGTAAACGAAAAGATGGCCAGGAAATCTGCATCGAAACGTCTCCAAGCTGAGAAAAAGGCGAAGGCTGAAGAAACCGTCGAATTGCCACCGAAAGACGAGTCTCAAGATCTTGTTGATGGACTGAACACCATGTCTATTCAAAGTGGTGAGTCAAGACTTAATCTAATAAACAAAGTTATATTTATTTTCTGAAACGAAAAAAACTTGCGTGAAAAACTTTCAATTGGAAATGTTTCAGATCGCGCCGAGACTCGTATGAAGACCAGCTCTTCGTGGAACTTGAAGGCCGCTCCATTCACGCCGTCATCTGAGAAGAATACGAAGGACAAGTCCAAAGAAGAATCTCCGGCAGACGAGAACAATGCCGAATTCAGTTCTGTATCGTACTGGGCGCCATCGGACATGGCTTACAGAAGACGTGAGTTTCCTTTTTTGAGTGGCTAGTAACTGATCAATATTCGAAAACCACTAAAACTACCATTTTCAGGCCTTTGGTCGCCTCCACCCAAGAAAGTTTCTGACGACAAAAAGGCTTCCAAGGGTAAGTTCTTCTTATATTTTGAATGAAACATAATTATTTTATGACAAAACGAATTTTAATCTTTTCGTGATGGAAAAACTACTTATTGGAAAAAAATAACGCGTTTAAATTATTTTAGAATCTCTTCCTGCGCACGGTTTGAACACGACGACAGATGAGCCTCGAGGCATTGACGCGTCGCTCAATAGGTCGATGGATTCGCGAGTTCAATCGGTTCATGACCTTTTCAACAAGTTAGTTTCTGTTACATTGGAAGAGTAACCATAGAAAGCCGAAAAAGTAGCTCTCGACAGAATTTCATCCTAGAAATCGCCAGTATTAAGTAAATTGGAATAACAACTCAAACAAAATTATCATATCGACAAAGAAATTTAAGAAAAACTTTCAGAAAACCTTCGGTCGCCTACGAACGTCTGCGCGTGAGCGTCGTCTTCCAAGGAAAAGGTAGACTTTTTATCATTTTTCTCTTCGAAAGAACTGAATTTTTCAGTCTTGGGACCGGTCAACTTCACTTTGAACTGTATTCAAAAGATCTCCGGGTGCAAAATTCGATTGAACGCTGCTTACCTTCGTCCAAGAACGGCTTTCAACTTTTCACTTGATCGGAACCCCGGTGAGTTATTTTGTACTGCAATCTAGTTTCCTTTGCAATAATTGTTCTGCAACTTTGATATAACTTAACGATCTTTTTTATTTCTAAATATAAGTTTTGTTTTCAGGAAAGTATTCATCACGCCAAGTCGCTCATTGTAGAGTTCATCGAATTCGAGTGCTACAAACATGGAATTTCTTACTTTGTGAGTTTCTTTACACACATTTTCGATTGATGATAATCAAATTTCTTTCAGATCTATCCGTCGGGAGAGATTGCTCCGGATTTCCAAAACGTGGCTGAATTTCCCGTCTATGATACTAACACAGAAGTCGTCGACGCGGAAGATGTCCCGAACTTCAACGGTTATCCCGATTTCGCGGCCAACTCCGATCAGAACGTCGTCCACAATACGAACTTCAACGGTTATCCCGATTTCGCGGCCAACTCCGATCAGAACGTCGTCAACAATACGAACTTCAACGGTTATCCCGATTTCGCGGCCAACTCCGATCAGAACGTCGTCAACAATACGAACTTCAACGGTTATCCCGATTTCGCGGCCAACTCCGATCAGAACGTCGTCAACAATACGAACTTCAACGGTTATCCCTGATTTTCGCGGCCAACTCCGATCAGAACGTCGTCAACAATACGAACTTCAACGGTTATCCCGATTTCGCGGCCAACTCCGATCAGAACGTCGTCCACAATACGAACTTCAACGGTTATCCCGATTTCGCGGCCAACTCCGATCAGAACGTCGTCAACAATTCGAACTTCAACGGTTATCCCGATTTCGCGGCCAACTACGATCAGAACGTCAACCATACGGACGTCAATGGGTATCCTGTATATGCAGCACAGAACAATTTCTACGACATGAACTACAATCCAGTCACGCCGCAAAACAAGTAAGTCTTTTTTGAACAGTTTCCAACCACACAAATTAACGCTGCTTGTCGGAAAGAGACGAGGCAGCAGGATGATTGAACAAAATTTGTTTATGAGCTAGAAAGAAAAGATTAAGCTTTACAGTGTCACAAACAAATGAAACTTGATCGAAACAGAAATTTTTTCTTCAGTATTTCAATTTGTTTTCAGCCACCCGACGTCAATGTGTACAACGCTTTGGTTCCAAGTCCTACAAACGTTGTTTCTCCTATGATACATAGGTATCTTTGAACTCATTTCTTTTTTTGCCATAGAAAAACATACGTAAAAGTTCTCAGAGCACGTATACGACTCATGATCTAGTTAAACTTTCAAATAAAAAAATAACTATTTATTTCAGTTTTTGGCCCGGTGCCGACCGTCGGAAACCCTGAAGTCGTCTATTCTTCTGGTTCACTTCCTGTAAATGTCTATTTTCCTGCGACGTCCCCAAGTTTCCTTCCAGCTTCATCTTTTCCGTCACTGGCTCTGTGGTAAGTTGAAAGGACCTCATGAAGAATTTCTCGAAATTGAAAAAATGTTTCTCCTCTCTGAAAAAGACTCCCTCTAAAGACAAAACATGAATCACAAAAAGCTTGAAAAAGCTGATGGTAACGATTTATTTTCAGCCCTGTACACAGTCCTGAGCTGACCTTCCATCGCAACCACTGTCCTAACGCCCATCACACTTGTGTCCATTATTGCTGTGCTCACAGGTATGTCTTCACTTTTCAATTAGGGGAGCTTCATCTCAAAATCACAAAGGGTCTTCGAAAACTTTGAAATTCTGATCCGTTCCAATAAATAAACAAACGTTTTTCAGCTGCTGTCACTGTCGCCACAGGCACTGCTGCAACCACCGCGCTTGCTGCCATCACTGTTAAATTTTTTTACGTCTTCAAACGTCTCACTGTCATTTTTTGTTGTCGTTTAATGCCTCACTGTTAAATTTTCCTCGTCTTTAAATACTTTCCTTTTGTGTCAAATTACTTGTATCTCTCCGTTTTTTCGGGTTTGAGTTTCTGGCATTGTCGGTTATGTTTCTGAATATGTGGATTCAAAACCTACATATTTTTTTGTTCCTGGTTGTATCTCTCCGTTTTTTCGGGTTTGAGTTTCTGGCACTGTCGGTTATGTTTCTGAATATGTGGATTCAAAACCTACATATTTTTTTGTTCCTGGTTGTAACTCGCCTTTTTTGGGAAATCCTGCTATCATTGGTTTTCTGATATAACTCTTTTTCGAAAAACCTCAATTTTTCCCCCTGTGCCATAAAGATTCTTACAAAGAAAGTTTCTGTACAAACATTCAAACATTATACACAGTTCTGTGAGCTTCTCACTTCGAAGATGAGCTCGCAGGTTCGGTCTGGATCGGTTGGGGCGGAATGAACCTTGTCGGACGGCTTTCGTGGGATCTGTCTACTGTCACTCGAATTGTGATGCCGTTGAGCATTTGTCCGTTCATCTGAGAGAATTTCTGATTTGGGGGAAAATGAAGATTTAAACTTTTCTCATTGCATATTCGGCATCGGAGGCTTTGGCGAAATGGACAACTGCACTTCTGAAATTTTCTCATTTTTGAGAGATCTGAAACAAAAATGTACCTATGATTGTTGTCGACATTGATGGACATTATCTTTCCGTATTTAGTGAAGGCGTTGCGGAGCATATCAGACTGAAAAAACGAATTTAACAGACTTAGAGCTCAAAATTTTTGAAAGGAGGATATTTTGATATTTTCCTCCTTGTACGACTTGCGTGAAAAACAGAGTAAGTTAAGTCTGAATTTTTGGTTTGAACTTTTTTTTTTGCATTAAACTAAAAATTTGCGTTGATGCAGAATAAGAAGAGTTCATTGATAATCGTTTTATTTATTTGAAAAATAGTGATTAGATCGATATTTTGATACTTGATATATTCAAAAAAAATCGGGCTATGAATGAAAAGAAGTTTGTGATAGCCCATTCATACGCCGATACAGTTTTAAAGTTCATAATGAAAAAATTAGAAAAATAAAAAAATTACAGCAGATAATATAAATGGCTCTTTTCTTCAAACTTTCCAATCTTTTTTTCGAAAACTCGAACCTGGAGGTCGATCCCTCGTACACATAGAGCATTGTGCCGCACTCTGGTTATATCCGAATCGGCTAGGTTTGCTGAAATTTGCTACATTTCAGAAATGTTTGGAATAGTCGGAACTGACAAGGCGAAGGTGACCAAGGGGACGGATCGTCGAAGATTTCTCCGTCTTCTCCGACCTGGGAACTGTTCAAAGAAGTTCTCGTATCTGAGCCTCGAGATCGTTTGAAAGTGCTCTTCTCATTTTTCTTCTGCAGTGTGAACGATCCACACATAACTTTTTTTCGAAGTTCCTCCGCCGCTGCGTCAGGATCGTGATTCACTGAAAAAACCGTCAAAGTTTGAAAAAGAAAACAGTTCTTTATGTTTTTTTCTAATATATTCAAGTAGGCGCGATTTGAAAGTATTCTCAAAATAATACAAATCAAAAAAATTTAAAAAGCGCTTTTTCCATATCGAAAAAAAGCATCATGAAAAAAATATTTCCTGTAATTAAAAAAACTGAACCTCTTTTTGGTTCCTTTTTGTTTTGTCGCTGATCACCGGGAAAAACTTTTTTTCTTGTCGTGAATCATTCTTTTCTAAAAATCCAGCTAGATTAAGAGAACAAAGATAAAACTCACAAAGTTTTTTTGAATTTTTTTCGAACAACTTTTTTTCAGTTCCTCTTCTTCCTCCGTCAGAGTTGAGGGAATGATCACGTGTAGACCCTTCATCTTCCTGCAAGTTCAACAATTTTTCAAAATGTTAAAAAAATAAATTAAATAAAGGATAGTTTGAAAAAAATAAAGAATGCGGTAAAAAAACATTTCAGAACGCCGCAGTGTTTGCGTCCGAAACGCAGCGTTTGGATTATCGTACCTTCCAAAGACGCAAAAAATCAGAAATTGAAAAACAATTGTGAAAATGAGAAGTTTCGTTGAATCAATCTCAATAATTTCTAATTTCCAAGAACAAAAAAATTCCAAACGGATAATTTCAATAAATGTTTTTTTTGATAACCATTCTTTAGGTTTTTAAAAAGAACTGATAAAAGTTTTCAGCATTTTCAATTTTGAAAGTTCTTATATAGTATTGTTTTTCAGGCTTGATTTCTAATAGCAATCGGAGAGAATAATCTGAATTTAAAAACATACTCATGTTTTTGATGAAGATATGCCTTTGCAATTTTCGTGCCTAGTAGCTCAAAAAAACAATATTTTAGAAAAAAAAAACGGACATTCAATAGAAAAAGAAACTTCAGAAAAATCTTCACTGTTTTTTTGGAAAAAAATCTTCACTGTTTTTTTGATAAATCTCGATTGCAAAAAATTTAAAAAAATAAATAAACAAACAATCCATACAAGCTTGGAGGTTCGAATGAAAAAAAAAATACAAAAACTTTCCTTGAAAAAAGCCAGTTTTACGTGATAATCATAATTGAAGCAAAATGAGTTAAGAATTTTTCTCTACTTTTTCGAAACTGCCGCTCCCGACATGCGAAACTCAAGTTTTTTCATTGCGAATTCTGCGTCGGAACGTTCCGCAGAGAAGATGACGCCACTGTTGAAATATTCAAGGTTCAGATTCGCGTGTAAGTGTTCGAGAAACGTCAGCCATGACTAGACTGATTAGAACGAGTTTTCTTCTCAGATTAGCGCGTTTTGTTTTCAGAAATTAGCTTCTCCCGTTGGTTTCGAAAAAAAGCTTCGAATACATTCTTTCACGGCTGACTGAAGTTTTATCTGTAACTTATTGAACATGTTGCTTCATCTTGAAATTGTGATTTTCTTTGAGGAAAACAATTTTTCGTTTAAATCTGCTTATATGCTGCATCCGGGTCCCGATTTCCTGGAACAGAGTTTATCAGCTTCAATAGCATCCATTCCGATTCAATTCAAGAGAAAACTTTTTTCTAAACTTTCTTTCAAATCTATCACTGAGTGACTTTTCGAACAGAAAGCCGGGGTCCCGGCATTGTATCTTTTAAGCTAATTTAGGTGGCGCGAAAATCTTCCGCCCCCGAAAACAAGTTACTTCTCTGTGATTTATAAAACCTACGCAAATATGTCTTCTGATTTTCTCTTTTCATTTCTCTATGTTCGTTTTTCAGTCTTCAGTAGTTCTGACTCAGGCTTTGTTTTTTAAAGGAAACCTAAAAATTCAAAATGCCAAGGGCAAAAATGTTTTCGATGCGTTCCTCTTCAAGCAACAGGCTTTTAATGTTTTCCGAGAGTTTCTCAATTTTTGAGAGGTCTCCAAATTAGATTTTCTGTATTGTTTCCTGGGCCATAACAAAATAAGTGAAAATATAAGAAGAAATTTGCGATAAAGTTTGTTCCCTCCGTGAAAAAGAGTTGCATATAAACTTTATCTTGAAAAAACTTTGGTGAAAAGTTATGCAAATGACATGCTATTTTCATTTTTCAAAACCACACAAGTACGGAAAACAGACAAACTGAACAAAAATTTCTGAAGGGTAACATAAAAAAGGCTCTAACTAAGTATCATTGTTTAGAGTACAGATTTTTTCTTCAGAAAAGATGGAAAAATTTTGTGTTACGTTGTGTGAAACGACTGACGCCAAAATTGCTTCGATATTCTTCGAGCAATTTTTCCTGCTATGTAATTGTAGGCCTCCCTCCGATGATAATTAGCCGCAACTCAGAGCCAACTTTTTATTTTCTAACTTTCTATGTTCCAATTTTTCCTGTTATTTCGATCTTCATTGAACTCCATGTTTTCCACCGTTTTGTTTTTAGCCGTTGACGATTTTTTTTTGAGTTGTAATATGTTAAGATGAAGGTTTAGACCCAGTTGGTGAGCAATATACAGAAAATATGAAATGGGGTTAAGCTCCAACTTTTGGTCTATCATTAGCATTCTTTTTTTCAAAAACTGCTTTCTAATTGTTTTGCGTTAAGCCTGCTTTTCTCTTCATTGTCCAGCAGTCAGAATTTCTATGCTCCAGCTCCTAATTTACTAAAATTAGGAAATAATAGCTACTTTCCAAATCTAACTTTAAATCATTCATAGGAAATCTTCGAGAAAAAAATGTGTCTTATCATCAGCTTATTTATTCATTTTTTTGAATTTACCACTCATTCATTTGAAACTTGTAAATTTTAATCTTCTTTAAAAAAATAAAAAAATAAAATTTAAAAATACCTTCGACAGAAATTTGAACAAAAAAATCTTCAAGTTTTTCACGATAATGCAGCCCAATTTCGCTAAGAATATTAGTTGGCGGTTCGAAACTTCAAGTTTTTTTTTCAAATTTGACAGGGTTCTAAGAATCCCATCTTTTGGATCTCCATTTCAAGATTTTCATGTTTTTTTTACGATCGGCAAAACTTCCTAGGTGAAATGACTTTCCCGTGAGTATTCATAACCGGCCTCTTCTGGTTGGACTTTTGCCAATACCTACGTATATCTAGGCAAACACGAATTCATTATAGACATACATCGAGTACTCGAGAGACGTCAATTTTTAGCATTTTTTCCTTAATATGAGCTCATTTGCAAGCGGCTTATTTTACAGCTACCTTGGCTTTCATCATTTACTGAGAGTTTGGTTCATGCGTCTTTTCCCTGGCCTTTTGCATTGCGAAGTCACTATTTCAGGCTTCGTAATTCCTTTTGAGCTAATCGATCTCAGCTTTGTAGTCCTTTTTCCTTTGCCAAAAGCCTTTGGGATGCGATCGCGAGACCGAAACCATAACAAGGTTTGCATTTGCCTTCGTGTTCCACGTTGATGCAAAGCTCCTAATCCCGTTATTTTCGCTATTTTTGCCCTTCGCCATTTCGTTTCATTTCTTTTTTGGGTGTTTTTGGAAATTGTGCGATAAATGTCTCCTCAATACATCTTGACCAAACTACAGCGAACGCCCATTATTTGGACAATGAAAGAGTGGAATGGATTTCCGGGTTCTTTTTGCAAATAAGGCGATTTTTTTCATCGTAGTGGATATCATTTAACACTATCTTAGAGCAGTAATAAAACATGTAACCAAAAATAGAGAAGAATTCTCAAAAAAATGATTTGGAGAATGCTGATGTATTGTTATTTTTCAGTCCTCTCCAAGAAATTACATTTTTTTATTCATTTCAAATTCATTAACCAATTATTTTTGATGAAAAAAATTTTTTTAGTTGAATTTAAACCAGTTCAAAAAAATGAATCTTTGTGTTTTTTTCTATTGGTGATGAAGCTGAAAAACAACACTCAAGACTTCAGAAATTCTAAGATATAATAATATTTGAATTCTGAAACTGGGTTTTCTTCTCAATGCACATAATCAAAAACCGACGAATCTTTTCGTTTTTAAATCTTCCTTTCTTCTGGCAAAAACTTCATGACGAACAATAGAGTAACATCTTCGAAAAAGCAGTGTTTTTTATTCTCGAAAAAAAAAACAAATCGCTGAATCCTGAGCCATTATTCAAACCGGATTGACCGACTCAGTCTTTGGATTCTTGAGAAGACAAGAAAAAGCCTTGGGAGAGTCAGTCATCTTCCTGGGGACAGACATAAACAAATTTGAGACGGATTTCAAACAAAAACAGTGTGTCTGGAGAGACCTAAGTGCACACGTGTGATTCCCTCGCCATGGTCCGGTTGCTCCGAAGAATCTGCCAGCTCATTTCCACGTCATTCTCACTTCTCTCTGAAGTTGAACTCAATTCAAAACTCAAAGGTTCAACTCTTTTTGCTGACTCCACTTTTTCAATCTCTTTTTTTTTGTATTCGTTTAAAATCGATATTAAATATAACTTTGTAATTTTTTCGAGTCAACCTGATCGGATTTCTTCGAACCTTGAAAAAAAAACAAGACTAGGCCGGTTTATTCTACTACTTTTCGATAGTTTTAAAAATTTAAAGCGTCCTACTTGCATTCAAGTTTCAAGTATTAATCTCAGATCCTAGGCTTTTTCACTCAATTTCAAATAATTTATTGCTTTCATAAAAGTTCGAGTCGACGTTATCCGCAGTAGAAGCGACTAAACAAATCAAAACGTGTAGCGTAAAACGTTATTTCATTGAAGCGGATTCCCCTTCGTTTTATTTTTTCTTGGTTTCTTATTTATTTTTTTCAATTTTAACAATTTTCGGTTTGTTCGTAAATGGTTGCTCTGCTTGTTCTGTTCGCGGTAAAAACTGCGTTTTTGTCTCAATTTTCTCTCCAAGGTTTATGTTTTGACCCTCAAATGCGGAATCATTCGATTTTACACATAATTTTTATAGCACTGTCATTTCCCAGTCATTGACTACTCTGGTACCTTTTGAAATTTGATGTACCTCATCCGAACCCCACAAGCTGATAATATCATTTCATCATTTAGCACTATCTGTTCTATCCAATTCAATTTACAAACGGTCCAAGAACTTTCATTTCGAGAGAAGAATGTTCAAGAGAAGCTGTTCGATTTTCCGTCTTTCAGTCATGTTGAATATGCTTCCAATCCATTAGTGAAGCTTTTTGCGGCTTCTTAGTCTAAGATAACTATTGGTTTTACGCTAATTGCAAAGTTTTTTTCCTTTCGAACTCCGCTACAAACTTCAGTCTAGATGAATGGAAGAAAACTCAAATTAAATTCATTCTTCTTTTAAAATGTCATCCTAAATGCCCTCGATTTGTAGAACGACTTCAAGTCTATCATTTTCATGAAAGCTACAATTTCTTAGAGCAAAAATTCGCTTCAAAGGAAAGTTCATGATATTTCTCGTACTTTTTTC